AGACAACAGACAACAGACAACAGACAACAGACAACAGACAACAGACAACAGACAACAGACAACAGACAACAGACAACAGACAACAGACAACAGACAAGAGATGGGAGACAAGCAACGGGACACGGGACACGGGAGACGGCGTTTGTGGTTCGCTGAAGTCACAAGGTGAGGTGCGAGGTGCGAGGTGCGAGGTGCGAGGTGCGGTGAGTATGGATGGATGGAGACCGTGATGGCGGGTGCAATGTGCAATCATGGTCAAGGTCAAGACGAACAGTGCAGAAAACTCCACGTTTGGATGCCGATCCGATTTGGAGTCATCAACATATCTCATTGTCATTGTCATTGTCATTGTCATTCTCGTTCTCGTTCTCGTTCTCGTTCTCATTCTCATCGTCATCCTCGTCAATTATATGGATAGCAAGGAATGGGATATATGCAGGGTATCAGTGTGACAGGTGACAAGGCAAACAAACACGAATGCGGCCGGCCGTGGGAAAGCAAACCTCCCCCATCCCGTCAAGTCCGGGGCTTACTCGGTGGCTTAGGGGCTCCTGAAGCCTAAGCCCAAGCCCAGCGGGACAATACAGTCTGCTGATATCCAAGCTAGCGGCCGAGCATGGATGCAAAGAGACCTCTCAAGCAAACCTCAATGATGATTCCCTCTCAAGCAAACCTCAGTGATGATTTTTCACGAAACACCCACATCGATCCTGGAGCAAGACGCTATGGTCGCCCGCACTCTCTGGTGAAAACCGCCATCCGCGGTAGTGTCGTATATGTCACTGGGACGGCGAGGCAACATGCCAACACGACCGAGGCGTTGTTTGACCGCGTCCTTGGCCGGACCAAGAGTGTTGACGATACCGTCGGCTCCGATGCGGAGGTTGTAGCAAATCAGTTTGTCGTACTTGAAACCCGGGTAGTCATGCGACGAGGCGGCGACGGAAAACTTCAGCTTCGACTTGGCAAAGGCCATGGCCGCGGAAGGCGTGAAGCAATATTGTTCCAGCACTTCGGCCTGAATGGCGGAGATGTCTCGTTCAGGCGGCGGGCCCGAGTCCGCTTCCTGGTCCGGGCCAGGCGAAGAGCACGCCGAGGCTAGCGAGTCGCTGCAGACGGAGCTTCGCGGCGAGCTTCGCGGCGAGCCTCGAGGTGAAGCACGAGGTGAAGCACGAGGTGAAGCACGAGGTGAACGCGGCCAACGTGGAGACGGAGGGGCATTCATGTCGGCGTCCAGTCCATCAAAGGCCAGAGCGAGAGTGTGGAAGTGTTGAGACGAGCAGGCGTCCAAGGTGCGGGCGTAGAAGCGGGTTTCGAGAGCTTGGAGCCGGGGCAGGGTCCCGATACAGCTGTCGACCAGGCTGATGTGGTCCTTCATGGTGGCGTCGGCGTCAGTGCTGTCGCCGAAATCGACGGCGATGTGGGTGAGCGAGGGCCGGATCAGAGGGTGAAGTTGCGGGTCGGACATGAAGGCCAAGACGTGCTCGGTACAGCGGAACACCAGGGCATTCAGGCTGTAATAGAGCGGAAGGGCCTCGTGGCGGATCTGGCGACAAGAGTCGAGCAGTCCTCGGGCATCATCTCTGGGAGGCCGAGATGGCCGCAGCCGTCTTTCGGATGGAGAGCGGAGTCGGATGGGTTGTGGCAGTTGGAGGGCGAGGGTGTAGATGAGATTCCTGACCTCGGGGGGAAGAGTCAGGAAGGTCGGGGTGGTGGAGGGCAGGGATGCTGTGACGATTGTCATTGTTGTTGTCGTTGTTGTTGGTGTCGTCGTTGTGGTTGCTGCTGTCATCGATATGGTCTGCTGATCCCAGGATCCAGAGATGGCTTGCAGTACTATCAGGATTGAGACTGTGGTGGGTGGCGATGTTGGACCCAAATCACGAAATTTCCAGCAGGACGGATACTGGAGGAGAGTCCTGGGGTTCGTTCTCCTGACTCCAGCGTACAGTGTACAAGAGGTAGTAGCGCGGCGTCGCACCCGAATGCGAATGAAGCCTTAGTTATGTCCGTGTACCGAGTAGGGATCTGTATCTGGCTGTGCCTCGGGCGTGATGCTGTAGTCTGTACGAAGAATGTAAGGCGCACGGCGTATACAGAGAGTAGGTACGAATAGTACGGAGTGCCGTAGGCTTGCTAGACAGCTCCCACTCGTATAGTATGGACTCAGTACTCCTACTCCGTACTCTGACGGATACTCTGCGTAGGGCTTAGGTTGGTATGGTAATGGTAGGGCGGTCCAGTTTCAACTTCGACACAAGCATAAAAAGACCCACGGGCTCAGGCTTGGAGCGAGGATTCTGGGGAAGCGCGAACGATGGATCCCAGAGGAAAGCGAGAGGAAGCGTACGGATAGTCGTACGGAGTAGTGAGCGAGCGTAGGAGGAGTTTGAGTGGATTGAAGGGCGATCAGCGTGTAGTTGAGAAAAAATGACGAGGTTGGGATATGATGATGGTACAAGATACGGACCGGAGGGGTTAATTACTGGAGAGAAGGATAATATTCAAGTTCAAGGTACGGAGATGTCCCTTTTCTTTCCCATCTACTCCGTATGATCCCTACCTCCCTACGGTACGGATAGACATGGGACAAAGTATCGACAGCGGCGGTGCTGATACTCTTTGGTGTATCCGCGTATTCTGTAATTAGTAGTATGGAGTACCTGGTGCTGCCGTGCTGCTTCGCTACCACCACCATCATCACCATCCCATCACCACCACCACCACCACCACCACCACCACACCAATACCGTGGACATACGTGCCACACTACCTTAGCACACTACGACCACAGTGGTTTAGGCAGTGCATGTTGGTACACACAGTTTGCTAGTGGCACGGACACGACCAGGGCCTTGGTGCCACAGCGTCATGGCCCATGGGTGATTTGTCCAGCAGGGGCCAATGTCTCAGTTTAGGTGGTGCTGAGGCTGCCTGAGGCCTGCGATTACGATTATGATGCTATCACGATGCACGATGCTACAGTATGCTACGTACAGCAGCATTACTAGTGCAATGACCTGCCAGGACCTCCGGGCCTAAGGCCATTCATTGCCTGTCTGCAGCTGCCTGTTCGGTGCCTGGACGCAGTACGGATACTGGAAGTGTAAGCAGTGAGCACCTGTTGTCTGCCCTGGGCCCTGAGGCCTTGCTGCACACAGGAGGCCTAAGGCTCAGGCCTGGAACCAAGACCTTAGGGACCAGCCCCGGTAATCTGGAAGTTGCAAGGGCAAGCTGCAGGTTGTGTGGCGGAATACAGGCGAATCGAATGCTGCCTGTGCCCGGCTACGGCCCCTAAGCCTCCTAAGCGTAAGCCTCAGCCGTCCGTAGCAGGGATTAGGGGTGTTCTGTAATCCCTGACACCCGGGGCTTGAATTAATTAAGTACCTAGTTACCTTAGGCCCTGGCCTCGGCATGTGTGTCTCGTGTCTCTGCCTGGCGAGGATTAAAAATATCCGACCCTGTATACGGAGTACATAGTACTCGTACCTACTCTGTAAACAGCCCCTAAGCACCCCCTCAACGCCTCCTTAGCCCCCCCAAACGCCCCGAAACATGCCGGAATCTGGGAATCTGGAATCTGGAGTCTGAGGCGCTGCTGCTTGCTACATACGGATACTTGCTGCGGATTCGACCAATGCTCTCCGCCGCCGTTTCACCCCCGCCCTGCGCCAGCCACGGCCTTGCGAGAATAGAATACTGTAAAATGCTGATCTCGACACAGGCATGTCCCTGCCCCTGTCCCTGTCCCTGTCCCTGGGCCCCCCGGTTCGTGTTCGTTGTTGCTGTTCCAGTTCCGTTCCAGGATTTCCGCCACATACATCTACTCTGTACGTCACTAACACTGGCACAGACACGCAGACATAGACAGACATCACATCACCGGACATGCCACATGCCACATGCCACCTCTGCGCCTGCTGCCTACATTCCGAGAAGGCGAAGAGGAGACGCGAGATCCGTGATCCGTATGACCAGAGACCACGGAACTCGAGGGACTTGATTACTGTGTGCCTACCTTCCCTACCTGAGGTACCTACAGCAGTAGTAGTAATAGTCTAATAGGATGATGCGGCCGCCTGATGATTACTACCGCTGTAACGGAAATCCGAACCTATAAGAATGTACGGAGTTTGCCAGGCCGGATGCCAGTAATTACAGTAGGTATGCAAGGCGGTTGAATCCCTGTGCAAGGCCAACTGATTACCGTCGGAAGTATGCAAGGCGGTTGACTCCAAGGCCACTGATTACCTGCGGAATGTACTCGTATGCAAGGCGAACAAACATCTTCCTGTGGAAACCGACCGGACATCGTTATCCTTGTGCTTATGCTGTGTCACTGCTGCGCTGCTGCAACTGCTATTGTTCCTTGCGATTAGCACAACACAACGTAATACCACACAACACCACTGGACGACTGGACGACTGGACGACTGAAGAAGACCCAAGTACTTCCGGAGTACGGAGTACGGATACGTGGTACGAGGTACTCTACACTTGTATTGTATTGATTGTACTCCGTACAGCCAGGATCCGTACTCCGGATCCCTGTCGTCCTTTCATGATTGGGTTGGGCTTCCTCGGAGGCATTCCATTCATCCTTTCTCCATACCGCTCACCACACGCCGTCAAGGGAGCCTGTGCATACAGAGTAAATGTTGACCAAACAAGAATGTCCACTCTCTCTTCATTTTGACAACGTGTACGGATACGGATACTCTGTACGGATACTCTGAATGATGACAATTCTCTCTCCTCATTTTGACAACATGTACTCCGTACGGATACGAGTACTCTGAACGATGACAATCATCGCCGAGTTTGTCCATCTAGATGGGACCCGAGTGACAGAAAAGATCATTGGGGTCGGAGGAACTGGCATCTTGATTCAGCAGGGCCAGCGGGCACTAAAGATCCCTCGACTATCCAGGGACATTGGAAATGATGGATTCGGATTGCCTCTGGTAATAATAGACGAAAGCTCCACTCCCAAAGAAGGTGACTACGACATACGGGCCGATCTTCTTCTCTCGCTGGAGCACGAAAAAGCCATCGACAGACGGCTCGGCAACCACCATGGGATTGTACGATGCCATAACTTATCATCCACGTCCATGTCCACGTCGTTCACGTCGACGTCCACCGATCATTCGATCATGATGGATCTCATGGCGAATGGTGATCTTCGACATTACTTGGCTGAATTTCCCAGACCCGACTCAAACCAAATACTGTCCTGGCTGACAACCATGGCCCAGACGCTCACATATATCCATGATCGACGTGTCATAGTGGCCGACATTCGGTTGGACAACTTGTTAGTTGACGAAAACCTGGCTTCACTTTGTTGATTTCGGAGAATCATCACTCATGCCCCTTGATTGGGATCTGAATGGTTGTGACAACGACGGCTACTCAGTCATGACCGACCTGGGACAATTCGGCGCGGTCATGTTTGAGATGGTTACTGGCCAACGTTGCAGATTCGATCTTTTACATGACTGGAAGGGTACAGTGGAAGTAACGTCAACGAGCGAGTGGAAGGGTGTAGAGGAATTACCGTCAACGAGCGAGTGGAAGACTGTAGAGGAATTACCGTCAAGGAACGAAGTGTGGCTGGGCCATATCATGGAAAAATGCTGGAATCAAGGATTCCAATCCGCCAAAGCCCTTGCAACCGAGCTGGAGGAGCTTTCCATAACAGGAGACAGGGTGTTGAATCCTTGATTTCAGCATTTCTCCACGATGTGGCATCACAGGAGAGAGGGTGTAACAATGCATATCTTGGAGGAGCTTTCCAAACAGGAGACAGGGTGTAACAAGTAACAATGCATACCTTGGAGTTGTCAAAGGTCAAAGGTTGAAATGTTCCACGTTCTCTATCAAAGGGTCGCAGGGGGAGCGCATGCTATATATTATAGTATAGTCTAAACCAGCCTCTCTGGTTAAAGGGCAAGGCTGGGAATGCCTAGGTTTGACAAGATCAAGTCTGGCAGTGTTCAAGGTGGTCATACTTCGTATACGGATGCTCCGTACACTATGCTATACTACACTCCTATGGACAAAATATGCCACACGATTCTTCCTTTGATTTTGTATTCCTATTCCTGTTCAATACCATGCAAAAGATACAACTATATGTATGCATACCCTCATATAGTACCATGTCAAATCCAATCCATGCTGGTCTAGTCAATATATCCGTACAAGACCCTTTCACTTTGTTTGCACAATGCTCTATCCTTGGCAGAGTATAGCCACAGTGGTCACTGACGGACACATGTCCTGTCGACATTCAGGTCTGCCTTGAGTGAGATCCCATCTTAGGAGGGTATCATCATCCCAAGTCCGTCCATCTTCTTTCGATCCAAATCTCTTGTTTGCGTTAACCGCCATCCTGCATTCCATGAATCGTGCAATATGGCACTACCGGCGGCTTCCAGGGACAAGTGTCGACGAGCTGGGGCTGACATAGCTATAGAAGACATGCTTGAAGTGTCTGTCGGTATGTGCCATATGGGATGTGTATGGCTCAGGTCCACCTCGAGGGATTCTGCGTCAACCCCAGCGTTGGTACAATAGTGATGCCCGGGTATCCTTACAGGCACCAAGCGGATAAGAATTTGGTCGGAGAAGCTGCGTAAATATCACGCTCAGGTCTTTGCTGGTACTGGACTCGCATTGTCCCGATGCCTGACTATGACATTGTCGCCCCAGGAATCGAGTTGGAAGGTTGAAGCGCCGTGTGGATAAATGCCCGTTTGTGGCGGTGCGTTGTCCATCTCAATCTTTCCGCAATGGAAGAACGGTCTTCTCTTCCGACTTGACTTCAATATAGAATTTGCCAGCCACCAGTCCTTCAAGTTTGCTCGTGATTTTGGCAAAGACCGGTTCAAGCTTGAGATTCCACACATGGCTTGCCCCAGCCACACAGACCATCAAAACAACGGTTGCTAAAGCGCACTGAAAGAAGCCCGGGACCAGATATCGTTCGACATAGTACTCGGCTCCGTCCTCGGTGTACTGTGCCAATTGCTGCTTTGGATGGCCCAAGTGCAGGACCCACGCAAAGACAGTGCGCATCAGCATCCCGTGCAGTAAGTAGATTGCAAAGCTGATTTTGCCGAGCAATTGCAGAGGTCGACGGCTTAGAAGCCAACGAGCGTGAGGGGAGATGATGATTCCAACGATAAGCAGGATCCCTCCCAAAGACCCATACATTCGATCCACCGTGTTTGTTATGTCGGCGGGAACATGGCGAATCGCAACATCGTGGAGCCAGGTGGACCAGGCAGCTGACTCATAGAATGAGCCAGGGAAGGACATCATCACCAGCGCAGATATGATGAGCGGAGGTGAGACAAAGGGCGAGATGGCCGAAGCAGCGGTGGGCATGTTCGAAAGATTCATCTCACCCAGGATGATGCCTGCGAAACAACACAGGCCCGTGAAAGCTATTTAGAATGAGTGACACTGTCAATGAACCTCGGATGTGTGGGTTGGACTCACGATCTCCAATGATTCGGCTCCAGTTCAAGGACCAGAACGAGAGAATGACCAAGGTCACGGTTCGCCAGAACGGTGTCATGGATATGACAAGAGATAAGGCACTGATGATCATGACGCTGCCCTGAAGCAGGTAGACCAAAGCCCATTGTGGTTGATCATATGGATTTCCGCCGTAGTAGACCCAAGTCCCTCGGAGGCCCGCGATGAGATCCTTGAAGGCTTGTTGCCAGCTGTCGCTGGGCCGAGGAGTCGTGGTGCTCAGCCAAAACGCATCACTGGATCCAGAGATCTCGTAGAGCCCCAGGTTGCAAATGATCCAGCTGATGAGGGTGGCGGCGCTGGCAGGGAGCACCAAGCGGAAAACCCGACTGAAGGATGATGAGGACAGTTTGCTCAGCGCTTTATCAATCTGCCCGGATCTTGCGAGCTGGAGGGGCTTCAATGAATTGACGAAGCCCATCAGGATGAAGAAAATAGCCACCCATGAGTGCCCGCTGATCACCAGGCGCAAGATGGGCCTTTGAAACAGGGCGGGCGTGGTGCTATCTTTGGCGCAGCATGGCGGAACTAGACCCCTAGCATAGCATAGAACTAGATGCGATGACACCACCAGTGCCGCCGCGATTCCTCGGAGGCCCTGGATTGCACAAGATGTGATATCAGAATTGAACATTGGAGGGCTTCGGCTAGTCTCAACTAGGGAGAGAACTCACATCTGCCCATGCGGTATCTTTCATAGCCCGCTCCTTAGCCTCGGCGCTCAGTCGGAGGAGGCGGATTCTGCTAAACATCTCTCGCGCCCCGTCCATGGCCACGGTACAGTAGACTCAGGACTGGGACTGGACAAGGACAATAATGCGGATGGGGGAATTCAGCATCGATGCTGCCGCCGATGCTCTCGAGACATAGGACAGATTTTTTCCTCTTTGCCCAACCAGCCCAGAGCCAGACGGTGGCTAAGAAATAGGGTATGTCACAGCCCCTGACTGTGGCTGATGACTTGATGCAGGGATTGACTGAGACTCTTGGAGCAACCCCTGAGTGAGTGAGGGAGCGAGTGACCTCGGCGGAACGTGGGCGATGGTGACAAGTCGCCTGGGCTTCAACTTGTTATTAGTAAGGCGGCTCGCTGACTTCCCAAGCCTCGTTTCAGTCTTGACTCCTTGGACTTTGGACCTTGGCTGATTGCTGTAGCCCCTGCGCGCCGCTGGGGCCCCAGGTTCGCGCGTTTGTTGCGCCACTTCTCCTTTGTTGGCTGACCTACCGCTAGCTCGACAGGGGTCCAAACCACTCCCGGAAAGATCGAGTGTCTGTGCCCCCAATAGTGAAGAACTAGAGCATGGAGACCAGAAGGACAACGGCTCAACGGCTCAGGCGCGTCCCAACCGGTGATTGACCCAAACCTTTATTGAACGCCGGCTGAAGAGACTACAGGAGGCTGTGACATGTGTGTGCATGAAAGATATCTGCTTCTCTTTTGCAGTGCCGTCGTGTCTGTGTCGAACCTGCCACATCTTCCCATTCAAGGCCGAGGCAAGAACGCGCCACTCCACTCACCCTGGCACATCGTGACTCCTGCCATGCCTCTCAGTTGGGTTCAATCGTACGCCAACGGTCAAAAGGAAGGCTACACGCCGTGATACGTGATACGTGATACGTGATACGTGGGACAGACCCCGAAAGAGCGGCAGTGCCTGGGCTGAGAAATGCCCGCCCCAGAGCTTGTGATTAATAGAATGATTACGGTCCATGCTGTCTGGTGAACGGGGTAGAAGAGGACGGCGCTGAATACAGTACTGAAGCACAAACCCAACTATGCTCAATCCAGATACTATGTAAAGATGGCCTTCTCGAATGCCGCCACATCCCCTCCAGCCACTTTCACGGCCTTCAATGCTGCTTCCCCCAGCTTCTTCCTCTTCTCCCTCGCTTCCATCTCCCGTCGAGCTCTTGTCTTGGAACTTCCGCTCGGCGCCACATCGCCGAGCAACTTGGCTGAGTCCTTGGGGGTAAAATTCACAAAGTCAATTACAGTTGCACCCCCCGTCGGAGTCTTGGGCGTCTTGAGCGTACGGGGAGGACGCGAGGCCGATCTTGTCCGCGGCACGGGCAGGGGCTCTAGTGATCCCACATCCCTGATCGGACCAGATTTATGGATCGACTTGCGTCGGCTATGGCTGTACTCTGTCACATTCCTGGTGGGCGACCGGTGCGGATTACGGCGGGGACTGATGTTCGTTGGTGATATGGAAGGCGAGGGTGATCGAGACGGTGAACGACGTTGCTTCCGTGGCGTTGTAAACGGCGAACTCTCGGGGAAGACATACGACGGCGGAGGCGGGAGCGGATGCCACGAAGTCATCGTGACCGGCGCGGGCATTGTCGTTGCCGGATATGGCACGGCAACGCCGACCGAAGCCTGGGTCTCGTGGAGGTAGTCCTGCGGCTCGTAAAACACTGCTTGGTTCATCTGGTCTAGTTCTGGGTAATGAATGCCCAGCCCGGTGAATGCATGTTCGGTATCCTGCTGCAGAATGTGATGAGCCGCACGCTGTGGCGTCGGCGCTGCCAATGCGGGATATGTCTCTTCGGGTTCCAGCGTCGGAAGAGGTGGATGGGAATTCATTGAGGGCGGTGAAAACATGGCTTGCGAGTACATGCTGGGATTCGTGCTCGAGATATGAGTTTGTGTCTCACGCGAATGTGTTGAGCTACTTGACGAAGGGAAACTGCCACTGATCGGTGAATGCGCGGGTTTTGGTCCGTGGCTGCCAGGTATGTGGCGGGACATGAACGACTCTTGACTATGACCAGACCGAGACTTCTGATATCCGCTCCCATCCTGGTCGGCCGACAAAGGCTCGGTGACGGCCGAGGATCCCGCGTGGGCGTGGTGACCTTGGTACCTAGAGCCTGGGATACAGACTCCTTGATTTTGGGCCGCAATCCCAGCGTTGAGGGCCCTGAACGACTCTGAAGGATTCGAAACCGGAGACATTGCCCCGGAGGCAGGCTGCAACCGAGACTCATACGGCATGCGCAGGTGGAAGTTCTGGAAATCCTGCTGCCAACCACTGATGTCTGCATGGCCAGATTGGGGCAAGTCCGGGAGCTGAGAATACATCGGGGTTGGTGAGAGGGTGACTTCACGAGAAATTGGGGGTCGGACGGAAGCTGGATCATACAATCTGGCAGCTGGGGAGGTTGCAAATCGCTTTGTTCGACTGGGAGAGCCGATCTCAACCGACCGCGGTGGCTCGTGTGTGGCGTCGGTATGGTGAGTGACCGAGTTCATTGTTTGAATGGCTCCTGGCCGCTTTGTCTCAGCCCTCCGCGTCTTTTCCACAACAAGCCGTGAGGCCGGTTGTCGTTGCTTAAGGCACCAGACGCCTTGCCGCCATGGTTGAGGAGGTGAATATTCGCTTTTCGCCGGTGCCTCGAATGAGGGAAATCGGTATTGATCTTTTGACAGCGCGTCGTTGCTAAACATGTCTTCAAAGTCTGCATAGTGCTCTTTGTTCTCTTCGTCGCTGACGTCAAGCCTGTACATGTCCTCGTTGAAGAATTCGTCGAAGGAACTGCTTTCATTGGCGGGGGTAGGAAATAGCATCTTCAATACCTTGTCTTCTGGTCGAAACAGACAATCTGGTGAACTAGCTAGAGACATGATCAATACTCTTCGATTGTCACATATTCGTGCACAAAGTACGCAGAGCAACCCAGGCATGGGGACCATCAAGCAGATGTATTCCAGACAAGGCAACAAACAACATTTCTATGATGCCCCGGAAACCTGACATCAAGGGCCAGAATGGTCAGGAATGTTGCGCAAAAGAATTCGTGGCTTTCCGTGGCCCAAGCGTTCTGGAGGCATACTCGAGCAGTGGGGCCACGACGAAAGGCTGCAGCGACCATCCACATGACCAGTGTAAAGAAAGGCTCTCTGGATATGTACCAGTGCAGCTCTATCACAGTCAAGAGTAGAGGCACCGATCGCACCTCTTCAAGACCTCTTCAAGACCGTAGGTGTCGCACAACGGCGGAGAAGATCGCCCAGATCTCCCCAAAGGTGAATTTCGGTGGTGGTTTCCATTGTCCTAGCTTCAGCATAATCCATCTGTGATAAGGAGATGGGATTGTCTTGTTGAAAGAACAACTGAGACTGACAAACGTTACTCTGCCAAAGGTTGATTGTGCTGCCCACGCTTGTCCACGCACAAACAACACATTGGAAGCAAAGCATTGTCATGCACTTACCAAAATGATGCCGGACATCTTTGAAAGCTGATGTGAACAATGAGGTACCTGTGAATTTCCCAAGTTGAGATGCTATCCTGATGACACTGGCATCTGCAAGTTTTAGATGTCTGGCTTCTGACATTCATACCATTCCTCCCTCCATTTCTCAGACATCTGTTTCTAGCTGAGTTTGCACCCCGTCAATGCATATTGTTTCTTAGCCTCTCGCGTTGGTAGGAGACGAAGATTGTTCTCCAAAGCGACATTCCCTGTCTTGGCCAGGAAGACATGGAACGGAAATCTGGAGCTCTAGAGCAGTTGACGGTTTCTTAATTCTGCACCGCGCTCCGCGGCGTCTTGCGCAAGAAGGACCATCATGCGCTGCCCCAACGGCTGCCCCAACGACAGCCCTCTATGGCGGGATTCGGACACCTTCTCTGAGGAGCAAAAGAAAGAGCACAGTGAACGAGCACAAAAGCTGAATGCCCATTTGACAAAGTTGACAAAGACAATGGGAGGGCCAACGAAGAGTTCATTGAAGGTAAGTCAAAGACTCTTTACCTTCATTGCATGTCCGAACAGGCGGTTGCGCACTCTCGACCTTCCTGATCGTACTCAATTTCTTCAATTCCAGTAACCATTCAAGTTGCATTGCACTGACGTCCAACGGCACACTTGCAGGAGTTTCACACAAATTTCAACTCGAACATGTGTTATGTCGAGGACGTTTATCACATCCAATGCAATCACTGGGCTGACCGACCCCGAACCTACCACATGTGTGCATCATCGGGCGGAGAAGCACCTGAAAATCGATGTTCCAACCAAAAGCGATGCGGATCGGTCCAGGAAGATTCGCTATGCAAGAGATGCAAGATCCATGACAACATTGCTGGCACGAAGCCCGGTACGTTGATTTCTGTTTTCCCAGCCAGAAGAGCGGAGAAAGTGGTGGTCAGGATCCATAATGATTCAAAATCCGGCAGTAGCAGAGGCTTGAAGCTCGGGAGTCATCCCAGTGAATTTTCCAGCTGGAATCTTCAAAACAAGTGATGCGGTGAACAAGCATGACTGACATGATGTTTCGTAGAACTGGTGCACAAAAAAGATCGCAGACGGAACAGGGCTCGCATGAGATCAAGGGCCAGACAATATACCGAGCTGATATTCAGCTGTTTCCGGTGAGTGTGATTTCTGCTCTTCTTTTTACCGGCATGGTTCGAACTTTCCGATTTGTATTTCCAACACAGATAGATGTGTGTTTGTCTTGCAATGCAGCCGGCTAATACGAGCTCGCTATCCGAGTCAGTTGGTGCGAAAGCATGGTGTGTAAGTGATTGCGCGATCTGGAGACATCGACGAGGCAAAGCTTAAGATGGGACGAGCAAGGGTGAGGTTTGGTGGCTTGAAAGGCCGCTACTCTGTTGGTGGGACGCATACGCTTCGGCGACGTCATCGGGTGGTTTTTGCGGGGGTTGCGGTGAGCAGCGCCAGAGCCACCAGCCATCAAAAGGCCATACATATTTGAACTGTTGATACATCGTCACTTCTGCGCTGCTCCTCGGACCATCAGCTGGCAGGAGAGAAAGGAACCACGAAGTATGAAGAAGGTGATTCGATCGTCGGGGGTCAATCCAGCCTGACAAGTCTGCAGGTGCCTTATCGGTCATGTGTCTCGGTGTTATCGGCACAGGGTGCGGAGGGGAAATCTCCGACGTGGGGGATGCGGTCACATGCACCGGTGGCGACATGGTGCAGGAGCGGGTGACTCACTGCACCTACCGTTGAAATGAATGACCAAAAATCTCTTCACACTCATTCAAGGCAACTTCATTTTCGCGCCATCTGACGGGTAGCAAAAGTAAATAAGGAGGCTGAAGCAGCGGCAGTAGCAGTAGAGGCGGTGACTGAGGGGCCGCTGTTATCATTAACTATCGAAGTTGCCTGGCCACAAGCTGGTGGAGGCTTCGACCGGCTTCTGTCTTACCAATACATCGTTCACCCTAGGCCCAATCAGGCAACGCGCAGTCACAGCCACTGCGCTTGCCACCTGCGTCGCTGCATCTCCCGGCCTCCCCTACTTAAGCCGCAACTCTCGCAGTGGTCATCACCTTCCTTCTTATCATCACTTCCCCCTCATACAACCTGAGATCCTCCCTCTCTTCCACCATTTCATCAGCTTACAACTACCACAAACTCATCTCATCACAACCGCAATCATGCAGATCTTTGTCAAGACCCGTAAGTCTAGCCCGCGCTTATCCGCCGCCACCAGGCGTCTGATGCTAACCTCAACTTCATAGTCACTGGAAAGACCATCACCCTCGAGGTTGAGTCTAGCGATACCATCGACAACGTCAAGTCCAAGATTCAGGACAAGGAAGGCATTCCTCCCGATCAGCAGCGTCTCATTTTCGCCGGCAAGCAACTTGAAGATGGTCGCACCTTGAGCGATTACAATATCCAGAAGGAATCGACACTACACTTGGTCCTCCGTCTTCGTGGCGGTATGCAGATCTTCGTCAAGACCCTCACCGGCAAGACTATCACCCTTGAGGTCGAGTCCAGTGATACTATCGACAACGTCAAGTCCAAGATCCAGGATAAGGAAGGTATTCCTCCCGATCAGCAGCGTCTCATTTTCGCCGGCAAGCAACTTGAAGATGGCCGCACCCTGAGTGACTACAACATCCAGAAAGAGTCGACTCTACACTTGGTCCTCCGTCTACGTGGTGGTATGCAGATCTTTGTCAAGACCCTGACGGGAAAGACAATCACTCTGGAAGTTGAATCCTCAGACACCATCGACAATGTCAAGTCAAAAATCCAAGACAAGGAAGGAATCCCACCGGACCAGCAGCGACTGATCTTTGCTGGCAAGCAGCTTGAAGACGGCAGAACACTCTCAGACTACAACATCCAGAAAGAGTCCACCCTCCACCTCGTACTCCGACTCCGAGGTGGCATGCAGATCTTTGTCAAGACATTGACAGGAAAGACGATTACATTAGAAGTCGAGTCTTCTGATACGATTGACAATGTAAAGTCAAAGATTCAAGACAAGGAGGGTATCCCACCGGACCAACAGCGATTGATCTTTGCAGGCAAGCAATTGGAGGATGGTCGTACTCTCTCTGACTACAATATCCAGAAGGAGAGCACTCTGCATTTGGTGCTGCGACTCCGCGGCGGTCAGTAGATCATATCGCATGGTGGCGGATCTTTCAGTCTTTGAGCTTTTGCGGATGAGGGGCTTTGCATCAAAGGTATCACGACATTGCTAGGGAATCGATGACATGACGGCGTTGGCCAGTGGTGCCAAGCACTCTGCATAGAAGAAGTAGTAGACTTCAAACGAATATCAAGTTGCTTCTCACTTCCTCACACGACGTACTTTTCAATTTAATTCTGTCATCTTCACAAACCGCAGTAATGACTCTAGTGTGGCTTTGCCAGAAATGCTATTGCTTCGCCAATATATGGTCCCGGGTCGCCACTGAAATATGACTGTCCATGACCATATGTGACTGCGCCTTTCAGAGCCATCCATCTTTCTGTGGTGTTTTTCCTTCAATTCTCCTCATACACCCCTTGACCATATCCCTATGTTTCAGCGACATGCCTGATTATTTCTTTTATGTCGTTATTGAACTCTTTACAGACTCACCCGCTAGCTTGAACCAACCCAAACAACTTCAGCCTCCCAGTTTGGCTCCATTTTTCAAGTCCTTGAGACCTTTCACAACCTCAGTTGCGGCAAGACGACGATCTAGAGACCTCGCCTCTGAGCATAGGAAAGAGTTTTCTGCTCAACCCGCACGATCGCAGCCCACAGTTTCCCACGAAAACCTCTCCTTGCAGATACCTCACCCGGACCCTAAAGACCACCGGCTAGACCGAATCTGTGTTGAGAGTGCGGATACGCCATCACACCCTGGGGGAATGGAGTCGGCAGGAGGGAAAGATAACATCATTGGAAAAGGAATTGGAAGCGCAATATCAGGACGTCACATGAAGGGCAGATATGAAGCCTTGGAAAGCCACGACAGGACAGAAGGGTGGGGAATCGTGCACCTTTACAGGGATTCCGAACAGACGTCTGGATTATACAAGGACTCTGCGTATCGATCGAGTGACCTCTGGAGCGATGGACTTCGCAATCCGCCTTCCGGAAACCCTCACCCACCTCCTAAAGACGAAGCATGTACCACGCTATGTATCCTAGCCGTGCCTTCATACATGACACCGTCTGACTTCTTGTCATGGGTCGGCGAGGACACCAGAAGCGAAGTGAGCCATTTCAGAATGGTCCGTACAGCACGGGCAAACCGATATATGGTTCTGATGAAGTTCAGACATGGTAAAAAGGCAAGAGAATGGCAACATGAATGGCACGGGAAAGTCTTCAACAGCATGGAGCCAGAAACGTGCCAAGTCGTCTTCTTGAAATCAGTCGAGTTGATTCAGACATCCTCACTGGAACCGAACAATAGCCTGACTTCCCCGACAACGAGCTATCCGAACATGACCAACGATCCGTTCATTCCGACATCCACAACTGCCAAACCTCCCGCTCCTCGAACATCATCACTAGTCGAATTACCTACGTGTCCAGTTTGTCTTGAGCGGATGGACGAAACCACAGGCCTGTTGACAATTCCTTGCCAGCATGTGTTCCATTGTACGTGCATGGAAAAATGGTCCGGCGGTGGCTGTCCTGTGTGTAGGTACACTCACGACGACTTTTCATCACGATTGGGTTCGTACAAAGCAAATAACAAGACTTCTGGGGAGTATGAAGGGCACGATGGCCCACTGGAGTGTGAAGTGTGTCATGTTGAGACGAGTCTCTGGCAATGCATCATCTGTGGCAAAGTCGGGTGTGGAAGATACGAAGGCAAACATGCATATGCGCATTTTGAAGACACCGGGCACACATTCAGCATGGATCTGCAGAGTAAACGAGTCTGGGATTATGCAGGAGATACGTATGTGCACCGTATCATACAAGATGCCGCCAAACCAGGTGAGAAACTAGTTGAACTGCCAGGAAGACACGAACCTTCTGCCCTGCATGGCGAAGAAGACCCTGAGCTGGCCAAGCTGGACGACATCTCCCTGGAATACACACATTTGTTGACAAGCCAGCTCGAAAGCCAGAGAGTGTATTTCGAAGAAGTGGTTGAGAGAGCCGTTGACAAAGCTGCTGAAGCGACCAAGAAAGCGGAACGAGCGCTGGAAGAAAGCCGTGTTGCAACCGAGAAGCTACAGAGGCTCGAAAGAGAGCATGATATTGTCGCCAAAGGCCATGTGCCGGGACTCGAAAAGGAGAAAGCCCGGCTCGAAAAGCGAAGTGCCAAGTTCGAAGAACTGGCTCGGAGTTTCAGCGAGAAGTATCAAGTCGAAAAGACCCTTAGTGCTAGTCTCATGGAAAGGGTAGAATTCCTTGAAAAGACGCAGTTGCGGAACCTGCACGAGACTATACGTCGGCTTGAAGAGGAAAATGCCACTCAGGAGTTGTTGATGGAGGGCTTGAGAGAAGAGCATCGCGATGCTATCATGCAGATCTCCGCACAGCGGAAGTTGGAGGAGATGGTTGCAAATGGTGAGTTGGAGGCTGAAGATCTCGAAGGTGCAGTCATTGAGGCTGGACCGGCAAAGAAAGTCCCTCTCGCCAGGCGCCGTAAGTTGGCGAATGAACAGAATCGAGGTGCCGGTTCATCTGCACCAAGTCAGCCGCTGCCAGCATCATCTCCAACATCTAGAGAGGGCCCCGTTGACCGTCTTGTCCTCTACAACAGCATCTTTGGCGAGAGCTCGCGCGGCAAAGACTGGGACGAGCAGAAAGCTAAACGAATTCTCGACGAGTGTCGCGCCAAACTGCTCAGTGAGGGTTTGCTGGTTTCGCCTACCCCGTCAGTATCCGGAAGAACTGAGAGCAGCGAGGGCGAGGATGATGGAAATGGCGAAAACAAGGCCAAAGGGACAAGCGCGGGCAAGAAGCGCAAGGGCAAGAAGAAGTCCAAGAAGCAAAACATCTGAGACCCCTTCTTGCAGGTGTTATGTTCGCGGTGCATGGCCAGGGTTGAGCTCTTTCAATGATACCCCCAGATGAAGGAAATGACCTTCATCGATTTTGTATGTATGTTAATGAAGTAGCGTTGAACGGCATCAACTGCATTGCATCCATCATGGCTCTGATGATGTCAAGAACACTTCTCTCCTTAGCAATATGACATTGCTTGAAATACTAGTACAACCATTATCATGCTACCATGCACAATTACCGTAAGGTCTTACATCTATTCTACAGCTGACACTGTCCTCTTTCCTCTTTCCCTGGTATCCTACTTTGTACATGACCTTTCAACAGGAACACTCTCGTTCAACGTGAGCGCCATGGGTCAAGGTTGGACGTTGAGAAAGAGATTCGTTGGGTTTACGGCGCTTTCTTCCTTCCACGGGAACCGAGAGCCAATGTACGCTCCAGAGGGGGCGCATCAAGCGAATCCAGGCGCATGCTGCATTCAGTCAAGTGAAACCGTGGTCGTGGACAATTACGGCTTGATTCGTGTCTCGAACGCACTCTGTGGAGGCGCGCTGTCCAACCACGACCTTTATGCGCCCTTGAAGTTCGATTGCGTTGAGCGGTTGTGGAAGACGCCAGAAGCGCATGTGCAATACCTGTGGCTCGACTTCAGTTCCCAGGGCGATATCTGTTGCTCGACTTCGGTTCCCAGGACACGCATGCCCAGTATAGAGTATATGGCATGCTCAAGCCAATTTCTGAATTCCGAAGAAATAGTTTCCCCATTCCTCGCTGTTGTTGACAAGTTGCCATCCCAACACGGGGAGATAGATGACTCCTTGCGTGTGGAACACGCCCCAGCTGCCCGGGGCGCGGGTCTCGAAGTACTGGCGCAGCTCCGATGGGTTAATGTATTTATTCCAATCGTGTGTGCCGGCGGGCACCACGCCGACCACAGGTGCTTCGGCGATGAGCTTGGTTGTCAAGAATGCGGTGAGCGAACGGGAGATGGTGGAACCAATGATCCAGCCGCCAGGCTTGAGGTGTGGGATGGCAAGTTCGAGGAAGGACGACGGAGAGTCGATATGCTCGAGCACTTCAAACAGCGTCAGGACGTCGACTTTATCTTGGTCTGCTGAGGGTACGGGGAGGTCTTCGATCGCGCAGTTCAAGTACCGCAGTTTCGGGGCGGAGAGGGCTGGGTCTGATCGTTGATGAGATTTGGCGACTTGGATCACGAGCTCCGTCGGGTCAATCGCGGTCACGGTCGAAGTTGACGGGAGGCGGGCAGCGGAGGAGGCAAAGATCCCCCCACCGCAGCCCACGTCGAGGTACGAATATGATCCGGAGTGGTTTGCTACCGCGGAGACGGCTGAAGAGGAGGAATTGAGACAGGACTGGATGAAGTCATGACGAAGAGGGTTCATCAGATGTAACAGCCTTGAAGGGCCATGAGGATCCCACCATGACGATGCTAGACGAGAAAAGTGTGAGACTTCCGACGGCGAGACGGAGGAGGGGGAGGACGAGGCAGGCGACGCCGTCGATTGTCGTCTGATTTGTACGACAGCGACTCTTTCGAGCCTTGGTCCTGTTACTCGAGGAGCTCTGTAAGTCACCGCCGAAGACTTTTGTACCGCGCGCAGACTGCTCCTCCACTGGGAGGGTCGAGCCATGTTCTGCAAAGGCTTGTTGAGATTGTCGAGCTTGGTCGCGTTGAAGCCCAACGAGGCTGAGGCGCAGTCGGGAAACTGAAGACCGAGTGCTGAAAAGACCTGACTGCACGCTGCACTGGTCAGGCTGAGTGTCCGTGCCCTATACGTGATACGCGATACGCGATACGGTAGGCGGAGGCGCCCGGAATACGGAGTAGTAAGGTAGGATCTGGGTTATCGGAGGGAGTATCAGCGGCAATCTGGGCGCCGAGAAGTGGCTTAGGGGCTGTTCCGCAGTGCCCAGGAAGGACCAGAGAAAGGTCCCGGCGCCGTCCCGCTTCGCTCTCTCCCCGGCGTCTCCGCGGGACTATTGATCCCCTTGGCGCCAGACTTGGCATGACTTGGCCGGTTCCAATGTTCCCATCATTCCACCCTCCGACTTTGCCTTCAAGTTTGCGGCATGATCTTCGCCCACCATCAACGCAGCCCGCACCCCGACCGCCCCCCGGTCCAGTGATTTTGCCTCCCCCATGAGGGCTCGAGCCACGCCTCTCAAAGTCAAAAGTCAATGATCCGAACGGCTAATAGAGTCCATGCTCAACCCGCGACGACGTGCCGTTCTTTGGAGAAGACAGAAGGCCAGGATTGGCCACCTTTATTTCTACAGCGCCTTAGCAGCATCTGCCAAGATGGAGTGGGTGGTGGCAACGCAACCTGTTGTCTCTTGGCCGTCAAGGATGGCCCATGATGCAACTCTTGGAACCGGCAAGACGGTAGGTCTATCTATGAGACGAATATGGCCTGATCAGTCTATATAACCGGCCTCGACCCTCCGATAAGGGTCCGGCAGCTTCGGTAAGCTCGGAGAAGTCTCCTTATTCTCATTGTTTTAGACTTGCTTTGGTGAATTGAATATTGCTATTGCCCCCCATTGAGTCCGTCTTTGGTACAATTGTTATCATTTCCGACATAGGGGACTTGGCTTTGCCAAAGTGCGAACCACTCACGCCCCGCCAATCTCAGTACTGCCCATTATGGGTGATACCGTTAAAAGGGCAGAACAGACATTCTCAAAGCACCCGTTCCTGCTCTCGGCCGATGAGGTCGTAGCTCACCTTGAGACCAGCCATGATCTGGGCTTGACAAGTGCTCAAGTCCAGCAGTACCAGGCAAAGTATGGACCCAACAAACTGGACAGCGATGGAGGGGTCTCGTGGTATGCCATTTTGGGGAAGCAGATTTCAAACGCCATGATACTGGTATGGTTGTGATCCTTAGAGCCGACAAGAGGGGTTCGCTGACCGATTTGCAGGTGCTGGTGCTTGCCATGGCACTGTCCTACGGCGTCGAAGACTTCGTGGAAGGGGGCGTGATTACCGCGGTGATTGTCCTAAACGTCCTCATTGGATTCTACCAGGAATACCAGGCTGAGAAGAAAATGGACACCCTTCGATCGCTGTCATCGCCTTCAGCGAGTGTCGTCCGCGATGGCAATCAGATGACCATTCCGTCTGCCGAAGTCGTGCCTGGCGATATCGTCTCGATCAAGACGGGCGACACGGTGCCCGCCGACTTGAGACTATTCGACGTCATGAACTTGGAATGTGACGAAGCCATTCTGACCGGAGAAGCACTGCCAGTGGCCAAAGAAGTGGACTTTGAGGCAAAACCCGGTATTGCCAAAGAGGACCTGGGGATGGGAGACCGACTCAACATCGCCTATTCGTCTTCCACCGTCACAAAGGGCCGTGGCCGCGGTATTGTCGTCTTTACGGGCATGTCCACTGCCATTGGAGGAATTGCGGCGTCCATGCAGGGGAAACGACGCAAACCCAACCGATCCATGTCCCGAAGGAAATATGGCCCATTTCAGCCCGTCAAGGGAGGAGCGCTTCGGACGTGGGATGCGGTTCTTAAATTCCTTGGTCTCACCGAGGGTACTCCTCTTCAGATCAAACTCAGCAAGCTGGCCTATGTTCTTTTTGGCTGTGCCCTCCTCCTAGCAATCATCGTGTTCGGAGTCAACCGATTCCACGTGACGAACGAAGTCGCCATCTACGCCATCTCGACCGGCATTGCCATCATTCCCGAGTCCTTGATTGCGGTCCTCACCATCACAATGGTGGTCGGGATGACCCAAATGAGGAAGCGCAAAGTCGTTGTTCGACAACTCAGTGCTCTTGAAGCGCTGGGAGGCGTCACAAACATCTGCTCCGACAAGACTGGGACCCTGACTCAAGGGAAAATGGTCACTCGGAAAGTGTGGGTCCCAGGAGCTGGAATCTACAGCGTGGAAAACTCGAACAATGCGTCTGATCCCACCGAAGGAACGCTCACTTTCGGCGCCGCTCCCAAGTCTCGAAAAGAGGTGGAAGCCGAGAGAATCGCGAGACAAGAGGCTCTGGACCATAAACGAAGTATCGCCGGCGTCGCGTTTGACGTTCCCGAGGACAAGATGCGAAGGGATGCCGAAAAGTCTGGTGGGCCAGAGAAAGATCTCCAGGAAGACCCCGAAGTGACACCCGCGCTCCAAGCCTTTCTCGAATCAGCCGCTCTGTGCAACTTGGCCACGGTTCGCAAGGTCACCGAAAATGGACAGGAGACGTGGAAGACTACGGGCGATCCCACAGAAGTTGCCCTGCAAGTGTTCTCGCATCGATTCAACTTTGGGAAGAAGACGCTGGAAGAGACTCACGGCTGGTCGCAGACGATGGAATTTCCCTTTGACAGCTCGATCAAGCGCATGTCCGTCGTCTACAGGAAGCCCAGCATAGAACATTCCGTCATCTTCACCAAAGGTGCGGTCGAAAGGATCATCGATCTGTGCACCTCTGTCGGCGTCGGCGAGCTTGAACAGGAGATGACTCCAGAGCTGAAGGAAAGCCTGCTCGATCAAATGACCTTCCTCGCCGAACAAGGCCTTCGGGTCCTCGCGGTTGCCCGCAAGTTCACCACCGTCGATATTCCTGAACATTCCGACATTGACCGTACAGAAGTCGAAAAGGATCTGTGTTTGGTTGGGCTGGCTGGGCTCTATGATCCACCACGCCTCGAAACCAAGGGGGCGGTGCAAGCTTGCACCACGGCCGGAATTACGGTGTCCATGTTGACCGGAGACCATCCCTCTACAGCTGCAGCCATCGCCAAGGACGTCGGCATCATTCCCAGGAACATGGGCACGCTGGCCCCCGATGTGGCGGCTGCAATTGTCAAGACGGCGACGGAATTCGACAAAATGACCGACGCCGAGATCGACGCTCTTCCCACTCTCCCACTCGTCGTGGCACGATGCGCTCCCGACACCAAGGTGCGTATGATCGAGGCGCTTCACCGCCGGCACAAGTTCGCCGCCATGACCGGCGACGGAGTGAACGACTCGCCGTCCCTCAAACTCGCCGACGTGGGCATCGCAATGGGCCTCAATGGAAGCGACGTGGCCAAGTCGGCATCGGACATTGTCCTGACAGACGACAACTTTGCCAGCATCGTCAATGCGGTGGAAGAAGGCCGACGCATGTTCGACAACATCCAGCGGTTCGTGCTGCACCTGCTCACGTCCAACGTGGGCGAAGTGATCCTGTTGATCTGCGGCCTGGGGTTCCAAGACGACTCGGGATTCTCCGTGTTCCCGCTGTCACCGCTGCAAATCCTGTGGATCAACATGCTGACCTCGTCGTTCCCGGCCTTCGGGCTTGGGCGCGAGAAGGCGGCGCCGGACGTGATGGAGCGGCCGCCGCACGACCACAAGAAGGGCATCTTCACGTGGGAACTGATCACCGACATGCTGGTGTACGGCACGATCCAAGGCACGTGCTGCCTGATGACGTTCGTCTTCATCGTGTACGGGCCCGGCAGCGACGGCTTGGGCGTCGACTGCAACCGCAAATACAACGACAGCTGCGACGTAGTGTTCCGGGCGCGCGCGGCCGTCTTTGCCGAGCTGACCTGGCTGATCCTGATTTCGGCCTGGGAGTTCAAGGCCATGCGCCGCAGCATGTTCAAGATGAAGGCGCACGACACGCGGCCGTTCCCCTTCTTCGCCGACGTCTGGGAGAACCAGTTTCTGTTCTGGTCCGTCGTCCTTGGCGCCCTGTCCGTCTTCCCGGCCGTCTACATCCCGGGCCTCAACACCAACGTCTTCAAGCACAAGGGCATCTCGTGGGAATGGGCCCCGGCCATCGTCTGTGTCCTCGTCTTCGTCTCCGGCATGGAGGCCTGGAAGTTTGTCAAGCGCTCCACCGGCTGGTTCCGGCCCGAGGACACCGAGGGCATGAAGGCCCGCCACCACCAGCGCACCGCCCTCGGTCTGAGGCAGGGCTTCTTCACCCTCGCCAGGAGCTTCACCAAATCCAAGTCGGAGGAGAAGAGGCCTGTCACTCTCACCAATCTGGCTGACCGGAGCTCCTCTTCTTTCCCGCGCCCACACTCTGTGGCCATGCCGAGCCATCGGGAGGTCGTATAGTTGGGTCTGTCGCCATGCCAAACCATCGGGAGGTCCTATAGCTGGGTCAGGTAGCTAGCTGAGTATTCTCCAGGAGTTTATCTTCATTCCGAATCGTTCTAGGTCTGCCGACTTGCTGACATTTGGTGCCAAATTGTTCAACGAAAATCGTCGGGTTCGGGTTGGAGGTGTGATTTCTGGCCAATTTTGGACCGTGGCGTAGGATATCTGATTGCTTTTCGCTTGCCATCTAGATTCGCCCAAGGGGTAGATCTTTCAGCGTGGGTCCCGCCCTGCTTTTGATTATGGCGCTCGGTATGATATATATCTCTCTATATATAAATTTAATGGCCGGACTCGCCCCGTCGCTGAGCAGTGCCCGAGACAGACAGAGACAGACAGACAGACAGACAGAGAGAAAGAGAGAGAGGTCGCAAAAGTCATTATGCAGGCGATGCAGCCAACACCAAAAACTGAACACAAATAGCTAGACGCTAGACATTCAACATAATTACATTCCGCATTGGTCTCTGCCTGGCAAGGACTTCAATCACTACAGCCCCCCAGGCCTGCCGTCTCACGTGTGGTGTGTATGTAATGTATCCAAGGCGGAGCATCATACCTACCTACTAGGTGCCTACTACCCGTAGACTTTTCGCTCTGCCCCGTCCCGTTCATCATGGCCGTGGCCGCGGCCGGGTAGTCTCGATCTCCGCGCGGGCTTGGGCGATTCGATCCTCCAGCGCACGCAGCTCACGGTCAAGGTCCCTCGCGGAATTGGTGTCCAACACCTCAAAAAGACTCTGCGAGGCGGCCCGTCTCGTCGTGATGGCTGTTTCGGAGATGTCGAGGATTTGGCGCACGTTCTGGGCAGACTTGCAGGACAGCTTGGCCGCAAGGGTTCGGACCTGCTCGTGGAAAGTACTGCTAGAAACCTGCTCGTGGAAAGTAGTGCTAGAAACATTTCCATTTCCATTTCCAGTTTGAGGCAAGCCTGAGAGGCCGAAATGACGTAGTAGTGCTGATATTGCGGGATAGTCGTCTTCGTCTTCGGCTCTGTCACGTCGTGAGGACAAGGTAGAGGCCGGACCGGCGGCGGGGACTGCAAGATCGTGTCTCGTGGGTGCATTGATGGCCGGTCCGAGGTGCTGGCTTTGTAGCTGGAGTCGATGCAGCGCAAGCCGGCGATTCTGCAGGTTCTCCAGCCGGGTGGACAGAATCTCGAGCGATGCTGTCAGAGCGGCCAGTTTGTCGTAGACCTGTGCGCCAAAACCATGTCAGCGAAGCGTCAAGCTGGAGAGAGCCAAACCGAACCGAACCGTCAACGGCGAGCAGCTCGGATTTGGGACAAGAAGTCAAGAAAAAAAGAGGGACCATCAGAAGGGCATACCAGCTCAGTCCGAGCACGACTGTTTTCGCTTCTGAGTTGCCGGATACTGGAGATGGTGGAGTCGACGCCCTTGCCATGCTCATGCGAGACCAGCATGGTGGCGACATCGTCGATTTCCGCGTACAACGAGCCTAGGTCGGCGTGGATGTTCTGGACTTCATCGGCGGACACGGCTTCAGACCTCTGCTCTTCCTCCTCTGACTCGCCATTTGCCAGGGATTCCAGGTACGTCCGATCCAGGCGGTCTTTGACGGCCTGGGAGCGGAAATGCCGCAACGCGGTCGTCAGCTTGGCCACACGCTCCCCCACGGCGTCGACATCGACATCCAGTTCCGTCCGGTTGGCAGAGACCTCGTTGAGTCGGACGAGGGCGCGATCATCGGCATTCAGGACCTCAGCTACGGTGGCATGCACCGATTTCAAGTCTCTAGAGACAATGGCATGCTCGGTTTGGAGGTCGGCGCACAGTGTTTCATAGAGCTGGTGGTTCTGCAGGCTGGTTAGAAGACGGCGAAAAAGCGAGAGACGACCAACGCCATCTTCGCATCAGGCGTGCCGGGGATGGTACCGCGAACTTGACATGCTGCACCTCGGCGGCTTCTTTCTGGTTGAAGAACTGCCTGTGCTTAGACTTGCGTACTCGACAGCCATCTTCGGAGCCTGCCAATCGACTCGCGAGTGCGCTTTGGGCGTCGAGAATCGTGCTGCGCCGCTCAATGGCTCGAGTTGACGCGTTTAGATCTGCCGTTGCCGAGCGAAACTCGTCGTCGGTGGTTGGAATGGACACCCAGTCGGCGTCGGCGGCGGCGTCCCTGGTCGGGAGGCTGGACGGTGACTCTTGGAGGCGCCGCCATCTGTTGCATTGCGGGCTTGGTTTAGTCTCTGTCTACCGTGCCAGTCGAGGAGGGTCTGCGTACAATGCCAACTCTTCATTGGATAGCACCGCGGTTTCGCGAGCGACAAGATTGTGCTGCACCCATCGTGCCAATGGAGAGCCTGAGTGCGCGGCGTAGACGGCCTCCACCTCAGCCGGCGAAAAGACGATATTTCGCCTTCGAGCGGCATCCAGTAGCTTGGTTGCCCATGAGCAGTCCGGAGACATGTTGCAGGGACGAAGCTGGAGAGGAGTGTGTCGTCGAAAAAGGCTGGTTACGCTGGAGCATGCTTGGCAGCACAAGCGATGGGAATATCGAATATCGGATGGATGATGGAATACTGTATCTGCTCGGAGCTCACGTTAAGCCCAAGCCCACCGTGAGCGTGACTGTGCCGCTTTGGAAAACCAGCTGCAACTGCTCGCGACTCCTTTGGAGCCTGAAGTGAGAGGAGAGTGACAGTATTACTTGTAACTACGTCTCGAGAAGGTATTCCGGATGCACTTGTCACCACCGCTCCTCTCCCTCTCTTAAATTCACCTTGGACGACTAAACCGCGCAGTCGTAGGTCACACCTTGCTAATAGCCCTTTTGTCCTGCTCTTCACCACTTGAAGTCTCTCTCAAATCATTCTTCCACTGGCGACCATCGTTGAGTTTTGGGTGATTTTTCTACAGCGACTTTCCAGAGCAGCTCCAACATGGATGAACATTCGACCGGCGATGTGGTCAAGGAACTGCACAGAGATCTAGTGGTGAAATACAACAGACACGCCGCGGCTGTCGAACGATACTGGCGAAGCTTCGATCAGAGCCAACGAACCAAATGCATCAAAGCTGGCGCAGCCGACGGTGTCGTTCTCAAACATCCTTTGGATCGGGCTTTGGGCGACGTATACAAGATCATACCTGAGATCAATCTGCGTGATATCACAAGTCCTGAATCTGATTTTCTCTTGGATCTGCTCAAACATCGCGCCACAAATTCACTTCTCGACCAATATATGACTGGCCTGAATGGCGGCCCCGGAGATCACGCTTTCATCAAGAACATGATGGATACTAGAAATCTCGCCCTTGCTAATCCCGACAGAAACATCTTGACCCTATTTTTTTTTTTAGCGAGGATCGGTACGGCCAGTCTATTACAATCGCCAGCAACCGATCTGAAGTTTTGGCCCGACTCGCCCCTTCCATCAGAGCCAATCTCTGCGTGTCGCAAGAACTTGGGGAATTGATCTTGCAGAGACAAACCCATCTACTGCAGAGTCTGAACATTGTCATTGAGGACATATTGGATATCGGCTCGAAAATACGAGATCGCAAGAAGCCGCCCAAGAGATCCGACAAAGACAAAGCCGCGGTCGCTGCCATTTCGAAACTCAGCATTCAAACTCCTCCGACGAGCCTCTTGCTTTCCGACCTTATCAATGGCGCTGTGGAGCAAAAGTCTTCGAATGAAGAGTACTTGAATTTGCTCTCCACAGAACCAGTCGTACTTACCCATGCTGTCAAATCACTGCTTCTTTAGCCGTCCAGAGTTACTTCAGGACGAGAAAGGACGCAGCTTGCCGGTGCATACCGATAAATACATCAGCGGAGCAGTCTTAGAGGCCGCGTACCGCGCCGTCAAAGCAGCTGCGATTTGGAACTATATCAGCGGCCTCCTTAAGCGTCTGGAGTCTACCCCTGCCACCGACAAGATCTATAAGACCATGATCCTCCAAGAGATCTCGAATGTCTGTCAAATGGAATACAGCCGCACTCAAGCCCTTTTCAAGCAGAACGTCCAAATAGCAACAGGGGTCAAATGGTTCAAGCGCATGTCCAACGCATACGACAAGGCCGGGAACGCACGCGTGAACATGAAAGGGGACCCTGGAGCCTTGACGCGAACCGATCCTCAACTTCACTACATGCTTCGGCTCTGCCAGTCTGAGACCACCGCCTCGAAGGCCACGGATTGGATGAAGAAACTCGGTGATTTACACGACACTCATCCCTCCGAACGAGAAAAGCTCGAAGAGCGGGAAGTGGTCTCGCTCGGCGACCTGGCCATCACCACAGCCTTCATACAGGATCTATCGGCGGTAGTTTCCATGCCCCCACCTTCTCGCAAGAAAGCTCAAATGTTCGTAGCCCGATCGCAGGAGCTTGACGCTGAGATGAACGAACTCAAATCACAGATTGACTTACAAGACTTTGCTGTCCCAATCGACAACCTCTTGGAGCCGAGAGTTGCCGCGAAGATGCTTCGAGTGCTAGACGACTTTATCATTGAGAAAGCCGGCACTCAGATGGGATTCCTGTTTCAAGATCTGATCGAGGAATGCTTCACCAACCTTGAGAACCAGTACAAAGACGCCAAGGACAAGGCAGAGCAGAAAGAAAAGGCTGAAGAGACACCTCTTCCGTCTGCAGCTGCAGAATCCCCGGAGAAGCGCGTCGAGCAGCGGAGGCAAAAAGAGAAGACTCGGCCTTCCCACTCTTCCGCATACCAGATCATTGCGCCTGGCGAGGAGGAGAAACCTGTCCAAGGGGAAGAGGCTCCACCTTTACCACCAACCATAAAAGTGCGTGCATCGACGGCCGACGTCTTTTCCATGTTGTTCTCTAACGCGGAAGCCCGCGGATCGGTGAACTGGACAGCTTTCACAGCAGCCATGGCCGATGTAGGATTCTCCGTCAAGCCTAATTTCGGCTCCGTCTACACCTTCTATCCTCCCGAAAGTTTGAAGGCGAGCAAGGCAGTCACATTCATCGCCCACACAAATCTGCCATCGAGGGCTGGAGTCTCCTCGTGTACGCAAAGAAATTGCGAGGAAGGTATGGCTGGAGCGAGAAGACGTTCGAGGTGGCTTCGGAAGGATCGTGAGGTGTAGACGTTCGAGGTGGCTTCCGAAGGATCGTGAGGTGTGGTGTCGAGGTGGCTTCAGATGGATCTTGAGGTGTGGTGCTGTATACCTCAGGTTCAATGCAAATCATCACCCTCGTCCTAAACCAGGGTGAGGCGCGAGCCAGTTTTTGCCCCCAGCTATGCATGCCACTTCAAGATATCTTTTTGGAGTCAACCACCAATGGTATGGTATCTACCCTGGAGCGAACAGAGTGAACGGGGCGACCGGGCCACCAGGGCGTTAAACCCACGATCAATATGATGACGAATATCCGTCTTCCGCAAGTCAGTTGTAGAGTCGATAATGAATAGAGGTTGTACGAAGAACAAGAACTGGGACAGACCAGGCGGAAAGGCAGCACACGCATGCCATGGACCAAGTGTGTGTGCCTTCAGAAGGATTGATTTATGTTGTCTGGTTAGAGGAGTAGACCTTGTGATAGTTTCTATTCAAGAACTGGGACAGACCAGGTGGAAAGGCAGCACACGCATGCCATGGACCAACTCTATGCACCTTCAGAAGAATTGATTTATGTTGTCTGGTTAGAGAGAAGTAGACCCTGTAATAGTTTCTATTATAGTGATGTCGTTAAATTAATATCATCCTCCGCTGAGATGTAGTGGAAATCATCCTTAGTCGTTCTTCACCTCCCAGAAACAGAAACGAGACGCCCGGATTGAAAACCACGAGCTCTTTCTTTTATTCATCGCTCAGGTGGCGAACCACGAGCTCTTTCTTTTACTCATCACACAGGTGGCGGCGGGGCTCGCGGACTGGAACGCCATCCGTACAGCATTGAAGCTCTCGAGGCTCCGCCGTGGGGAATATCGAGTACGTCAAAGCACTCCCAGCACTCCTGTTCCAATATCACCATCATTTACTGTGAGAGCCAGATTCCATTATATGGAGGCTGGCTGGATGGGTTTAAGATTGTTTGACGTGGCCGTTGGCATTTCCGTTGGTTGTTCCATGGGTCTTGCGGGCCTTGGATTCTCGGAATTTGGCAATGTCCTCGACCACCATCTTGTCCATTCGGCTCTTCAGCTCGGGCCTATAGCCCAGTGCAAAAAGGAGCTCGAGCCAGACGAACAGGGGGGCCAGGAAGAATGCTTGGAATATGTTGTCCAGAAGCGCCGGGGCTCGACCTTCAAACAACCCATGCCCAAGGAACTGGGCTATCCATGATGCAAGAAAGGCTGCCACTGCCCAGTAATTCGCCGTCATTCCGTAGGCTGTTGTAAGATGTTTTGCATAGGCAGTGCCTGCCAACAGCAATGCCGACAGCATGGTTCCTGCCACCGGCTCCAGCAAGATGTATAAAGCACAGTAAGACAGGCAGGAGATCGTGCCGACATTGAGATCGAGGTTGGGGATGGTTATCGATTGAGGCAGTTTCACCAGAGCCGGGGTATTCGTGCCCTGCCAAAAGTGTGAGCTGTGTGGGCTCGGACCGGAGCGGGATGGTTTCATACGAGGAGGAAGAAAGTCCAGAGGATGACAGGAACGCCGACCATATGGATGCCGATGTTGACCTAGTGCATATGAGCATTCTATGTCCACTTCCTGGATCTTTCAGCGGGGGGAGCTACAGCATCATGGTGATATGCGCCATACTACGAACAGTCAACAGTCAGTGGAATGGTTGCCGCTCGAGATCGGAGAAGAGGGAGACCTACGAAGCGCAGGTGCTTCTCCAGATTGAGCGACATGGCTGCACACTGGATGGAACACTGTGTGTCTCACACAGATAGGCGAAAGAGTCAAGTCATCGAAGTAATTGTGTCAAGTGTTCTCGAGGTCCTGAATAAACAGGGTGTACAACAATTCCCGGTAGAACCGAGGCGAAGAGAGAAGAGAAGAGGAAGCGAAAGTCGGAATCACCATGAACTCCGGGGGAACTCAACTCCTGCCACTAACACTAACTGCGATATCACGTTAGCAAGCCAGAAGCGGATGTTGGACCTCGCCGCCTTGATTGAAACCACGTGCCTTAGCCGGAACGGATAAATTACACCAACGACAAGGAGAACACTATCTGGGGGTTGTCTATGGAGGGATACTCATATATCGGTCTTTTCGTTTGGACATCAGCAGTCATCTGGATATACTCGCGGCCGTCAACCTTAATTACTACATACATGGATTGAATGTGTCCGGCGGCCTGACCTCACCCGACAGCCCCATTCCAAAATGCGTGGATATTACTTAGGATCTTCGAGTCGAACTTTGCTGGGCACGGTCTCCTGAGCTGGAATCTAGACCAGTTTGGGGCTGAAGGTCTGATCTGTCTTGATCCTCAAGGTCTTTGAATACATAGTGGAAAGACGATCGATGACAGATTGATTTTTGTGTTTCAGGAATGCCTTGTTCCTCTCACAAAGGCAACCGCATAATCAGATTCTTCAACATTGATAGCAGCTTACATCAACTTCGCGAGTGAGCCGATCAGATATATCGTTATTTCTATCCTCTGTTCGCTCGTTCTGGTCCAACATGGCTCGATCTATTTGCGCAACTGGGAGAATACTCCGCCGTTTTAAGTCAATGTGCCAAAGCGCAAGAAAAGACCCACCGTAGTTCAAATGGTCTAAACGCGGACCTTGTCTTTCAAGCAAAAAAGGTAGACCAGACCTTCGTGTCGCATTCTCACCCAGTTCTTAAACCATCAACAGCGAGCTCACATCACGTCCGGCCCCCCGCGACCCAGCCGACCCTCGTCCGTCACCCCCTCCTCGATCCGTTTTCTATTCGTCTGAGGCGTCATAATCTGAGGGAAGCGCAGTTAGTTTCGTGTGAGGCTGGCCGAAAGAGAATGAATAGAGGTGCATAATCAGGCCGTTCTTCTGGCATCCTCGTGCGATCGACGAGAGAGACGTCGCTGCATAAAGGACCGTTACAATGTTTTTCTTACGGTATCTCGAAAGAGAGATCAGCATTCATCCTTCGTTCTTTGGCAATAGTGTGCATCAGCGACTGAAGGATCAACTTTATGCCGACCTCGAGGGTAGCTGCAATGGCGAATACTACATTGTGTGCATAATGGACATCTACAACATCTCTCCTGGACGAGTCAGGCCGGGTTCGGGCGATGCGCACTTTACCATCCTCTACCGCGCCATCTTGTGGAAGCCGTTCAAGGGAGAGACTGTGAGAATCGCTGTTCTACTTCCCACATTGCGGATTATTAACCATACGCTTACAGATTGATTGCGCCGTCTCCTCGATCAAGCCTCAAGGTGTCTTTTGCGAAGCAGGACCCCTCACCGTGTTTGTCTCCAAGTTGGTAGGTGATGGGTACAGTTGGGTTGGAAGGCCCTGGTGCTGACTTGAAGCAGCACTTACCCCCAGACATGCGCCACAATCCAGACGCCACTCCGCCGCAGTACTCGAACAATGCAGGAGATGTAATTGAAAAAGGGTCGGCAGTGCGGGTCCAGCTCATTGGATTGCGAAGTGATGTGGGCAACATGTACGCAATTGGCAAGATGTCGTCCCAATGGTTTGGGTGAGTGCAACGATTATCTGCGACACCTGACAAGTTTGGTCTGACCTCATTAGACCTATATGACCGACCGAGTTCAGTCGCCTGATCACGCGCTGGCCCTCACGACGGGTAACTTTGACTAGGACTTGTAAAGCTTTCAGTCCCTGCTTCAATCCTCGAACCTGTCATCAATGGCGCTGAAGGGAACAGCCGAAAAGCGTTGAGATGAACCTGCACATATCCTGCATTGTCGGTCAACAAGGGTCAGAGAACATCAGGTGGACGCGGAGGTTCGATGAGCAAGATTCTCCATGTCCAGACGTGCAATCCTCGAAGTTGGAGCTGCGGCGACAGCAACCTGGATTACTTTGGATCCCACAAGCGGCTGGGGGATCCCGCACGCAACAGACCGTTGTGAAGGACTTTCCAGATTGGAATTGGTCTGATGATGAAACTAGGCCAGGGTTCTTCGTTCACCTGCAAGCCTCAACATGAAACGCGGCTAGTTTCCATGCGCCACCCCTGTGTTTGCGGTGCCCCGACGCGATGGCGGGGCAACGCGTCTTTATTATTGAAGGGATCAACAGCCAAAGAAAACTCACAGACCTCATAGATCCCGTCTTCGCTGTCGCTTTACTAGCAAGATAGGTAAACAAGGATAATCTTGCGTCAAACTTCGTAGCGCAGTTGCCCTTCACTCTATCATCTCACCATAACTTCCCTATCTTGCAGACTCATGGTCTGGAGCCCTCTCTACCTCTTACTGCACCTTCACCTGCGCACTGCGACACAGATCGACCTTGACCCGGCTTTAAGTTGACGACTCTTCTTGCTGCTGCTGTTTCTAACGGCACTGCCTTAACATACTCTTTACTATCCTCTCTTTCTTGTGTCGGGAGATAGACACGAACACTTCGCGCTGACCCGTCACCCTTCCGCAACGCGTCTTGTCAATATGACGCTCAAAGACATCTACCAACATTTCCTCGATCTACCTAATCCCATCAGCCTCGCCGACAACGCCGCCCTACACTACATCACAACGGTGACCACATTCACCCAGCCGGGACCCATTGTTCGTCATCTGGAATCTCAAGATAGAAGAGTAGTAAAGACCAGAAGTATACGAATCATTTCGGCGGTGGAGGCGTCCAATGCTTTGGCGCTGGAGGTTGAGACAGTTCTGGAGTTTATCTCAGGCGGAGGATCATACTTGCCCGGTCTTGAAAACTTCATAGTTGACAAGATTGCCACCATTCCCACGGTAGGAAGTTCGTGCTATTGCCCGAAGATTTGAGACTGACCTCAATGCCAGACTCACTTTGTCGATTTCGACGCCGAACAGAAAATCTCCCGAATCCGGATTTCGTGGGACCAGGCCTCGCTATTGAAGCAAGCTGAGGTGATTGGATCGAGGGGCAGCAACTGGCCAGTCTTTGATGGCAAAGATCAGATCAGACTGATCAAGTCCGGTTCCAACCCTGCTCCAGTAGCGGCTCCCCAAGCTCAAACCAGTCCACGCGGTCGGCCCGGATACCAAAGTATTCCATCCTCACGCAATGTGTCTCCCAGCAAGAAGCATATCAAGGACCCTTATGCAAGCCTCGATCTTTTCTCGCCGAAGCCAACCGAGGAAAATGAACACCCTGCAGTTCCTAATGCTGTTGCACCACGAGCATCAGCCAAGCCTCCTCCCCGGGAGATGAGTGAGCTTTTCGCGGCCGGTCATGAAGACCATGAGCCAGGATCCCCAAAGAAGGCACCGGCCGACACAGTCATCGCTCCTAAAGGGGGTGGCAATCAGAAGTTCGCACCGCCACGCCTGTTTGAAGACGACATAGATGAGCCAAGTGCTGTCCGGTACAAATCCAACCCAGCCAAGTATAATCACTTCGACCTAGGTGACGCTGTGGAGGACGATCCGATGCAGCATCGAGAGAACACTTCACAACTCAAGACGGCCATACCGATGCGCGCAAAGACGAATAAAAATCAGTCTCAATGGAACTTCGAAGACTTTACGACACCAGTGAAGGTAGCCCAAAAGATTCGGGGTCAAGATGTGTTGCATTTCAGCCTGGAGGATGACGCCCACAATTTCGATGCTCCCGCAAGAAACTTCGTCGGACAGCAGCGCCGGAACAACGATGCTCATTTTGAAATGCAGGACGACGGTACTCCCATCGAGCGACATGTTGTTCCAAAGCCTCGCAAGGACGCAGAAACGCATTTTCAAATCAAGGACACCTCAACACCAGCTCCTGTCCGCACATCTACCCGTCCCAGGAGCTCCGCAGATAACCGGCAGAGCCTGTATACGAACAACTTGTACGGCGAAGCTGACGACGACAGGCCTCAAGGAAAGGCGCCTCTATCGACAATCACCAGCAATACCAACCGCAAGAATGACTTTGACAGCCATTGGAATATGGCCGAGGTTTCGCCTGCTCCCGAGAAAGCGAGCAACGAGAACAAGCCGGTTGGTGATAATCATCATAAGGCGGTTGAGAATATGGGGTCACATTGGGACACTTACGATCAATCCCCCGATCAAGTCAAGGAACCATCGCACAGTCGATTGAGGAAAGGAATGGAAAGTCATTGGACTTTTGGAGAGGAAGAACCGTCCACCACCACGAATGGCACGAGTAAGCCTCAGAAGAGTTTCTGGGACTTTTGAGGAGACCGGTTGAGGCTGGATCGATGACGACTTGCATCTGCAATGAATTGTGTATTGACAGAGTATGCCAGCCGCGACTAGTGCAACACATGCTTTGGACGGCATCAATGTCATTATTTTGTCCTTCTAGCGGCACGTCCACCAGACCAAACTAAGCGGACGTCCTCTGCAGTGCATCTGTGGTTGTGAGGTTTTGTCGGCTTGTCCGAAACCAACACGTTGATACCGTACAATGCAGCTACCGTAACAGCCATGGACCTCTTCTTGAGTCTAGGTTTAGCGGAATACGGAGTACATGCCCCTAAAAGGCACCTAAAAGGCGTCCCAAGGGATGATGAAGCCATAAAGGCGCTCTTAGGCTTCTGCACCACTAGCACCCAGTCTCCGCAGCACCTCCCACACATATCCTCCTATGAGTCATTCTCCTAGAACATGGCCGCTGACCGATGATTGTCTGTGCGGCCGCCTCTGCCGCTGATGTCTAAGGCACTGCAGGCACCTACAGCGTGGTTCTACAGTTACTACTCGTACTAGTACGTAGTGCGGGTGGCGCTAGGATGCAATAGAGCAACTAGTATCTCCGGCACCACTATTTGCTCCTTTCTGCTTGGCAATTGGCTGCGCTCAAGTTCCCAGTGAGTGCGGTATCAGCCAACGGTCGCATTGGTAGCCTATTGATTCCAATACTGTTCTGCGTACTCGATTCTCACCTGCTACGACAATTCTTAAGCCTTCTCCTCTTTCATCATATTTCAACAGCTCTCTACACTGCGTGGGAAGGTTGCCGAGAAGTTCTACTCAGCAACCCCTTGCAGACTCTAGGATTTTCTGCCGTCACGTCCTCGCAGATAACTCTGCGTTAAATCCGGGGCTGCCACTCCGCCAGGCTGCCAGGCACGACGACAGCTGCAATCGCCTAGGTGCGCTGAGAGCAAACTGCCCCGCGAAACCTCAATCGCGTCGAAAACGAAGTCGGTGGCATCGCGCGAGGGATTTCTACAAGTCGTTGAGGTCGAACGATTCTCGCCTGCCAACATTGACCGCGAAGGAGGGGTTTCTGTCCACAACCGCGCCTTCTGTCCCAGAGCAGCCGTCCTGCGATCGAGTCCGGAATCTTGAAAATGACGCCCACACCTCCCTCGACGACACCGTCGCATTCTGGCGCTTCTCCGGACCATTTCAGAGTTGTCCGCAAACGAAATCGGATTCCCTTATCATGCGCCCCGTGTCGACATCGAAAGCTGAAATGCAATCGACAGTCGCCGTGCGACAATTGCACAAAACGAGGCGACAGTGCCTCCTGCGCCTATGCTGCTCCGGTAGCCAGGAAGAAAGGGAGCCAGAGTCACAGTACATCTAGCGCGACACCCGATGATATGCAAAATCGTATAGACCGGCTTGAAGGCCTGGTTTTGTCGCTGATGACCAACGGTGCGCAAGCCCCTGGTCCGGCCGCTGCCGCACAGATTCTATCTACTGGCTCCAGCATGGTCGGAAGTGGCTCGCTTGGGCCGGATCTCGATAATGAGCTGGACGAGACGACGATGATGAATGATGCCGACGGGCAAGAACCCGAAAGCGAGACGGATGGGGTGACAAAGAGCTTCGGTATACTGAAAGTCGATGCTGACAGGCAAAAAACATTCTACATCGGCGAAGCTCACTGGGCTGCCTTGCTAAATGAAATTGGCGAGGTCAAGAACTATTTTGTCTCCCACAAGAAGGAGTATGAAGCACAGATGGAGAAAGTTGAGCAGACGAGGAAATCCATGGGCACAGATGTGGGCGCAGGCCCTGCCTTGCTGTTTGGCTCGTCCGTACCTCCGAGCCGCGCAGAGATCCTCGCTCAAATACCCTCTCGATATATGTCTGACATCCTCATTGGACGATATTTCAACACCTTCGACCCTGGCACGCACATCCTGCACGGTCCGACTTTCCAGCGACAGTATAACCTGCACTGGGCTGATCCTTCCAAAAGTTCAATCGTCTGGGTGGCTATGTTATTTGCCATGATGCGGCTCGCCATGTTATCGTATGGCCGGGAGGGAGATGAGCCGCCAGAGTTTCGTGGCAAGTGTCAGGATCTTGCGGCCAACTATCGCACCCAGTTGGCGCACTGTCTCATCACAGCGGATTACACGAAACCCCACAAACATATCATTGAGACATTGATTTTCCATCTACACGCTGAATACACCTCCAATCGAGATGCAGAGGCGAGTGTTTGGGTCCTCGTTGGCATGATCGCGCGGCTAGCAATGCGCATGGGCTATCACCGGGATGCGAAGTTGTTCCCCAATTTAACACCTTTCGAAGGCGAGATGCGCCGGCGTGTCTGGACCTTCGTACGGACTGCAGACCTCTTGTTCTCGTTTCAGGTGGCACTGCCTTCGATGATTCGCATTGGTGACTCGGATACCGAACTACCTCGAAATATTTACGATGACGAATTTGACGAAGACTCAGTGTCCCTCCCCCCCGCCCGACCTCCTTCCGAAGCGACTCCGATCTCGTATATGATAGCTAAAGGGCTCCTGTCATTTGGGTTTGGACGAGTACAGGAAGAGATCAACGGTGTAACCCGCAAAGGGTACGATGAACTTCTCAAGATCGACCGCGGTCTGAGGGAAATCTACGAAAGTATCCCCGACCACCTCAAACTGCGACCTATGGCCGAGCAGACACTGGCTCCAATCTCGCTGATCCTGGCAAGATTTAGCCTGGCCACTGTGTATCACAAGTCACAGTGTGTGCTTCACCGACGGTTCGCGCGCCAAGCAAGGAATGGAAACCGTTATATGCACTCCAGAAGGACGTGTCTAGACTCGGCCATGCAGCTCCTAAGCCTCCAGGCCATACAGCACCAGCAGAGTCAAGAACGAGGCCGACTGAGGAGCTTGCGCAACCACGTCAATTCCCTTACAGCACACGATTATCTTTTGGCGGCCACGGTGCTGTGTATGGATCTCTACAGCCACCGGGAGCGACCGGACCACGATGTTGACACACCCAACACTTCGGTCAGTGGCGGCAGCATCAGTCAAGGAAGCAACACGTCAGATGGCGTGTACGTCCCCGGACTTCCCTACACTCGCGAAGATCTCATCCGTGCGTTGGAGGAAAGCCGAGATGTATGGCTCGCGAACCGGGACTTCAGCATCGAAGCCTACAAAGCAAGTGAGCTCCTGAACGTGCTGATCTACCATATCAAGTTGCCATCCTCTCCCAGCAATCCTCAGCATACACAAATTCCTCCTGGGACTCGGCAAGGGCCAGGATCGAGTAATGATGAACAGACGGCGGCCATGACTTTGGGGATGCTTCAAGCTGGCGGTTTGAGCAGCACGGGACAAGGAGCAAATCTCACTCAAACAGGATCACCTGGTGGACAATGGGACAAGCCTGGATTCAACGCAGGCTTCGCGGCCGCCGGAGAATCAATTAACCCCGGCCTCTTTGGAGCAATCACTGCGAATGGGCCCAGTGCTTTCCCCGCTGGACTCTTGGGGGGAGCGATTGGGGAGTTGGGTCAAGGCATGAATCTGGATTGGGTAAGCCTCTGTCGTGAAGTGAGACTGTCGTCGTCTGCCGCTAACGGTGTCGCAGGAAGCATGGGATCAATATATGCAGCCCTCAAACCTGTCGCTTGATCCGGCGGCGAGCTTGTGGTCGACTAATTCACTGAACAACAACTTGTTTACGCAGACGTCGCCGCCAGAAGGCGCTGCCGATGTCACTTTTGGGGTGGCAGGGTCAGGTTTCTACCCACCAAACATTGGTGGCATGATGGGAGGACCGCTAGACATGGCAAAGCCCGAGAGTCAGATGCCGAACCTGAGCACGACCTCGACAGCTGCTAGTAACGACAATGGCGCGGGGGAAGTTTTTATGGGGGTACAGTCTCCGCAGCCAGGAGGGATTCCAAGTTGGAAATGGACGGTGATGAGCGAGAAGAAATGAGTTTGACAGCGTGAAGCCATGGACTGAGTGATGATCGATACCCACATGATGGAAGGCTTGTAACGATATCTGGTAGGAGTTACAATGGTTGGGCTCAGGGACGATTGAAAAGAGGCGGAAAAGTAACCCAGAGGGAGATGTCGGTGGCTTAGATCGGGATTGCCGCAGGCGCCGTGAATCAGGAATGAGCCCAAGCGATGGGTCTAAAAGTATGGGACTTGCGAAGGGAAGCAGGCTGTGCTGCCACATGTACCTCCTACGCTCTATTACATGAATTACAGAGGGCCGAGTACAGTGAATGCAGAGGACCCGTATAGACTTACAAAAGATGAGTGGAGGGCCCCTTGCCCCTGGGTTCCTCCAGGTTGGGCCGTATAAGGTACGCTTACAGTACGTACAAAGGGACAGCCCCTACCTAAGCTTTAGCCTTGTACCGGTGCTCGTGCCGTGCCGAGCTTTAGGGGCTAAGGCCTTACTAGAGTCTAGTAGGCCTAAAGCCCTCTAAGTCCCTGTCACTTGGATTCGATGCCAAACCCAGTTGCATCACCAACTCTTGTTTGCTCTCAACCACGCCTCATCCTGGGCATCGCGTCTAACTTGAAGATCGAAGCAGCCACTGGCGGATGAGCCAAGCATTCATTTTCCCGGTTTCAGCTTGTGTTGGACAGCTCTGGGATGCGGACTGCTGTCATGACTCCTTGGCTGGCGTTTGCTTGCTTCAGCTTGTCACTGCTTGACTCCTCCTTGACTTCCTTGACTGCAGTTCTTGTCGTAGTTTATAGTCTGCTCCAGCATACACGACATTCATTGCTTGCCCCCCTTTCATCAGTTCCATTTCTGCTCCCCAGACTTCTTATGTCTTCACGCGTTCTTTCGTTGTTCTTGTTTCCTTGAACCTTCCGTGTCGCCTCGAGCAACTGTCGTGAAACCTCAACCCACGCCGCACTTTGCAACTCCCTCCTCCGCTTCACTCCTCGTCCGCGGTCCAGCACATTCCTGCCTCTGCGACCTTGGCAAGCACTTGACCTATCTCCACATCTGCCCGAGGCTTCGTTCGTGTCGATTTCACCGCCGTCTTGACATGACTCTATTTAAGAGAAGAGAGCGAGAGCGAGAGCCCGCTTCAGACTCTACCAGAAACAAGGATATCGGTGAGAAGACAGGGGTGTCTTCGGCCAGTCCTCCGAGTGATGGCGTTCTTCCCCAATACAACCACAATGGTGATGAGGTTACAGCAGGTATACACCCAGACGGCGAGAGCGGCCGTCGCGGATTCCAGCCAATTCAGTTTTTCCGAATCATATGGAGGTCCTCCTGCGCCGTCTCCAGCTGGGTCAATATCCTGTGGCCATTTGTCCCAGCAGCCATCGCTCTTCATTTCATCCATGGAGACCATCACCTCTGGACTTTCGCCATCAACTACATTGCCATGGTCCCGGCGGCCAATCTCTTGGGATTTGCCGGGCAAGAGTTCGCGAGAAAGTTGCCCAAGGTGGCCGGAGTCATCATTGAGACCACTCTTGGTTCTATCGTGGAAATTGTGCTGTTCATGGTCTTGATCGCTAAGGACAATGGCACGGGCGAGACCGGACCCGGCAACAAGATACAGGTGATCCAGGCTGCCATTTTAGGGTCCATCCTCACCAATCTCTTGCTGTGTCTGGGCTTCTGCTTCTTGATTGGGGGTATCAAGCACAAAGAACAGAAGTTCCACGCCGCCATCAGCGAAGTCGGGTCAGGCCTCCTACTTGTTGCCGGCTTTGCTCTCATGATCCCATCCGCCTTCTTCTCTTCCTTAATTGGCAGCACAGTTACCGGAGGTGAAGGCTACACCGAGGACAGACTCCGCAACGACACCCTCAGCATCAGTCACGGCGTCTCCATCATCCTGATTGCGTCATTTGTACTCTACCTGCTCTACAACTGCGTATCTCACGACAATATCTTTGCCGAAGTCCTTGAGGCCGACGAGGAAGCCGACCGAGACAGGCATCACGACTTGCAAAAGGCCAAGTTGACCATGACTGAATGCATTATAGCCATTGTTTTGGCATTAGCCATGATTTCCTTAATTGCGGTTTTTCTTGTGGAGGAAATCGAGTACGTGGTCGAGCACGGAGTTCCCGACAACTTTCTAGGTTTGATCCTGGTTCCCTTGGTCGAGAAGGCTGCTGAACACCTGACTGCCGTTGACGAAGCCTATGACAACCAGATTGTGGGTGGTTCAAAAGTCTGAGATGAGGAATCGAAACTAATAATCATACAGAACTTTGCCCTTTATCACTGTCTCGGACCCTCTATTCAGACCGCCCTCTTCAACGCGCCTCTTGTCGTCATTGTTGGATGGGGTCTCGGCAAACCGATGGACCTCAACTTTGAGATTTTCATGGTCGTGCTCCTGATCGTGGCCATCCTGGTAGTAGGCAATTTTTTGAGAGACGGCGCCTCCAACTATCTCGAAGGTGGTCTCCTTGTGGTAAGCTCATGCACAGATTCAGGAAAGAAGGTTGTGGCTAATAGCATCAAAACAGATCGTCTATATTATCATCGCCGTTACAGCTTGGTATTATCCCAATTCTGAACTGACGACCTCGAATGGGCGCTCGTCAACCGAGACCACTGGAGAAGGAACCGAAGCATTGGTCAAAATTGCGAGGATGATGATGTCTTGAGCGTTTCTTGCAGAGTGGACATAGCAAGCCAAGCCGGTTTGTAAGGATCAGTCCGCAGGATACCCTTTTGTTAAGCAAGGTATGGTGTTGCGGTGCGAAGCAATGAGGTTATCCAGCATTGTTTTGCTGCAAGCCTAGTAAAAGGCATGGAAGATCGACAGCGGTCACAGCGGAGAAGCTGCTCTGTCTACGTAGTAGGGAGCTCCTTCATATGCCAGTAGTCAGCCCGTCCATCGCTTGGAACATGTCCCAGGCAGGACATGGCTACATCACTCGAGCTCCTGGCCAGGTTTCGGGAAGTGAAAATAGTGCTGTCGGTGAACGGCAGAACGGCATTGGTGGTGTTGTGCAAGACAGTCAACTGCCCATGCAGTCCGAGGCAATTTGCGGTTATAACTGTGTACCCATGTGATGGCGCACTGAGCGACATGGATTATGGACATAGGGGTAAATCAGCCATATACTCCGTAGATGGTAGTATTAGAAGAATCCTCATATTAGGTTTTGTGGCTGCACCTGCGGTCAGGAGTTCGCGTGGTAATAACCATGTCGACGGCACGGATGGGTGGCGGTTGTTGGACATCCGGGCGGACAGCCTCATCAAAGCCCGGGTGCTGGGGGGGTTCCTTAGGCTAGATTTCGTATCACTGCGGCCTAGACGCAAGGCTCCTTAGGCTGAGGAGGCTGAGTTAAGGTGCCTATCTCCGGGCATTGAGTTGGAGGGACGTGGCGCTGGAAAGCACTTCGGGCCCAAGTTGAAGGTGATCTGGACAGCCGGTGGCGTTAGCCTTGGCGCCATGGGAGCTCAGCCAGTGCCAATAGCAGCACTACTAGTACATGTAATTAGTAGTACTGCTAGTAGTTAGTGGTAGTGCCGTGCCGTGCTGCTGTGCATCTTCAGCTCCAGTTGTGCTGTCCCCGTCAAACTCCCCTGCTGAGTGCATCAACTCTTGACTGTGACCTTGCCCGACTCACCTACACCTACACGGCCACCTCCCACCTCCCGCCTCCCACCACATTATCCAGATTCAGATGCCACCCTTGTATCCAGACAGCATTGTCGCAGAGCATATACTCCATAATATCCCTCCACAGCCCATTCCTCGGTCCCAGCGTGTCTCTACTTCGTCGCGCCTCATTCTCACACCGAACGTTTTCATGCCGCAGTCAATGTCAACGTCCACGATCACTCTCTGAGATATGCCCTTCGACCATCCGATTTCCCGGTGATTTGTGGCCAATGCGAACGTCCAGCCTCACCTCGAAGCCTTTCCCTTGCGCCTGAGATGCCACCTGTGGCTACGGAGCCTCCTCTCTCCGTTCTCTCCAACGGTGCCAATTCCTCGTTCGATCGGCCCCCTCGAAAGTCCCATGACAAGACCATCAGTGGCGTCTTTACATACACAAACGGCCAGGACGTGGAGGCCGGCCTATCCGAGCACAGGCTGGATCAGCTCAAGAACCGTCGAAATAACAGCCATGGCTCTCTGACCAACGGCATCCCAAATGGCAACCTCAAGCCTGCTCCCCGAGACCGGTCGCATTCCAAAGCTGGCAGCACTCACTCGGTAGCGAGTATCCAGGGGCCAAATGGCGACAGTTTTGCCAGGCCTGGTAGCCTTGCGGATGGGTTGACCAAGCTCTCGAGTGTCGCAACCGCTACGGATGAGTCGCCCGCTGGACAAACGCCAGAATCGAATCTACTGAACACGGTTCATCCCCCAACCGCCCCCGAGCACGATCCTTCACATGCCGTCACCGCCTCGACGGTGTTGGATACGGTGCGGTTGGATGGACCGACTCTGTCAGCTCACGGCTCTCCGCCCTCGCCGACTCGATTTCCCTCCCCCCTTGCAATGTCTCCTGACACTGCGGCCCAGGATCGATTTCCCGAATTGGCGCAACCTTCTGACGGGCCTAAGCTTACGCATCGCCATACCCTACAAGTGCCGAAATCCAATATTGCGACCGGTCGAACATCGCGCGACTTTTCCTTCTCGGCCGGGCCCTCGGAAGAAGCCCTTTCTACGACCGGTCGCTTTTCGCCCACGCGAGACCAGTACGATGCGTCCACAATACGACACAGGAGGGCTTCACTTGGACTTGTACGCCGGACGACGCGATCGATGCAGTCCGACGTCCACTTGGACGAGGTCCCTCCGGACGAGGACGCGGCACGGTGGACGGAACTGATCAAACAGAAAAGGGCGAGTAGGAGGAAGAGGAAGGAGGAGGAAGATGACGATCGGGTAATTGTCGGAAAGAAGGTTGAAGAGGGCCACGTCAACTGGGTCATCGCATACAATATGTTGACCGGAATTCGATTTACGGTATCCCGAACGAATGCAAAGATGGACCGAGAGCTGACGGACGCCGATTTCGCTGCAAGGCACAAGTTCAGTTTCGACATCACGGGAAACGAATTGACCCCCAGCGCAAAGTACGACTTCAAATTCAAAGATTACAGTCCCTGGGTTTTCAGGCATCTCAGGGCAATCTTTGGCCTCGATCCCGCCGATTATCTCGTCAGCCTGACGAGCAAGTACATTTTGTCCGAACTGGGTAGTCCGGGAAAGTCTGGATCATTCTTCTACTTCTCCCGCGACTACAAATATATCATCAAGACTATCCACCACGCCGAGCACAAGCTTTTGAGGAAGATCCTGAGGGATTACTACCGACATGTGGTGGACAATCCGAACACCCTGATCAGCCAGTTTTACGGGTTGCATCGGGTCAAGATCCCCTACGGCCGAAAGATTCATTTCGTGGTGATGAACAATCTATTTCCCCCTCACCGGGATATCCATCAAATGTTCGACCTCAAGGGTTCTACGATTGGTCGAGATTTTAAGGAAGACGAATTAGCTAAGAACCCCCGAGCCACGCTGAAGGATCTGAACTGGTTGCGGCGAGGCTTGCATCTAGAGTTTGATGCTCGAATCCGGCAGGTGTTCCTCGACCAGCTGAAAAGGGATGTGTCTCTGCTGCAGAGGCTTCAAATCATGGACTATTCGCTTTTGGTGGGGATACATGACTTGGGGAAGGGCAACGAGGAGAATCTTCGCGAGACGACATTGAAGGTCTTTCAGCCAGGAGGAGAACGGGAAGCGGATGACCACAGCACTGCAATGTTGACGCGGACACCGTCCAGGATGGAAAATGCGAGGAAAGCACGAGAGTTGAGATTGACTCTGAAAAAGGAGAAACCCGTGCCTATGGGCAAGGCCAGCACTAGGATGCCGTCCGAAATGTCTTCCGGCGATGAGAGACGGGACCGAATATTCTACAGCTACGATGGCGGTATCAGGGCAACGCATGAGGATGGCTCAGGGGGTGATAAGATATACTACCTTGGTGTCATCGACTGCTTGACTCACGTGAGTGGTGTCCGTCTTTCGAACATGGGCGTTGCTAATTGGTTTGCAGTATGGCTTCATTAAACGGGTCGAACATTTCTGGAAGGGACTCTCGGCCCCTAGCGCCCAGATCTCGCCAGTACCTCCGCAGGCATACGCAGAAAGGTTCCTGAATTTCATTACTGGAATAACAATGACTCCCGAGGAGGTCGAGCGTCGGGGAACCCTGGAGAGCTATCGCACTGGAGAACACGCCCAGACCTCATCTGTGGAAAACCTTGGTCAATTTACAACGGCCAGTCCTGACGATTATGGTCAGCAACAAGAACCTGCTGAAAAGGTCCCGCCTCTCAGTCCCAACGTGGAGAAGACGATGCGGAAAGCTCAAAAGCAGGCCGACAAAGCCACGCCGGCGGAAAAGGGGCGGCGGAAAAGCGAAGAAGAAAAGCCGGAACGCATCCTGAGAACACTGGAAGAACCAAAGACCTCGACACTTCTACCAGTCGTATCAGAAGCTGGGGAGAATGGAGAGCCTAGCGAGAAGCGCACCTTATCTTCAGCGGATGAAAGTGAGGACTTTGGTCTTGAGCCACCGCCGTCTGGGGCGACGAGAAACTTTGCGATCCCTGATCTACGCAAAGTCTCGCCGTCCACGGTTGGTACTGCTACTGATATGCAAGATGAGCCGAGTGAGATCGGTTCATACGCCGGAGACTTCGAACCTCCGTCACAGGTCGAGAATGAGTGGGGACGAAATCATGTTTCTGAAGAAAAGAGAGACAAACCGCCCCGACTTGCAAGCGACCTGATCCAGCCCCAATCTCCTCTTGGGGAAGCGCTCATGGCATCTCTCAACGATATCAACCCCAAGCAGGAAGCCACCAGCACAGCACGTGAGTAGAACAGACTTGTTTGTTGATGAACCTCGGGGGATTGCACGATCAACGCAGACTTCGCCAAAGCGGTTGTGCGACCACAAGTGTCAGCATTTTTGTCGCAGGTCTGCCGTCGTTGCACGGCGACTAGGCACTTCCCAGGCCGGGGAATCATTTGACCTCCGCACAGTGCGAAGATGAACACCAGGATTTCCCGCGTGTCGCATAATTTTCTGTTTGTGTTTTCCCGGGGAAGACCGCAAATGAAATATGGTCCTTTCAGTGCGCCACAAAGTGTTCGACGTGGCAATGCCGTTCAACAGCAAGAGAGGTGCAACACAAACGGTCGGCAGGCCACCGGCAGGATGTGTGGAAGAGAGAGGGGCCATGTATGCCCCTGAAGTGGAGAGCAGGAGGGAGTAGTTTGGCGTTCTTGAGGCTGTTGGTAGCACTGATGGTTTGCATGGATCAAACGAGAGACGGCCAGGTCATCATGCACAGCATAAAGCTCAATGGAGGGTGAGGAGAAAGAATATTTGTACAGTTTCCACCACTACTACTACCACCTTATGGAGCACTCGTATTTGGGGCCCATACCTTGTATCCGAGGACTGGGTCGAGTGCATGTAAGATCAATTCTGGATTTTTGGTGCCCGGACTGGATTGCACTGGTTAAATGGCCCAAGAGGGACAATGCAGATCCTGGACCGACTTCAGATTAATTGCGACCTATACCTAAGGTATGTACTCCGTCAACATTGCGGCCTGGTAGCGAAGGTTGTCATTCTGTGGCTGTGGTTGGACAGTGCCTGCGATGCTTGTTGCCTGCGCCGCGGTGGCAGGGTAGTGGCAGTGAATAACGCAGGCTATAGCCATCAGCCACGGCTAGGTACGTACGTACTTGGAGGCTCAGGTCAGGCGTCCTGCGTACTCTTGAATGGTGTATGGGCACCTGGGCGGATATACAGTAGATGTCTATACATCTGGTGCGTGCCTGAAGGTAGATAGGTACCTAGACATAGTATGTAGGTAGGTAGGCGCCTACCTTACGTCTATCATCCCATCGCGACGTCATTCCCCCTCCTCCCAATCAAGGACACGACACGACGACTAGGTGACGACGACGACGCAAATGCCCATTTCACCTGCAGGCCATTTAGTAAGACAATACATCTGCCTGGTCTGGATTAGCTGGCTCTGGCTAGTGGTTACGAAGACAGGAATTCGTCCCTTTCCCTAGAGACAGCATTGGTCACATCGTCTATGCGTACAATACTTATGTTGTAGGCGTCCCTTGTTCGTAACCTCAGGTCTCGCATACATTAATCTTCTACTCCCACTCCTCGATTGCGAAACTCGACCTATTCTACCTGCTCTGTAGAAGACTCACAGAACGACTTACCGAGCGCTCTCACCCCTCTCCTTCTTAGCAGCCTTCCTCGGTCCTCCTCTTGTTCACCATCATCAGTATTAGCATCACTCCCAGTACCAGTATCAGTACTAGCAGTGCACTCCTCATGGCTGACCAAAACTACCCTCCTCCTCCGCCCGCTTCCTATCCCACGCAGCCGCCGCCGCAGCCGGATATGTCTTCGTCTGCTCAGCAGAATCAGGGCGAGTATCATCCGCAGCAATCGTCTCTGCCGGAATATCAACCCCAAGATACTCTTGCCCAACTACCGGCGGACAATGCTCATCTACCACCACAGACCGCTACTCAATGGCCAGTGCAGTCAACGACAGCGGCGACACAAGCACCATCACTGGCAACCCAAGGCTACGACTCCCTCCCACCACCACTTCCTCAGCGCCCTGGAACTTTGGGTGTCGATGTCAAAGAGCCAACAACGACAAATATTCAGCAGCCTCCGCAATATCAGACTGACTACGCCGGTCAGCCAGCACAGCAACCTCCTAAAATTCACCCGGCCCAGTATGCCGGTCCATCATCATTCCAGCCTGGCTCGCAGTCCATATTCCAACCACCGCCACAGCGGCACAAACAAACCTTTGCAGACGACGACAATCCATCCAATCCGGTCCACTATATCCGTGACCCTCACAAATTGATTGGATATCTGGTACCCTTCCCACGGCCCAACCTACCCAACGTCAAGCCTGAAGACATACCTGTCCGCTTCATAATCTATACGCCGCCGCCTCCACCACTCCAAAAGCCTGCCGAGGGACAAAAGGAAGGCAAACTTCACAAAGTGCAACGGAAGTGGCAGGAAGAAGTTCGCAGTGCAAAGACCAGCACGGCCAAGACGGCGTCATGGAAAGGGGTCAAGTCCAAAGCCACCAAAGGCATCAACTGGGCAATGAACAAGACCACCTCTTCGAACCTAGACTTCCTTGGCCGAGTATCACCAGCACATTCCGACGACGATGGCGAAGGCCACGAGACCCACAAGACGGTCGGCGTGGATGAGATGGTTTTGGTGTACCCGCCAAGTCTGCCTCTCAACGAGCAGCAGATGCGCGAGGAGTTTGTCAACACCATGTTGCGGACCAAATCCAAAGCACAACGTGACACCATCATCGCCACTGGTCTGATGCCCGTGGGATACGGCATTGACATCCTCGCGACCTTCATTTGGCCATTTGGCGGCCTGGGGGAGATCGACACGGTCTGGGCATATGCATCCTTCCGCGGCGCCAAAACGGCGCGCAGTGTGACGAAGCGACTGTCTTCCAACAGTGAAACGGGGAATCACGAGAAGGATCAGCTGACGCTGACCTTTACACACTCGGCGCGCATTGAAGCTCTGAAGAGATACCTCGACGCCGAATGCCACAAGGTCGATGGCAAGTTATTCCCGGCCTACGTGTCGAGTCCAACGGAAAGCGACGTCCTGGAAGCGATCGGGTGGACACCCCGCGACCGAGGCGGCGCAGATCAGGAGGAGAAGAATTGGGAGGATGAGCAGTGGGAGATGGCCGAGGTCAAGGACGATCTCAAGAGCGTATTTAGCAAAGGAGCCCGCGAGTGGAGAAAATGGTGTCTGTTGCTGGAGAAGAATCCGGAGAAGGCGATGAAAAAGTAACAGGACAGAGTTTGGCAGCCAAAGACAAGTAGAAATAGTAGCCACCTGGCAGCGGCAGTCATTACGGAGTATTATGTGATGATCTACTAGAACCCTATCACCACTACAAGGGCCTCGACCGAGTCTACAGGCTGACAAGCGCCAAGTTGATGATGAATTTACCATACGAAGGACGATCAACGGAGTGCTGTCATGGGCAGAGAAAGTATGTATTGTATCCGTACTGTACGAGACGCGGGAGCGCAGTGGTAGTGGTAGTGGTAGTTGGAGTGGTCACATCACAGAACGGAGTCGGAGTCGGCTTGTGGCTTAATGGTCGCTGGCCGCCAGCCGCCGGAATCTGACACGTTTGATTGGCGGAAAGAAAACGTCTCCAAAGTCAATGCGATGCGCGACGGCAGAAAGTGCTCAGAAAGAGAGCGGCGGAGAACAATGACCACTGTTCAGATGGTGCTCAGAAATAGAGCGGCGGATCACTGACTGTTCAGAAAGTATTCAGAAAGAGAAAGAGAGCGGTGGTGAACAATGCCTGACTGACTGACTGACTGACTATGATGTCGAGAAGAGCAAATGCAAATACAGGCGGAAGATGAACACGGTAGGGTATGTAGGCCTTTACTGCCATAACAGAGGTCTAAATCTCAGACGTACCTAGTATGTACCTAGTAGTGAGGATGAGGAAGATGACGAGATATGAGATATGAGATATTGGACCAGTGGTCATGTCATGTCAGCTCACTGATTACTGATTACCTTGAGCTCTATGGCTTCACGCAACGGCTTCATTGCGCTGAGACGCTGCACCCTTATAGGCGTGGGGGATCATTACAGTAGTAGTCGACTGTAGACTATATGTAAGGTATCCAGTCCAAGCTATTCATTTCATCATCACATCATCACATAGCTACCTGGTACTCATTGAAGTAGTAGTCGTAGACTATATGTATCCAGTCCAAGCTATTCATTTCATCATCACATCATCACATAGCTACCTGGTACTCATTGAAGTAGTAGTCGTAGACTATATGTATCCAGTCCAAGCTATTCATTTCATCATCACATCATCACATAGCTACCTGGTACTCATTGAAGTAGTAGTCGTAGACTATACGTATCCAGTCCAAGCTGTTCATTTCATCACATAGATGCTGGATAACTTAACCTACACCCAAACCACACCGCTGCTGTTTCTTCACCATGACTTACGGGAAACCGTACCAGTCTGGTCCCGCAAGTCCAAGAGGCCCAGGTGTTGTCGTACTTTCATTTCCTGGCTGAGGACATTGTCCTAATATTGGTCCAGTCGCTTCTACATCCTCGGAGAATCATGTGCTCGACCGCTTGATCTACCCAGGAATAGAGGGACGAGGAGGCCGGGTTCTCGTAGCAGCTCGTTGGCTTTCGAAAAGGAAACCGAGGTCATGGAGGGACAGGCCTATGCTCCCATATCGGACACACAATACCTTCCAAGTGCGGACTTCCGGATTCAAAGTCGGAGAGCGGGCACAATCACGGCGGAAAGGGGAGAAACATACCAGGGTTTCCTTGCTTACAACAGTGTAAATGCCACAGTGCTTCAATCGAGCTCGAATCACGGCGACGCGAATATCCTGTGCACTCGGATAGTCTATGTCGAGCCCTAACCGCAACCCTACCAACCCTAACCCTAACCCTGACTCTATACCCCCCCCCCCCCCCCTAGTGCGATCAAGTCTCTCCGTTTGTGATATCGATGTACTCTTGATTTTCTCCTTCATCTGCTCCCCATTTGGTGCGTAGGCCGTCTCAATCACCAGGGTAGGTTGTCTTCGAGTGCCACCAACAAGGTCGAGTTGGAAGTCCAGTTGAAGATGGACAAGTCTCCAGTTGAAGATGGATAAGTTTGTCGTCGCGCAAACGGTATTAGATCGTGGCCGAACCGAACACACAGAGATTTTCCAAAAAAAGAAGAAAAAGAAGAAAAAAAGATTGTGATACGCCCATCTGGTTTTGCGACTCTCTTGGCTGCGGACTCAAGTTCAAAAAAGTCTTTCGTAAGATTGTGTGCAACGGTCTCTGAAGGATGGTAGGCACTCTGAGGAGTAGATCTTGTTCCAAAGGATAGTAGCCCCACCTATTGTCTACAGTTCGCTTGTATAGCGACCTAGAAGACGGCCACCTACCTCAAATTCGACTCAACAATATCGACCAGCTTCTCTAGGTACTCGAAGTCTTTCTCGGGAAGAGAGAACCTGGCGGTTGTGTTCGATGAAAACGAGACATCACGACTTGAAATAGTCGAGCATAGGTCTCAAAGACGGTGAAGTGAGTTGAACGCACCCGGTTCCGGTGGATGACGCCGAAACGAGAAGAGGAGGCATCGTGGTTGCACGCAGCACGCTCCGCCGCAGAACCATCGCGCGACAGTCTTGAGCAGGTATCGTCGAGCTTATACGGATAATCTGTGGGATCATCAATTGGAAAGAGGTTAATGGCCAACTACTCCGTACTCCGTATTGATAGTCCAGCCACCCGCTTTCGCCGGCCGTTGTGTATGGTAACATACCACCGGGCCCAGAGGATGCCCGTTCGAGATCGCACGATAAAAGGCTTTGACGTCAATCGACCACTAAGCGTGGCGTCTCTGGCCCATAAGACGAAGCCAAAATAATTGAGAGAGTGTGTGTGCTAACGGTGAAACTGCAATTGAAAAAGTACAGATTATGAGAACGGGTATAGAACGGGGGGATTCAGGATAGAGGTACGGAGTACCTTAGGTACCTACGGATAGACAGGGACGGGAACAGAAAGCGGGGACCTTGGCACGGAGAAAAATTTACTGCCACTGCATGCAGTGGGATCCTGTATCCTGTATCCATACATTCTATTAAACCTTTAATCCTGCTCACAACAGATCACCGTTGCCCTCCCTTGGAGCATCGAGCCCGATTTATCCAAATATTACTTTATCTATTCTGCCCATCCCATCTTTCTACTCGTTATATCATTGACATAGACCCTGCCGTGATCCCTCGCCAATTCGACTCCCCGCTACCGCTTACCGCTACCTCGACGAAACACTGGCCTAACCCCAACCCCGCCATCTCAAGTCACACAATGTCGGCCACACCTGGCGTCAAGAGGAAGCGTTCCAGTACGTCTAATATTTCCCCTGTTCAGGCTTGGAATTGTTCTTTGATCTAGACGACCGGCATTCTCCTCTTCCCCTCCCCTTCCCGTGTCACAGACCCCAAATCCCACGTCGTCCTCCGACTCACAAATCACAGGAGCGCAGTCTCTTCCCCCGCCCGAACTTCCGCGCCTCGTCGCCGAACAACACACCCCGATCTCCTCCAATGACAAAGACACGAAAAGACTTATCGTGGTGTTGTCGAATGCCAGTTTGGAGACATACCGTGCCGCTCATGGCGGAAAACCAGGAGGCAAGGAAGAGAAATATTCTCTCTTGAACAGTGACGAACATATCGGGGTCATGCGCAAGATGGGGCGAGATATTAGCGATGCTCGACCGGATATTACACACCAGGTGGCTATCCCCATTTTGTGCCGTTGTAGTGGCGAGCTGACTTCAACGTCTAGTGCCTCCTGACCCTGCTCGACTCGCCCATCAACAAGGCTGGAAAGTTGCAGATTTATATCCACACCGCCAAAGGTGTCTTGATCGAAGTCAGCCCGACCGTGCGGATTCCTCGAACGTTCAAGCGTTTCGCCGGTCTCATGGTGCAGCTGTTGCATAGGCTGTCCATCCGGTCGGTCAACTCGCAGGAAAAACTGCTCAAGGTCATCAAAAACCCCATCACCGACCACCTTCCACCCAACTGCCGGAAAGTCACCTTAAGTTTCGACGCCGACGTCGTCCGAGTCCGAGATTATGTCGACACCCTTGGGGGAAACGAGAGCATTTGTGTCTTTGTTGGCGCCATGGCCAAGGGGAAAGACGACTTTGCCGATGCGTTCAAGGACGAGTCCATCAGTATCAGCAACTATAGCCTGAGTGCAAGCGTGACTTGCAGCAAGTTCTGTCACGCTTGCGAAGACGCCTGGAACATCATATAGGATGCCGTGAAAGGCGCCTGGGGTGTTGGTCTCAAGGTATGGCAATACTGACTTTCTTCTTTTTCACTCAGCCAGTGACGCTTCTACAAAGGCTCGATCACAACATCGACGCTGTCTTGTATGAACGCTGCCACCAGTGTGCGTTGGGGGAGTTGGATCTGGCGTTTGTTTTCACAACAAGACATAACATGGTTCAACATACCTCAAGGCGATTTTCTTTTCGTCTGAGTGTGTAGGTGCATGTCAACCTGCCCTACATCAGCTGGTTATGGCCGAAAGAGGACAGCGTTCGTGTTGGCGAGTGAACTTCATGACCGAGCATGCGTGGACACCGGACAAGCCAAGTCACAAAACTAAAAGGGAAAGGTTTTGTTTGTACCCATAAGCGCCATATTACTGTTTAGTGAACCGAGGGCTGAAAGCTGGCATCGGGAAGGATCGAACAGTCATCAAAGAGACATACTCCAGGCTTACGAAGGAAGGCACGGCACTGGCAGCAGCATCGCAGGTTGGTAGTCCTGCGGTGGAGACCATCACCTCACAAATCGTGATATACATTTAGACGGACTCGCGGGATTCTCCAACGTCGAGTCTTGCTATCATAGCACCAACCCTGCGTGGCCGCTTTCCGACTGTGCGGGAACGAGACGTCGCCATGACACGCCATGAATGAATAGATGGATGGAGAATTCAGAGCAGGAAAAGACCGAATTGGAGCAATCCTTCATGCATTTGCGCCCGACCGGTGCAAGTCGGTCTGCTGACAGCCAATCATGAATGAAGATTTCCTTCCTACACCCGCTCTTTTGCTTCAAGACACATATCCCCGGATCCAATCAGGCTCGACTCTAGGCGCTGTCGCTGCTGTCCCGCTTCAGGCCTTTCCGAACATTCTGTGACCCATCGCCTCTTGACGTGGCGTTGTGTCAGCCGCTCTCGCCGTTACTGACCATTCACCGCCACCAACAACATCAGAGCGATCTTCACGCCTCACATCTCACGCCTCACGCCTGACCCCTGACCGAACGCTTCCGTACATGATTTCGCCTCCGGGAGTTCCTCTCCTTATACCGTCTGCATTAGTGAAGTGAGGCGGCTGCATTCTTGGCTTGCCGTGTCCTATGGTTCCAAGGCATTTGCTGCAACGGCATTGGCGCCAGGTACCATCTCTATCTCGATTCGCCTGGCTATCTTTTGATCCATCGCCTATTCCGAGTTGTCATCAGACTTGGTCGCGACCAAAGCTCCGATTGAACGGCCGATCCCTTTTTGCTTCGTGGCTCCTATTCTTGCTGGGCAGTTGTCCCGCCTCGTTCCTATACACGCAGGCTTGTTGTGCCTAACTGAGCAGATGGTTTTATTTCCCGACTGTGGCGCGTGATTCTAGACCTCTGTGGCCGACTCGAACATCTACCACTCACTCCCTGGTTCCCTTTCCTCTTTGCTTCTGCCCTGACCTTCGTGGTGACCAATCCCTGATCTAGCATATTTTCGGATCGAATAAACTAATCTACAGACTTATCAGGTTCCAGTCCACCTCCCGTTAGGAAGAATCCAGGCCACAGTACCCAACAAGAATCGTTGGTTGGTTCAGAACGGTCTCACGAGATATCAGTTGACTCTACCATACAGGCAGATCAGCCGTCAAGGAGAACTTCTATATATTGACAACTCCCCTGAGATAGGTCTTGTTCACCTCTGTCCCGTTTTATGCGTGCTACGGAACCTTCCATTCAGCTTGACCCCTTGAACCATCCCAGAACACAGGCTGGTCGACGTTCACCGTTCAAGCTTAGCGTTGAAATCACAAAACCACTGACATCTCGGCTTGTTCGACTCTTGTATAATGCCCTCGTCAATCACCCTCACGGTCAGCCACTTGCCGACATCGACATCGTTCTTCCTCTCCGCTCTCCAACCACTCGACTACGTGTACCGTGGGCGGCAAGACCAAACTATCGGCTTTGGTCCAGCATCTCCGGCCACGGCACCGCCCGATTTCTGGATCACGCAAGAAATCCCCGGCGTGCCGGCGGGAGCGGCCCACGTCGCCTTCCCGGCGTCGTCTCGCGCGCAGGTTGAGGCCTTTTTCGTCGCCGCCCTCAAGGCCGGCGGGAAGATCCATGGCGAGCCGTGTCAGCGCGACGGGGCGGGCTACTTTTCCGCCGCGGTGATTGATTTTGACGGCAATTCCATCGAGGCCGTGTACCGGCCTGTCGTTGTGGCCGACAAGGAGAACAAGAGCAATGACGATGCAACGAGTGTTGTATCGCAACGGCAAGGTGGTAGTAGTCGAGCTCCTGCTGCTACCGCCGCCACCGTCGTGTCCCAAGCCAAAAGCAAAGCGGCGTCGACGGCCAGGAGTGTGGTCTCTATTGCCAAAGCGCCGTCCACTATTGTCTCGCACGCGAAAAGCAGGGGAGCCCCATCCACGATTGTTTCGCAAGCAGCGCGGAGCACAGCGCCGCCGCCGTCTCAAGTGCGAAGCGTGACTGCTCCGTCTCAGGTCGGCAGTGTCGCATCGCACGCACAACCGCCACCACAACCGCCTCAAGCCGCGCCGCAGCCTAGCAATCCATCAGGCGACCTGCTGACCAACTTGATCAGTGAAGCCCGCACGGCCGCCAGCGTCGCACGCAATCTCGTCAACAGCGTCCGACCGAACCTCGACTCTAACCCCACCTCGGGCTCTGCAGCAGCACCTGCAGCAGACCAGTCCGGCGCAAGCGGCGCGGGCGATGCCATCGTCGGAACACTGCTCGGCGTGGCTGCCGGAGCGGCACTCCATTATGCGTTCAGCAATCGTTCGAAAGACAGCCAGGTGCAAGGTGGCGGTGGCGGTGGCGACGGTGGTGTTGTCACCGCTTTGCGTCCATCCATTGTCGGCCGCAACATCACCGATCCAACTCCTTTGCCCTTGCGCACCGAGTACGCATACGGATACGAGTATAGCCACTCGGCTGTCGGGTCGGGCGTGTATCCTTACCGGGCGATCGAAGCCGGACCTGCCATGTCGGGGTATGGGTATGCGAACCCAAGTCACTATGCTGGTAGTGTTGGTGATGAGAACGACGACGAGGAGTTCCGCAGCCCCCGTCTGATCACCATGCACGACAACGACAGCCGGTCTCAGTCGTCGGCCACCATCCGGCCGGCGGCGGCGGCGGCGTCGCAGGTGTCACGACAATCGAAACAGAGTGGTGTGAGCACAAGCACAAGCGTGAGCGGGAAGATGAAGACGCTCAACGCCCCGCCTACCAGTTACCGCGCCCCGACGGTCCTGACCGCCGCAGACACACACACCCAAGCGGCGTCTGCGGTGTCAGCGGCGGCCAAGTCGAGGCATTCGTCCCGGTCACGCAGTCTGTCTCGGTTCATGGGCTTGAATTTGAACGGGGAATCCGACGCCAACGCCGGCGACAAAGCGTCCAAGGCCTCCTCTCGATCACGGGCGCGCTCACATTCGCGGGTGACGGCGTCGTCGAGACGAAGTAGGCGGGACAAGTTCGACGACAACAACGACAACGACAACAACGACGCCAAAGAAGAAGAAGACGGCGACGAAGTCAAGACAGTCGTCAATCTGGCCGACCATGAATCAGCAGGCGGTCGTGGTCGCACGACCAGTCATGTGAGTAGGAGCCAGACGCATGTTTCCAGCCACAGCCACGTCAAGAGCTATCACACTGCCGTCCATGCCGGGTCGCACCACTCGTCTAGAAGGACTGCTTCGCGCGCCAGCTCACACAGAGGCAAAGACGGAGATGGAATTGCAGAAGGAGGCGGACACGCACACAGAGAGCCGCACGAGTATCCCCTCCCGCCGTCTCGCGCCGCCACGTGGGCCGGCTCTGATGTCGGTGGCCATGGCGTAGGGAGCCTCGTGTCGTCGGGCCGCGTGGTCCCGGGCAAACATGTCTCGGCGCCACGCACCATCATTGGGAAATTGAATCCTTTGCGGAATGTTGGTGGTGGTGGGAGTATCAGTGGTCTTAGGGGCGGCGGCGGCGGTGGTCATGGTCATGGTCATTCGGCTGACACCATGTCCGTGGTCTCCAAACAGAAGGACCTGGCGGATCTCGATGTGTCGGATCGTGAAGTCAGGCCTGAAGACAGTATCAGTCAGATCTCGGTCGAGAGTCGCAGGAGTAAGAGGAGCAGTAAGGCGAGTTGGCACTCACGGCGATGAACTTGAAGGGCGAGATGAGGAGTTGGGGGAGGTACAGGGGCGATTTAACATCAGTATCAACATAACATCGGCATCAGCATCGGCATCAGCATCGGCATCAGATTGAAACGGGATCTGAATTCGATTGAGGCGGGATCTGAAGGTCGAGATGAGGAGTCAGGGGAGCCACAGGGGCAACATCAACATTAGCATTAGCATCAGTATTAGATTGAAGCGGGGTCTGAATTGGATATATGTGTATGGACGTGACAATACGGACATGACAGAATAGACTCGAGACTGAACTGAATCCCGGATACGAGAATCTCAACAAGCTGAAATACGTGAGCAAGTGAATAATAGATGGAACGAACCAGAGCATAATGATATACTTGAGAATCTTGTCAGAGAGTATAGTTTCGCCTCGCCTCACCTCACTTTAGCATTATAGTCTTTATATATACAGTATTTGTGTGTTTGTGTGTACATGTATGTATAATTATATGTATATTATCTTCCGATGTCTACATGTCCCGTGCTTACATGTTATAGAAATACCTTACTCAGAGTGGATTACACCAGATTACCTCCCACCTCCTAGGTAGGTATCTAGGTATTATTACTCCGGATTGCATACCGAGTACGGAGTATTGCGTTTTCATACCGTTTGCTTCGACATACTGCAGTGCGGCGTGGGTTGGCGTTGGCGTTGCTCGTTGCTCGCAATGTGGCCAGTCAGCGTGCGATGTGCGACGGAGGCAATTATAAAGTACAGAGAACTGTATGTACGGAGTATGTATGTACCACCTGGTTGGTGCCTGATATGTATACCTTAACCTTTAATAGCCTCAGCGTCAACCTCAGCCGCAACCTCGCCTCGACCACAGTCAGTCAGCTTCAGCCTCAGCTTCGAGAACCACACCCAACACCACGACCAACTCCTCCCTCCTCCCTCCTCTATATCTGCAGAAATCATCAATCAGCAATCAACAATCAGCAATCAACAATCAACGTCGCCTCCCTGTCCAGGCCGAGGGCTTCGTCCTCACATCTCAGGCCTGATTAAGGCTGGGATCGGACAGGACAGAATCCGACCATGCTGGCCGTTGGGCCTCTTGCCCCAGCCCCAGCCCTAGCTCCAGCCCCAGTTCGCGCTGACCATCTACATCTAAATCTACATCTGCACCCTAAACCTTTTACCCGCAGTCGGACGGCACCATCTACCGGACCGAGTCGTTGCCAACTCGACGAGATTGATTTGATGGAATGTGGTAATGGTAATGGTACAGTCCCCATCTATTCCAATTCAGCAACGCCGACAGCGGCAGCGGCTCCGTCGACATCGTCAATTTCCACTTCGACCTCGACTTCGATCTCAAGTTCCACTTTGATCTCGACTTCGACTTCGATCTCGACTTCCACTTCATCATTATACAGCACGTCGGCTTCGCGCTGGAAAGCCCTGACCACCCGGGACAGCCAGGCTAGTGGTGTGTTCGTCTACGCAGTCCTCACCACCAAGATCTACTGCCGGCCGGATTGCAAGGCGCGGCTTGCACGCAGAGCCAACGTCGTCTTCTACGGCACCCCCGACCAGGCAGAGCAGGCCGGCTACAGGGCGTGTAAACGATGTAAACCTCGCGGTCGAGGGCCGAAACATGAGCACACGACAGATGCATTGTCATCGTCAGGAATTGGATTCCCGCCCTGTTTATCCCAGAACCGGAGCACTCCTAGTACTGGTAGGTTGGCCGGCAAAGGCGATCACGACGACGTTGCCATGTCAACTCGTGCAGTAGTAGCTACGAATGGCGACAGCTCTGGCCTTGGTGCTGACGCAGGCACTGACTCGACGCAACCTCCGACACAGTTGCACACCTACAACTCAGACGCAGACGCAGACGCAGATGATATCCGGACCAAGATCTGTCGAGCGGTCCAGCTCATCCGAAACGCGGCGCTCGAGGGCACCACGCTCAGCTTGTCCCAGCTGTCCAAGGCAGTCGGCCTGAGCAAATGGCATCTGCAACGTGTCTTCAAGCGTCTCCAGGGCGTCACTCCGCGCGAGATGGCCGAGCAAATCATCTGTACAGTAAAGAACGAGAACGAGACCGAGACCGTCACGCCTCCGAGTCTCGCGCTCGCCGGGCCTCACAGTCGTAATGGCGGTGGTGTGGGAAATGGAAGTGGAAGTGGCAGTGGCAGTGACAGTGACAATTACCTGGCCCCGAGGGAATGGGCGACATCGACATCTTTCCCGACGACAAGTTCAAGTTCAACAGGGCCCGAGAAAGATCTTAATACCAATATCAATCCTGGCTATATCGACGCTCTAGACCCCTCCATCATCGACCCAGGCCTGGATCTATATACGCATGTGGACATGGACATGGACATGGATGTCGAAGTCTTGCTGGGAAACTTATTTCCAGAGCTCTATTCTGGCAGAGGGTACGTCGATGTCGATGTCGATATGGATGTTGACGGCAGGGGATGGCTGTCTGGGGGGCTTGCAAGTGGTGATGGTGATGGTGATGGTGACGGTGACGGTGATGGTAATTTGTATTCTTGCATCTAGAAATAGAGATAGAAAACAGACAGAATCAATACTGTACGGCTGTGTATGTACCAGGTACCGAGGTATATAGAGTCTGTACATGTTACGGAGTAGCATAGTACAGTGCGTTATCATAAGTTCTCGCCACTTGAGCGCGTTTTATCTCTCGACGCGTCTACGCGCACCAACTTAATAATCTTTCTATTACTTAATAATACCTCGTTGTCGCCCTCCAGGCGAGATTAACGGTAATATTAGGCGCGATAAGAAGTTATCTCTATATATTTAAGATAAGATCGTAGATACCTATTGTCACGAATCGTTCCTTCGGAAAGTCACGTGTTCGATCAGTGTTACTGACGTGCGAAAGAAGAGGCTTCGATGCGTATGCTAGAGTAAGGGTGTCTGTATTCAGAACGAAAACTATTGATGAAATGTATCACCTAGTTTGTGAACGAAGTTGACTACGGAAGGAGAGCTATAAAAGGTGGGTGAAGCCCACAACTATATAGACATAGGAGACTCATAACGCTCTGTCCTGCTCTGTTGCTCTGTTCCTAGAGCACCACAGAGCCATGGAGCACGCTACTCATGATGCTCTGTCCTGCTCTGTTGCTCTGTTCCCAGAGCACCCCAGAGCCACAGAGCACTCTTCTCCGTATTACGTGATCCCACGTGACCCTGGTCCCGGCTCACCTTCCTTCCCGAGTGGTCTCGGGGGGGTCAGATTTCCCTTCCTTGGGTTAGGTTCATAACACCTATAAGATAGATTAAAGGCGATTATTAAGGAGTAGAACGCTCTAGATTAAGAGAAGATCGATATTATAATTAGATTAATAGATAATAGGATAAATAGCGTTATTTTAGTCGAAAGCTAGTATATATGCTTCTAAGAGCCTTAGAAGGCTAATATATATATATATATAGTATAATAGGCCTATTAAACGGCTATTAATAGTAACTTATAGTACCTCGAACGGTTAACTATAGTGAGAGTAAGGTGGCGTTGAGTAAAGAGTGCTGTAAATAGGCGGGGTGGTAAAGTGGTGGGGTAGCGAGAACTTATATGTATATTGTAATTAGCCTTAGCCTTGGGAGCCGCCTTAGCCTAAGGGCTAAAGCCTTAGAAATCGAAGCCCCAACAACCACCCAAGGCTTAGGGGCCGACATCGGGTTCGGGAGGCTTGACTTCCCTAGGTTTACCCCTCAATCGCAGACACTGACTGACTCACCACTCACCCAGTTGAGGAAATATAGCGTGATCCAAGACGCAGAGAGGCCTGTCCTGTCCTCTGCGTCGAGTGTCTTCTTATTCTTAGATTGCAGACCGAGATGATCAACCAGTCTGAAAACTGAGCTGAGTCTATCGCAAATCCATATCCATATCCATATCCATATCCATATCGATCCATATCCATTCTGTTTCCATTTCATTTCTATCGAGCGCAGGCAGCGCGGGTGATCTATTGTTGCTTCACTTCTTGTTCTGGTCTGAGGACATATGAGGACATAAACACGGGCACCAGCACCACCAGCAGCAGAGCACGGAGTACATAGGGGTCCCTATCCCTTGGTCCCTTGGTCCCTTGGTCCCCGAGTCTGTCCCTGATCCCTCCAAACACTTCGGCCGGCGGACGAACCACAACCACAACCACAACCACAACCATAACCACAACCACAGTATCCTTAGCCACGCCCACGCCTACGCCACCATGGGCGTCTTCTACGAGACGCTCCCGCCGTCGCTCGTTCCCTGGCTCCTCGACCAGAAAGTCTTTTGGATAGGGTCGGCGCCATTGGCGGGCGACGGCCACGTCAACGTGTCGCCCAAGGGCGTATCTGACAAAGGCGGACCCTTTTTCGGCGTCATCAAGGAGCAGCAGCAACAGCAACAGCCGAGAACCCCTAATGAGAACGTCGAAGCCGAGGCCAACGCCGACGCCGACGCCGACGCCGACGCCGACAAGATCGGAAACGGAAATGTCTTGATCCGCAAGTTCTGGTACATGGACCTCACAGGGTCGGGCATCGAGACTACGAGCCACCTGCACGAGCCGGGCAATGGGAGAATCACCGTCATGTTCAATGCTTTCTCCGGGCCGCCGAGGATCCTGAGGATATTTGGAAAAGGTATGTTATATGTTACAATACATTACATTGTACATTGAATATGCTACAAGTGAATACCTTACTCTTGAAGTGTCTCTCATTCAAGTATTGTACATTGTACAGTACTGTTCGCATAGGAGGAGTGCTACCTGACTGTAGAAGTACGAGCAACACATGAAATACAGTACACTCCGTGTGCAGGTGGCATGGACACTCCATCGTCTTGTTCTGCCTGGTCACCCCCCAACTCCAAGCTGACCTCTCGTTTTTGTCCCTCTCTCCAGGTAACGTGCTCGAATACGGGACTCGGGAATTCAACGAGATCGTTGCGGCTCAGAAAATCACCATCATCCCAGGCACACGGTCCATTATCGTGGTCGACATCCACCAGGTTGGCACATCTTGCGGCTTCTCGATGCCGTGTTACAGCTTTGTCAGTTTCCGGCCCACGCTGAACGATTTCTTCGAGAAGAAGCTGGCCAACGAAAAGGCGGGGAAGAGAAAAGATGGTATTGAGGTGTGCGTGTTCTCCTTTTCCATGCATGTTCCTGTTCCTATCATATCGTGTCATGTTGGGCCGACCCACAGAGAAAGAGAGGAAACGCTAATATCGAACCGAACAGATATTGGGCGTCCAAGAATGCTTGCAGTATGGATGGCCTTCCCGGGCTCAAACGCGGCGTCAAAACTGGCTCGATCGAAAAGGTCCAACCGATCAAGAAAATGGTCGGGCGCTATGCACCGCTGAAAGGCCCGCGCAGGCCACAGCGCGTCTTCACCGTCGGCCATCTGATTCTGGTGGCTTTGCTAAGTTGTATGAGTACAGCCATCGTCATCTTGGGTCTGTTGCGTCTCGGGATTGGGATTGCCAGCTTCAAACCAAAAAGGGTATTGGTCTGATGGTAGAATGCTATCTGCTGCCCATAGACTGGCCTCTGCCGCCGGTTCAGCCCGCCGTACCCCAGCCACGGCCTTGCGAGGATAGAATAAGATGCTCATCTCCATTGTCGACATGCGTGGTTTTCCCGATCTTTGATGCTGGAAAGGGGGTCGTCTCAGGCGTTTTGACTGATAGATCGGCGGAGGAGCTAGTCTCGTCACTGCGACTCTTTTTTCGGCCTCGAAATTCTTCCTCCATTCCGTCATCATCACTGTAAGCCGGTCCAGCATCCGGATATGGACGTTTCCTGGGGCTGGCACTGGCACTAGCAGATTTGCCCTGGCATGCCGTGTACTGGGCGAATCGCCAGCAACGTTCCGGATTACACAACTCAGTTTCCATCTGGTTGTTCATGAAGAGGCGCAGCTTTTTGGGGATATTCAGCACTAGAAAGCCTCGAAGCGTGTCGAACACCGTGTATGCGAATCGTGCGAACAAGAACTGGCAGACAGGTGGGGAGGCACGGATTTGATGTATTTCAACGCCGTGATAAAGATCAGCAAACTGTGAGCCAAGTTGGTAGTTGAGGCAGTACACAATCAATCGACCGTCCAGAGGTACGATGGCAAAACGCTTCGCATCAAACACGGTATGAATGTCGCTTCGTAAACGGATCATGTTGACTGGGGCCTTCAATGCGTCTGCTCGGGCTGAATTCATGTACAACGCCAGATTGTTATCAAACCACCTCCTTTCAGAGCTTGGGACCAAGTGTGCATCTTCAACGCCCTCCTCAAATTGTGTGACTCGACAAAGATTGGAGTCATTCGGTTGTGAAGTTTGCTTGAATGATGGGATCTGCTGCCATGAAGGAGGGAGTTTCCCATATGGAAAGCGCCAGTGTTCGAATGTCGGTGTCACAGCATAGTCCAGTTCACTCGGCTGCCGTGATGGGTGGTAGTAGTATGATTCTTCTCGTAAGATTTTTTCGGACGACGAGACAGAGTGTTGGCCCTCTCTGTCTGAGCTGAGAAAGCCGTCCCAGTGGTTGCCAACGAGAATTCCGCAAGCCACAAGAACAGTCTCATGATGAACGCCGCCTGCGTCGAAAGGAGGGAAAGCTAGGAGCGGGAGGTCCTGACCAGGGTGTTTGATGGAGATGGACAAGCAAGCAGGCTGTGAAATCGTTTTCTGTGGATGGGAAGGTGGCGGGTAGGGCGACCAAACAAGCGTGGGGTTCTCATTCGACATTCTGAATTCCCGCAACGGAAACGAATCAAGGTGTCTGCTATTGTGACTGTCACGGCGGACGTTGGAGAACCGTAGAGTGTCTCGAAACACGATGTGTTGCAGGCATGAGTATTGCAAGCATGAGTGTTTGAAAGTAGGAGTGGTGTTGCAAGTAGGAAGGAGTGTTGCTAAGTTCTAAATACACAGAGGGGTCCTCAAATACCCAGCAACGGCGCTAGGCTTAATCGGGCGAGTGACCTGCGTGAGTAGAGCTTGGCATCAGCATCATGACATCATGTGGGTGTAGTACTGTACTGCGCCAAAAGTACCTAGTTCGCCACACTTGTATGTTTGTAAAGAGTCAAAAGAGCTGAGCCCTTACAGTCTCACTTGCCACCTACTCGACACATCTTTACCGGTCAGATGAGAGTTGGCTAGTGATGGAAAACTCTTGAAAATGACTTCTCTGACACAAGCCTATCCATGCATGCTACTAACATACGTATACAATACGATGCCCAATTCAACGCCGGGCTCAGAACATCAATCCTTGGTGCATGCAGTACAGTATCCGTCCTCGCTGTGACCTCTGACCTCTGCTTCGTCCCAATTCTGCCATCCGACCATTGACCACTGACACCAACTACCAGGCCTAAATCTTGGTCCGTTTCGCTCCCGCCGCATCCATCAACGCATCGTCCTCGCGTTTGCGTTTGCAAAACTCCTCGAAACTGTTGCCCTCTTTGATCCACACGTCCTTGACTTCCCACGTCCGTCGATCCCATTCGGCCGCTTTGGCAGACCATTCTTTCATCGCCCGCTCGTTCTCTTCTCTGTTCTTGTTGATCCGGTCCGTGTATGGCTTTTTCTCTTCTTCCGACAGGGCAGCCCACATTTTTCCAAGCTCGATCCGGACTTGGTCGCGCTCGGATTGTTTGCTCCTCTTCCCAGTCCTTTTCCGTTCTTCTATCAGATGAGTCTTGACCCCTTCCCAATGCTCGCCGGAATACAAGAGGAAGGCATTGACCGTTGCTCTTTGAGGTTTCACCGGTGGAGGGCCAAGGTCGTCGTAAATCCGCACCCACATGGCAGCATCCCACGCTTCTTGAAGCGAATTGTCTTTTTCTTTGACCGGTCTTGTAAACGTGCCAGCAGGGAGTAGCTCGTCTCCTTTCCTTTTACCCCCTTGCACCATATGAGTGTCCATCAGTGTCAAGTCCACTGGGACAGAAGACGCCTTTTTAGGCACGGCAGGTGGCACCAGAGTTGGTGGGATGGCGACTGTCCCCACCATTGACTCGAAGACTTCATGAGCTGCCCGGAGACCTGATAGATATGCGCCATGTACAGTAGCGGGATGGGTGGCGATGGTGGCTTCACCGGCAAAGAAAAGATTCTGTATCGGGGCAGCAATGAGATCGTAGTCGCCTGGTCTGGCCTCAGCAGCGACGTAAGAGTATGTGCCCCTTGCAAACCGATCCGAACCCCACCGAGTGACGATGGATTCCAGCGGCAGTGGTACGTTCGGGGCGCCGAACACGTTTCGCAGCTGGGCCAAACATTGTCCAACCAGCTCTTCATCACATACCTTTTCTGCCTCGTGCGCCGCCTCTCCAGCCATCAGCGCGATCAACACAGGGAGACCACTGGTCGGGATACAGTTCCAAAACAAATAGAACTGGCCGCGACCCTCTTTGTAATCAGTCTGGTGGAGACCTTGTCCGGTGCGAGGGCCACGAAGAAGGCCAAACATGTCTCTGTCAACATCCCAGAAAGGCCGCTCGAAAACAAGGATGACTTTGTTGAGCAATCCAAACCCCATTCTCCTGATAGCATCGCGCTTCCACTGGGGTAAGGGAGGTTCGAATTGGATGGATTGCTGTTTCAGCACGCCCAGAGGCGCGGTAAAGACCACCTTGTCAGCCTCGATGGACTGTCCGTCCTCACATGTGATAGTGGCCCGGCTACGCGACCCAGCCGCACTGTACCTGATACTCTTGACCGGCTTGTGAGTTCTCACGTCAAGCGGTTCTGGGTAACGCCACAAGGCCCGTGGCACTTGTTGATATCCCCCTACGACTTGGGCATGTTCGCCCTCGAACTCGTTTCCAATATCCTGGTCCCAGCTTCGAAGGCTCAGCTTGTCCACGTTGGCGGCGTTGGCATACTCGAGGTTCGCAAAGTGCCAATTGATCAACCGAAGGGCATAGGGTTTCAGATCGAGAAACTTCTGATACTGATCAATACCAGTATCCATCACGGTGCCGAGAGATTGATTGAGCTTCATGGCGAGGTCATCAAGCTCAAGCGTTTCATCCATCCGAGTGGTCTTTCGGAGCAAGAATCCGAACTCTTTCGCGGCTTGTGCCGCAGGCAGTTGCATCTTGGTTTCCATGTTTGTGTCCACCTCTTCCGAGGACTTGTCACCCTTAGCGGCCCGATGGCCTGCACCTCGTCTTCTTGATTTCTTACTTGGCAACAACTGATCAATTGTGCCCAATGCAGTAGCTTCTTCGTATTGTTTGATTGTGAGCGACTCTTCATTGGGAGGATCACGCCCGCCATCAATGAACTCCTTGTCACCTTGCGCAGTCTTCTTGACGGTATGCTTGAGGCGGTAATGCCCGGTCCGGTCTAGGACATCATTGTAGAGCCGCTCGATCATCGCGTCGTTCACGCCATTGACCGGGGTACCATCGATGTCGTAGAGTGTAGAAAGGTCTCGGAGGAGGTGATATTCGAGGGCCAATTGGCCTCGAACAATGGCATTGAGGGGATTTCCGCGTTCGAACCCGACAATGATGTGAGCACCCATCTCTGCCGTGGGCCTTTGGTCGGGAGATAATTTTGAAGATCGCAGGCTAGTAAGTGGATGTGAGTAAATACGCCCACCTATTCTATCGCGACCTTCGAGGACAATGATCTTTGGAGGAGTCCGGTCTGGGTAGTGGTGAAAGAGATTCGTGAGTTGTCGTGCAGTACTCAGACCTGCCATACCGCCTCCGATCACCACAATGGTCTCTCGAGGGGATTCCTTTTTGCGACCTCGACTCACAGGCTTCGGCATCTGGGGAGGCTCAACGCAGCCGAAGTTGATGTAACCTCGCCGCAGGAGCCATTCGTACGCAAAACAAGCCAGGCGAGTCCATCGTTCGTCTCTTGCACAGCCAATTGCCTCTTCGAGGGTGACGCTGACGCTTGGGTTTCGAGTCCACAGCCTGAGAATGCCATTCCGAATGTTCAGATACACGGTTACGTGGGAGTAACACAACTTGTCCTGTAACAACTTGTGCTCATCTTCGTGCAAGGCATACGGATTCAGCCTCGATGCTTCGGCGGCGGCCACACATTGGCTGGCATATTCGGATGGAGATAACCGGGGTGGGATGGACGATTTCGCTCGACAGCTTGCAGGCGCCTGTAGGAACATATAGGGGCTTACTCTGTCCGAGCTTTCGGCTTTGGCCTCCAGCTTGAGTGAGATTTTGGTCTTCGGGTCTGCAATTGAGGATGCGACCGACCCCGAGGTCATGGAACTATTGGGGGAGTCACGGTTCTCGGTCTCATGTTGCAGACTTCTGAGAATTGCACCTGGTCCACCGGAAGAAGAGTCGTCATCGTCGTCGTCTTCTTCCATCTTCACCACGGAGTCCGAGTCGGAATCGTCGAGCACGGCTTGGCCATGGCTGGAATCGATCAGAATCGCAATCCCCTATATGCATACTTTGACCATGTTGGGATAACGTGTCCACTCGTACCTTGCATGATCCAAAATTGCCATCCCCGTCATTTCCATTTCAGGCATCATTGTAGCCATGGTTTCTGGAGGATTGGAAAGCGTGATTGCAGCCGCCATCGACATGTATTGGGCTAATGAATGACTAGATATTGGCAACCGCCGATGGGTAAGATGGTAAAAGTATGCCAGGGAGTAAATTGAATGATCGAAAGGAGTATCGAGAGAAAGACTCTGTGGGACATTAGCATCTGTTGTGGAATTGTGGGAGTATCAATCTTGTCGAGTTCTCGATACCTTGTGTGTGTACTCCGTACGGAGGACCTCTATGGGATATGCTCCACTGATATCTTGCTCTCGTCAAATTCCTGTGTCACTGCTGCCATGCAGGTCTCGTCCCGGTAGGTAGAATCCTCCACGTCGAGCGGAAAGAGGGTGTAGACGGGCGACGAAGCATTATCAGGCCACTGGGTAGAGGTGCGAGGATGGGTAAGAGTGAGGTCAAGAGAGATGGATCTGAGCCATCTTCGCCGCCACTAAAATGGCACCCAGCCCTCAAATGTCTCTTCTAACCTCAACCCACCAACGATAATGCCTCCGATGCACAGATATCATCAGCACATGTCTAGCAGAGGCTCCTTTGATGATTATCTCACTTCTAATGCCTTCCTAAAGCTCTCAGACCGAACCCTGATGCAGTTGGCCTCGAAGTCATCCCTCCTGCTCCTCCTGCAAACCCCTCATTGCTACACCTCGAGAGCTTCTCCTGCGCTGGCCTAGATATGCCCACTACAGCCTTGAAAATGAAGGAACTCATGAAAAACACCTCATAACACTCGTTTCCAGGCGTCCGTTGAGTGTCAGCCTCATCCGAATTTTAGCCCAACAACTTGGATGCACATTGATGACCGGTGAAAAATCTGCACCAGCTGCCATCTCAGCCTTATCCTTTTCATATCCACCTCCGCTGCCTCACCGACTCTTCCTAGAAGCTCAAACCCTTTTATATCATGGACACCTCATACACTCTTCTCATAATGGGCTACAGTATGGTGGCTTTCACAGTCTGTGACAGTCTTCAAGTGAAAGTACATATGCCTGCGTGGCCAAGAGCGGTACCCCCACGGTGAGATTGCCAGTTGCAATGTCCAAAAGTATCAACACCACTCTCCCATAAATGATCCGAAACTTATCGCCTGCTCCAAAACACTATGTCAATATTCTCGTAAGATGTCCGATTTTCCTGTCGATGCTCACAAAGAACAGACAATGCCTATCCTGACGCGACTGGGAGTACCCCTGTGATCACCCACCGCACCGTGCTATGCTCATAGGAAGCTGTGCTATCTTCAGCCTGACCCGGACCCGGACCTTCCGATCAGTCCAACGCCTCAGCATTGGGACACAAGAGTCACATAATAAGTTGAAGAAGGACGCAGTTGGTGGCGTTAAGAGTTTGAATGTGAATCGTGCTACAGGAACATATTCCACTTCATCTGGAATGTCATGTATACCATAGCATTAAGGTCTACAGCTAGCAATAACAGAGGTGTCCATGATTTTAGTCTTTGATTAGGTGTGTGGTTGTTTGTTCATTCGTGCACCCAACTACAAAGGTGCCAACGCGTAAGAGTGAAGGCGCAGGTTGCAAGTCCACACACTCCACGGCCTTCATGACCTCCACAGCCTATAATCTTACGTGCCAACCCACGAGCCTACCATACCATACAGACCGAGCCTCAATCGTGACTCTTGATATTATCTTTCACGTTTGTGGATTTGTTCCTCCTAAGCTTCTCGAGGCGCGCAAGTGGGGTTCAACTTGCCCGCAGGTGAGCATCATTGTTATTGACCGAGTCTCGATGACCTGAAAACACAGTCTCCAAACAACCACTGGCAACCTACGTACATTGGCAAACGAAGCGCCGACGATTGTCATGGCTTGTTAAGGATTTGATGTTAGGATACATCTGTTCCTCTCGACTATCTAATGACCAAGTCGAATATCTATCAGCCGTACATGTTTCGCTGCGCTACGAGCCATTTCCGTCTCCAGATCCAACGTATTTCGAACTCCTCCCTCTCCTTCAGAAAAGCCAGAAAGATGGCCACTGTCCAAGAATCGATCCCACATGTCATCAGAACCGCCGATGACCCTCGACAAGATGGTATCTGGACAGCTCGACTCAGCCAGATACAGCCTATCAATTCCAAGATACGCTTATTGAGACTCAGTCTCCCAAGAGATGGGGTACGTTCTTTTCTTCTTCAATGGGTATAATCTCGTGGCGCACTTTATGAGCATTGCCATCAAAGCAATCCAACGACAAGTCTGTAGGGTCAAGGTATATGTCGTACCCGCCGACACCGTTCCCTGCCTCTTTAGCAAAGTTTCACTACCTGGGCTCTGTGGGAAGGAGGCTCTACTTTCTCAAGACAGTCCTTGAAGGACGATCCGAGCCGTCTTCAATCATTGGATTTTGAGCAGTCACAGTTATAGGTTTTCTGATTCAAGTATTGTGGCTCACATTGAGACGAATCTAGTAGCCGCGCCTCCGCCATCTCCCAGGCCAGTACATAGACCTATACATACCCAACGTCGACGTTGTAGGTGGATTTACCATCACCTCGCCTCCTCAGGCCGCGATCCAAACACAGGAGGACCCTCACATTGAGCTAGCAATCCAGTCGTCCCCCACGAATCCTCCCGCGGCCTACCTATGGCGACCCGAGTCAGAAATCCTCAACTCCACTGTCACGTTCAAGGTCGGCGGAAACTTCATCTACCCGCCCCAGACACTGGATCCCAAGCAATACAGCCGACTCGAAAGAGTGGTCTTGATAGCCGGAGGGGTGGGGGCCAATCCCATCATGAGCATGATCTCCGCAATGCACGAAGCGGGCATCACGAACACCGCTGATGGAATGCCGCGAATCGTGAGAGTATTGTACTCTTCCAGGAGAGCAAAGAATTCTCAAGGCGATGGCGAGGAAGTCCTATTCGAAAGGAGACTGAGGAACATTGCCGAGCTGTGGAACGCCAGTAAAGATGTCGACTACAAGTACACTTTCTTTGAGACGAGCGGAGACCGTGCAGAGCAGGAAGAGCAACGGGAAAACGTTACAACCTGCTACAGGCGCATATCTCATGACGACCTCTCCAAGGCAATTGGACCGGAAAGCAGCCGAAAGGACACTTTCGTCTACGTCTGCGGATTGCCCACCATGACGGACGAGTTTGTGTCGCTGTTGAAGCACTCACCCGGAATAGATGAGAAAAAAGTGCTCTGCGAGAAATGGTGGTGAGGATAACATCTTAGGTAGACCAAGGAAAACAAAGAGCCTTGTAGTGGCCTTGGGCCAGGTTATTCTGGGCGAGAAGATGGTCAGATTCGGGTCTCGTGCCAAGTTAACCGTCCCTGTCTTCTTCGCCTCAGGTTGTACAGCTACCCTCTACCGACAAATCCATCAAGGCACACCCAAGATCATATGTAGCCTGTGCCAATCCCAACGCCGTGCGCGCAAAAAATGCCATTCGCAAAGACCTGGGCCAGGTCACGAAAATAACAGGGCCACGCTATACGTCAACAACAACCTTTCCACCATCCACGACGATCTGTTCGTCGATCCTACTCTCTGTATCACCCCATTCGATTCTTTTCCACGTCGTTATCCGGCCCTCATTCATGTCAAAGTCAAAGAACCTGACGCGGCGGTGATAACCGTAATAGCCAGCGTATCCGCCGAAGCCCGCTCCGCCGCCATAGCACATCCACAGGGCAGGCTTCTTCTCTTTGTTCAGCGCTGGCAGACAGTAGTCGTTGACGTGGTCGTGGCCACACGAGACCGCGACGATGCCTTCCTCGACCAAGGCGTCTTTGAAATTAGAGTTGTACGCTGGCGCCGTAGGGGGTTCGGTCCAGTTGCCCACCCAGGGAAGCTGATCCGGATTGCGGTACTCAGGCAGCGGTATATGGATGAATGCCAGGTCCATGTGAATATGTGTGTATTCTTTGTGTTTGCGCTTCAGGGACTGTGAAGTAGATTTGAACCAGTCGATCTGCGATTGCTTAAGCCAGTCATAGCCATGGTATTGGCGTTCATCAGGCGAGTAAGAATGCGTGTCGAGCATGTATAATGTCAAGGCGGAGTGGGAGGTTGAACCACGGCCAAGAATTTCAACGACATAGTTTCCGACTCCCTCAACGTCTTCAGGCCCGGCGGTAGAAAGTGAATATGGGAGGCCGTCCATGATGGCCATCGATTCGGCGCGGTCGAGATTGCCCTCATCGTCGTGGTTGCCGAAGATCCCGGCGTAAGGAATCTTGTATTTTGCGAACATCTCCGAATATTTGAAGATGGCTGTCTGCGCATCTGGTGCTGTATCGCCGTTCACTTGGTCCCCTGTCAGCACGACAAAGTCTGGTTTCTCGTTGTCAAGCAATTTCTCGATGAACTCCAAGGTGCGTGGGTCGGCTTCGCATTTTTGACCCTCTGGCAAAGCATCGCGGCACTTGCCCAGGCCCGTCGAAAGATGCAGGTCCGCCACCTGCATTATCTTAAACTTGCCATCTTTTCGAATTCGAGGTACAGGTTTCTCGACTTTTAGTGCCGGCCCCTTTCTCACAGTGAGCCGCGGCTCAGGTGTATCGCCATGAGCGTCAACAAAAAGACCCAGATCTTGGACCCGCCAATTCGAGCGTGGATCAACCGCGTCAGCCCCGAAAAGAACGTCGACTCCAGTCACAATTTTGCTCGGGTCGGTTTTCTTTGCGGATTTTTTAATCCAGATTCCACCAGGGCGGGACTCCCACCTTTCATCCTTTGAGAGAGGGTCGACGGATGATGGCTGCAGGCGACCAATTTTAATGTCATAGACTACCTCTTCATGTGGCCCTAGGGCGTCTTCACGTTTCCTCTCGACATGGAAGTAGGCTTTAGAGACATAACCACTGCCAAGGTATAAATCCTTGTTAATGCGATGCCAGTGCTCAGAATCAATTGAGCATCGACTGAAAGGATTGATTGATGAGCAGGTCACGACAGTCACATCGGTGACGACGAACCCGGGATGGTGTGCAGGCAGATGATTGTGAATGGCACTCGGGAGGACTCGGTATCGGTTGTCGAGGAAAAAGACGATAAACAGTAGGATTGATAGTATTACACCAAGCTGAATGCTGGTGCGTACCTGCGAGTATTGATCAGCGACTGAAAGTGGTGGACATTGAGCCATCTCGTACGATTCTCCTAGTCATGCTGGCATGTGGTTGGAGACCACGCCCGGGCGCGGGCTTGCTCTAGACGGACACACGCCTGGTCAACAAGCAACAATTTGCGCGTAGATGATCATCGGCTAGACTCGTGGAAAAGGGCGTTGGCGGATGGAAAGGTGCAAGGAACGGTTACACAATGCTGCATCTTCTGATTCTGTGGCTTGGATCGCCAGGATGTTGCCGCAAACGAATTAGAGAAATCTGGGGTTTCGGTCGACTTTCCGAATTCTGCATGCGGCTAAAAAAGTTTTGGGATTGCGGCCATGGAACCGCAGCGACGAACACACGTCCTTTCAGCACAGGAAGAGGAGGCCTGCAACTGAACGGGTGCAGTGTGGCATGTCCGGGGTCTTTCAGTTTCTGAAGCGAGCCTTTGGTTTCTCGACACGCCGATCCAGCAAGGATGTCCTTACAAATGTCCTGGCGAAGGACTTGACGCGCTTTGCGGGTATAACTTCCGACTTGTTCCTGGATGGACGACCTCTCTGACTTCTCTAAGAGGGCGATAGGGTGCTTGTGGATGACTTGCGATTAACAGCTCCCCTGCAGCGAAACTCCAAGTCTGAATTTCAACATGGCTCACTCTTTCATAATGACATTCTCGGCAAGCCACTTTCGCCTTTCTTTGTCCGATCGGGGAAGGGCGGGCTCTATAAGATTGATCATCCTTCGCTGGATCAATACGTCTCACTAACTCCGAGACTTGTCACGCCGGTGAGCTGGACATCGAAGGTTATACCACGCAGGGGCTTACTGGAGCAAGGTCTACTCGAACTACGCCTCCTCGATCGTCTCTCTCCTAGACATCCATCCCGCCCCATATGATGAGAGAATACCATCCAATGGCGCTTCGTCAAGATCGCTCGAGATATTAGAAGCTGGTACAGGTCATGGCAGCCTCACACTCCACGTTGCGCGAGCGATAGCGGCCGCAAACCCTCCCCCTCTTCACATCGAGTTGCCGCAACTCCATCCGGTTGACCCTCAACGCTCGGAACTAGCCGACAAGCGAGATATACAGAATAGCATCATCCAAGAATGGAATCGATGGAAGGAACGGCGGCGGGCTGTTTTGCATACTGTGGAAAAGGTGGTCGCGAATAGATTCCACGCGGAAAAAATCGTTCGGGGCTACCGCCAGGCGTTGTATTGGCCTCATATCGACTTCTACGCCGGGGATGTGAAAGATTGGGTTGAAGAACAATTCAAGCTGAGGCGTGCTCGTAAGTGGAATCTTCTGTCTAGGACCGAAGACAGCTTTCTGGACTATGTTTTGCTTGATATGCCTGGCGTACATAAGCAGCTCACGCATGTTCATTCCGCGATGCGTGACGGGGCGAAACTGGTGGTTTTCGTGCCCTCCGTGACCCAGATTGGAGACTGTGCCCGAGTGATCCAGGAAGGCTCACTACCTTTAACGATGGAGACGGTGCTGGAACTGGGAGAAGGAATCAGCAGCGGCCGGCGGTGGGATGTCAGAATGGTGATGCCGCGACGGGCCAAGGATACTCCCAAATCTGCGACGTCGACATTGGCTGAGCAATCAGAATCGGAGTCGGAGAATGAGAAGCTCGCCACTGCCAACATGAGGGATGGTGATAATAGCGTTGGGCAAGACTCGGCAGACGCAACCGCAGTTCCATTGCCGGACGAACAGCAGGATGAACCAGTCATGGTATGCCGTCCCTTGGTTGGCGAGCGGACGTTCGGCGGCGGCTTCATTGCGCTTTTCAGGAAAATCTCGCCCGAGTCTGCAGCGTTGGCTGTAGAGTGGCGGCGTGGCCAGACAGGTACGCGTTCCCCCCCCTTTGTTACTGTATCAAGCCAAAGAAACTCTCGATACTGACCGTACGCAGGGAGGGCCAAAAAGCGTAATCGCTAAATGTTGAGCTGCTGACCATGCTTCGTGCTGTAATACTTGTTATTGATAGGTACTCTTCGGCTCCCGAACCTTGAAGGACCAACCAACGAACTAGGCATTAGCAGAAACCAGACAGAGGAAGCATAATATTAGAAATGTATACTACTACTATACTGTATTCTCCATTGGTTTTCATTGGTCTCTCTTGTTGTCTCTACCTCTCAATAATAAGATAAGCTCTACAGACACTGGACAGTAGACCGGGACATGTCAAAAACCAGACCTATATCACCGACCGCAAAAAACAGACATATATCCCAAATCAAGTCCTGTGCGCCATTGACAATGCTGGACATATTCCTACCGATCTGCTTGCACACATCTATACCTCCTTTGCACGAGCTGGGCCGCCCCCCTCTCTTCCGAGACAACACTAGGAGTGTCAGATTCACTCCTCAAAGACCAAGAATATGGCAGTTCGGCTTCAGCTTGTCGATATTTATGGTGAGTTTGGCACGTTGGTTGCTTATTTCACACTGGCCGGAATAGCAGCTTTAGCCTTGTCCAGCACGTTTTCTGCAACGGGCATGGCTCTGCTCTTCAAGCCATTGGTCAACGGAGTTGTGTTGGTCTTCAACTTCTCCGCAATAGCCTTCAATCTCTTCTCTTTGAGGACACGGAAATAAGTGAAGAGCAGGATGAAAAGCAATTCCACTCGTTCCTTCGTCATCATGAGAAGACCTTGCACCAACAGACCCTTTACTAGTTGAGGCCCGATTCCTTTGAAGAGGGCAAGAGGCCCTTCGTGCTCGATGATGTAGGCCATGACCTCACTAAAACTCTTGAAGGGCTTGCCTTCGCGGGCTGGCGGAGGCCGGGATTGGAGTCCAACCTTTGCGACGATTAGTGGCTGGGTGGTCAACGTGGCTAGGGACTTGGAGAGAGCTCCGAGCACTGTGGGATGGTTAGTTAGTTCTTAAGAACAATTCTGCAAGGGGTCACTCACGAAAAGCCTCCCAAGGATGTAATCTGTCCCGTCCAGGGTACAAGATGTCTTTCAAACGCTGGTAGGCGCCATAGGTGATTGCTGGGTTGACACACAGCACTAGAGAGGCCTTCAGACCTCTCCATAGTCCGCTCCAGCCGTCCTCGCTGTGGACGACTTCTTTCCCTGTCTCCCAGAAGCCCTTCTTGTGGCCTTTCGGCTGCGTTTGCTGCCTTGTAGTGACGACTGCAACAGGGATCGTGAATATCTGTGCAATCGCTCCAGCGACAGCTCCCAAACCCAACTCGACTGCTGTGCCCGGATGCGTTCCTGGGGTAGTCTCATATTTTGTGTATAGGCCTCGCACCACCGAATACCAGTAGAAATACGCAAAGTTTGTGGAGGCTACACCGAGAAGCGCACCATGGAATCCCGAATATAGACCATGAATGCCCTCGTGTTCGATGATTTTTTTGATGGCGTCAAACGTCGACTCGTAGTGATGGTGTTCGGCGGTGTGCTCTACGACTTGGTTCCGCTTCTTGATCTGGACTTGTAACCTCGTCTTGACACTATGGTCCTGTTAGCTTCTCGTTACAGTGTAGCCATGTCTGGATCTTCGTACATATCAAGCGGGTATACCATAGCATTGGCGATAACTGCACCTGCCGCACCTGCAACGGCGCTCTCCCATGGTGCTAGGTCCGACGGCTTCGACATGGTCCTCTGCGACTCACAGCTGGGCTGTGGACAGACCCAAGTTCCCTTGAGACAAGCTTAGGCGACTTGTAGTTGGAAAGAAATAGTGACGTATCGAGGTAGATATCTATATGGCGACTGTTGCGCAAGATACTCGACTTTGGAGAATGATGTTGGCGGAGGACAATATGGTCGGCAGATCTGGGGGGTTGGAAACGACCACTAGCTGATAGGAAGGAGGAATGAAGAGAAGCATGCACACTATTACTATGAGAACATAATGATGGAGGGAACCTGGAGATCCTGATCTCCCCGAATGCTTGCCCGGGGAGGTGCACGGGGAGCATCTCTTTGGCGAATGGCTCGGAAATGCAGGCTGAGCGTGATGCCGAGGTACTGGCCATCCCACTTGTCCGCGAGACCGCCTTTCGGGAGGCTGGATTCCGAAACCCGGGCCGTTGCCGACTTTTGGCCTGACTGTACACAATGGTGCGGCAGAGCATACGGGCTGCGTAGTGCATACGGTGGAGCATATAACTTGTATGCGCTGGTCGTACTATCCTGAAATGACAGCCTTCCAAATTACCTAGGTAGGCATAGTACGACTTGGCGTGGGGCGGGTATGTCTTTCGAGTGCCATGGCACTTACCTGAGAACTTACCCTAGTACTAAGTAGTAACATGTGCAACACTCATATCTAGGTACTTCGTACAAAATATGTTCCTATTCGAGACATCGAGACCCTCGCTTATGGACGTTTTCTGTACCGCTGGACCGCTAAGTTATGGATGCGAAATGCTCAAGGCTCGAGAATGAAGCCCGCTCGATCGAGCAGACGATCCCTCGAGACCCTGTTAGCCGTGCCGCTCTTGAGGCTACCATCAAAAGCGCCGAGCTGTACCTCCAAGCCCTCCGCCTTACCGACACACCTTCCGATCGAACGAGGATCAATGCGAAGTGTAAACAGCTCCTGGCACAGGCGGAGCGGCTCAAAGCGCATCGAGATGGGTCTGCTCCTCAGAACCGACCTCAAGAGTCGAGTAGTGCTTCAAAAGCGCAACCGTCCCCTCGCGAACTCACCACCAGAGAGAAGATCGTGCTCCTCGAAGGGGCCAAATTGAACAGTTTCATCTTTAGAGAATGGACCGGCACACCTTCACCCGATGAGTTCACCCTCAAGAACGAGGAAAGTCCCTTCACCGATGCAACTCCACTCCCGCTGTCTTCAACCCAGTTGGAATCGTTTGACGGCTGGAAGAGGCCTCATGAAGCACTTTCACCGCTCGTAGGCCATACAAGAGAGCAGCTCCCATCTCGTGAAGCCATGACGCACTCGACCGAGAGTTTGGATCTTGTCCAGGACATGACATCGGACTGTTCAGTTGTTGCAAGCTTGTGCGCGCTAACGTCGAGAGTAGAACGAGGACATCTCAAGGTAGGCTTGAATTTGACCAACGTGTGTCTTATTGACCTGTGCTTAGGTGCTCCGTCCTGTTATACATCCATACGATTGCGAAAATGACCGCATATCCATCTCACCTAATGGAAAATACATCCTTAAGCTGTATTTCAATGGCTGCTGGAGGCGAGTTGAGATCGACGATTACCTTCCTACATCGAAGACTTCAAGGGTCCTCCACGTGATTGACCGCCGTCACCCGGGTTTGCTATGGCCGGCGTTGGTTGAAAAGGCGTATCTCAAAGTCCGAGGCGGCTACGATTTTCCCGGGAGCAATTCAGGTACGGATCTTGCGGTATTGACAGGATGGATCCCACAACAAATATTTCTCTACGACGAGGACTTCGATCCGGACCGTCTTTGGGAAGAAATAATAACGCATTTCCGGAATGGTGATGTGTTGATAACAATTGGGACCGGAAGACTGTCGCGGCGTGAGCAAAAACAGATGGGGCTTGTAGCAGAGCACGACTACGCCATCCTAGATCTGAATTCAGAGGGTGATGTAAGAGAACTACTGATTAAGAATCCTTGGGCTGATGGCGATGTATGGCGTGGAGCGGCGAGAAGAAGACCAAACCGGGATGACGACAACGATCCCGATACCACAACAGCAGGCGATGACATGATGCCCGGTACCTTTTGGCTGGACCTCAACAGAGTACGACTGCACTTCGAAAACATGTACATCAACTGGAACCCAGCTCTGTTCTCGTATCGGCAAGACATTCACTTTCCGTGGCAGCAAGGACTAACCGGGCCAACGGGTGACATCTTTATTGACAACCCACAATTTGCGATCAAAACACCTGATGATGGCGAGGTCTGGTTATTGGTGAGTCGACATTTCCGGACGGGGGACTACACCCAAGCAAGCGCGGGAAAGAACGGGTATATCAGTTTATACCTATATTCCCGGGACGGGAACAAGGTGATCTCCAGCAAAGGTGCAAAACTGCGTGGACCGTTCGTGGATTCCCCAAACACCTTGTTGCGATTTACGGCCACTGCCAGAACTACCTACACTGCAGTGCTGGTGGCGGAAGAACTTCCGGCAGGAAAGCTGAATTTCACCATCTCGGCGTTCTCGAAAAAGCCAGTGGTGTTGTCAGACGCCGAGCTTCAATACTCTCAAAAGCACAGCATTCAATCAGCCTGGAAGCCGTCAAATGCCGGAGGGAATTCAGATTCGGCAGATTATCTGTTAAACCCACAGTTTCGGTTCTCTTTGAACGTCGCTCAGAAGATCGCGTTAGTCCTCCGGGTCGATGCAGACGCCCAAGCTGAGGACACGTCCCAATCCCGGTCCCGGTCCCGGTCCCGGTCCGTCACTGGTAGGGACATCCATGTCAAAGCAGCCGTTGTCTACAGCGAAGGCTCAAGAATTACCCGACTACGAGCCAGAGATGTGATCGCGCATTCAGGCGACTACCGTCGAACAAATACTGTAATCGAGACAGAGCTGCAGCGTGGCAACTACACCGTGATCTGCTCGACATTCGATCGCAATCAGCACGCCAAGTTCAGCCTTGACCTGTACTCCTCATCGACGGATCCACATGCAGGCCTCACCAAGGTCCGGGAAGACGGCGATGGACGGTACAGCATCAAACCCGCTCCGGCGATATTCACCAATGGCGTCAACCGAATCCTTGCGCCATTGATAGTGTCGAGGTTGAGCCGTGTGACTTTCGTCGCTCGCCGTGATCTCTTTGCTGGTGTAGCGGCCTCCCAAACCTCGATGTTCAAAATGACGGTGGAGCAAGGCCAAGGGCCGTACAAGCGCGTCATTGCGAGCAGTGAGATCGATAGCAACGAGTTCAGTTTCGTGACGTCGTGGCTTAGGATTGAAAACGTGGATCTGCAGCCTTCCATGTGCGGGCCAGGGACCGGTGGATTATGGCTAGTCCTTGAACGATTGGCGCCAGGGGGCTATGGCGGAGAGGAGAGGCATGAGTTTCTGGGGGTTGAAATCTTCACAGACGAACGAATCGAATTGCGGCCTTGGGGTGTGGGCGACGGTTAAGTTAGACTTATATGCTTGTACGAGTAGGTTGGGTACCACCCGAGAAAATGCATACAGTAGCTAGTAGCTAGCTGCTCCAAGATCAAGTTCGAGGCTTGCTTCCATCCCAAGCAAGTGTGAACCTCTTTTAGCGTTGCGCTTTTTGATCTCCCTATTCTCAGCCAGCTTGCTTCATAACCAAGCCCTTCAGCCCCGGTACCAAGCCTCCATCCACAACTTTCATGCCGAGTCGCCTCGCACGGCCCAGGAAGCTTGCCAGGACGCCATCACCGCCACTGCCCAGCTGATACAGCCAATTCAGGGCATCCACTCCACCAGCCATCAGGAGGCCCTTCCCAAAGCGGTCACTCCCATATCGTTCCAGGACCATCGGGTCACCGAGGTCCATGCCATGTGTGACAGCATAGGCGATGGTGGAAGCAAGAGACTCGGCATCCGCTAGACCCAGGTTCAGGCCCTGGCCGGCGAGCGGGTGGACGGTGTGTGCGGCATCGCCGATCAGCGCGACCCGCGGGCTCACCAGGGTGGTGGCGTGGCGGAAGCGCAAGGGAAACGAGGCCAGCGACCCTTCCTGCACGCCCGTGACGATCGGCGGCTGCCTTGCCACCGGGGGTGGCGATGTGTGCTGCAGACGCCAGCGGAGTTCGGAGTCGAGCGTGTCAGGCGCCGACGCCGGGAGCGTGAACATGTAGTTCAGGTCGGTCTGGGACAGACGCAATGCCGCGTTGATCATCGACACCTGGCCCAACGGAGACAGAGACTTGAGGTACGTCGCGTGCTGAGGCGTCGTCGACCACACGAGCGACGCCCGGTTGTTGGGCAGTGGCAGGATCGCGATCGGCCCGCCCAGCTGGGGTAGGAACCGCTGGTAGGCCGTGGCACGGTTGGGCAGCGGCTCGTCGGAGAAGAGGTCGAAGCCGCCATCGCCATCACTATAACTACCACCATGGCGGGTGTCCGGGACAGACTGCACGGTCAGAGTCGCCACGACGCCGTGCCGATGGTAGTCCCATCCGTGCGACTCGATGCCCGCGAACCTGCGCACTGGCGAATTGAAGCCGTCTGCGCCGACGAGGAGACGGGCTGCAATGGTGGTGGACACATCTGAGCCGGCGGATTGGGATTGGGATTGGGATTTCGATTCCAGACCAAGCACCGGCCACATGGACAGATTGAGCCCATCACCATCGGCATTGGCATCGTCTTTGCCCATCGTGATGCTCGACACGTTCGTGCTGGAGAAGAGGGCTGAGTCGGCGCCGAGCTCGGTGATGCGCTCGAGCAGACCGCGGGTCAGATTGGTGTTCTCGGTCATGGTCGCCACCGTCTGCGGCGGGGCGTTGTGGCGCTGCGAGTCGGCGGCCCAGTCGAACTGGAGCGTTGCGTCGTTGGCCGCGTCCCAGACTTGCATCTCGTCGTACGCCTGCACCCGGCTTTGGCTGACGTGCCGCCACGCCCCGGTCTTCTCGAGAAACGAGACCGACGACGGCGTCAAGCTGCTGGCCCGGTTGGAGAACTGGTCGTCTGGAGAGCTCCATTGTCGCAGCCGCCCAAGGTCCTGGGTCTCGATCAATGCCGTCTTGAGATGTGACGTGATGGGCGAGGATTCTAAAACAGACAGAGTTAGACACACACGTTCAGCTTCCGGGGTTTGGGCCACGCTGCACGTACTCAGGGCGGCGAGGAGCGCCAGTCCCGCCGGCCCGCCACCGACTGTCACGACATCGTAGATCTCCGGCGCCGAGGAGATGCTGGATGCAAATCGTCTTCGTTTGAACGGGTTCAACGTCGCCTTGCGGCACTGTGCGCAGATCGCTGCTCGGCTGGTCGTTGCCGGTAGTGGTAGTGGTAGTCGCGCAGCTGTTGCCATTGCCATTGCTATTGCCAGGGCTGTGGCTAATGGCTATTATGGCAGCCAATCTTTACTCTTTTTTCTGTATCTGCCAGTATATCAAACTGCTGGTGAGGTCTGGCGGTGGAAAGTTGAGGTTGTCGTTTGACGTCGACGTAAGGATCTGAGATCTGAGATCTAAGGTCTGAAGCTTGATGAAATAACATGGAAGTTTGATATTCGGGCCCAATCGGGTCTAGTGTGTAGTCTATTCTGCACCCAATCCTCGATGCGCATGCAGCAACCTGTCAAACTTAAAGGTAGCCAGCCTTGCCCTTTAACCAGAAGGCTGCAGTGGTTTAGGCATACTATATCCGTACTGTTACTATATAGCATGCGCTCCCCCTGCGACCCTTTGATGGACAACATGGATCATTTCAACCTTGGACACAACCCAGCCAGGCTACATTTCAACCTTTGGCACCCCCGTACCCCTTTGATAGACAACATGGAACATTTCAACCATGGACACAACCCAACCAGGCTACAAACATTCAGGTACATCTATCGACCAGATCTCGGGCCGCTACAAATGATAGAATGCTAGATAATACGACATAGTACTGAGGATTACAATGGGTCAATGGAGATAGATATTGGTACAAAGGTCGAGGCTAACGGTGAGCATCAGCCCCCCATCACCCCTAGGACAGACTTCAATCTTGAGCACCAACCCCCCAACACCCCAGGACAGGCTTCAATCGTGAGCACCAACACCTCACCACCCCATGACAGGCTTAAATCGTGACACGTTGACTTGGAAAGACCATCCTGAACTCGACCATACCTCGTCTTCCTCAACCTTGACTTCTCTTGGATTTGGCAGCAACCCGACAATACGAACCATCGACATATGCCAAACAAGAGATTGGCGTTTCAGGAGATTGATCGTAAAATGCCCCGACATCGTGAAAGACATGATCCACCTCGCCGAACAAGACGACGTGATCTCCTATCTCAACCAATTTGTCCTCCAAGAATCGACAATGCAGTCGAAACGGGACCACGAGGTCGCCGGCTTCGTTCTCGAAATGAAGGATGGGCGGCATCTTCTTCAGATTTGGCTCAACATGGCTGACGAGCGCGAAGCTTTCCAGTTCGCCGTTGTCATCATGGAACGGGTAGCTGGCATTGCCCTTTGTGAATTTGGAGGCTATTTGGTGTGCCTCGGCCGCATCTTCGGAGAGGAGATGGACGTAGAAGTGGCCGGAGCTTCGGATGGCGTCGAAGGTCGAAGAGAGCTTCTTGATGTTGAACGATATCACCGGCCGAGGAAGCAAGGTGACGGTGTTGAAGGATGACACAGTGGCCCCTCGCCATGCTTTAGGGCCTCCTTCCGGACTTAGACTCAAGTCGGTTGCTGTGATGACGGCCACAGGATGCGGTACATGGCGCATCAATCGCCTCACCGCGTCAGACAGTTGGTTAGGGCGGGGATTGCCGGAGCCTGAGTTGAGCTTGTTCGCTTCGCCGGCTACATCTAATCGTGGACTTGTGCCCCCAGAGTGTAGTCTGGTTGCACTGGGTGCCGACGTGGTTCTGCCTGGGAGTGATCGCGGCGATTGCAGCCTTGCCAGACTTGGAGCCCTGGGAAGACAAGATCTTGTCTTCCAAAGTCCATCGTCGAGACTGCTGTACCGTCGACAGAGCTTCTGGAATTCTTGGGCTTGATGGTATTAGCTAGGTTCATCAGATGTGAGGTTTGATTCGAGCCGTACGTGGTGGAGTGGCCCGCTGTAGCCTAGAACAGAGGCGACTGATGCTGGCAAGATTGCCATGGCTTGACCGTGGTGTCATATCAAGCTGCCGATGGGTGCCGACACGTCCATGCCATCGCGGGCAAATTCAAGACTCGACCGCTGAAGAGACGTTCAGCAGAATAGAATGGTAGATGAAGTGAGCAGGGCAACTAAAGCTTAGGATGAGATGGTCCATTCACTGAAAGTGTTGGTAGATTCTCGTACCGGTGCTGGAAGCTCGCAAAACTTAAAGGAAGGTCACGTGGAGATAACCCCAATCTCCCTTATCGCCGCTCGTCGCTTCTTACCTGAAGGGGTAAGTTTCGGGGACGGAGCGCCTAACAAAAGGTGCCTGTGGCGCCTATAACTAGACCCCGTAGCCGCTGAGCAGGCCCGCAAGACATGTTCAGTTGATTTCCACCTCTTCAATCAACATACAGCTGGCAATCACTCTTTGCAATTCAAAGACCACGTATCGTTTGACTTGCCCTTTTACTCTACAACATGCAAGATATTGAAGAGGCAACCGTGCATTTCCGCAAATCGAACTTGACCGTCAAGTGGTTGGCAAAAGACCGATTGTCATTGCTTCAGCTGGCGGAAAAGTCAGGACTGACCCCGGACTATGGTTGTCGCTCGGGAGCTTGCGGCACTTGCGAAGTGAAGCTGTTGAAAGGCTTGATCGAAGGCTGCCTGGAGGGAGATGATGGCGTTTTAATATGCTGTTCCAAGCCCGCCAGCTTGGAGGTCGAGCTCGAGTTATGAAGTTATGACACGGCATTGCCAAACCACAGTCTGGTCGGAATAGGCCAGCGAGCAGTACATGATTTGATCAGCGAATCTATAATGGCTCATCCAACGGCCGAGTACCAGCTTGGCTATCAATCTGTCGCGTTTGCAGGAGGGTACAGAGGTACAAGGAACCCTTTCCAGGAAAATCTATTGCTGACGAACGCTTAGGTAGTCATGTAATATTTTCTGCTGGCTGCTGGCTGCTGGCTTGCACAGCTGACTGAGAATCATCGGTCTCTTGGTTGAGGCGGCCGCCATGACTGGCAGCGAAACCTCGCTCCATCCGTTTGTTTCCTGTTTCCTGTTTCCTGTTTCCGCAGCTGCTGCATCGAATGGCTGCACGACAGGCGTAGGCAATCGTACTAAACCGGAGGGGGCTGAGGCTGGAAAAAAGTGGTTGTGCAGTTGACATTGTACTTCCGGGCTCTGTGACCCAGATTCTTGTGGTTATTGATTGTGGTGATGATGACGAGCAGCCTTAGCCCTCCACGCCTTGTCAGGCACACCCAGAACAAGTCGAGGACTCTTGCAGTTCGCCTTGAAGTCAATGTTTGTTTTGAGTGAAGGACTTCCTTCCTGGAGTTCAATGTGATGAAATGGAAATGGCAGGCACTTCACCACCCTCGACCCTTCTTTGTTTTCCTACCTAGGTACCCTAACCTAGCTACTCACACATCCCTTCCCTGCGTCACTTTCGTGCATAGCATCACCCCCGACTCATCAAGCCATCGCTTGGTTGTCGACTGCCACAATACTTGGCTACCTTAGCTTCATCGTTGCTACTGTCACATGCTTATTGGCCTTCTGCGACATGTTGTTTGCAAGTCTTCGTCGCAGGACTGCTCCTGCAGTGGCATCAAGAGAGGCGCAGGGAGAGCAACAGATTCCGTCTGCGTATGACAGAGGTCGTTCGATTACTCTTCCTTCAATATCCCCTCGGAAAAGCTTATCCTCGCTATTGGGCTCGGCGAAGAGAGAATGGTCTACAACGTTGGTCTTATCCCTCACGGATGTCAGATCAGAGCTAACATGGTATGCAGACCTTCTCCAGTCAAGTCCGAGCCGGATGCCCTCGAGCGAGATCTGTATCCCGAGTATGATGCATCGAATTCGAATCACGATCCTCAAAGAGGCACTCGAACTCCCACAGTTGACAAATCCAGACGTTTTCGTCGAGCCCCAAGTCCACATCCCCTCAAAGGATCCATGACCTCGTTGGCGTCAAGGTTATCCCGATTAAATCGTGGAACATTGAACAAAACGCAGTCACAACCTTGCTTGTCGGAGCCATTCCCTCCAAGATCCTTTCTCGAGTCGATGGCAGACGCCATCAAGGCCCCGGCATCTCTGTTCTACAAGGAGAACAAACAAAGCGCCGAATCCCAGGAAGTAGATTCGTGCCAAAGCAACCAAAAACAAAGCCATAATGCAAGTCCAAAGAAATCCGTCCGATTTAGGCCCGGAAACTCAGTCATCGAGTCGAAATCGAGTTCCTTACCCATCGACATTCCAGAGGCACATACATCCTTGCCACCCGGCCAGTTGGAGACCACTCCTATACAGCAATGCTTCAAAACGGTCCTATCAGATCCTGTACCAACCGCACGACCTCCGGAGCCACAAATCATGAAATCATCCGCCGCGTTCCGTGAAGCAATCGCGACAACGGACCCTGCTGCCATTTTGAAGGATTTTGAGAAGAGTGAAGGAACCCAAACCCTACTGTGTGGGTTCCCACTTTCACCTGCTGAGCCGAAGGATACGCCTGATAATCCTTTCGAAGACCCATTCGACGTGGCAGACCTAGAAATAACACGCAACATACTCCACGAGCATGATCCCAGTTTTCAAGACAGAACACCACCGCCTTACCCGTCGGACTTCAATGCAGCCGAAAAAGGCATCCAAGATATTACTGATTCAGCCTCCGACGAGGGCAAATCGCCAAGGGTCCTACGGATTTGGAGTGAAATGCCAACATTCTCTCATATTGACTATGCACAAGACGCATTGCCCTCGAGTGGTCAAACTTCGCCTTCATACAGCCCCCGACATGTTGACAGCTCGAGGCAGTCCTGTAACTCCAATGAGCGGCTTCTCGGGTCGTTGGATGGCACACTCCCCAAACCTCAAGGGTTGGTATCGAGTCAGCCTGGAGACATCAACAAATGGCGCCGGAGGCCAACCCATGAGGATATCCGCAAGCGCTTCAGACAATCCACCTCCTGTTCCTCAGTGCAGTCTGACGAGGAAGCCTCGACTCCAGAACCAGCGTCCCACTCAATCGATCCAGACTGCCTCGAAGTAGCCGTTAGTTCTGTGCCTTCGAATGTTGTAGAACCAAGATGCCCGTCCGACACCATCGATGTTGTTCCAGCACCAGAAGGTGCACTAGAACTATCAAGAGCAACCCTTGACAAACAGATCCAGGGCCACGGAGTCCAGCCCCAGGATTTGGGTTTAGCTATATCAACAATCGCGCAAGGCACCTGGACTGCTGAGCTCGCCCTCAGAGGCAACAGCAAACCCTGCGACCAAGGAGATTACACACCAGTAACGATGTCATCGCAGGGGATGGCGTCTCAGCAAAAGTCACACTTCACAGGGTCTGCCTGTCGAGTTACCAAAGACCCAGTGAGCGGAAGTCCTTCTGCAACATCAAGACCGTCTGTCCCAAGATTTGCGCGTCAGGAAAATTTGCAGCGCACTCCCTCTCCTTCTTTCATTCCGCTACCCCTGTCGAGTCAACCAGCCGCACGCATACTTCAAGCGCCATATAGCGACCAGCATGGCTGGTCACCTTTCGAGGAGCATGAGTTCATCTTTGCAGCCCTGGCATTCATCCAAGGCTCAGACAAAGATTTTCGACAGCTCATTTGCCAGCCAAGTGGATTTTGGCAATTCTGGAATTGGTGCGACCTGCCTCAAGAGACTGCACCTTGCCAAAACACCCGCGGCCTGGTACTCTGGGAAATAGATGAACTTTTGAACACGATCAACGAGCAGAATCAGGCGCCGAGGTCAATCTGCACTCAAATGGTGGAGGATTTCAAATCACGGATTCGCCTGGCCTTTGTACGCAAACATAGGCCGCTAGGGGAACCGACCCCTCTCTTTGCATCAATACCCGCGCATCGTCCGGAGGAGACTGGAGAGACGTTTGATGACTGCACCACGACGGAAGGAGGAACGCCCTTGCTCGAACATGACGAATATCCATTTTATCTCAGTCTAAATGATGTTTCCGAACCAGTAACCGGTGTCAACTCGAGTTTGATGAATCTTGATCTCGCTGGCCTAGCTGGGTCTTCAACAAATATCGGTGTTCTGACAGAAGAGGAGAAGATTGCAAAGGCAAGCAAAGTATTGGAGAGCTTCGGATCCCACGGAAAGAGCCATGTGACCAAGACTGCCAGGCTCGGAGGTAAAGGCTCAACTCCCTTTACACCTGAAGCAGAGTCCAAGTCCAGGTCTCATTCACCCCTCCAGTCCACCGACCGAGAATCTACTAAGGATTGGAGTAATCGTACAAGGACTACCACTGGAGAAAGCAAATGGTCATTCACGAGTAAGCTAGCCCAAGGAGGCTCCGACAAAAGCAACACAACAACATGTTCGACGCCACCATCTGAAGTAATGGAAGAAGATGAGAAAATATGCCGAGGACTCGTCTGAGATTCAGCACAGCGGCATTCGACGGAATAGACGTTCCAGAACGTCGTGCGGGCGATTGAAGCGTATCTGATAAGAAGGCCGCATTCATTAGGCAGAATGGTTGACCCAGAATGGGATTGTTACAATTGATTCCAATCAAGTGAGTGCTATGGCTTGCCCAAGTTATCTGAGAGAGTATAGATTAGACAGAGATGTATAGTCTATAGCTGGTATAGAACTAGATTATCACGGAGGCCTAAGGCTTGGGTTCGCTCCCGCCCATCCCTTGAGCGGCTTCTCTGTGTTCTCTGTGTTTTTTGACGCTTCCTTCCAATCCCAAGAGCGAGGCGGGATCACCCGGAATGATCATGTCAAAAGTATCTCGAACCACGGCATATTGGTAATAGCCACATCTGGCGATGGGCTGAGTCTTTCCGACATCGATCTTGCCGTCGGTCAAGACACTCTCGTCGACATGGACGCCGACGACCTTGCCGATGACGACGTCGACGGTGCCCATGGGGGGATTGGCGGGCAGGCGCAGCGTCGAGTGGTACTCGCACTCGAAGCGGACGGGACTCTCGGCGACCATGGGCACGGCCGGCCTCAGGACGCGCGAGTAGACTTTCGTCAGGCCGGCGTGCTCGAACTCGTCGACGCCGTAGGGCAGCTGCTCGGCGGTCGTGTTGACGGCCTCGCGCAACGGCCACGTGGCCAGCTGCCAGCAGAAGACGCCCGTGGCCTCGGCGTTGCGCACCGTGTCCTTGCGCGTGCCTTGGGCGGTCTGGTTGGCGCTGAACATGACGTAGGGAGGGTCGAAGGTGAGGTTGTTGAATTGCGAGTAGGGGGCGAGATTGGCTCGAGTTTGGCTTTGGGTTTGCTTGTCGTCGTCGATGACGGTATTGTCGGTGTTGTCTGTTGGTGTTGGTGTTGGTGTGTTGGTGCGTTGGACATGGTCATCACCACTGGCTGCAGTCCCGGTGGAAGTGGACGTGGACTTGGATGTGGACGTGGACGTGGACGTGGACGTGGACTGCGGAGGTGAGACCGTGCTGATCCAGCCGATGGGCCGGGGCACGACGCAGGCCTAGTCGGTAGGGAACAGTCAGTTTCAGGTTCAGAGTCAGGGTCAAGGTCAGGGTCAGGGTCAGGGTCAAGGTCAGGGTCAAGGTCAGGGTCAGGGTCAGGGTCAGGTTCAGTGCCGGAGCTGGAACCGGTGTTGTGAGTTCTCCAATGGCGGAGAGGAGAAGTTCTCCCAAAGAAACGGGCAAGGGATCTTAAGAGCAAGAGCAAGGCAAGGAAAGGAGGTAAAGAGACCGCGGGAACTAGGTTGCACACCTTGAATGGATCGTGTGGAAGATTGTGCTCTGTGCGACCAGGCTCATAAAACATGGCGGCGATAATGACGACGACGAGCGACGACGTTGATGCCGGTGAGGACGCACTGATACCCTAAACTGAGGACGAGAAGAGTGGTCTTTTGCGTCGAGCAGGACAAGAAATCGAAATCGGTTTTCCAGGTAGTAGGTAGTGTGCTGTCCAGAGATATCGACGTAGACCGTAGACAGTAGACACGGGGGTCGTGGTTGGATAGTAACACGTAGTACAACGCCACGTCGGCAGCACCAACAACAACTTAAACACCAAGCACAGGGGAGAGACGTCGATGAGGTCTAGATCTCGACAGACTTCAAGGCTGGGTATCTAGGTACCTAGTGCCCAGGAGTCGTACACTTCACGTTGGTGGTTTCCCAACCGTCCTTTTGTCACAACCACTGCATGTAACATCGGCGCCTTTCCAAAGGTCAGTCGGGCATTTCAATCATTACCATTTGCGGGGGGCGGGGTCTTTTTCATGTACGAGTACGAGTACAGGTACCGTGGAGAGGATCATGATCCAGGATCAAGATCCAGGATTCCAGGGAGTACGGAGTAACCCCTCACCCCTCTCTGGATTGTACTCTGTACTCTGTACGACGTCAACGACGTCAACATCTCGAAATTACACGTACAGTAGCGTCGTCTAGCGCGCCGATGCACCGGCGACACCGGGCCGGAGTGACCATACCGGCCCTGCAATGGCTCCACAAATACGGAGTACTGCGTACTGCATCGCTCTATGTTGTGGAAGCTGAGGAAGGTCGAAATATATCGACCCACATAGACTATATCCGTGTGATAGTATGCGCCCTGATACTACTCGATGGCTCCTACCAGCTGGTACTGGCATGCTCACTCTCGGAATACTACTCGGATGTATGTATTCTGTCAATCTTTACCTAGGATTTGTCCCGGGAGCTATTGTCAATCTTTACCTAGGATCTGTCCCGGGAGCTATTGTCAATCTTTACCTAGGATCTGTCCCGGGAGCTCTTGTCAATCTTTACCTAGGATCTGTCCCATGAGCTCCTGTCAAAGACCCGCATATAGTGTACGTAAAGCCGAAGCTATACAAAGTATATACGTAAAAACGAGGCTGATCCACTCACTGGCCGACAGAGTCGTCGGAGTCGGTGGACTTTTCTGACCTTTACTTATGTAGATAAAGACATCGGTAGTTCACTCTGCCAGACCAGAGCTGTTCAGTCTGTTCCTACTTCATACTTCCAGGGCTGCTCAATCAGTTTCTACTCGTACTTCCCTTCCACCTAGCCGTCGGTAGCAGATTTCAGTGTGCCCACGTCGCTCCAGTATTCTGAATATCCTCCTGGTGCCTGCTTCGCTCAGCCGAAGCCCGCCAACATGTCATTTCCTTCATGGCAGTGCAAGCCTTTCTCATCGCTGTTCATCCTTCTTGCTTTCTACCAGTTCCTCTGTGTGCAACCTGTAGGCGCCGCCACGGCCACGGCCTCGACCACGCGACACCCGCCCCCCGGCTCTGTTGACTGCAACGCGAACACGACGGCTTCAACTGAAACAAGCTGCCCGTACCCAAACCAGGAGCAAATCTACTCGATCTTCAACAGCCTCCAAGGACTCCAACCCAACTACACGGCCTTTTTCGAGCACGTTGCCGAGAACGTGGATTGGACGATCCAAGGCACCCACCCACTGGCAGGACGCTATCAGAACAAAACAGTCCTCGAGAGTACGTTCAAGCGTATCACTTCAACCGCCGTGTCTGGCACGTCCTTTGCAGTCTCCATCATCCATATTGTGGGCGGTGGCTTGGAACAGTGGTCCGTGCAAGAATTGGAAGTCAAAGGAGTCTGTCAATCAGGTAGGTATCAATCACCTTCACCTCCCACCTTTGCCGTGCTTTGAGCTTGATGTTGTCAGACATCCCACCCTTGCCGTGCTTTGAGCTTGATGTGGTCAGACAGTGTCTCCCACTTGGATTGTATTCTAACACCGCTCAGGTCTGGTGTTCGACAATCGGTACGCCTGGGTCACGAGATGGGGTCCTGGAAGAATCATTGTCGAGGCAAGAGCTTACCTCGACTCGGCACTTGTGGCGACCGCGCTCATCCAGAACGAACTGGGTCAGTTCACATATTCGGATCCCAGACCGGATATCATTCCCTGGACCTCTTTGACGCCACAGGAGCTGGAAAGAGCTACCGGGTTTGACAGCACCGACATATAGAGAATAGGGGTAAGATAGTGGTGCTCTAGGCCCGCCACCTTGGTCCATCCCATCTCTCCTCGCCGTTTCCTGTCGGCGGGATAGAACTGTGGGACGAGGGAGGCCCCGACAAACCTTGTTCCTTGGTGTGTATCCATGGGAGGTGGTGTTGCAGGCAGTAGTGGTTGAGGATAATACTGTGCGCATACGGTGCTAGACTGTCTTTTTGACTTCTGTATATCGCGCTGTCTCGGTGTCTCTGTCAACTTTTCCATGGAGTGAAGTTGAGCCCCGCGGTCACGTGCTTATCTAGTCATGTGACCCTGCTAAATCCTACCGATACGGTCACGTGCCATGTGCCATGCTGACTGATTCTTACCAAATCATCCATTGCGGAACAGCTTCCGTGGGGGCGGCCACCTTCACGGCCACGTTCTTACTCGCTATCTACTCAGCAGCATTAATTAATATGGCACCCGACCATGAAGCCATCAAGATTGACAAGATCTTCATAAGCCGGCTATTTCCCTTTGGCCATCTACAACACTGCTGAACACCTACTGACTGATACTTACCTGACCCCTTCTAGCAAGTTCGACCCCCAATCTCCAGCTTTCATGCCAGGTATAAGTAGTTTCATTTCATTTCCATGAACCGCCTCCTCTCCATTTTGATCACCATCATCGCCGCAGTCCTTCTCGCATACATTCCAGTCAACCTGGCTTCTACAAAGAACCTCTTTCAAAGAGGCCAGCCAATCTACAACAGAATCCTCAACCACGCACAAACAACAACTGCGCGAGCAACACCGTTTCTCGGACTTCCCCTGTTCCCTTCTGCTCGTCTCGCATCCACAGCAACCACGACCTCCTCCAACATGACGACGGCGACACCACGAGCGATCAAATTCTCCTTCCTCGCGCGCGAACAGGCCGAAGGCGCGGGCGCGCGAGTGCGCCGCTCGATCGGCACACCCAAGCTGCGCAACTTCACTCCTTTCCTCATGCTGGACCACTTCAGCATCGCTCCCACCGCCGGCTTTCCTGACCACCCGCACCGCGGCCAAGAGACAATCACATATCTACTCAAAGGCGGGGTGGACCACGAAGACTTTGCGGGCAACAAAGGTACAATCTGGCCGGGCGACCTGCAATTCATGACGGCCGGCAGAGGCATCATGCACGCCGAGATGCCCGTGCAGGGTGAGGAGCTCATTGCCGGCTTGCAGCTATGGGTGGACTTGCCGGAAAACCTGAAAGGCTGCGAACCGCGATACCGTGACCTGCGCGGTTCCGAAATCCCCGTAGCCACCACGGACGACGGCAAAGTCACGGTCAAGGTCATCTCGGGCCGCAGCTTGGGCGTCGACTCGTTGAAGGATCTCGCGTACACGCCCGTCTGGATCCTCGACATGACCATCCAGCCCGGTGGCTCCATCACACAAGAAATCCCACTGGGCTGGAATGCCTTCGTATATACCCTGGAAGGCGTCGCTAGCTTCACCAACGGCACGCAGAAACCGGCCCAAGCCGTTCCGCCCTACCATAATGTCGTATTTGAGCAGGAGGGCGACGTGATGGATGTCTCGGTTGAAGACGGTGCGTCTGAAGCCGCCCGGATCATTCTGATTGCCGGCCAGCCGTTGAATCAAGAAGTCGTCCAGTACGGGCCGTTTGTCACCACCAGCAGAGAGAAAGTCTACGAGGCCCTGATGGACTTTCAGACCGCCAGCAATGGCTTTGAGCGGGCCAGGAACTGGGAGAGTACCATTGGCAAGCGGTTAGGACATGTCAGTTGATTGAAGTTACACTAAGTGGCCAACAATATATTGTCTGTGTGGCTTTTTGTCAGTGGTCAGCATGTGGAGTGGAGTGAGCTGGAGTCTAGAATACCCTTTTTTACGATATAGGATAGATCACGAAGTACTATTGCCCGACTATATTACCCATTTTTACGATAGAGGATGCATTAGATCACGAAGTACGGAGTACTATGACCCGAAACAAAGTTCACACTCACGTTCACGTCAAGGTTCAGGTTCAGGTTCACGTTTCACATTCACGCCGTGGAAATTCCAAGTCCAAGTCCAATTCCAAAACAATTGGGCTGGGCTGGGCCATTGGCTTCTAAATTCCAAAAGGGTGGTTTGATTTGATTTGATATTTGATCATACAATCGATTGCCATTTTTGAGCTTCTATCCCATAGCGTTGCACCAGTATATCATACGTAGAAGGAGAGGATAGCATTGCATCAGCATATCATGTAGAAGAAGGAGGCTTTAATATTTGATCATACAATCGATTGCCATTTTTGAGCTTCTATCCCATAGCATTGCACCAGCATATCATACGTAGAAGAAAGAGGCTTTTGGGTTTGGCGTGACACGCCTAGCCATGCTAGGAGATACACAAGACAACACAAGACACTTTGCAGTAACGGTACCAGGGCGTCCTCTTTTCGTCGTCGGCAGGGTCCTCTATTCGTCGTCGGCACCGTCCTTGCCATCGGCCAAGCCGGCGTCGGACAAGCCGTCCTCGTCATCCTCGAAAGTGTTCAACGGCACGTCGTACAGGCGGATAAGAGGCTTGTTGGGGTCCTTGACCAGCACGAATTTCTTGTCGGCGTCGTCGCCGTCGCTCAGGCCCCTGACCAAATCGACGATGGTGCGCACAATGCCCCAGCCGTTGCTGAGGCCCAGGTTCATCTGGGCGGCGAACTCGCGCGGCTTGTAGCCGACGACGCCGAGGATGACGTGGTTGGCAGCCGACTTGGGGTTTGCGCGCGACACGAAGCCCAGTTTCATCTGGTCGGCCTTGCCCAGGATGGCCTGCGTCGTCCAGCGCGCCAGCTTGCACGAGTTGTTCTTCATTTCGGTGGCGACGACCGCGCCGCGCTGCGAGTTCAGCTTGGTGCGCCAGTCTAGCGCGCCGCCGGCGCCTTGGGCCTTGTGGTCGAACTCGTTGAGGGCCTTGATCACCAGGAACTGGTTCTCGCCCGAGATGTTGTTCTTGGTCGCGGCGTCGAGTTCGGTCCGCACAATCAGATGCAGGGGCTCCTCGTCGCGTTCGAGGGAGAGGTCGAATCGGCGGTACTTGTACGCCTTGGACGCGAGCGGTTCCGTCTCCTCGCTGGCGCTGTAGAAGGGGTTGGGGTGAGGGAATTCAATCTTGTTGTTCTGGTCTTCAATCACCACCTGGAGAGCGAAGTTGTGGTTGATCATGGTCGCTTCATTGGCCAGGTTGCTCGGCGTGTTGATGCTGTCGGCTTTGACGCCCGTCTGTTGTTGTGACGGCGTGTTGGCCGAGTCGGCCTCGAGAGGGGCGTCGGCAGCGTTCTCGTTGACCGTCACCAAATCGATGCTGCTGTCCGGTCGCTTGTCCAAGAAGATTTTGTTGCCTTGCTTCAGAATCACTATGTCCCAGCTGTACACGGACCGGGGCGCGCACATCAGCATGGACAAGATGTCCGAGGTGGCAAAGATGGTCGCCTCGTCCTTTTCGGCCAGTTCTTGGATCACAGGGTCGGCCGACGTCGTGACATTGTAGGCGGCGCGGTCTAGCGACAGAAGCTTACGCTCTGTGTTCTTCACCGGCGCTTTGTCGTAGGTGCGGTCGTAATAGTGTAAAAAGCCGTAGCTGTCAAGATCGTCGCCCTCGGACGTCTCAAGATTGAGCTTGTGTAGGCGGTTGAAGTCGATTTCCTCTTTCATCGCCCAGTCCGGCCGGATGTTGACCGATGCATCACGATTCCGCTGAGGCTTGTCGTAGTCTCGCCAGCCGAATCGACGGCCCCGTCCACCCCGTCCACCCCTACTATCATAATATTGACCTTGTTGTTGACCTGCATTCCGGCCCTGTCCGGCTCTTTGGAACGTTCCTCTTCCTCCACGCTGGGCGCCGCCTCGCTGGCCTCGGCCCCGGAAGACTGCTATTCCACCACGGCCAAACACACGAGTCTTGGTTGTTGTTCGAGTATTGTCGACAACGGAGAAGGAGGACTCGTCTTCGGCGACCTGGACCGCGAAAAGTGAGGATGTTCCAGCACCGTAAATTTGTTGGTCTAGACATCAATTTGTGTCAGTGTGATTGCCATTGCCAGCAGGAGTAGAAGAGCAACACCCTACCTCTGTAGTTTCGACCGTATTGTCTCCCACCTCGATCTCTTCCTTCTTTTCCTTCCTGGGTCCAATCGGCCATGCGACCGAGTTTGTCACCCTTGGAGTATGGAGCGTAGGGAACTCCATCAAGAGTTGTCGAGGGGGTGATTTCGGGGCCCCATTCGTCGTTCACGCTGAGCTGGTTGATGGTGTCTGCAAGGCTGATTCCTGCCATGATGGCGATGGCGACTGATCAGAGGAGACAAAAAGTAAGCTGTAGAGTCTCAGTCTCGCCGCTGGTGGTCAACACAATAGCGAATGTCCAGGCCACCTGCGCAGTGCAGTCAAGTCAGAGCCAGTGGGTGGAATTCCGTCTAAATCTTGGCGCCTTGCTCAGGCTAGGAAAATCTGCCCCGAGGTCACGTGCCGAGACCAGATCCCATCCCGCTGGCCGCCGCTTTAAAGCCAAGGCCTCGTTCTCCTTAATGACGAGTTACTCCCTTAAGACACGGCTCTCCGTATAGAGTAGTGACTAGCTACTTGTATCTTGATTCTCCACCAATCTACTACTCTGTAGTGCTTCCTCCACGCAATGCAGGAGATATTGCTTTCAATCCAGCATACGAAGTTGGTGTCTTTACAAAATTCTATTTAGTGAGCTTGCTGAAAGCCTTTCAAGCAATGGTCAACGGCTTCGGCAGCCTGGAGCAAGCTTTCATCATGCAATGGCCTAGCCGATAGCTGAATGGAAATCGGGGCCCCGTGACTGACTTGGGCGCTGTCTATAAAGAGGGTGTCAACAAGATAGAACTCAAGCTTAGCAATGGAGTTAGATTGCTTTTGTCACACTCACATGGATGTTCGTCGTCAGAGACTGCAAGACTATCCATATCAATTGATTTGTCCGCTTTCAAGTAAGGGATGACAACCGAGGGGTACTGAATCAAAAATTTCCAGTCAGCAACAGGACAGTATAGACAAGTAGGTATGTGTCTATAGAGAAGAACAAGAAGACTTACATCAAGACAGTTCCAAAGTGTCGTGTATGGAGAAGTGCCCCAACTATCATGCAGCGCAGCCGTTGTCTGGGAGGATGGCCCGAGGATCAGATCCAAGCGATTGTTGACCCAAACCTCGTTCCATCGCTCAATGAGGTCTGCCCGGGCACAATTCAGGTCGAACAACTCTTCCATCGTGTAGCCCTGAGGTTTCTTGTCCGTGAGGCCCAAGGTCTTGCGTACGGATGGCACCATGGGCTCTCCGCTGGCCGTGATGTTCTTCAGCAACGTCTTTGAGTTGTCGAGCGAGAAGAAATCCGAGGCAATGTCCAGAGCCTCACCAGCCTTGGGGGCCGAGTCGAGAAAGACGAGCTCAAATTGATGAGGAGTCTTTGTCAGAGTGTCCACGGCGGCCGATAATGCCCGTCTTACCGGTGGGTGGACGGGGTACTTTGGGTCCTCGACGAGCACGCCGATTTTATATCTCGCTTGACAGCTCACTTATGGGTTGGCGAGTGTCAAGGAGGAGGAGGAGGATGTTCCAGTCCAAGGGATGGCCAAGGCTGACGAGTCGCGATTCCACGGGGACCTAGACAGCACGGCCGACATGAACAGCGTCAGATCTCGAAACGACGTGGCCAAAGGCCCTGCACAGGCTTTGAAGCCTGGTGATCCCGCTCGTCCAGGACTCTGTTGCCCGCCGTACAGCACTCGATTCCCCGTGGGCTTGAATCCGTACAAGCCACAACACAATGCTGGAATGCGAATCGAGCCGCCAATGTCGGTGCCCACCCCCAAAAGTGAGCCGCGAAGAGCGATTAACGCACCTTCCCCTCCGCTGCTGCCTCCAGCGTTTAGGTCGACGTTGTGCGGGTTCAACACACGGCCGAACACGTTGTTATCCGAGTCTCCTGTCTAAACGGCAAAAACAACCGTCAGCAAATTGTGCAATACACAGTATTCGAGATCTGGCGAGATTGGGGAAATGGAAATGGGCAATACCCGTACCATCAGAGTCTGTGGAACGTTGGTCTTGACGTAGATGGCGGCACCCAGCTCAAGCAGGATGCCAACCAAAGGGGCATTTCTAGTCGCTTTGGTTCGGCCGATGAAAGAGACATATCCCAGAGTCGATTCAACGCCTTCGACGTGGAAGGAATCCTTGGTGTTTGCCAGAGGCCATCAGTTACTAGTAACTCGGCTCGACGGTCTTCAAAATCAAATACCTTCACGCTGATGGGCAAACCATGAAGTAATTCGCATGTTTTTCCCTCTCGCTTGTAGTACTCGTCCAAGTAGTTTGCTCGTTGGATGGCTTGTTGAAACATGATCTCGGTGAGGCAGTTTGTCTGTGTCTGTCGTCAAATCTCTAGCCCCTTTCTAATCTCGTTTCGTAGGTCAACAGACTAGCTGGTGAGCGGTGGCTGCTCTCTTGCAGAAGGCTGTAGTGACTTCTACCGCCGTCAAGTCACCTTGGGCCAGCAATCTCAGCAGCGCGGTGGCATCGTAATTCTGCGTGATGGCTATTTCACTCTCGGTGAGCACTCCACACGTCGCTGGTACATCGAGCAAAGGCTTGCCGCCTTCTCTGTGCCTCAGGATGTCTGCCTCGGACAGACGCCATTCCTGAGGAATCAGACTCGACGCTGATTCTCTCTTTTCTGCTGCAATCACCTGCCACGGTGTTTTTGGTGTTACTGTAGTTGTTGTAGTCGTTGACATTCTTGCCGACGTAAAGCTGCCGTTGTTGTTGTTGGTTACTGGTGTTTGAATACTAGTAGATGGTGTGCTCAACATACAGGGTTCACTTTTGATAAGGCTGAAGATCCGCTTATCACTTTCTGGGAGCATTTCGGTGAGAGCGCTGCCTCTTCCGATATATCTTCGGGAACCCGAGTTGTTGCAAGAGGTCCGATAAGAGACTCCACGTCTCGACCGGATGGTTCCTAGTCCCATGTTAGCATGTATGTGATGGTGGTGATCTTATCTCCCATTTGTGGAGTGACAGTTGGAGTCGTTGGTCAACCTGTATGCTTTCTGTATACCTACGTACTAGGCATGTTCTATCCGACCTGCACCATACAGCAATCATGAAACAGTGGGGCCGGCTGTCAAGACTGCCTTTTTGGGGTAGAACGGCAGCCTTGTCATTTCGTAGGCTGCAGTGCCTATCATCATTTTGTGGATCCATCATCTAGACAAGTACAGATACAGCAGTACCGTTCGAACCTGACCCCAATCCCCGAGTTTTGATGGAGGACTGGATCATCGCTGCGGCAAGAAAACCGTGGGCAGTGCCTTTATACTCACGATATGAGGGGAAATCAGAACTTGAGGGTCCCTTATCTTGCCATGAAAGCGCCCTACATACCAATCTGATCGCCGTACGTCAAGATAAACACATATAAAGGTTGGTGCTCCAACTTTGGCATGGTTTGGCAGACAGTACACCTGGTTAAACATGGTCAGAAACCCGATCAGATTGGAGATGGGAGTTCCATGCCAGTCACTCTCCATACTATGTATATGCAGACTGCAGCAGACGATAGATAAGTACTTACACACGCAGTAGGAGGCAAAAGTCGGTGAGATTGGGGCACCTTTGCCGTATGTGTTCGCTTGGAGTTGGAGATGCTACGAGTATCTTGTATCTGCCGATTGCTGCTATCTGTATAAGATCCCCATCAACTCCCAGCCTCGCCCTCCGCGATAGTTCAACTCTCTTTCTTTTGTTTCTTTCCGTGGCAGTGAATCGGCTATCATGGCCATCAAAGAGATGGGCGAAACCCACTCTGTTCAGTATGTGATGAACCAATCGCACATGTGTTATCCCCTAGTTCTAATGTAAACCTCCACCAGCCCGAGTCGGGTGAACCAAAGGTCATCGTAGAACATCTGAAAGACGGGCTCACTGAGACCATCCATGAGAAGCTCAAGGAATGTTGCGCGGTCAAGTGGGCAAGTAAGATCATCCTTTTTACTCTCCTGGCCCTGACACGGCTAGCCTATACTGATGCTGGTGCTGATGCTGACCTACTGGTATGTAACCAGGGAAGTCAATCCGCTTGTTTTCGTGTCTCGAGAACAACTCATCCAAGATGTCGAGGACTTTGCGAGTGAGGCGGACATGATTGATCTGTTGCCCATCTTGACCAAGGGTGCACTCGTGGCTAAAACTCCGGAATTGTTTCAAGATGTGGAAGGGCTCAGCAGCGACGAGGTGGAAATCCTGAAAACCGAAGTCACTCATCGATGGAAACTCTCCAAAGGCCTCTATTTTACAGTCATTCTCAACTGTATCTCGGCTGCCATCCAAGGATGGGACCAGACCGGTAAGGTCCACACCCACGAAGACAGATGGGATGCTGGCGGATATTGACTCCCTTTGACAGGTGCAAACGGTGCCAACCTCTCCTTCCCGCAGGCGTTTGGTATTGCCGATAGCGGGGCTGAATGTGAAGCGGCCGGAAATTGCGGCAGTAATAGCTGGCTGATCGGCTTCATCAACTGTTGCCCCTATGCAGCCATTGCCATCATGTGAGTTTGTCGACTCGACTTAACCTTGGACCGGGCCGTACTGATATTTCATTCCTAGAGCGGTGTGGGCCAGCGATCCGCTCAACACCCTCTTTGGGCGAAGAGGTACCATCTTCTTCGCGGCCATATTCAGCCTGCTCGCCCCAATCGGCTCGGCCGTAGCACAGGACTGGCCTCAGCTGGCCGTCTGTCGACTGCTACTCGGGATTGGCATGGGGCTGAAGGAAGTGACCGTGCCTCGCTTCTCGACTGAGATTGCCCCGACCAGCGTCCGGGGCGGGCTCACCATGACCTGGCAGATCTGGAACTGCATGGGAGGAGTGTTCGGGTCTGCGGCCAACTTGATCCTCTATCGCATTGGCCCGATTTCGTGGCGTCTGCAATTCGGATCGGCTTTTATCCCTGCTGTTCCTCTGCTCCTGGGAATTTGGTTCTGTCCCGAGTCACCTCGTTGGTACATGAAGAAAGGCAGATACAGGGACGCTTACAAGTCCCTGCTCCGGCTTCGAAACGGTCCGATCCAGGCTGCACGGGATCTGTACTACATCCATGTCCAAATGAAACAGGAGGAGTTTTTGATCCGTGAGAGCGAGTGGACAAAGGCCGACAACATGCTGACCCGATTCACTGAGCTCTGGACCATCCCTCGAGTCCGGCGAGCCACCCAGGCCGCCAGCATTCTGATGATTGCTCAACAAATGTCTGGCAGTGAGTTTGACCCAACCCAACCCATCACACGAGCCCGTCTCTCTCTCTCTCTCTCCATGGCCGTACCTTACGTCTGACATGAGGCAGTCAATATCATGGGCTTCTATTCCGCCACCGTCTTCACACAGGCCGGAAGCTCTGTGCGCGATTCCCTCCTTGTGTCCTGGGGTTTTAACATGGTGGCGGGCGCCTTCACCGCCCCCTCTCTGTGGATGATTGACCGCCTGGGCAGACGTACTCTGTTACTGTCGACGTTTCCCAACATGTTCTGGACCCTGTTGGCCGCTGGATTCTGCTTCTACATCCCTATCACGAGCGAAGCCCATTTGGGCCTGATCGCCTTCTTCGTCTTCCTCTTCACCGCCTTCTACAGTCTAGGCGAAGGCTGTTGCGCGTTTGCCTACTCTGCCGAAGTCTTCCCCATCACTCATGCCGAGGTGGGAATGTCGTGGGCTGTTGCCACCAACAATTTCTGGGCCACCGCACTCTCGCTGACCTTTCCGCGAATGCTGACCGTCATGGGGCCCACGGGCGCTTTCGGATTCTACGCAGGATTGAACATCATTGCCATGATCTTTATCTTCCTCGCCTGCCCCGAGACCAAGATGCGGTCGTTGGAGGAACTGGATATGGTCTTCTCCATCCGGTCGAGAACTTATGCAAAGTGGCAAGTGTCCAAGGTCCTGCCCTGGTGGATCAAGCGTCGCATCTTGTTCCAAGACGTGGGACCTTAACCACCGCTCATCTAGCCCGACATGTATAAACTCGTACGGTACAGCAGGAGGGTGACCCTCCTCCAGACTGCAGACTGCGGAACCAGTCCTCAGCATATTACTGAGTCACTAGCTCTTTTCACCGCGCATTTCATTGTCCAGATTCTATTTCGTGCATCGAGTCTACTATATGTCAAGTACACTAGATTCTGTAGAGACCAAGCCAGGTATAAGAGGAAGAAATAAATACTAGATGGATCAGATCATTACTTTCGTCACGGGTTGCAGTCATCAAGAGATGCATCATACCTAGATATTAAGGCTCTATGTCGCTGTATGCCTGGAGTTGGAAAATTGTGTACGGAGTACATGGGATAAGCGACCCACCGCCATGTGTACGGATACTAATTAGGCAAGAAAATGTAAGCCTCACTGAAGTCTATCCCCCATTCAGACGGAGAAAGCCGCACCTATCGAGGCGCAAAGAACACATATACGGATACTGATAAGGCTAAGGCGACGACGACCCAACTGCTTGGTTGAGCAAGCTGACAGTCAACCTTATCACTGTAACTACAAAATCTTCGAATACTGTACTGAAGGTTAAAAATACCTCAAATAATCCACCTGCCCTGCCCCTGCCCTGCCCTGCGCCTTTCGTGATCGGTCTGTGCACAGCGTTCTTGACATCAACATCGAACATGTCTCTTAAGGGGAAAACCGCTATAGTGACTGGAGGTTCGCGCGGGATCGGGGCTGGCATTGCTCACGAACTGGCCAAACGAGGCGCCAAAGTATTGATTACATTTGGGTCGGCCGAGGACAGGGCACAGCAGGTGATTGAGAGTATCAAGGCGGCCGGGGGACAGGCCAGCTGCGTCAAGGCCGACTGTCGATCCCTCGAGGCACCTCGAATAGTGGTGGACGCGGCAATGTATGCATTCGGCAGCGATGGCATCGATATCATCATCAATAATGCCGGCGCTGGCGACGAACTCTTTACCAAGGATCTGACGTACGAGCATTGGGACAAAATGTTCCACACCAACGTTCGCTTTCCGATGTTTCTGGTCAAGGAGTGCTTGCCGCATCTCCAGAAAGGGGGACGGATCATCAACCTCTCGAGCGTCGTGGCACGCCAAGGTAGGCCTGAGCCTCAGCCTCTGATATTCTTGCCACTCACCCACCAGTCAAGCTGACTTGTACGGCGGACTCTGACATGGTGAACAGGCTGGGTCATGCATGCGGCCTATGGAGCGACCAAGGCCGGTATGGAGAGTCTGGCGCGGACTTGGGCCGTTGAACTCGGTCACAAGTATGGGGTCACGGTGAATTGTGTGAACCCTGGACCTGTGCAGACAGATATGTGGACGTAAGTAATAAGTCCAATCCAAGTTCCGGCCGCCCGGGGCATTCATATTCAGGCTCAGCTCGACTATTGACAATGCTGATTGATCTTGGGGGAATGTCCCATCTAGTGCCATGCCGGATGATGCCTTGAAAGGCATGCAGACTTACATCGACAACACCCCTGCTGCTCCCCGGGTAGGACAGGTCGACGACATCGTGCAGATTGTAGCCTTCCTCTGTGAGGAGGGTTCTCGCTGGATCACGGGTTCGACGACTTGTGCAAATGGAGGCGCGTGCCTGGTATGATTCTGGCCATACAGGATACCTACACCTATTAGGTGCCTATACAGAAAAGAAAGGGTGTCAGCAGTCCTCACTCCCCACATAAGCCCGAGCACGGTCCCTCCCTCCAGAAAGTGTCTTGTCCCGATAAGAACAAATGCACTTTCCACCCCGCATTGCTGACTACAGTGTCAATCTGCCAATCCCTTGACTTCTCATTGTTCGCATCAAACCATTCATACACCACATCCGTAGTAGTACAGCAGGTATTAGGTACCTAGGTACCTAGGAGGTACGGCACAGATGGCAACCACGTGGCATCACGTGTCAGTGACTCCTGGCGTGCGCCGCTTTTGCAACCAAGGACTACACCTTTTTTTAATACCTATATATCGACTATTTACACTCCCCTTATCTTCACTATATTCACGCGCTTGATCTCAGATGTTGACCGCGTGAAACTCACCGAGTCGCACATGTAGCCTCGATCAAACAGTTACAAGGCCAGACTGTGGCGGCGATTCACGCCTTCTCTCTCTTGTTCATCAATTCTCTTGCCTTCCACTCGAGCAGAACCTCATACCGCTCACCGCTCACCTCTCACCTGTCACCCGACCGTACCTTGATCGTTGTTCCGTGTCTCTGACTCAGCCATCGCGATGGTCCAAATCGTGCATTCGGCGCACTTGCCGGCCGCCAAGGTTCCTTATACCGACTTCAAAGGCCCCCGTGGCTCGTTAAAGCACCGCTGTGGGTTCTGCCTGGAGCCAAAATCCAAACTTTCCAAATGCACAGGCTGTCGCGCGGTTCGCTATTGCTGCCGCGAGCACCAAGTACAAGACCGCCCCGGGCACAAATCAGTCTGTAATCGTATCAAACGATGCCGCACTAAACTCGACAAAGAAGACCATGCCGTTCGCAATGCAACTCCCGACTTTATGACCCCCGCCAATGCATTCGAGACCGACGTTGGTCACTTCTGGGGCATCCTCAATACTCGAGATTACATGCGTGCACGGTTCGCTTTGGCAGATAGTCTACGCAGACTGGGAACACTGGACGGCATCACTGAGGCTCTTGACCATATGCAGGATATGCTGCGGCTGTGCAGAAGCGACAACATGGGGATCCGAGACATCATTGCCCCAACGTTGCTGCAGCTGGATCAAGACCAGGAATGTTATGACTTCATCAAGTGGTATGCGACAGAAGGTCGGCGCGGTGACTATGACTGGGGTGATATGGACTTGCCGTTCCTGAACGTCAAAGGTGCCAATGTGCTTGAAGACGTCGGCTACCTCGAGAAAGAGTTCCAGGTTCAGCATGTCTCTACAGTCATGTTGCTCAAGCTGAAACTGCTTATCGACATAATCAATATCAAGCTCGCTCGAAAAGTGGCTGCAGGCCGGTTGCCTCCCGAGCTTTGGGCACGTATCGAGCTCTACGTTACCCGAAGCCCAGTTAGCCGCCAGTGGGTGGGGAAGCCATATCAGGCTATCACGACCGTGCAGCAGAAGCTCGAACTCGACGTCAAGCTCCTTGCCAGAACCATCGAGAACATCAATCAGAACTTTGTGCATATGCTTTTGGACGCTGATGACTACCTCTCTGAATTACCAGAGTCCTATTCGTCAGGCACATTTGAGGAGATGCTGCTAGTTTTACAACACAGCTATGGCGCTTGGTGGCAGCACGAGGGCGTCTTAGAGCTGCTGGAGTCCGCCAGATCCATCGCAAGGAAGGACTCTGAGGATGAGATTGAGGATATGATGAGTGGAATGACCTTCGAAAACAATCCTGGATCAGACAGAACCAAGGACGAATTGCTACATGACGTAAGTATCAATCGACTTTGGGGATACTTTGACGATGCCCTCGAGGATGCCACTAGTCTCGGCGAAGATCGGCCATCCGAAGTCAAGAGATTACGATTGAAAGCGGAATTTGAAGCTGCCGAAGAGAAAGAACGTGGGTTCATCAGCAGCGACGACGAGAATGATGATTAAGACAGCGACTCAGACTGATCTGGGTGCTCTTATCCCTGCTGCAGAGCCAGAGCAGTTACATGTCACTTCGGAACGCGACGAAATGATGGTGCAGTGTTTTATTCCTCTTACGTCGATCCAGCACTGTCGGAGTATCACCAGAGGTAGAAACTTGACCGCGAGCTCCCGTCAAACGATTTGATTTTCCGACCTCAGACGAATGAAGGACGTGAAAAGCGAGCTCCATGTATTCTAGACTATATGAGTTCTCAACGCTTGATCCCGTCACAGAGGCTTGGCCTCGGCCACGAGACAGGATCTTCGATCTTCAATCTTCCATAGTACTCAAGAACAACACGTGTTACTGTTACGGAATGATGCAGCATTCCTTTTCCGGCCGACCAGCCATAATACGTATTCAAGTCACAGATAGGAGACTCGCAATTGAGGTCGTCAACTGAAGCCAAGCCACGCTTCGGCTATCTGTAGGTACTCTGTGTGCTCGCCTTGAGATTGAGCCTAGACGGTTCTAATGGGCTGACGTCTAGGCGGTAGTTGGCTCGAAAAACCACGCAATGGCATCGATGTGTGCCTTATCCCATTTGGGAGTGGAAGGAAGGCTCTTGAACCGCCGGAATCCATGCGGCAGACCGGGAAAGATGGAGATGCTGGTCGACACCCTTGAGCAGCAATACAGGTCAGCAACGGGAACGGCGGTCAAGCAAGAGATTGGAGATTGGAGAACATACCCTCGCTTTTCCAGTTCCTGCCCGTACAGCAATGCCTCGTCTCGCAAAGGATCCATGCCGGCAACCAAGATGGCTGTTTTGGGCATGCCTTTGAACGCCCACTCCTCGTCCTTGCTGACTTGGATGTAGTTATCCGTGGGATTTTCTTGGCGGAGCAGTGCCTGAAACAGGGCCATGCTGCTTGCCGGCAGGACCGGGGCATCGCGGCACTGGTGATAGGCACTGACCTCCTTTGAAGCCAGCAGGTTGACGGGGGCCAACTTCGGCGCGAGTAGCCAAGGGGCTCCCAGCATCTGGCCCTTGATCCGGCCGGCTCCCGGCGCCCTCTTATTCTCCTCCAGGGTGAGGTATGCAGCCAGGCCGCCGCCCGCAGAAATGCCCCCGACGGTGATGAGCTGCGAGTCGCCGCCGAAGTCGTCGATGTTCTTGGAGACCCATTCGAACGAGTCCCAGGCATCGTGGAAGGGCGTGGGATACCTCACCTGCGGCGTGTGACGGTAGCAGACGTTGACCACCAGAATCTGTAATGCGTTGGCGATGGTGGAGCAGGTCACGTCCTCGCCCGTCAGCGAGCCGAAGAGAAAGCCGCCGCCGTGGAAGAACATGTAGACCGGGTATTTCTTGTCGGGGCCTCCCGCCTTGGGCCGGTACAGGCGAGCCGGCACCGACTTGCCATCGCGCGTGGCAATCTCGACGTCTTCTACCGACACCTTTTCCTTCAGTCCTACAGAGACACGAATAAGCTTGCTACACCGGACAGGGACATTCGCCGCACGGGGCGGGATGCGAGAGAAGCACCGGTGCAGGTGTACCTGTGTCTTTCCACCACTGTGCCGATTCGATTTCCCGGCTGGCATCTGTCTTGCGCTGCAGCTCCTCCAGCCGGCTGACAAATGCCGGGTCGTCAGGCGTGGTTTCGGCGATTTCATCCAGACCGGTGAGATCCAGGAAACCCTGCGCGGCGAACCCTTTGACTGAGGCGCCGTCGGTGACGCCGGTCAGTTCATCCCATTCCGGACTGGGTACTCCATAGGCGGAAAAGTCGGCCATTATTACTGTATTATTATATGAAGGTTCCTGGTGCTGGTGCTGGTGCTGGTGCTGGCGCTGGCATCTATGTCTGTCTGGCTTGGATCTTGGATCAGATGGTTCGATCAGTGCACAGTGATTTCGGCACGGCTCTACCAGATTGCGGCCGCCTCCTGGATCTTATACTCTGGCATTCTGGCCCGGCCGCGGGAGGTCTCCACATGGCGAAGGCGTTGATAGCGTTAACCGGCACCTACCCGGCGCTGTTCGTTTATCGCTGGCCCGGTCAGTCAGTTGCAGTGGTGGTGGTGGCAGATGCAGTAATGACTAATAGTTGCTGTACGGATCAGAGCGCTCGCTGCCAACCCAAAAGGGGTTCAGCGGGCCGCCTGGAAAAGCTAAGATTGGCGGCGACAGCCAGCGGCACCCGGACTCGGACCCATACCACGGTGGATGTTGGATGTGGGATGTGCTGTGCCGGCACGCTGTCACCTGTCGAATCTGGACATGCAACTGACGACTGGACTCTGTACAGCGTATACGGATACTGTACTCCGTATCTCAGCATGGCAGATGGCCGTTGCCTACCGCTAGGCATTCCACCTGGCCTGGTGGTTGCATGTTTGTATGTTTAGTACCAACGCTCAACCCATCGAGAAGTGCCTGTGTCATTGCCCTGCTCAAGTTGCAGTCATGTCGGATCTTGCGGTTGAACTTGAACTGGTTGCCCCCAACGGGCTGAAGTATGTCCAGCCAGTTGGCTTGTTTATCAACAACGAGTTTGTCGAGTCGTCGCTCAAAGGAAAGCTTTCGACTATCAACCCTGCGTGAGCCTTCTCCTCCCCTCTATGCTCTGTTGCATGAGCTGGGCTGCGAAATGTTGACGCCCAACTCCAACCCAGAACCGAGACCGAGATTACGAGCGTCTACGCCGCCGGGCCTGAGGACGTCGACTCAGCGGTTCAAGCCGCGAGGAAGGCCCTTCGGGAGCCGTCATGGCGAAACATGCATGCTACCGAAAGAGGGGACCTGTTGCTGAAACTTGCATCGCTCGTGGAAGAGCACGCGCATGTGTTGGCGACCATCGAGACGTGGGACAACGGTAAGCAAGGGGACACCGACAACTGAGGGACATGTCCTTCTCGGTCGTTGTTCTGCCCTGAAGCTGACGGCAAGAAACCGAATGCAGGAAAGCCATACCAGCACGCCCTCCAGGGTGATGTTGCAGGGACGGCCAAATGCCTGAGGTACTACGGTGGATGGGCCGACAAGATTCATGGCGAGGTGATAGAGTCGGGACCATCCAAGCTGGCATATACGGTTCGAGAGCTGGTCGGGGTCTGTGGACAGATCATTCTGTACGTACAGTGCTGAGCGCGCATCTTGCCAACGCGACCAGTGACCAGTGACCAGCGGTCAGCGACCAAGGGACAAACAGACTGACAGCTACTTTTAGGTGGAACTTCCCGCTGGTAAGTCGAGCGAGCACACGACAGCACGAGAAGAAAGAGGAGCTTCTTGATATCCGGCATTGAGCTCAGCTGACACCGGAGGCAGTCCATGGCCGCATGGAAGCTAGGCCCGGCGCTGGCATGTGGCAATACCGTGGTCCTGAAACCGGCCGAACAGACACCGCTCTCGGTGCTCTACCTGGCGAGACTGGTCAAGGAAGCAGGCTTCCCGCCCGGGGTGGTGAACATCCTGAACGGCCAAGGCACGGTCACAGGCGCGTGCATTGCGGCGCACCCGGGGATTGACAAGATTGCCTTTACCGGGTCTACCGCGACCGGGCGACAGATCATGAAACTGGCGTCGGCCAACATGAAAAACATCTCGCTGGAGACGGGCGGGAAGAGCCCGCTCCTGGTGTTCGACGACGCCGACCTCGACTCGGCCGCCACCTGGGCTCACAGCGGGGTCATGTACAACCAAGGCCAGATCTGCACGGCGACGAGCCGCATCCTGGTGCAAGAGGCGGTGTACGACGAGTTTGTCACGGCGTTCAAAGACCGAGTTCGAAGCACGTCCAAGATCGGGGATCCGTTTGAGGATGCCACGTATCAAGGACCCCAGATCACCAAGGCCCAGTTCGATCGCATCTTGTCCTACATCGAGTCCGGCAAGCACGAGGGGGCGACCCTGTCCATGGGCGGCGACGCCTACAAGGACGTGAACGGCCGAGGCTTCTTCATTGCGCCCACCGTCTTCACCGACGTCACGGACGGCATGAAGATCTACCAGGAGGAGGTTTTCGGCCCGTTTGTAGTCATTTCCTCCTTCCGCACCGAGGAAGAGGCTGTCCGCCGAGCGAATGACACGACCTACGGGCTCGGCAGTTCGGTGAGTTCGAGTACCTGGCCCTGTCCCTGGCCTTGGGGTCGTCAGATCTATTTGTCTTTGAGGGAACGAAATCATCGCAGAACTAACCTTGATAGGTCTTCACCCGTGACATGAAGAGGGCGCATCGTGTGGCAAGAGACATTGAGGCCGGCATGGTCTGGATCAACTCCAGCAACGACTCTGACTATCGGTACGTTGAGACTTGATCTTGTATCCATTTGCTTGAACCAGGAACCAGGAACCAGGGACCCTCCTGAGCTCCTGAGTATGACGGGTGACGGTTGAATTCCATGTTCGCACGTTCTGACCACCACTAATGTTGACCACTATCTAGCATCCCTTTCGGCGGCGTCAAGCAATCCGGCATCGGCCGTGAGCTCGGAGAGGCTGGTTTGGCTGCGTACAGCAACATCAAATCCATCCACGTCAATCTGATATAAAGGTGTGCGTAGTAATACGTGTATCTATACCCATACCTAGTACATGTACCTTTACCTGTACCTATGCCTATACCTATACCTATACCTAGTACCTGTTCCTATACCTATATTTGTACCTCGTTCCCAGTACCCAGTACCAGGATATACAATACCATCTTAAACAGGTACCTAGTACCTATATAAGCTGTACAGTACCATCTTACAGAGATACCCAGGTAACGATGTATGCGTAAGTACAGAGTGCCTTGTATGTGTCATCCGTATAGTACAGTACAGTACAGTAGTGTCAAGCTCCAGCTCCTCCAGCGCGGCCCGTACTTCCACATACGGTATGGCGTAGGAAAGCATACATCCATACCTCCATGATACAAGGCTCCATCAGACCCATCTTGTCGGTACACTTGTAACTCACCTGTAATTACCTACATATGATAAGATTACCACCCCTCTCTACTAGGTAGGTACCTTACCTACCCAGTATCTCTGCCGCTGCCGCTGATAGGTATGTACTAGGTATAGGTGGGTGTGTAGCTTAGGTATCCCTATCGTCCGTTGCAGTCTGGCCTGGCCTAGGTACCCACTATTATTACGCCTTGTTCCGCTGAAGAAGATAACTTTAACGGACATTACATATCGCCATCGTAATCGCCAGCGATATCGATATCTCTGTCTATATCACTATCGTTTGAGATCACGAGACTAGACGAGACGACGTAAAGCAGACTAGAAGTAGACAGGTACCGTGCCGCTTCGCTACCCTTATATCGTCTACACTTGGGTGATTCAACAAGTTGGCAAACTTAGTGCTCGGACTGCACGGATACGGTGTCGTCTTTGAAGAACAGACCGGACGAGAGACGGGAAACGGAAACGCTTCAAAATTAAAGAGGGATATACCATCATCATCATCATCATCATCATCATCATCATCATCATCATCATCATCATCACCACCACTATTACTATCGCTAACTTTACTACTACCATCACCACTACCATCACTACTATCACCATCACTACTATCACCATCACTACTATCACTATCACTACTATCACTATCACTACTATCACCTTCACCACCTTCACCTTCGTATTTACTCTATCCTATCCTATCCCATCCACTCAGGAACTCCAAACTCCACTACAGTACTACAGTGTAGCTGTCCTCGTCCAGCCTTGATACGATATCAGTACAGAGGAATCCGAATCAAAACCAGAACCAGGATCAGAATCAGAATCAAATTCATGATCATGACGCACACCAACACCACAGCCAAGACCACCAACGGCGACCTTAACGGCGACCTCGACCTCACTATACCGCAACGACATCGTGCCGCCATCTACGACAAGCCCGGCACTATAAGCACCAAGTTGGTTGAGGTCGATACTCCGGAGCCTGGGGCCGGTGAGGTGCTGATCAGACTGTACGTGTCACGCTTTACTCTTCTCCTATACTCTCCTCTCCTCTGTCATGTTTTTCCTGGCTGATTAATCCCCCGTCGAATCTAGCACCCACTCGGGCGTTTGCCATTCCGATCTCGGTGTGATGACGAACTCGTGGGAGACGTTACCTAAGCCTACGCCGGCAGGTGAGTTACAGTCATTGAGTTACAGTCATTTAGTTATAGTAATGTTGTGTTATGTTGTGCCGTTCTATGCTATCCCCTGCCTACTATGCCTAACCCTACGATGTATTGCCATATACTGCCATGCCTAACTCTACCCTACCATACCCTACTATGCCTTGCCCTACCAGCCTTACCCTACCATGCCCTACCCTACCTTACCTTACAATACCCTACCATGTCGTTTCTGCATCACGAAATAGATTCTTTGTTCTTGTTCTTCCTTGGCCAATATGCATCTCTTGTCTTGCTTTATAGCGCTCTTGCTCTATTCCCATCTCCATCTTGGACATGTCTAACACCAAAAAGGTCAGATTGGAGGCCACGAGGGCGTGGGCCGAGTGGTCAAACTGGGCCCAGGAGTCGAGAGCTCGGGGATCAAAGTCGGCGATCGAGTGGGTGTGAAATGGGTGGCTAGTGTATGCCACCGCTGCGGTAAGTGGCTGATATGTTTCGTTTCGTTTGAGTGAAAGAGAGAACACACATACACACACACACACACCACACACACACACGGAGGGAGAGAGAGAGAGAGAGAGAGAGAGAAGGAAGCTTTCAGCCTGGCCCCCCTCCCCCTCTTTTCCCCAGCGATGGCAAACCAAAAGATTGAGAGAAGCGAGCTCACCCAACCCCACCCAACGCAAACTTGAATGACGATTGAATGATTGATTCATGCACAGCCCCCTGCCTCGCCGGCGTAGATGGACTCTGTATCAACTCCACCGTGTCGGGATACTTCCGACCCGGGACGTTCCAGCAGTACGTAGTAGGAGCAGCCGACTACGTGACGCCGATTCCAGAGGGGTTAAGTTCGGCGTCGGCGGCACCGATGCTCTGCGCCGGCGTGACCATGTACGACGCGCTCAAGAAAGCCCAAGTCAAGGGCGGCGAGTGGGTGGTGATCTCAGGGGCGGGCGGCGGACTCGGCCACATCGGCGTGCAGATTGCGGCGCGAGGGTTGGGTTTGCGGGTGATCGGCATCGACCACGGCTCCAAACGCGGCCTGGTCGAGGCGTCCGGGGCCGAACATTTTCTCGACTTCCAGCAGTTCGCCGGCGACGACATCGTGGCCGAGGTCGTGCGTCTGACCGGCATTGGCGCCCACGCCGCCCTCGTCGCAAACACCAGCAACAAGGTCTACGAGCAGGCCCTGCATTACCTGCGCTTCAACGGCACCCTGGTCTGTGTCGGCGTGCCTGAGGGCGTGGCCCAGCCCATCGCTAGCTGTAAGCCTGGCTATCTGATGGTTCGCCAGCTGACCGTCGCGGGGGCTTGTGTCGGCAACAGACGCGACGCCCAGGAGGTTTTGGACTTTGCTGCGCGTGGAGTGGTGGATCCGCATCATACGTTGGTTCATCTGGATAAGTTGACGGAGGTGAGTGTATTTCTGTTCTGTCTCCTGATTTCCTACCTTGGTGATCTTTGTCTGTCCTAATTTCCCTGATGATCTTTGTCTGTCCTAATTTCCCTGATGATCTTTGTCTGTTCATGATTTCCCGATGATTCTGCTTCTGCCTGTCCCCTGCTTCCTGCCCTGATGATTCTTCTATCTACCTTGTCTTCCATGCACTAGGTCTCTACACTCCTCGTCTGTCAGCTTGACCCTCGTGATAGCACCCTCCTCTGTCGGCCTTCTCTAACTCCCGGAGCTTGAGCTAATTTTATTTCTTCTCTAGACGTTCCAGAGCATGCATGACGGCACCCTGACCGGCCGGGTGGTAGTTGACTTGAATTGAGATAAGAAGACGGATAGCACAGCACTAGCACTATACAGCCACAGCACAGCAATAGCATAGTACAAGCACTATACGGCCACAGCACAGCACAGCACAGCACGGCAATAGTATAGTATAGTAAGTATAGTACTATACAGCACTGGAGTATATTGAACTATACTGTACTGGATAGACTAGACTAGACTAGACAGTTCGACTATCAGCCCTAACATTACCATAACTACAGGGTATGTTAAGATCGTAAAAGACATTCCAATTCCCATTCCCGTTCCCATTCCCAGCCTTCTCCTCGTTATATCTATATCTGTGCTGTGCGGTGCTGTGCTATGTTGTTTAGGGGAGTGTTAGGCCTGGCCACTATAAACGTTGCTTAGGTAGGCACCATGACGATAGGATAGGAAATAGGAAATCCTCTTGTCTCCTGAGCCAGGTACAGTTGTAGTAGCCACAGACTCGCATGACATGACATGACAAGCCAGCCACGGCATGCATCTAGTACAAATACCAGTACTAGTGTCATCTACCAGGATCATCTACCAGTATCAGTACCAAAACCAGTATCAGTACCAAAACCAGTATCAGTATCATCTACCTAAGTATCGCACCACTCTCACTCTCACTCCCACTCCCACTCCCACTCCCACTCTCGAATTCACTCTCAGCACCTCCAGCTCCAACTCCAACTCCAGTTCCAGTTTCACTTGGTCCAGCCCCTGTCAGCTTCAGTTTCAGCTGCAGCTACACCTGCACCTTCATACAGTCAAGTCAACTCGGGCTTCAGTGAAAACTACTCTGATCTTCTCTGCTCTAGACCTTCTTCGTTTCCGTGCTATTGGCCGTCTTGGCGTTGGCATCGACGTCGAGGCCGGTGATGACTTCCGACACGTCGTCTGCCAAGATGGTGTGGACGTGGAATTTCTCCTCGGCATAATGAGGCACAATGACGTTGACTGGATGAATTGGAGTCATGGTTAGTATATTTCGGCATGGGGACATGTAGATGGCATTTTGGTGAGATGGCAGTGTTGGGAGTAGGGGGGTAGAGTGGAGTAAAGTAGAAATGGGAGTAGTAGTAGAGAAATGGTAGGAGTAGTGTAGTAGTAGTGGTAGGAGTAGTAGTAGGAGTAGTAGTAGGAGTAGTAGTAGGAGTAGTAGTAGGAGTAGTAGTAGGAGTGCAGTATGAGGACCACACCGGACCAGACCAGAGTACATACCTTCTTTGCCATAGTTTGTCTCTCCACTGTATTTGGCGATAATCACACCCATGATGATGAGAGAAACGAATTGCATGGTCATCATGAAGATGACTTGGTTCCTGAGGGAGAGATGTCACGTTAGCATGCTGTCATGCTCATGTTGTTCTTTTGCAGAAGCAGAAGCAGGATGACATGAGACGTGGTGAGGGAGACTGGAATCGAAGCCAGAGCTCCAAGCTCAAGGCTCGGACTCAGGACCCATGACTCAGACCTGGGCTTCGAACTTGGGCTTCCGACTATCCACCAGGGGCCGTGGAATAACATGAACATACTTGTATGAGACGTGGCCTGCACTCATGGCAAAGCAAATACACAAACCACCGCCCGAGATACCTCTCCAGATACCACCGTAGATGCCTAGCTTTCTCGGATCGTTGGTCAAGGTGGCCATGGTCCACATTCCAATCAACTGATGGACGGTGAAGACGATGCCAAAGGAGAGATAGAGGACAAAAGGCCCGGCGTAGTTGGCGTCGGACCAGTCGACACCGCCCAGCGGGGGGTTGGCAAAGGTGTGTGAGATACAGACCCAGCAGATGAGTGAGATCCAGGCGGTGACCATGACGACGGTGGCGACGCCCAAGGAAATCAGGCCGCGCTTGGTGCGGCCAAAGGGCAGGCGATCCAGCAGGTACATGAAGGCCGGGGCGGAAGGCAGGAACATGACGTCGAAGAGGACACTGTTCAGGGCGCGGGCGCGCAGGCTGAAGTAGTGGGCGTTGAGGATGGGCATGATGGCGACGGGGAACTCGGTGCACACCGACACCACCAGCATGGCGATGATGCGCGGTTCCTTGAGCGCCTCCCACACGCCCCTCAACTCCTCCTTGTACGGCAGCACGCGGAAGACGGCGACGTGCGTGCCATCGGATCTCTCCACCTTGCCCGGCGACACCAGGCCAAAGACGGCGGTGACGAAGCCGAGCAGCATCAGCACCAGGAAGGTGATGTACACCGCGGTCGGGGAGCCTTCGCTGGCCGTCGCGCCCTTGAGGATGATGATGAAGGCCACCAGAGACCCGATGATGGACCCGGCCGCGTTCAACAGAAACTGTATCGTGATGTACAGCCCTTTCTCCGCCTCGGTCGCGTAAGACCACTGCACCGCCATGGCCGTGTTCCACATCAACGGACAGCAGAAGCCGAGAATGACGCCGCCGACGATGGGGAAGACTTGACCGCCTGTTCGGTCGTAGCTGTGGGGTATTCAGTATAGTACGGTGTGGAAGTGTGTTTACATCGAGGATCACGGTTCTTGACAAAGGACAAAGAATTCAAGCAAACGGGTTGGGGCTGGGGCTGGGCCTTGGGGAGCTGCTTACTAGAAGAGTCCGGCGACGTAGAAGGGGTATCCTGCCGCCCCGATGGCCATGGTCCTAGAACACTGGTGTCAGCATTCATTGTCACTCTCATTTTCATGTTCTTTATCTGTTCCCTTTTGGGTTCAGCTTCCACATCAACCGGGCTGGGCTTCACCCTGCAGCCAGGCCTTCGGAGGACGAGGATTAAGATGGAAGACGGAAAACCCTACCATCTAGGTCCCAACTTGTTCAAGATCGAGCCGGAGAAGAAGCCAAATACGGCGGTCACGGCATAAAGCGAGCAATTCGTGATATCACTCACGCGCTGCAGCCAGGTTAGCACTTTGGCACGATGGATGGTGGGATCAGGACAGGACAGGACGCCATTCAGGCTCCAGGTCCAAGACCAAGACCAAGACCGACCTGGGAACTCGGCTTGCCACCACCAGCACCGAGGCCGAGGACGGCAAGATAGATACCGGCGCTGAAGAAGACGACCATTCCAGACACGATGTTCTGGTTGAAGGCCAGATGCCTTTGGAGGATTCTCGGAGCCATCTTGCAGGCTGCCGTTGTCGTTGTCGACGACGACGTCGCAGACTGTGATGGTATGGGATGGATGAGATGTGTGGAACGAACAGGAGTGGTCAGGTATTTTCAAGGACCGAGAAAGTCGCCTCGAGGAGCTGCTCTCAGGAGAATTAAGTCAGAGGCAGGCAGGCAGGTGAGGGATTGACTCGACGGTATGTGTGTGACTGTGAAGATGGATGAAGCCAGAGGGGTTTAATATGATGCTCGACTGGCCCTGCACACGCACACGCACATGCCGTCCGTGTACCGGTGGTGTTGATAAGGGGTGGTTCGATGCCTGGTCATGGACTCCGGTTCATATCGTATCAATCTCGACACACTTCAGATGCTTGATAGAGGACGCAAGGGAGGCGAAGCTGCTATCGGATAGGTGGTCTCGAAGCAAGCCTATCTCCAACTGTCATTCTCTCTCACTCTCTCTATCAGCCTGCCTTCACACAGGAGAGAGTCGAGCTTCATGGTGTCACGGGGCGGCGGCTTTTGCCTAATATGCTCTTTCGGGACGCCGCTCGCTCCACCATGCACAATCCACCAGCGGGAGTTGAGAGCACGGGCGAAGCGGGGAAGACCAGGCTAGGGGGAGGACTATCAGAACGTGGCTGTTAGCATTGGATTCGGGAGTGGTCGAGCCTCGTCTCGTGGAGCACGGTTGGTGGAAAGGGAGGGTCTTTAGTCCTTACCTTAGCCTTGGAGCCCTTAGGCCAGCCATGTATATCTAGGTATCTAGGTATCCGTATCTAAAGGTAGATATCCAGGTATCCAGTCTACCTACTAGGTACCTCAGGAAAGTAATGTAGTGGACGGTACGGTACTGTACTGTACTGTATTCTGCGTCAGATTGAGTTTCCGTTCCAGTTGGGCAGAGCGGGACGCTGAAACCTAGAGCCCAAGTCAGGCCTGATAAGCTGACTGACACCCGGAACGGAAGTCTTATCAGTTGCGGTTGTGTAATACTTACTGTATGCCCTCCCTCCTCCCTCTTCCCGATACTACCGTACACCACTACGAGTGTCTGGCGGCGCCCATCTCCTTTTGCGGCATGGCCTAAGGCTGTCTGTCGCGGGTTAAGGCCGTACCGGTCCAGCATCGAAGCTGGACTGTACCGTATTGGTGATTGTACCTTCGTACTACACCTAGGAGTGCACCCTGGACCTAGGTACTGTATCTCCCTTGTACATTACAGAGTACCGGTAGGTACAGTGAGTGTACCCGTACAGTGAGTGATTACCAGGTAGTGTACAGCGTACCCCGTACAGAATGCAGAACATAACATCGTCAGCCCCTACCAGGTACAGTACAGTACCGTCCATACAAGATCAGATACAGAGGAAGAAGAAAAGGGTTCGGCGCTGGCGACAATTGTGCATATGCAGTGTGCCTTACAGTATCCTCCTTCGCCTGGCCAGCCACTATAAGACGTGATGGATAATGACTACCTAGGTATCTAGAGATATCCGTACAGTATACTGTACAATAGCAAAAAACCAGACGCTCCATCACCATGGACGGCATTTCGCCCCCGCTCGACCTCTCGACCGCCTTCGACGCCTCCAGTGTGCGCGGTGCCGGTGTCTTCATCACCGGCGGTGCTTCGGGCCTGGGAGCAGCACTCGTGCGAGCCTTTGGGAAAGCCGGCGCCTACGTGACGTTCGGGGACGTGCAGGTCGACGCAGGCCAGCTGCTGGAACGGGAGATGACTTCTCAGGGATTGAGGTCCGTCTGATTCTGATCTGTTTTGCCTGCTTGCTTTTGAGACCGCCAACCACCGCCCTTCTCCTGAGGTGAATAAATTAAACTGAGCCCGACCCTGAGCCCGAACACAAACCCAAACCCATACGGTACAGTCGAAGACAGACACACACACACACACACAAGGCTGAGCCGTAGGAAACCCACAGGGCCCGGTTCGTCCACTGCGACGTGACGTCCTTCCCATCCCAAAGCGCGGCATTCAGAGCCGCGCTCGACTTCCATCCCGCGCACCAGCTCAACATCGTGGTGCCGAACGCGGGCGTCGCTACCGGCCACGAACAGCTGCTCTCGGTCTTCCGGCCTGAGCGGTTCCCGCCGGCCTCGCTAGACACGGATGCTCTGCCTCCCCCGTGCCCGGACCTGGCTTCTCTGCAAGTCAACCTGATCGGCGTCATCTACTCGGTCAGCCTGGCCATGCATTACTTCCGGCTGCCGGAGATGCAGACGCAGACGCAGACACAGATGCAGATGCCGATACCGACCCAGGCGCCCTCCCGCACCAGCACCAACAAAGCCATCACCTTCGTGTCGTCCATGGCCGGCTACACCGCCCTCCCCGGCGGCACGCTGTACATGACGGCCAAGTTCGGCGTCCGAGGCCTGTTCCACTCGATGCGGAAGTATGTTGGTGCAGAGGGGGTGCGGGTCAACTTGCTGGCCCCGGGGTGCGTACAGCACATTCCATTCTGCCGACTGTTACCAGGGGTTTCTTTCCTTTCCTTTCATTTTCCTGCTCTTTCTTTCTTTCATGCCATGCTTCTAAGTAGGAGTTATGGTTATGCATGCCCATTCCTCCCATCCTCTGCTCTCCATGGACATGAAATCCTATCCCTGCACTATGTACCTGAATTCCCATCCCATGCTATTTGCGCACATAAACCCCCTTATATCTAATCCCCTACCCCCCACCCTACCCTCCATATACCACATCTACTCATCTACTCATGTACTCCGTACTAATAGTTCACAAAAGGTACATGGAAACCGCCATGACCGCCAACGTGCTCACCGCGCTCCAAGGGTCAGGGGTTCAACTGGCCAAACTCAGCGACGCCGTTGATGCCGTGCTGCGCCTCTCGATCGACCCCTCGGTCAACGGGAGGGCCATCTGTGTGGGGGCGTCGGGAAATCGTGATTTGTGTGATGATCCGGAGGGTATAGGCGCCTCGTTGGAGGCGGACTCGGTGAACTATGACCATAGGCTGTTCCGACTTGAATAAGGATAAGATTGAGATTAAGATTAAGATCATCTAATACTTCTAAGATCAAACAAGATCATCTAAGAGCCTCTAAGACTATCTAAGATCAAACAAGATCAAACAAACGAAAGGCTGAGCCACGACTCGCCGAGTATCCTCTGAGTATTCATGTTGTTGACCACTGTCTCCTGATCCTCTTACGAGTACAGGATTTTACTTTGTCAAAGGTTAAGTGTTCCTTATTCGCTATCATTTGTTAAAGGTTGACAGGTTCCTTGTTCGCTTTACTTTGTCAAAGGTTAAGTGTTCCTTGTTCGCTATGAATGGGTATGGGGGAGGCTAAGGGGCCCAGACTATATATATAGGTGTGCCTATCTATACCTATACCAGCCCCTAAGCCTTCTGGTTAAAGGACAAAGCTAGGAATGCCTGAGTTAGTGCCTACATGTACCCTAAGTTTGACATACTTTGATTCATATTCATGCATCTGTCATCGCATCATGACCGGTCCAACGTCTAAGTGTTAGTAGTAGCTGTTGCTGTTGCTGTTGCTCGCATATCACTCACTCTCTGTATATTCCATGTCTGGAATCACTAACTCACTATACATTCCCTGTATGGATTCACTCACTCACTGTACATTCCATGTATAGTTCACTCACTCATCGTACATTCTATGTATGTATCGTAATAGTCCCTTGGATTGCAAGGTGTCAACGAGAAAGAAGAGAATCGAGGATTTCACTTATTCTTATTTCTAGCAGACATTACTAGCCGAACTATGGTTTCTGTACTTTAACTGACTTTTGTTCTACCTCTTTAGATTCGGATGGCCGAGCCTCGGAATGCAATCGCCCCAATGACAGCCAGAGCGGTAGCGGCGCTCACGATGTGGCCTAACCGCCAGGTGCCAATGTTCGACTCATCGGCCACAGTGCCGATAACGGTGGTCTGCATCGCCTTAACTCTCTCGGCCGCGCTGCCCTGGAGGTCGAAGTCGGACCAAGTGATGCGCGACGTGCGCTGGCGGTAGTCCAGGGCGGTGCCGGACCAGTTGTTGGTGATCAGACCGGCTTCATTCTTGTACCAGCTCGTGCAGTCTGGGTGGCCGTAGGTGCTGGTGGAGAGAACGCGCTGGACCTCGTTGTTGAAGCGGTCCATGGCGGCGCGACTGGGCGTGATGACGAGGCTTTGGCCGTGCGCTCGGGCCGCGCACACCTGGGAGATCAGGTTCGTGATGTAGTGCGACTCGGCCTCGAGCATGAGGATGATGGAGTTGTGGCCGAGGTTGGTGTTGGGGCCGTAGAGCATGGCGAAGTTCGGAAGGTCTTCGACCATCATGCCCAGGTACGCTCGGGGCCCCGAGGCCCAGATGTCGTCGAGCGGTCGTCCCTTCAGCCCGCGGATGTGCATGGGAGCCAGAAACTCGACGGCGCGGAAGCCGGTCGCAAGTACAATCAGGTCGACGGAGTGTTCCTGCCCTCCCGCCACCACGCCCGTACGCGTGACCCGCTCGATCGGACTCGTCTCGAGAAACACGTTGGGCTCGTTGTACGCCGCGTACAGGTCGTCCGACACCAAAATCCGTTTACAGCCCGGAGGGTAGTCGGGAGTCAGTTTGGCCCGTAGCTCGGCATTGTTGGGGATCTCTTTCTTGAGGAATTCTACACACTCCTCGCGCAGAGCACGGTTGCCGCGCGAGTCCTGCGTGACGATGGCGTCGTAGAAGTACGCGTCCCGCAAATGCATGAAGGCCGATCGCAGGTATTTCATCACAAACGGCACGTAGCGGTACACCTTGCGCTTCCAGCCGGGGATCGCGCCATCCAGTCGAGGCAGAATCCAGCTCGGCGTTCGCTGGAACACCGTCACGCTGCTGCAGCACTTTGCAACCTCGGGGATGATCTGGATGGCCGTTGCTCCGTTGCCAATGACCGCCACTCGTTTCCCCTGCAGTGAAAAGTTCCAGTCCCACCGAGCTGAATGCATCGTCTTGCCCTGGAACGTGTCCAGTCCGGCGATTGGGGGGTAGTTGGGAACGCTGAGCTGGCCCACGGCAGACACCAGAAAGTCGGTCGAGATGGTATAGCGGTCGGCAAATTCGGCGTCCTTGCCGCCAGTCACCTGCACATCTACTTCCCATTGCTGGGTCTGCGCATTCCAGCCGGCCTTTTCCACGGCCGTGTTGAACCGGATGTATTTGAACAAGCCCCATTTCTGCGCCACTCCCAGGAGGTAGTCGTATATCTCTTCCTGCTCACAGTAGTGGCGAGACCAGTCAGGGTTGGGCTCAAAGGAATAGGAGTAGAGAATACTCGGCACTGTAAAGGCCATGTCAGTACTGGGATCGGTAGGGAAGACTTCTGCACCATGTCTGTACCGTCACACCGACATCCAGGATATCGGTTGTCCCCCCATGTCCCCCCAATGTAGCTGCTTTTCTCGAGGATGATGAAATTGTGGCACTTGTTGTGGCGGATGAGGTCGATGGCGGTACAGATGCCTGCACCAAGAAACAGCTCAGATTTTGCCCTTCTGTCTCATTCTCGCGCGCCACGGTGATCTTGGGTACCTGAAAATCCCGCTCCGATGATGACGACTGCCGCTTTGTTATAGTCTTGCTTGCCAACCCGTTGCTGGAGCTTTGCGGTGGCCATGATGCGTCTACAATGCGACTGAACCTGGGCCCTGTACGGCGCGGAAAGCAATGTGGGCGTGCCAACTGAACTCCAAAAGCGCCTGTAAAGCCCAACTACAGAATCACGACCGAAGAAGAATGCCGCTGGATGCAGTAGTGTGCCGTCAGATCAAGGCCAAGCTACGATTAAAAAATATGGGGAGTATTTAAACAAATCCACCAAGGCTCCGAGCCGGCTCGGCGACATCGACAGACCACCTTGTATCCCTCTCAATGCGATCTAGGTTCGATCTATCTTCGTCTTCCCTGGATCCGTTCTGGCACGGACCCAGACTCCCTCCACGCGAAACGATCAGTGGGCGAGCCCGAGATCCCCTCCCTATCTAGGCCAGGCGGCACGCCAGGGTTTGACGGGCAGGAACCCGCTCACGGAGATCTGCATCTGCATCTCGAGCGTCCCGTGTTTCCTACTTGGGACATGCGGGAGGCAGATACCGACCGGGGAGTCTCCAGAGAGGCTGGGGGTACACCGGCGGCGGAGATCATATCATACTACTGTATCCGTATATCAGGGCCGGATGGAAGCCTGCCCCGACCAAGAGGCTAGGGAAAATATAGACTGCGTAACGCTGGCGACGGACCCTCGAAGCAGAATCTCTTCGCCTCACATGGCGCTTCAGCCAGCTCCTAAACGAATTGCTAAAATTCATTCATATCCCCGCCAACGCCACATTTCCCACCCCTGAAGTGTTCCCTTAAAACATGAAAAGCGCTGCTTCCTGTTCCAACAGTTCCAGAGCCTCCTCTGTCCGCTTCAACATGACGCCGCCAACCTCCATGCACTCGTCAACCCTGCGCCACATCTTTTCACACATTGCTATGAAGCCATCGCGTGTACTGTCGGGATAAACGCCTTCCATCTGCTGATTCCTTTCTCTGACCCACGCACGATCCTCCTCCCTGACGGCTTCACGAGCCACGAGATTGAGGAGGAGGGGTAGTGATGAGTCTGGGCCGGATCCCACAGGTATGGAGGCCATCAGCCGGAAGAGGGTGCGGGCAGTCTGCTGGACGCGACGCGAGAAGGTCGGTTCTAGGTAAACGCGGCGTTGGATCAAGAGATGAACACACCAACGGTAACACTCGTTGAGCGTGGTCAGGCTTGCGTCAGCCGTACTGCCACTGCCCCGCTTGCCCTCGACCGTGGTGGGAGTTGCGTCCTGCGCAAGCGCGTAGGCATGGAGGTCCCTCTCGAGTCTGAATGCTTGCTCGAGGACTTCCATGTTGTTGACATCCTCAGCTACATCGACGGCCAGGTTGCAGGCCCGTGCCAAATATCCGAAGATCGGCTGCGGACAACCTGTCATCTCTCTGAACGAAGGCTCCGTCGAGTCGAGTGTTTCTTGTGGCTTGAAAATCCAAGATGTCGGAGGAAGATGAGGGCGACGGCGGCGGAGAATCGAAGTTACGACGTCAACGATGGCGAATCGCTGCATGAGGAGTCGGGCAATGAAGCTCGTGGTCGGTCGATGGATGTAGTCAAGCTCTTGTAGTATGTACAGGGCACACTTGAGGTGCATGTCGACCTCGTTCCCGCCGCTGAAGATGACACGCGTTATCTGAAGAAGAACCGCGGCCAAGGTGGCCTGTTTGTAGGTTAGGCGGTCATTGCCGGGCACGACAGGCGCGCTGGAAGCGGTTCCTGTGAACGAGACGTTGAGGGCTTCGCGAATAGATGCCAATGCACGGTCGTGCCGTGTAAGGGCGAGTTCTGCAGGAATATGCCCGTGCCAGTGCATATATTCCGTGGCAAGTGAAATGATGGTATTAAGTAGTACAGGGTATTCGAGGGCAACAGTTGAGAGTTTACGGTACGGATTCTGGATCCCGTCGTATGCAGGAATCAGACCAGACAAGTACTTAAAGTCTGGGATAGGATTGCAGTCAGCAGCAGCAGCGCTAGATTTCAATTAGCCAGGCAGCTACAGTGGGAGACTTACAGTAAGCAAAGGCAATGCCCTCTCCCGGCGTTTGGAAGCATTTGGACAGGAGTCCGCCAAACATCCCATCGTCCAAAACCCACAAATCCGGGCTTTCAGAATCGATGGTTTCTTCTTCGTCTTCCTCGTCTCCCTCCTCTCTCTCATCCTCATCATCGTCTTCTTCATTATCTTCATCATTATCATGCGCAGGCAACATATACGACATGGACGGATGCTCGCCATCATTGGCTTGGGGCACACAGCAAGCGTTTGCAGATTCCCCATCATCCAAGTGGCTCGAGGGTGACAGGGATAACAAAGCATGTCGACTCTCCGGCGATGGTTGCTGGTGTTGATGGAAGTCCACTAAGTCGCGGATGGGCGCAGGTGCGAATGTTGCAGCTGGAGCCTCATTGTTGGCCACCGCTGGCTTTGACAATGGCTTGGGGAGTGGACGTGATTGCTTCCTGCTCACCCTGGGCCTCGACACACGGCCGAATTCAATCCACCGAAGCCCACTGCTGTATTCGCATTCGAGGCTGAGCCGGCTGCAGGTTCTACAGCAGGGTCTAGCCTCGTCACACTTCTTGTGCCTTCTCCGGCAGGTGAGGCACCCTTAGCACATATGGCAGTCAGCGGGCGCGTACGGATGATTTCTTCCCACGCATGGTTGCACTAACCTGAGCGAGAGCGCAAGTCGGTCATGGCAGAGGGTAAATGATGCGCTTTCAAGGCAGCCCACCTGGCTTGATCGAGGCTTCAGTGGGAGGTTCGTGGCCGAGAGGTAAGCGAGAAGTCGGACGGTTGCTGGAGTGGCAGTTCGAAGTGGAGGTGTGAGGTGTAAGGTGGAGGTGGAGGTGGGAACCGGGCGTAGGACCTTACAATAGCACGCAGGGCACTGATAACGAGATCCGCTGCTCTCTGAGAGTGAATCCACAGCACGCAGTATTGGAGGACGGATACAGGAACTGTCTCAATTAAGGTAGTAGCGGGACGAAGCTAGAACTGCGGCTGCGTACCGTAATTTCACATCTCATCTCAACAACCGCCAGTACTGTATCGGTATTGTACGTACCATGCGTGACCGTACAGTATCGGCGGCCCTTTTCACCTGTTACAGCTTAGCAGCCTCGTCCCCCAAAGCACAGAGCTATTACCAGCGTACGGATACTCCGTCCAGGCCTTAGGCCTACATCAGGTACTTCAGTAGGTATGTATCTATCTGGTGGAGCTTGGAGCCAACCCACCCGTGCCTCTCTCTGGCCGGCGGCCATCTCGCTCTCGATGTTCAACGCTGGTTGCGTAAGAGCGACTTGACGGCGACACGACCTGCCCCTTCCGGAAGCTGGCTTGACAGCCCAAGGCACCGAGCTGCGAGTCGCAGGTAAGGCGCGCCTTGTGCCAGAGCCAGAGCCAGTGCCATGGTCGGCCGCCGGTCAGTGTGGTCGCCCAAAAGGGATCACCGAAAAGCGGCGCCCGTCGCAGCTGCAATTAATATGGAAGTATTAATATTAACATGGCCTGGTCTGTTCTGGAACCAGGAGGCAGCATACATGTACCGACGACATGGCGCCCGCCAAGATCATTGACACCGTCCTTTCCAGTTCTGCCTCGTTTTCAAACTTGACCAGCAATGGCAATGGCGTTTCCAAGTCGGTCGAGACGAGCTCCGGCACCGCCGCTGCAGAATGCGCCGTGGGAACCAAAACCTGCCTCGAATACGACGAGCAATATGTGACGCGAGGGATCCCGCCCCTGCCTGTGGTCCTCTCTAAAGCCGAAGGAGCGCGTCTTTGGGATCCGGAGGGGAAAGAATACATTGACTTTGTACGGAGCCCAATCCTGCGCCCAAGCCCCAATATCTGATCTCCCACCCGCACTGCATCCCAGTACGACCTACTGACCTGGAGCAGTTGGCCGGGTTCTCGGTGGTCAACCAGGGACATTGCCATCCTCGGATCACTCGAGCTATGATAGATCAATGCCAGAAGATTACGCTGGCCGGCCGTGCCTACCACAACGACCAGTACCCGGTGCTGTGCAAGAAGGTTTGCGATGTATGTTGACCGTCCGGTCGTTTGGGTGTCCGTGTAATTGCAACGGTTGAAGCTGAGAATGGCCAGATGTTCGGCTACGACATGGCCTCGTCCATGAACTCGGGATCCGAGGCTATTGACCTGGCAATCAAGATCGCGAGGAAATGGGGCTATACGGTGAAGGGCATCAAGCCCAACGAAGCGTTGGTCTTGACTTGCACGGGAAACTACCACGGAAAGACGCTGAGCCCTCTTTCCGCCTCCGACGACCCAGACATTAGAAATGGTGAGCAGAGCAGTGCTAGACCCAAAGACCCTAGATCCTAGATCATCGCTGAAAGTTTCCAGGCTATGGACCGTTCATGCCCGGGGTCGGACCATTCTGCGCCAGCCGTCCGGTCCGCTTCAACCACATCGAAGACCTCGAGGCCGTGATGGAGGCCGACGGGCCGAGACTTGCCGCCTTTCTGGTCGAATGCGTCCAAGGGTACGCTGGATGTAAGGTTGCCACGGATGGCTACATCAAGGCCGCCCGGGATCTCTGCCAGAAACACAACGTTTTGTTCATCGCCGACGAAATTCAATGTGGGCTTGGTAGGACCGGTCACTTGATGGCCTACGAGAGGGAGGGAATCAAGCCTGATATGGTGGTGCTCGGAAAGGCCTTGACGGGAGGCTTCTACCCGATGGGCATGGTCTTGGGAATGAGGGAAACCATGAGCCAATTGCTTACAGGAGAGTATGTTTGTTCCTCGCCGCTCCCGAGACCTCACCAAGAAGCCGCTCAGTGCTGACCGTCTCCCTGCAGAAATAGTTCCACCTTTGCCGGTAGCCCGCTCGGCAGTGCCGTTGCGATGGCAGCCTTGGATGTTCTGGTTGACGAAAAGCTGGCGGAGCGAGCGGCGAGATTAGGACCCCTGGTCTGGGAGCGACTGGAAAGAATCAAATCCCCGGCTCTCCTGGGCTTCAGCGGCCGCGGTCTTTTCTACGCCGTCTATCTCGACCACTCGCACCCCTCAGGTCGCGTCACGGCCAGGCGGCTTGCTCTGCTTCTCAAGCAGCGCGGCCTGCTCGCGTATTCGGCTGCAAATCGCCTTCGTGTTGCGCCACCCTTGATGATCCCGGAGAAGGATCTTTGGAAAGGAATCGATATCATCGAGACCGCTCTGAACGATTTGGTTGATATTGAGGACCACATCGACGGAGAGGACTGAGTGAGATTGGCTGGCCTAGGGGCCCATGTCCTCCATGCTCACCAACTTGCTTCAGTGTCGGACAAGCGGTTCCACGGACCCTCAGCCCACCGCCCAACTTGGTCCAACTGACAAAGGTCAGGACCTGGCCGGGCCGACCTGTCGGCTCCCCCGGCTCACGCCAGCTGAGGTTGTGCACAAGGCGGCGTGTTCGTCAAGGTGCAGGATTCAATGCAACATGTCCATAGTCCCTCTAATCCTATAGAATACATCAAGGCTAGACTCAAGACTTTTTCTCACCAACCTGCCCATGCACATAATTTTATCATTCTCATTTACTCATCGCTGTCATGGCCAAAACACAGGCATCCAGCGTCGAAATTCCGAAACAATCATGGACTGAAACGCCTCCCGGGTCCCGCCAGGCGCGTCTCTGCCTCATGAGTACATCTCGTCAATCTCCGCCGTATAGTCGGTCTCAAGTTGGTCATAAGTCTCTGGTTTCGTTGCGAAGATGCTTGATAGAGCGTCACGGAGTTCAAAGTCCTCCATCACCGCCCCAAATCCGTAGCATCTAACTTTGGTTTTTATGGCCTCGATCATCCCCACCACATCTTCTCTTGTGAGAGTAGTATAGTTGCGGTGGCCTTTGAGGGATTGCAAAGCCATGATGGGGGTCACCTGCCCACTCGGAATGGCGCTTCCTCTTAGCGTCTGACTCAAATTGAGTAAGTTGTTCAAGATCTGCACTGATTCGGCATCCGGCACTTTGTGGTCATAGGTGGGAACCAGCCCGGCGTTTTGAGCAGGAACATGTTCAATGTGGCTTGGAGGCGGGCATGATGCCATCAACGCATGTCCGGAGAAGAGTGCTTCTTCGTTATCCGGCGACTCAAATGACCTTCGCACGAGGTATTCTTCGTGGTCGCGACAAGTTTGCTCTAGTCTACAGTTGGTCAGTCTCTCGGGGCTCTTCCCATGATAGCGACAGCGGATTCTCACTTTAAAATGAAGTCTATGCCTAATTGTGGTTCTCGCTCAAAGATTCCCGCCCCGGGTGAAGGCAGATCTGATATCCCTCCAGATTCCTGTTTGATAGGGGCAAGTTCTTGTACATCGGGTCCGAGGGGAGACTGACTGTGGTGAGTTGTACCAGGAGAGTGTCCTGAGACACTCATGGCGCCACCGTTGAGGTAAGTTCGGGGTGAATACCCTGTAGTCGAGGTCGATGTTCCTGGCATGACTTGCTGATATCCAAGGGCGCGGCCACCCATCGAGAGTGGACTTAAAGTGCTCAGAGATGGCGGGCTTACTGAAGCTTCTTCTCTTTTCGGCCTCATCGCAATCACGGCCTTGCGGTTTTCGAGTTCGTTCTCAAAGGCGATTCCTCGACTGGCAAGGATCTCTCTCAGTGCCAGAATCTCTCGTTGCTGGTCGTCGATGATCAGCTTTTGCTGTTGAATGGTGGCATGTCGTGTATTTTGGTCGTGAACGAACGTTTCTCTCAGGCGCGAAAGTTCCAGCTCAAGGGCCTTAATGTAGTTCTCCTTCCTTTCACGATGCGTTCTGGAGGTCACAGTTTCATTAGTGGACGCAACACCTGTGAGGAGGACGCTCTATTTAACCTTTGAGCTTGTCGATTGAGTTCTTGCCTTCGAGTCTGGGCAGGTTTACTGTCTGGCTTGGGGCCTCGTCGCTTTGCGGGCTGTCCATCTAGTACGGTTGAGCTTCCTGTGATGCATGTATCGACAACACAGTCGCATACCTCTGGTCATCTTCTTCTGCATCGCCCCAAACCCCTTTAAGAAACCCACGCCCATCATGTGTGGGCTTCTTGTCTCACCGGAGTTTCCATTATCTACGGCATTACCCGTCAGTCACCGGCTTTTTCAATTGTGCAACTCGACGCACAGAAGCCTCATTGTGCCATTTGCGCCTTCCCAGGATCCAGACCATGATTACAGCGGATCTCTCAGGGGAGGGTGTTCATCGGCTTGATTCAAGGCCAGAGAGAAAGGGCGGGCAGGACAGAAAGGACTCACGAAAAGCGGCGCCTGTCGCGTAGTCTTGTCCTGTCCAGGATGGATCCATGTCCGGTCGAGGTTGTTGCATGTTGAGATGTCAATGAGGCGTCGTTGGGAACTCAAATGGTACGTCGAGTGTGTGAAGCAAATCGCTTTGTGAACAACCCTTCAGCGACCGAGTGGAAATTGCGGGTGTATAGCTCGCGGGGTGAGGAACCCCGGCGCCTCCTCCACCTGGGATGGATTTATTACCGAACAGGATTCGGCAAAGGATGATCCGCACAGATCGGATATGAGAAGTGTCAGATGAAGAGTACGCGCAATCGTTAATGCCGGATGCAAGAGGCGCAGAGGTCGAATTGGGAAATGTGGCAGTTAGCTTGCTGTTCTGAAACAGGCCATGAAACAGACTGGTGGTGTTGAATTTGAGGTTGGTACAGCGAGATTCTGGAGGCTTCGTCAATGGGGGACGTGCGCAACTCAATATTTGAGAGCGGGACAAAACTGCTGATCGTGGTAGGTCAGGATGTGCAACAAGAACGTCGCAGAAGCGTTGGGCAGACCTATGGGGAAGCCGAAGAAGGACCGGATAGCGGTGCTCCGTCAAATCGCTGACAGGACGTGTTCGAAAAGAAAATGAATGGTATGGTGGTCTGAGATTTATGAGTGTGGTGTTATGTGTAGACTGCTATGTTCGACAGGAGCAGTCACAGTGTCCCCTCCTCTTCATTGCTTGTTGCTACTGCTGCAGCTCTGACAACTTGCGACAATTCGTCCGGATGATGGGGGGACTGGGAGAGCGTAGGTACTGTACGCAGCCCGGAGACTTTGGATGATGCTTGCTGACCGAGGGACGCACCAATAGCGAGAGGATTTGCAAAGCAGCAGGTGAGCAGGGTAAATGGTCCAAGAAGAGGTAGCTGGTGCTCAGTGCGCCGGCTAACGCTTGTAGGTTGCAGAGCGGTCAGCAAGCAGCCAGCCGGGGGTTTCTCAAGGTGGCAACGAGGAACGATTGGCGGGGGACGTCTTGGTGCTAGCTAAATGATAAGCAAGGGTTGTACATGGGAAAACCAAGACACCCGTCGTACCTGTGCCACTCTGGGATACTATAGCTATGAGAAAATTCGCAGACAAGACTCAAGAGACATGGCCAGCATAAAGTTGTCGCTCAATACACCAACAGAGTATTCTCGCGAGGTGACGAGAAGCGGTCGTGCCGGCGAGAGATGGCGGCGGGGGCGGGATGTTAAGAAAGGTACTCCGTACAGAAGAGGAGAGTCGCAGTGGTGAGGTCGGGGAAGAATGAGATGGTTGGGTGCCTGAGCCTGCCCGCACTCGCTTCAAGTTGGGCCAGAACGCGTGCATCCCGCCTGCGGCCAGGATTGCCCTTGGTGCCCTCGTCTTTGTTGTCGATCGCAGTTTGCTCAGCGGTCGGACCAGTGCAGTGTTACTAATATTAAGTTCAACTGTCAACTTACCAGGCACTCCATACCCCGTACTCCTTTGTCGCAACGTTGCTTTCGTGCTTAGGGTAGACACCTAGGTGCAGTAGGTGCAGTAAGGTAGGTGCCCGAAGCACGTCTCGGGAGGGAAGGGCTCGAGCGCCCCGCGGTCCATCCCTACCGGCAACAGCATGACATTCGACTGCCAGCTTCATTCTCCTCTGATCCTGATCTTTGCCTTTGACCCTTTGGACATCGGTACGTCACATCCTTACCCTGGATCTGCACTGAGAAGGCCTCTTTTCCCAGTGTCTAACAGGTGTTTTGCAGCGACCACTCCGCAACCGGTCTCTGGACGGTCGTCACCAAGCTCCTGCTTCTCTTCGGTACCAGCCTCATCCTTCCTTTGTCCTGCTTGGTACCCACTGCCTTGTGTTCCACATATCATCCCTGTTCGCCCTTTTTGACGTAATAAGCGCTCGGGGACACTCCTCCGACGACCAAGGAGGGGAGGGGAGATCGGCTTCGTTATTTCCAACCACGAGGCATAGTCTGACCTGCGCCTCGTGCAGCTGATCGACATCACGTCTTCCATGCTCCAACGGTGCCGCTACTCGCAGAACAGCAGCTGGACTGGGCCCGATTTCTGGGTCTCGAGACCAAGAGCCATGGTTATCCCTCGGCTTGGCGGTTGGGACATGTACTGGGAGGAGCTCGATCCCGCCTTCGACATCCTATAGAGTATCAACATGGCCAACGTAACTTTCCTGTTCACTATAACCTCTCACCGCTCTTCAGCAACGGCGAAACAGTCCTGTACACCGCTTAGAGGCTCTCGAGATCAAGCAGGGGCACACGGTCTATGATCAGCCTGGCCCAGGGTAGTGCACAACGTTCGCCCAAACGGCATGGCGGCCATGGTCAAAGTCTGGGGAGGCTTGGGCTGTTTCGAGGCTGTCCATGAGCTGTCCATAGTTATGCAACCAGGTCTGATCATGAAAGGCCTGAATAGTCGGCAGAGTTTCTTCTAGAGGAGGCTCTCTTGGTATAGATTCTTCAGTCTGAGTGGAATGGGCCCTATAGACCAAAAGTTATGATAGAAAACTCATATGTCTCGCATGACTGGGAGAACAAAGATAGAGACTGCTCAAGCATGGCTGATCAAGAATTCTTGGGAGAGGCGAAGGATGGGATGGGACTGGATCTCACAGAAGACTTGGTTGTTCTTGTGGTAGAGGCACGTAGGCCAGTCAAGGTTATCCTAGTAGAAGTTATAACCCCGGCATCCACGAGAAGAAAGACAGCTGTGCCCCCTACTAAGGCTGTAGGACATGCGGCATCAAGGATGCCTTATAGCGAAGATGCTCGACCAGCTGCATGAGCCGTGCGTTGTGGAAAGGCTCTTTCGCCCAGATAGCATGCCCGACAATGACATTATTGGCTAGACATGCAAGCGCCTAAGCGGTGGCAGGCAGCCACCAGGCCATCAGGCTCGATTGGGACGAGTATTTGGAATTGAATTGTATGTGTATGGAGGACGCCTATCTTGATGGCCATCCCGGGCGGGCCTGCTAAAGATTAGGCGGCAGACGGGAGCTTAGGGGCCTGGGAGGCTAAGGGGCGACAGGCTTAGGAGGCTCCCGAGGCTAAACTACAGTATGACCATGCCCTAACGCTGGTCTAGATTTGTGTAACTGCGATAGATGACTTCCCGTGCCTGCGGCCTGAACCCCTCGGCTACGGCTCTAAGGCCTCAACTGTTGCTAGGAGTGCCACACCTCACACTTGACATCACCTGCTGACGCCTCGTTGCATTCACAAGACAGAATGGCGCGACCTTGACTTCACCGCCATGGACGCGTCTCAATATGAATTACTGGTCCATATCACCGCGTGCAGCACCGCCAGAGACGACAAGCGCTACACCTCAATTGCGCAATCCATCCTAGATTTTCGTCCAGCAACCCTGACCAAACTGTCAGGCCCTGAGTTCGATCCTCTTGCTGGCCGAGGCACGGTCGCGCAAGACACCCCCAGGTTGGTCTCCATGGTCTTGATGCGCAGTTCTCAGCTACTCCTGAGGAGTGGTGACGCTCAGTACTGCTTCTGCAGCCAGGTTCAATCGGACCCTCTGCCTTCCCACGACTTACATTTTCACAGAAGAGTCTCTCCATTTGAAGCTACGGACTTTCCTCGTCCAAAGACCGCTCCTGAAAGATGCTCTACCGACGCGGCACACACTTACTTTTCTGCAATGGCAAGTTGCGGGCGACGTTCCCGTTCTAAATCATCATCTTTAAGTGACTCGTTGGCTATTTCTTCGAGCTGTTATCCCGCAGGCAAACATCGGCACAGCTGCCTCAGTCGACATGAGATGTACAGACGGAACAATGGCTCTTTTTCAGAGTCATGTCAAGGGACTTTTGACGAGAGGTCGAGGGGACAAAGACGACGGTTGGAAGGGGAGAGAGACAACGACCACGACAGCCCTTCGCATGATCTACAAGAGACAACTTTTTCATCCCTTCAGCGTCAAGGTCTTCCCAGATCGAGGTCGTCCCCGCTCGAATCTCGCCTCAGACGGTGCCCTGGCTCCCCTTCATCCACAATGTCTCCTTCTCAGCCTTTGCGACTTGACAAGCTCACACCACGGCCGCAACCGCATGAATCCGCCGGTTCACCTGGTCGCGCATTTGTGGACTTGACCACGCCCGAACACCCTCGTCAAGGTTTTGAGCAGTCCCAATTACACCCGCCAGTGAGCTTGTATCTCCCACAATCTGCTCACCAGCCTGCAGCTGTCATCAAACAACTCGCCGACAATGTGTGTGGCCCAAATCCCAAAGGAGGACAGTCGAGGTTCACAACACACCTTACGAAGACTCTTGAAAAAGTCTCGACCAGGGTACCGCTTTCTAAGTATTTTCGACCCGCCCATGTTGCTCGAGATGTGGGAGTGCTGGAACGAGGCTACTGGCAGTTCTTTGTGCGAATCGGAGACAGAAAATACAGACAGTTGTCTGGAAGACAAATGATCAGTCCGCTGTGGACGGAGAAGGACTTTGACCAATTTTGGCAAGGAATCAGTAAGTTCATCCAGCAAGGCAAAGCCGGATGGGGAACACGGCTTGTAAAGGAATCAAGAGGTGGCAACGAATGGAGGATCAGGCTATTCACGTGGGCGGAACTTCTCGGACCTATCTGGGTGATTCTTTGGATCCTGTCGAACAAGTTGACCCAAGGCGTCTCTATGCAGTGGATTGCAGGTGACGGATCGGTGGTTGTCCAGATGGCAGGTGGGCAAAGCCGGCGGCGGAGATCAAGAGTGTGGATGAGGCGAGGGCCGAAGGGAGAAGGCGGAGCATGGGGATGGGGATTGCAGGGTTTAATCAAGAATACTTGACTGAATGACGAGAAGTCTGGACAATAATGTACTCCGTACTCCGTACCGAGCAGCAGTTCGGTATATTGATGTGACATGTAACATCGTACCAACGGCATAGTCACGGCACCATCTCGAGGATAGTCCAGCGCGGTGCTGGAGGGGTTGGTACATACAGTACGGAGGACAGGAGTTGCCAGACCGAGGCTTGGAGTAAGTGGCTTAAGGCTTCCGGGCCACCGAACAGGGTTGTAAGGTCCGTCCTTTACTGTATCCGCACTCCGTACGATGGATGCCTCAGGAACCTGAGCCGTAGCCGTTGCGGTTGCGGTTGCGGTGCCAGTGTGCAGTTCAAGTTGATGCCGGGCCGTTAGGCGGGTACCAGGTGATGGAGCACCTCATCTCAGCACTACTGACACTTTGACCAGCCTTGTCCTGACAGGCACCTTGGACTCGGGCCTGTTGCCGTCCCTGCGCCTGCGCCTGCGCCTGCGCATCAGTATTTGCTCGTGCATCAATTTCACATGTGAAAGAATCTCGCCCTCAACCCGCGCACCATTTCTTCCTCAATCACCACCCCTCTATGAGCCAGGTCGAGCGTGGTTCATCAACTGTGATCCATTCACTCTCTTCATCTTCCCTGCGCCGTGTTCATCAAGCCCTTCATTTGCAGCCGGGCGCCCTGCATTCGACAGCTCGCCCGCTTCTTCCCCAGACAGCCGTCCCAACAGATCTACATCCCCGAGATTGTAGTCAGATCGACCTCATCTGACCTTGACCACCTCCAGTGCGGATCTTTCCTTGTCCTTCACTGCTTGGGCGCCTTCTCCCTACCTCCGTCTACGTCTACGTCTACCGATTACCGATTATCCCAGGATTTTTCTGCATATTCACCGTCAAGATCCCGATCTACCCAGGAACCCAGCTGCTGAACACAAGAGGTGAATACAAGAGGTGAACACAGTTGAACACCGCCCCTTGTCGCTGGCTTGACTTCAGAGTCGAGGCTGCTCCAGGGCAGTCCCGGAGACCTGGTGGTTGAGCTTGTTTAATGTTGGCAACTCAGAGAATGTCGTCCCATGGCGGACAGCAGAACTTTCCATTCGGCTGTATGGCGCACACGTCCGATCCCTTTGTCGTAGACCCCGTTACTTACAACTATTGCGCAGATCAACAGGAGAATATCCATGGGCTTGGACTCCCGGAGTTCATTCACCCCGGCCCTCCCCCAGGCCAGCCTTTACTGAACGCCCACGAAAACCGAGACCTGGACAACTTTTTCCAAGACTTTGACCAGAATGCCGCCGCCAACAAGAACATCGCCCAGTCTCAATTCAATATTGTTGCTGGATCTGACCAGTACTATGGCATGCCACCCATGTTTGTAGGCTCTGACACCAGCCTCGGTCCCCGATATGTCGTGGATACGCATCAGCTTCAGGGAGCTGGTCTCTCGTATGGTCATGGAATAGCCGGGCAGCATATGAATGTGAACGCAGTCAAGCAGCCGAATACACTTGCCAGTGGCATGCCCCCAGGCGTCTATCATGACACAGCCTTCCCCGACCCTCTCATTACCCAACTGCAGACGGCTGCCTCGATGCAGCCTGCCTTTGGCCCTGGTTGGCAACACTCCTTCGCACCCCACGGTAGCATGGACATGCCTCAATTGCAAGGTCGACAAGCCATGGCTTTTGGCACTGACTCTCGTTTTCAGCCCACCGGATACGCCGCGCCAAACAATCCTCTGGATCCCGACATTCCCCAAGCAATGCAAACACATCCCATGGATTGGTTCGAATCCGCCAGCGCGAGTACCACGCAACCCAATACACGGCCGAATACACAGCCTTCCAGCCCCAATTGGTCCAAGAAGAGAACATTTGAGGATTTCCAGGGAGACCAGAATCCAAGGAATGGCTTCGTTCAAGGCAACATCCAGCAGATCGGATTCGCGCAAGCCTCTCCACCCAAACCCAATCCCAGAAGAAAACCGAGTGCTGTTGTCAAATACGAACAAGGACCATCGTCCCAGCCGCCGACTCCTTTACCCAATAGCAAACCGCATACACCGCTCGATAGAGAAGTGCGGGCCGTGGATGAGGTTGGCAATCATGAACAAGATGCCGAGGCAGAAGCTGAGGATGACGATGCCGCTACAGAATCCGCCAGATCTCCTTCACCTGCACCCTGGCCTGCTCACAAAGCTCGCCCATCCCGCAATCCAAATCCTGCTCCCCCAAAGGGGACTCGCAAGAAAAGGGCCAGTACGACCTCGTCACCGGCCGTCAAATCGAAATCAAAAGCTCAGCGTACTTCTGGTGGCTCGCAGGTCGCCAATTCCATCAGAGTACCTCTTACACAAGAACAGAAGAAAGCCAATCACACGAGCTCGGAACAACGTCGTCGGGATGCCACTGCTCGTTCGTATGCCGAATTATATGATCTGGTTCCTGAACTAGACGTCCTGGGCAAACAGAGTACCATGAAAAAGCTTGAAGTCGTGGTAGCCAAGGTCCAACGTGTGAAGCAGCGAGTGGAAACATTAAGAGCGAGACTAGGCCTAGACCCAGTCTCAGGCAGATCTTTTGGTCCAAGTCCGTACACATTCTCTGCTGCACAGTGATGTCCAAGATTGGCAATGATGATAAATCTGGCACCGGGTCCAAGCACAAAGTCGAACTCGCCGCTCGCAAGTGGACAACAGGACATTTGATCAACGTTACATAATGTGGTGTCGGCAAACCACCACAGAGAACTGTCGCAACCAGCAGCCGAATAGAGGCGCTTTATATTCGTACGAACAGACGACAAAAGACGAAGAAGCAGTCACGAATTCTTCTTGATCTCTCTTTCCCCGTTCCCCTTTCTTCCTTTCAGAGACGCCCCGCTTCACATTGGCCCGACTCACGGACATGTCATTGGTGATGGTATTGGACATGGCTGGCCGTGAACACTTGGACTGGCTTGGCTATGTTGGGCTGGGCTGGGTTGGACTGGCTTGGCTGTGTTGGGCTGGGTTGGCTTGGATTCGGGTTGGCTGGTATCAAAGGGCAGGACAAAAAGCAACGGACCATAAGGATGACCCGGAGACGGAGCGGGCAGGATGAGTGAGTGCGAGTGCCTTCAATGGGCAAAGCCTCGGACCGCAATCTTCAAATTCGTCCCTCGAATTTGTCCCTTGTGTAATGGCTAAAAGTCCTCTCCCCTGGAAGGTCGGCGTCGGTGTCGGCGTCTGCGCAAGGCTTACAGGACAGGGACAGGAGGGTGGTGTGTTCTGAAGACGTACGTACGTCGGCGGTGAAGCGCCGTCAAGATCGGAGGGAACCAGGCAGCGGTCGCCAGTCACCAGTCACCGTCACCATGATGGATGGGTTCCTGGTTCTGGGCGCCGGGTGTCTGGTGTCTGGTGCTTTACGAGGCCACGACATGACACGACATGCCGTGAATAATGAACGTCGTACGCCGAGATGAGATGAGATGAGATGACGTGAATTGACAATGGGATCTTGATAATCTACGCAGATTCTGTCTTTTATCTTTTGTCTTTTGTCTTTTGTCTTCGGTCTTCTGTCTTGTGCTTTCTGTCTGCGGGCGCCTCAATCCCCCACCCCACCCCATCTCATCTTCATCTTTATCTCCGTGGTGTCACCAGTCACTACATACATAGCCAGTGTCGCGCCTCGTGCCCAGCCAACTGCTCATCTCCCGGCCAGGTCACCCGGCCAGGGCACGGTCAGGTCAGAGGATGGGAAAATATTCATTCAGCCAGAGATGAAGATGGCTTTTTTCTGTCTTTCTGTTTCTCTGTTCCTCTGTCCTGGCCCCAGCTACCAGGTACCTTACTAAGGCATGTAGTGAGTTCCGGCAAATAGAAGCTAGGCAAATGCAGCCGGTGGGTTTGATTTGGTTTGGCCTGGTTTGGTTAATAATCTTTGCGTCGCATCGTGTTGAAATTACCTGCTCTTTCTAATCTCAAGCGTCTGTGCCTGGCATGAAGCGATTTCACTTGCCTCTCACACCTGCAGGCGTGAGGAATCACCGGCTCGTATGGTCCATTAGGGAAGAACGACCACCAATGCCCCTACCACCGGAAATAGTACCACTACCATTGGCCGCCGTGGCAAGGCACAGCATGGCAGGGTGGTCAAGTAGTATGGCACGATTCTAAAACTCCCATCCGAGACTCCGCGACCGCTCCCGCAACAAATTCGAGAGAAGATGGCCATCTCCAGAGCCAGTGGTAGTGGCGGGACAGCCAGTGGTTGACAGAGCGCCGTCAGCATCCAGAATATCAGCAATCTCAATAGCCCTTCTGGCCCAGAAGTGCGGCTGCAAAGCGTCGCTCGTATCGCCTGAGGAAATGTTGGGTCTGCGAGCCGTCAGCCCACTTTCCCCTTCCACTTCTCCTTCTCCTTCTCCTTCTCCTTCTCCTTCTCCTTCTCCCTGGGAAGAAACAAACAGGTCGATGCAAAGATTGAATAACGTCGTGGCGAGCCATTCGAGTTCATCAGCTGGATAGCCATGCCGACTGGCTTGTATGTCAGAGCCGGAGCCGGAGCCTGACTCCGAGACTGAAGTCGTGTTTGACCGCGCCAGTGTCAACGCTTGCTCCGTGATCATTTTCAGTGTCTCCAAGTTATTCAAATCTTCCAACTTCGAGTCTGGCTTGGATGAGGTTGGAGGTGCGCCACGCCGATCTAGAATGACTTGGGCTACGCATCGGATCCAGCGTGACGCTTGTGGAATGTCGTATTCAGGTTGATTTCGAAGTCCTTGGATGAGTTTCGCCAGAAGCTTGGTCGCGGTGGAGACGGCGAGGCGAGGCGTAGTCTTAGCTCCCTCTCCCTCTCCCTGGTCTTGCAATTCAGGGATCGTGGAGGCAGACAAAATCAGGTCTGCCAGAATTGAATAAGTTCTGTAGTCTGGCCGCAGCTGTATGGCTTGGTCGACAACCTGGATGAGCGACGATTCGTTCATACACCGACCGGGTTCCGTTTCGATAGATACGAGGAACAAGGCGGCTTCGAAATTTAGAGGCGCCAGGCCGATCAGTTTCTCGCCCATCTTCTCGACTTCCTCTGCAGTCGTCTCGGAGGGGCACGGGGACGACCGCAATGCAGTGAATCGTTCATACAGTTGTGAAGATTTGTCGAGCACCTGTCTATACAACATCCTCTCGATCTCTGTCGACGATGGCTGCGCCGTGTCGGAATAAGACGACCTTGGGAGATCCTCGGCTGTCCAAGACGGCGAGAAAGATCTCGCCTTGGTAGAGTACAAGACGGCTTGGATGTAGAGAGCATTCCCTTCGCGAATGATCTTTGCAAGCTTCTCCTCTTCCGCCGCATCTGGGGGGTATGGGATCTAGCGGAGTCAACACCTTGTACAGCGGAGTGTCTCTTAGACTCACTTGACACGAATAGAACAACAAATCGATGATGTATCTTGCTGGCCACGAATTGACATGTCGTACTGCCACGGAGTAGCTAGTCTGTTCAAACCATTGGTACTCTTTCAACGAGAGTGCCGTATCTTCTCCGTTGCTGGCCTCCTGCATTTTGACGAGCAACAAGGCTACGGCAGTCAGTCAATACCGCCACAGCGATGGCTCTGGACGCACCAGATTTGAATACCCCGCATAGCCTCAAGAGGTACTCATCAAGTGGCTCAGTCTCTTCAGAAATTGCCGAGAGGAGAAGACGCGCAATGGACCTAAGATATGATTGTTATTGTAAAGTAATCAGCCATACACGCATACACGTTGACTTGCCTGAGCAGCGACCAACCATCCACTTCTCCAGGTAGGTCGTCTCTGTATTTGTCGAAAAGTCGTTGCATATGTTGGGCTGCTTGGCCTCTGCTACCGTGTTGCATTGCTTCAGATATGGCAGCGAACAGAAATCGGTTCTTGTCCTCCGGTATGGCTGCAAGCGAGTTCAATGCAGATCGTGCTAGGCCAAACATCATCTCAGGACCCTTGATCATCTGAAGCGGTGTTCTTACCACCTGTCTCATCCTGACATCGAAGCGCCAGACTGTACCGAAGATACCGGCTTAACGGATGGTGTACTCTGCTGGGTGCCATGGTGTCGAATATATTCGTAGCAGCTCGCATGTTGGAGAGCTCCATATAGCACTTGATCATCTTCCTGTGAGACGTAAATGCTTGTGTCCAAAAAGGAAAAACATTTCTTACCGTTCTACTATTCCAATGTTTTGGTCTCCTCCATTTTGGAAAATGCTGTGCAATGCAGCTTGACACCACTGTACCGCATCTTCTTTCCTTCCGTCGTCGTAGCACTGCTCAATCTGCTTCCAAAGAAGCTGACCGATTAGCAAGCCTTCTACCGCACCACATTACCAAGACTTACAACGTGGGCGGCACGCGCTCCCTCCTGGCTAAGTGTCTTGTTCCATGCTTGCTGTATTGTGTCAAATGCGGAACAGATGTCAGAAGGTATTATGGAGGCATCGTAGGAAGAGGTGGTCATCATCCAAGTCAACGTAAGGACGGTACTCTCAGTCCACTGGTCGTTTTCGTCTGGAATAAGTCTTGTGATGATGTATTTTTCCACGACTTTGGTGGCATGTGAGATGCTGCGACAGGTATTAGTCAGAGGTACAACAACTCCAAGCACGCCGCACCTCAAAGATTTCAACCTGTGGACGTAATGCAGGATCCTAGTACTGTTAACTGAGCCGGAGAGCTTCGAAAGGCCATGAACTACTTACAATTTGTGATTTGGATGGGTCATGTGGACAGATTGTACCATCTTCATAAGTTCTACATCTTTCAGAGAAGGTCCGAGGCCGATGAGTATCGGCAGATAACTCACCTGTATGGAATGTTTCGGCATCAGGGGCAGGGTCGCGCGAGAGTATCTCCAACTGGAGCAATATGACTGGAAGCTTCTGACCAAATTCCTGGCTGGGTAAGAACGTGTACAAACAAATTCCATTTTGTCAAGTGAGTACTTCGCGCAAGACCAGGAGTGTTCTGTGTGCCTCATCGTCGGTTTCGGGTCCATCTTGTAAAAGAAGTGCTCTGACTACCTAAAGCATGAGACGTGGGCAGCTGGACTAACACGCTATGCTTACCGTAAGTGTGCAGCAAGGTGAGTCTCAGGTCCTGTATATCGACATCCGTAGTTTCGGCGTTCTTAAAGCTGCACACTGTGCAAGCCCTCTTCAACCATTTCGCAGCACGACTGCCATGCTTGCGGGTAACCTGATCATCGCCGATCTCGTAGCAGAGGTCAATTAGCTGAACCGTCCGATCCGAATTGAGGTTTGCCTGAAGTGGCTCGATTTGGGCATAAAAGTGCTCAGCCAAATCAAGGCGATCCTGCTTCCAAGCCTACCTACAGTTAGTCTGCTGTTTTGCTTTTGGGGCATATTCTGCATGTTATCACAAACCAGTGCCACTCGCAACAACAAATACTGCTCTTTCAGATCGTCGACGACATAGCCATTGTTCCGGACTGCTCCTTGCGGCGCCCATGACATGCTCTCTTGTTTGGAGGCAATCTGTTCCACAATCCTAGCCGCAGTCTCAAGTCGGCCAGTGGCTGTAGGATCCATCAGCAGAATGCATGGTGCTTTTATCGAGATATTTCACCTAAGCACCCTCTTGCCGCTTTCAGAGCACATTGGAAAAGCCGGGGTTCACCTAGAATGAATGAGCCAAAGCGCATGCGGTTGGCTCGATATCTCTAGGACCTTTACGCCTGGAGCTTGCTGCGCTCTCGAGAAGAAGATAAGAGAGCGCCCGGACTGCAGCCAGTTGTCAGACAATGCAAAAATGCGTCCATCCGCATACCCTCAGCCAGGTGTGCAGAATACTGCAGGGTCCCAGTCTTCGTGACCAGCTTGCAGCAAGTGTTCCAGATTGCGGCGCCTTTCCGGTCGAACTCCAATCGTTGATTCGGGCTGAGCTCTTTTCGTGGGAGAGGTAAGGCTCGTATGTAGAAGAGGACATCAGGGCATTCTTGAGAGGATGCATCTCCATCTGCATCTGCATCTTTGCTCAGACGTTCTTGAACATGCGCCACAAAGTCTGTCCTGGGTTAACATTGCATCTCGGAATCAGTGGCACCACACAGCATACCAAGCACAGACTGCGCCTTGCCTGCGGACGCTTCTGATGACATTGCGAAATGTGTCGAACGGGTGGAGGGACGGCGGATGGAGCGAGGGCAGTAAGTGGGAAGTGTACGGGTAGGTATAGTGGAAAACCACGTGATTGCAAAAGTTGATGCCTGCGGACATTTGACATTTGGCGCGTCCAGAGCAGTCACCATTATCCAGAGCGCCAGCCAGTACGAACAAAAAAGCGGAAGGACAGGCAACGCAGTTGGAACAAGGTCTAATTCTCATATCTCTTCATACAGATGTCATTTATGCTGGCTGTCAATGCTTGCCAGGGTTTATGGGCAGAAAATTCCCCACGATCAACGATGGTCTGCACCTGTTAGGCTGACAGCGACGACATGATGAGATGGGCGAGACTCACATGTTATAATTGTCCCGGCGGATGGTGAATGAGAAGCAACATGGAATCTCGGCGTCCGAGTCTGCCTTCGGACTCCGCAACGTACAACTAGTCAGCATTGCTTTCTGTTGCTGGTCGAAGCAGATGGCGCAAAACTTCTCCCAGTAGCTGACCAGCTGATCTTCGACAATGATTTCGTGAATGGCAAGTTTGCCCTATAAAAAAGGGTCAGTCACACAGGGAGTCGGTTCAAGAAGAGCCACTCACGTCACGAAGCGATTCGATGGGGACCTGAATCAGCTCTGCCATTTCTTTGTTGGCCCGAAATATCTCGCCCGTTCTTCTCCAGCAGCATGCTGGTATTGCCATGCTGGCAAAGATTCTGTCATACTCCATCAGACTTCTCTCGAACCACATCTCCACGAGCACGAGCTCAATGTCGGTTAAGCTCTGCATCCGCTCTCGGAACTTGGGCCGGAACTGGTCCAACTGCATCAGGATCTTGTGGCGTGATGATTGTTTCATATTCTTTTCCATGTATTTGTTGAGCCGAGCATAACCATTCACATAGTTGAATGGCCTCAGCATCCCGGCGTCGTACTTCGCCTTAAGCAGCTTGTTCATGCGTTCTTCTGGCGGTTCGGCGCCGGTAGGGTCTGCGGCCATCATATAGTACTTCTCTCGCGCTTTGTCCGAAATGGGCTTCACGCTGGACGGTCGAGAGATCATGGCGGCTTGAAGGGCATTGCTCTGGTTCGTGGTCAGTCCAGTGTGGCCGTTATCCTGGCTTATGTTGGATTCAATTCCAGAGGTCGGAAGAGAGGAAGCCGCCATCGCGTTCATGAAGGAGGGATCATTGAAGTGACCCTGAAACTCCTCTGTTGAATACATCCCCGTCTCTTCGAAAAGGCTAGTGCTAAGAAAGTCGTTCAGTAAGTTATATTCATCCGTGACCTCGTTGGCGTTGAACAAGTAGTTGGGATGGAAAGCATGTATATCATGGAAGCGATTCTGCGCGCCAATCCAAGGGTCATTAAATCCATAATCTGCACACCGTCAGGTTGAGTAGCTGGCAGACTTCGATGTACACCTACGACCTTGACCATTGCCATTGATCCCTGCAGTTGGAGCTGCTGGGACTTGATTAGAGACGGACATGGTGTCATTCGTGGGCGGTCTCAGGCCCATATTGTCATCTTGCAGGAGTGTGTGGCCAGCATTGTCCATCATCGTAGGTCCTGGCAAGGTCTGCACCGTGGCAGAGTCATCTCGCGGGGGAGATTGTTCCTCTCCTGTGGCGTCTGAGTCGGCCTTGGTCTTCTTGTGGTATCCGTGCCCTTCTCTTGGCTCATCATGGCACAGGTGTCCGATGTTTCTCTTAATGCAGCGTTGACAAGGTCGATCCTGAGACATGGCCCCACGGCGAGGGTCGCATTAGCCAAAGTACCCTCTGAAGGGGTGACAGAATCCTCGTCATGGAGAAGGGAGAAGTCGTACCGAATCGCAGGTCATATGCTGTGTATCCCAGACGAACCATCGGTTAGCCTATCATGTCCCTCCCTGCGCACTCAAATCTCGGTGTCGCTAGTCACGGAAGTGAATCTGACTCACCGAACGACGGCAGTAAACACATGCTAAAGGCCAGTGGTCAATCAAGGCTGCAGCCGGGGACCATATGAGAAGGAGGACGAACCATGATTCACCTTGCGCTTCTTCTTTGGCTGCTCTGTCGGCGAAGCTTGATTTGGTTTGCGCGGAGTAGAGGGAGAGATGGCTTCACTTGACACCGAAGTCCGATTCCCTGTGTCCCTGCTCGTCCCATTGCCTGCATAATCAGGCCCATCTTGGAGATCTGACATTGGCCGACAGATTGCGAATCAGACTATGGTTTGCAGCTGGGAGAGGAAACTCTGCGCGGTGTCGGCCCTCTTAGCAGGATCGCATGGACTCATTGCCTGTCAGACTGTACACGAAGATAAGAGACTGCAGGTCTATGTGGCATGGAACAATAACGGTAACGGTGGTGAAGGACAAGGTCTCTGAGCAGGACCACCAAGTAACGTGCTAGTAGGTCTAGGTGACTTTAATAATATGTGACCTCGGCGCCGCATGTACGGAGACGGATACTGTAGAAAGAAAGGCCTAAGCCGGGGTCACAGAGGCGCAAGATGAGACCCCGCGCAAGCGCAGAGAAAACGGAAAACGGAAAAACGGAGCTGGGACCCTAAGATACCCTACCTAGGTAGGCTTATTAGTCAGCCAAAGTACCATCATAATTAATTGGCCCGGCCGTCAAACCACGTGACTAATTTTGGCCTGCCTCGGCGCCCCAAACCAGAAACATTCCTCCGGCCGTGCCCCGAGACTGAGACCGTATTCTACTTTGACCATGCAATTGTGTACCATGTATCCGCACAGTCGAGCGGCTACAGCCGGCATGTTTCTTCGTACGCAAGCCCTCCACGACATGGGTTAACATGACCTGGCGTCCTTTGTGCATGTAGTGATGACATAGGAACCATGAGTACCACGGCCCTGTTTCTTCCTCTAGATGCGCCTCCGAACTTTCGCAGCTGGGCGCTACAATTTGCTTTCTAATACAGCCTATCCATCTGTGATATCCCATTTATCCCTCCGCACGTGTGATGTGGTACAAATTTGAAGGTGAGCGCTGAAAAATAAGCCACTAGCAAGTCAGCTCGTCGGCCGCCATCGAGTCCGCCCATCGAGACAGCTTAAGCGACGAGGGGAACACTCCGCAGCAAACGATGATGCACCTCTCCTTTTCAGACATTGATGCTGGGTCGTAGTCTCTTCCTGCCTCTGGTGCCGCCGGGTGTGCCGTGGTCTTCACGCTCTCTCGCCCTCTTTTCCCGCTGGTCCAATACTAGACTCAGGACATCAAAGCCGAACTGCGGGTACTCCAAACACATGGCCTTGAACTCTGCCTCGGCTTCGTGGCGCAAGACATGCGACCGTGTCGCCCAGAATGCGGCGACGGGTTTGCGAATATTGACGTCCTCGGGCGGGATGTTGCCATATACAAATCTGGCATATGCAATCTCGCCGACGGCGCTGGAGTTGATAAGGTGGATCTTCGAGTGCGCTAGAGTCTTGAGGACCGGCATGCCTAGTTTCCCTGCCAAAGTGTACACGCGCGCATGTTTCAACAGCCGATCACCCGTGTCGTCGATGGCGGGAACAGAGGAATCGCTTTCGAGGGTATCGTTCGAGAGGCGTCGCGGGAAATACTCCCCAGTGTATTGGTATTGCAGGAAGCAGACGACGGCATCCAGATGCTCATCGTGGAGATCTATGCGAAGGTCGTCGTCGTTGAAGGTTGACAGCTTTTCTTTGAGGAACGGCGATTGCTCGAGAATAGCCTTGTGCGCCGTCAATATCGTCTCTTTGTCGCCTGCGCCAACAACAAGCTGTACAATCGGCGACTTCAGGTATTCGAGGAAAATGGTTTGAGGATTTTGGGTTGTTGGAGAAGAGGAGCCGTTGGCATCCAGATTTTCGTTGCCCTCGCCCTCTCCTGCGCCCTCTGGGGTTTCTTCTTCCACCTCGTGCTCTTCTGGGGCCGTGCCCATCACAACGTCGCCCTCGCCAGAGTCGGCGATCTGTAGGCTCTCTTCGAAGTCGGCCATGATGGTTGGAGTTCAATGCGACGAGACATTAGACTGCAACTCGTGGAGAACGGTGATCTCGGACCCTTCTGCGTCAGAAAAAGCCAAATAGACAATAGACAATACGTGGAACACTGAACACCGTAGACCGTAAATGAATGGATTATGGACGGAGTACAAATGAATGGATGCAGAGATGCGACTGGTTGAGCGCAGTGGTTCAGCTTGACGCTGGACACAGCTCCAATGCGGAGGATCAGGCTGCGGGCTGGGAGTCTTGGCAAACGCTGAGGTCTTCAAGTTGGTTATAGCGTCAAACCAACTTCAACTGGGACCAACTGATTAATTATTAAATTCCTCCATACGGAGTACTTTGAGTCTGTCTCGACATATAGAAGCACGGAGGTTGCATTGCACGAGGCTATCATCACAGATACCTAGAGGCTTACTATTGTCGTCAGCATCGGGAGGACTGGCATGCCTCCAGCATATTACTGTAGTATCCACGAGCCTCCAATGATTGATCGACAATCATTACGACTAAATACCTAGGTACAGCTTGAGTGGCAGGGTAGACGAGGAGATGCCGTTGATTGGGGGCCTTCTGCGTGTGCCTCACCCCCGCCTTGCAGCCTTGTACTCCGTGCCAGGGGAAATACCTAATTATCCGTACGGATACATTGAATTGGCTGTCTACTAAATTAGTACACAGCAGTTTGACGAGAGTGAGGGAGGTTTGGCGACACAAGGGATTCGCTAGGCCCTAGAGGGGAGAGCTCGAGAAGGGTTGCTCCAATCGTGGTCGGCTACTCAGGCCCTTAGGCCCCTAAGCCCGGTTGATGTGTTTGACAGGCACCTAACAGGGGTCAGGAGAAGCCTGGCACGGACCTAGTCACAGGCGAGAAGGGCTCCCCTAAGGCTCAGGGCCCGAAGGAGTCCGGCAGGGCCAAGGCTCCGGGATCGATTGTTCTCACCGCCTACGCTGTTCGACTATCCCGATTGTGGCAAACTATGGCGTGCTCCCCCCAGAAAATGTTGCCATCAGTTGAAAAGTCCCATCTTGCTGCGAATGCGCCGAATGGAACAAACGCATAAGGTCGCATCGGCTCCTCTTCGTCGTCATCCCTTTGCTTGTCGTTGTGTCGCCGCAATTAATCTTGCCACCAGGCGGAAAGGAAAGAAAGAGATGGAGATGAGGCCAGACACGCGAGGCAGAGGCATGCGTGCTCAGGCGCAGGGCCCTTTGACCGCCCGCCAGAGTCGCACTGCTCATTCGCATGCCACGTCCCCACATACGCTCATACCAGGAGCAGTAATCTTTCCTCTGTCTCTGCTGCTCGTTTTCTGCCCGCTCTACGCTGTTGCCGCCGCGGCTTACCACACAATCCCACTGGAAGACCACTTGGAGCTCCGTGACTTTCCTTGTCTTCGTCTTATATATCCCTCCTTGCTCTCTCACTTCTCTGTCTGTTCAATTCCTCCCAAGAGCATCTAGCATCCCCAGCAAACCTGCTCCAGCGCCATATTCAACGCGTACACACACCACACACACGCTCTCTCTCACACTCACACACACTCACACACACACATACGCACCACGTAGCAAACAACCTCGAGATGGGCTCCTACAATCCATTCCCGGCCTCTCCGCCAATCTCACCTCCCAATGGCTTCAATGGTGCTGACGGCTACTCGACTCCTCTGTTCCCTGCAAAACCAAACATCCTCTTTATCATGGCTGACCAACTGGCCGCTCCTCTGTTGAAGATGCATAACCCTAAGTCTCAGATCAAGACACCGAATCTTGACACACTGGCTGAACGGTCCGTCGTCTTCGACTCGGCCTACTGCAATTCACCCCTCTGCGCCCCTTCTCGCATGTGCCTGATCAGCGGCCAACTCCCCTCCAAGATCGGCTCCTACGACAATGCCTGCTCCATCCCTTCCGAGACACCCACGTACGCCCATTACCTGCGAGCAGCAGGCTATGAGACTACTTTGGCGGGCAAGATGCACTTTATTGGAGACCAGTTGCACGGGTATGAAAACCGATTGACTGCGGACATATATCCCGGCGACTATGGCTGGGCGGTAAACTGGGATGACCCTGACCGCAGACTGGAATGGTACCACAACAGTAGCTCTATCCTGCAGGCAGGGCCTTGTGTGCGTACCAATCAGCTCGATTATGATGAGGAGGTGCTGTACAAGTCCAAGCAGTATTTGTATGATTATGCACGTCAGGCGCCTGGAAAGCGGCCATTTGCCCTGACCGTATCTTTCACCCACCCTCATGACCCTTATGCAATTGAGGAGAAGTATTGGGATCTGTACGAGGGCGTCGATATCGACCTCCCCAACGTCAACATCAAACCAGAAGAGCAGGATCCTCACAGCAAGCGTCTCAGGCGCGTCTGCGAATTGGAAGGCCACAACTTCACCGACGAGCAAATCAAGCGGGCTCGGCGTGCATACTACGGCGCGGTGAGCTACGTGGACGACTGCATTGGTCAATTGCTTGACGTGATCAAGAAGTGCGGATTGGATGATGACACAAGTAAGTTTTGACCCCTGACAGCAACCCCGCGTCGAGCCTGTCGACTGACACCACACCAGTCGTCATGTTCTCCGGTGACCATGGAGACATGTTGGGCGAGCGAGGGCTGTGGTACAAGATGTCGTATTTCGAGAATTCGGTTCGAGTGCCTATGCTCATCAGCCACCCGAGCCAATTCACTCCTCACCGCGTACCCCAGAATGTGTCGACCCTGGATCTGATGCCCACCCTCGTGGATCTCATCGGATCCCAGCTCGTGCCGGGATTGCCGATGGACGGCCAATCGTTGTTGCCTCATTTGTACGGGGGCAGTGGTGGCCACGACACCGTCTTCGCCGAGTACATGGGTGAAGGGACCGTGGCACCGTTGATGATGATCCGAAGAGGCGACTGGAAATACATCACATGTCCGATCGATCCACCCCAGCTGTTCAACTTACGTACAGACCCACTGGAAGAGGTCAACCTGGCGACCAGTGAAGATGCTGCAACTCAAGCTGTTTTCAAGGCGTTCGAAGAGGAGGCCAACAAGAAATGGGACTTTAAGAAGATCACGCAAGATGTCGTTACGTGCCAGCGTCAACGCCGCTTGGTCTGGTCCGCTTTGACCAAGGGCCGCTTCGAAAGCTGGGACTGGAAAGGTCACGAGGACGGCCGTACCAAATATATACGGTCCCAAACTCCGCTGGATGAACTTGAGCGACGAGCCCGATACCCGATGCACAGCAATGTTCCAGCCCACATCACGGTCAACAACAAAGCCGAGGTGGTGTGCCTACAGCCCAAAAGACTGACTGAAATTGCGAGTGATGCCGTCCATTACCGCTGAACCAAGCCGACCTTGCCTGGACATGTTTTCAACGACGAATGAATCTTTCCTGATTGAACCTACTTCGGGGACAGTCATTGTTTCTTGTTTCCAGGGACAGTCATTGTTTCTTATTTCCAGGCACAGTCATTGGTTTCTTGTTTCTTGGGAGGAGTCATTCTACTCTGCTGAGCGTGGCGCTGGGAGTTGTGAGAGTTTTGGCTTTGTTCCCGGAAGCCTTCTCCATAGATGCTGCGCGGCTTTGGCCACGCGTAATGTTCATGTATGCAATTGCATAGAGTTCAGTTTCTGGTTGGATCTCAACGGGCATGCATATGCGACTGTCATTGACATGGACATTGATTCTTGGATGCATATGCGCTTGTCATTGACGTGGACATTGATTCTTGGATTGGATCTGGGTCTGGGCTTTCTGGAGTTTCTATTACGTCTCCAAGTCACACTGGCTGTTCCTTGGTTTCCTTGGGGTTTCCTTTGCGTGAGTTTGGGCAGAAATAGCGGGACTTGGCCAAAATGGGAAGCAGTGGAAATGTATATCTAGGAACTGATGCTAGGTAGGGATTACTGAGTACAAGACGGCCAAAAATGAAAATGAAAATGAAAATGAAAAGCCATGCATGACTTGTTTGCCTAAGGTACCTAGGTAGGTATAGAACAGAGTACATACATACCATCAGGTAGGTATATTGTGCACTCATCTCATATATTTGTGCTGTATCCTACATTGTGCACTCATATATCTGTGCTGGACCCGACATACGGATTAGGAGTACATGCAGGTGTCATGAAGATGTGACCCTACCTATACCTATCTTACCTGGTCCCTATACGCCTATCTGCCGCATGGGTCTGTCATCTATCGAGGTACTAGGTTGTCTTCCCTTGCCTTGTCTTGCCGTGGCTTGCCTTGTCTTGGTTTACCCTGCCTGCATGAGTATGAGTATGCATACCTTACCTGATGTTAGATGGATAGGTAAGGAGGTATGCAGGTATGCAGGTAGGTACGTAGTACAGACCGTCCCTCCCTCCCACACTGCTGTCAAGTCAAGCCAAGTCAAGTCAAGCCAAGTCAAGTCAAGTTCGGGTGTCGGGACAATCGATGCTGGGGTTGGAGTTGGGTCTACGCCGAGTACCGTATATCCAGCATCCATCCACCATCCATGCAACATCCACCATTCCATCCAGCTGCACAGTTAGGTATGTAATTAATTACCCGTAATGTAATCTGCAAGGCAAGGCAAGGCAATGCAGGGCAGATGGTCTGGTCTGATCTGGTCTCCTCTAAGTTAGCCCTTATTAGCCCTTGCTTTAGCACCTCTCTCTGCTGATCACCGATCACTGTCCACCGTCCAGCGTCCAGCGTCCAGCGTCCACCTACCATCTCCCACCGTCCAGCGTCCACCGACTACCGACCACCTACCATCTCCCACCGTCCACCGACTGCCGGCCGAATGCCGACTTCAGACTTCAGACTTCCCACTCTGGACTGACTGACTGACTGACTAGACTAGCTCGTTGAAAACCTACCTGGCTGACTAAATGACTGACGGACTTGACTGACTGCCTATCTACCTACTTGACTACCTACCTAGTTGACTAACTGACTATCTACCTACCTTACCTGACCAGCTATCTACCTGACCACCTATCTACCTGACCACCTATCTACCTGACCACCTATCTACCTGACCACCTATCTACCTGACCACCTATCTACCTGACCACCTATCTACATACTTAGCTGACTACCTACCTATCTGTACGATACCGACTGCGACGAAGACAGCAAACAAGACAAGACTAAAGCTGAACTAAACTAAAGGCCTGGCCTAGCTCAGCTCTACGATGTATTCTTGATTCATGACATGATATCCATCCAGCTCGGACACGATGATGTGTTCGACAGATTAAACTACTGACTCTAGATACAGACGACAGCTACAGACTCCAGATACAGACTATAAAATACAGTCAACATATTAAGTACAGATACAGTGTCCTCCGTAAGGTTAATGTACATACAGAGTACAACTACAGACTACAGCTACAGAATACAGTCAACATATTAGGTACAGATACAGTGTCCTCCGTAGGTTAATGTACATACAACATAATAGATACTGCTCCGTACCAAATACTACGGACACATCTCAAGCTGATCCTCACACTAGACTCGAACCAGGCATGCAATCCATATCCTTGTGACGCCGTAATGATTTGGTTTTGGTACCGGCAGCTTCGGGTCCACGGGTGTTTATCAATTCTCTCCCAAGGCTCCTTAGGCCTGCCCAGTAGCTTGGTGCCTCTACCTGCATATCAACCACTTCCTTACCAGACTGCAGTAGTCCCAGTAATAGCGGTCGGAACAGAACCAGAGACCACGCGACTCAGCGGCATCCCGGCTCCAAAACCCGGCTCCAGCCTTACACAGTCAGGATCAAATGACCACCATTCCTACTCGGTTGCCTTTTCCTTGGGCCCTTTCGGCGTCCGCACCCTTCCGTCGCCTGTATCACGTCCAAAATCCCTCCAATGGTCATATCTTTTTCTGCCCGGCAGAATTGCTGTCGTTCCAGTGTTCGTTGACCTCTTCGGGAAACTGCCTCCGCGTTTCCCACTCAGCCGTATGCCCAAGTAGAACGCGCCTCATTTATAGTAGTAACCGACGCTGGAGTATGTATCACATGGCTCGGTGTGGATTGCTCCGCTCCAATGGGCCCTCATTTGGCAAAGTGCAGATCATACCCCAGCCACTTCCTGGCATTGACTTGGGCAGGGGTCAGACCTGGCCAGCCGTATGTAAGGGGGAAGAAGAAAATAAAGCCGTAAAGCACCACGGCCAGGATGACAATGGTGGCTGTCCAAGTGGCGACCAGACTTTGTCCCTTGAGACGGTCCGATGCGGTTTGGAACGTTCGTTTGGTCCTTTCCGAGAGCTTGCCACCAACCTTGTCCTTTTTGGCAGCTATCACCGAAGATGTCTGCTGGTCGATGACAGGATCGACGTTGAAAATGAATTCGACCAGAGCACCAGTAACCAGACAGGAAGCCAGGTGTGCGGGCAGATAATGATGTAAGAAGAGTTGACGTCCCATTAGATAAAATGGGAAGTAGTGTGCCGCCCAGCAGAGAAAAAAGAACCCCGTACTATTGTACAGACGGGACCGAGTGCCTGAGGAAGAGAACATGTCAGCAAATACCATTCGGGTCCTTTGTCGCGGCTCAGCACTTACGTCTATCGAGAGCATCGACTCCACGTCTCAAACCTAGTTGATCTGCCCCCACGATGCCCGCAAAGACAGCGAGGAGAGCGGAAGCAATCCAATATCCGATTGGGTTTCCCAGGAAATATATCTGTTGCTTGGTGCTCTCCTGAGTCCAGAAACTGACTCCTCGCAGCAGGAAAGGCCAATGGAAGGGTTGGGTGGCATATGGGTGGCTTGCCGTCAATGCATTGTTGTGGTAGAACATGGCTCGCTGGAGTTCAATGTATTTGATCAGGAAAGGCAGATGTTTCGGCTTTCTAACCTCCTTGATACGCCTTGGTGAATCTTCGGGAAGACTGGGAATGTCTTCCACATACCAAATGTTGCTTGATTGTTGAGCGTTTTTGTTGCCGTTGATTTCGGCTTGCTTGAACGCCCAGTCCGGAAGAGGTGTTGTGTGTGTCCACATGGCAACTTTGGATGGGTGGTGGATGAGCTTGAACTGCCCAGACATGGACCTGAATGGCACACCCTTCTTTCCCTGCTCCATTCGAATCTCGAACAATGTGTCGTTGTGACGCTCCCCGGCCGCAAGCTCCAGGGGTACAGTGGTAAATTCCTGGTTTGTAGGATGGTACGGGGACGCCACATCATGGGTCAAGAGTATAGTGTTGGTAACAAGGTGTCGAAGCTTGATGAGATCACCGTTCAGCACAGGCCTGTCAACACCACTTCCGTCGGGGATCGGATCGTTTGGCAGAATCTGCCATTGGTTGTTGGTGTCGTTGAAAGGATAGCCGGTAACTTGCTGCCCCTGGCTGGAGATGCGACCATCATCATACCGCAGAGGGTATTTGTCCGGATGGCTGTGGAGGTAAACTTTGGTCTCCTTGTGTCGCAAGGTAATGGTATCGTAATAGTGGACGTCAAGAGCGGCTTGATGCAGTAGGTTGTCGCTGAGGGTCTCCTGGAATTCTGGCGACATGAAATCGTCTCCGGGACCGGATCGGCTGAGGATGGCGAAATGGACCTGGAACCAGAACAAGTAGAAGAAAAACGGGATGATGATCAATCCCACGGCCCGGGCGACGAAATGTTTGCCAAATGTGATCAGATCCAACGCCCCTTCCCTGCGGTTGATGTCCAAGAGATCCCAGAGGTCGATGCAGACAGCACATCCGATGGTGACGAAGGTGAAAGTGCCCACGTACTTTGTGGAGATGACACAGCTCATACAGAAGCCGGTAAGCAAGAGCCACTTCCACCATTTTCTTCCAAATGGCTCGTGCCGCTGTTTGTAGAATCGGATATAACCAAGGACACTCAGGGACATGAAGAAGACCAGCGTGGCATCCAGCAGGATCAGACGGGTTTGCCCAACGTGAGAGTTGTCAAACAGAACCAATCCAGACGCCAGAACACAGGCCGGAAGTGAATAGCCTGATTCCCACATAATCAGGAAGACGACCACGACCGTGAGAGCACCTAGGAGCGCAGGAAGGGCTCGGAATGCGACGTATGGCACATTGTTGGTGATGTAGGATTCGCCAATATTGTCAAAGAGAAAGTGTCCGTCATAGCCGACGAGCCAGCCGACGAGGGCAAACAGAAGCTTTCCGAAAGGGGGGTGGACATCGAAGAAGTAGGTTCGTTGCAAGTAGTAGGATGCAAACTGCGGTCGCTGTCAGTTACATTGCTCTGGGACGATATTCAAGCACCAACATACCTTTCCAAAGTGAACCTCATCAAAGACTACTTCATTAGGGTGACTGATGCCGAAGAATCGAGTTGCAAATGCGAGAATTGTAACGATGCCCAGGGCCACTTTATAGTCCCACTCTTTGGGAGCTTTCCTCTGCACATCACTAAGATACGCGTCGACTGGGCTATCCTCGGGTTTGTCTCCGTTGACCAGCGGCTTGTTCTTTTCCTTCCCGACCCGTTGGCGGAGGGCAGAGTTGGGATTAGACATCGTGGGACGGCCGAGGGAGCAAGCGAGGGGAGGGAGGGGGGTGACGAGTAGAGGCTTAAGTCGTGAAGCGGGATGAGCACCGCCGAGAGAGGTGGTGAGTAGAGAACGGATACCAGGCACAAAGAAGGAGAAAGGAAGAAAGGAAACTGTCGGGAGGATTTCAAGTGGTCAACCCAGCAGATGCATTTCCTGAGATGGGGGACGTCGAACGTGTCCTGAACTTTTTGGAGAGACGCGACAGCCTTCAAGACTCCCTACAGGTGGGTCCGGTCCCGTCAAGCCTCGTGCAAAGGGGGCGAGAATTTGACTCTCCTGACATGAGTTATTATTACATACTAATATGTGCAGTACGAGGCCAGTAAGATCGATCGCAGGCTGTGTGCGGAATATACTACAATGCGGGATTTCGCATTCCTCTACTCGTGGCTATCCAAAATGCTCAGAGCCTCCATTTCACGCTGCACAATGCGCTCAAACTCCTCGCGGTCGATCCCGGCACTCTGCGCCAGTCGATACATGCTTTTCAGACTGGTACTGATATGCTGCCGGATCCCTATTTCCGATGCTGTGTATCGCTCTGCATGCTGCTCTAGTCGAGCCACCGTGTCTGATCCTTTCGAGGAGGGTGGTGAAGGCGCAGGGTGGGTGACTTCGACTTCTTTCTCCGGCGTAACATCGTCGATGGCGCCTTGGTACGGAGGAGGATCTTGATCCAAACGGGAGTCGGTGTCTCGTGAAAGCAAGTGTTGCAACGCATTCCCGTTCAATGTGGATTCTCCGGCATCTTCCATCTCTTCGTCCGGGTCGTGACTATCCAACGCAGGCTGCACACTGTTGTATTGTGCATAATAGTCGTCGTCTGCCGGCTTGTTATGATGGGGCTCGACTGAAGCCTTTCGAGCGGGTGTTCTGCCAGGAGTCTTGTCATACATGGCCCAGTAATCATCTTCCTCCGTGTCAGCGGAGGCAGGGTCTCTCTGGGCCCGTGCATTGGCCGCATCAGCCTCTAGCAAGGCTTCGGTCACCAATCTCTCCCTCGCAGATTCATTCGCCGCTTCGATAGATGTTGACCAGGATGGATCGCCCTGTAGGTCTTGATCGAAGGGTAACAGTTCTGCCAGCTTCCAGGCCCTGGAGCTTCCTTCATCTTTGCTAGAGCACCACAGGTACAGTGCGGTGAAAGGCCAGTCGATCAACGGGATCTGTGCTTGGAGTGTCTCTTCGTCCAACCTTTTGTAGGTGATTTGTTCTATATCGCCCACCTCGATTTCCCCGGAGGCAGGATGTGGCTCGAACACCGTCTCTTGGATTTTTGTTTTCAGAACATCTCCTTTCGCAGCATCCCAACATAGTAGCGCCGCCCAGTTGTCCTGAGAGGGTCCAGAGGTGTGTAGATGCAGGCGCTGGCGGAGAATGGGAGACAGGAGGTCTAGTAGTGCTGGAGGAGGCCTATGGGAGGCAAAGGATGTTGGTAGACAGGCGAGCAGAGGCGGAAGCAGTGTGTGAGGATCAGGGGGAGGAATGAGTTCGACCATGGTGAATGAAGGGACAGGCCTGGAGATGGAGGCTGCCCACCGCTTGCAGACAGCGTCAATCAGGGGTTCGATTGTAGGAAGATCATTTGGAGACTAGAGGGAGGCGAGACACAGCAGAGGCGAGTAGTCGTTCTGAAAGCGACAGTTAGTAGTGCTGCAAGTCCTGATCTGGAGTGAGTACGCAGCGAGTACACAAGTAAACGGAGAAGATGACAGAAATGGGGCTTGGTTTAAACGGGAACAGCGCCTAAGAAGCATGAACAATGGTTGGATCAAGTGCTGGGTGGGATGCTGTTTCGAGATTACTCAGGTATCTAGAAGAACCCGATAGTAGTATAGAACTATCAGGTGTCGCCGAAGATCGTAGTCTGGCTGCGCCGCGGAGGAGGTGTTGCAATTTACATTGTTTCCATTCGTCCGGCCGAACTTCTTCCACGCACGTGATTGGCGGAATGGCATCACCCTTCAGGTTTGATCTTATAGTCGAGGCTGAGCCGGAACACAGTTCCGCTGAGACTGCTATTCACATTCACGAAGGATTGCTTCTCCGATCTCGTTGATCCTGGTGGCTGCAATCGTGTTTGGATCAAGAAAGGCACCCAGCAGTCAACCGGTTCAAAGTAGGGTATACCGCGGGAATACTTTGCAGTAGTAGATGCTACGGGCAAGCAAATGGCTCTTGTATGTACAGTCATTCTGGCCACCGCCCAGCCACCGCCCTTCATATACCTTTATTAGGTGGGCAACGCTTTCTACACAGAATCCAGCACCCTAACGGAACATCGTCGATTAGATCTCTCATATTATTGCCAATACAGGACGGAATATCGTAATGACTACCTATTGTCGAATGGTGACTTCGTCGCCACCAGCTGAGCCAACCCAAGTGCCCTGAACGAGGGTTTTGTGGCTTTGCGAATCTGGTGCTGAGGTTTGTTCCTTGCACGAGCGGGGATGGCACCAATCACGGAACAAGATGTCAATGCTCTCTCTGGAGTGGTTGCCGTCGAATGTCCATTTCCAGTTCCCTCATTTTGAGAGATTGACAACCTTGAGACTTGTTGCCGAAGGCCGTCGCGAAGAAGGGGTTTAGTGTCCTCGATAGAATTGCACAAAATACTGCCAGTCATTAGTAAGAAAGGTTCTCCAGAACGTGTCACTACTCACAAGCGAAGATGAGGCGGGTGTTGGCCGCGGAGCGTCGTCGCTTGGAAGAGAAGAGAGACGTTGCCCTTCAATGCGTTAGGAGCGGGATGGTAGAAAAGAACTCTACGCTTGTAGCAGGAAGCCCCTTGAAGTCGCACCCAACTAATCCATCCGACCAGGATCATTCCTTCATTGACGAGAAGAAACTCCAATTTGATGAGCATGGTTTGAAATGGCTTCACAGCGTTTGCCAATGCAACGTCGAGCAGATCTTCTGTGGGTGCTTGTGTACGCCTATACATCGGTGGTAAGTTATCGAAGAGGTCTCCCAAGGTTTTGACGGTCTCCACGAAAAGCCGGAGTCGTCGGCAAAGATACGAATGGCTTCCCCAACGCTGCCCACCTCTTCAGCGAGATCGTGAAGACCTTTCGCCACTGTCCAGCCCGTGCAAGCCAGACCCAGTGCACTAGCAGCAAGACCTACTGTTTCTGCCATGTTGTAGGAGCTCTAAAAGCCTTACAATAATTGCAGCAAGGTATGATGAAGCAGACAGCAAGGCTGATGTGGTTACAATTACTCCGTATAGCCTTGCAATGATGTCGGCCCATAAGCGGGGCAGTTGACAACTAGGCTCTAAGCCTTAGGGCTTAGGGGCTAAGGCGGCCTAAGGCTACGGAGGCTAAGGAGGCTTAGACCGAAGGCTTAGGGGCCCTAAGGCCTTACATCGGAGCGTGAGCTTAAGGCCTTAGGAGCCTAAGCAACCTAAGCCCCTTAGCCCTTAGACTCCGATCGGCTCGGCGCGAGAAGCTTACGGCGTGTTCGTATTTACGGGGTACTCGATCGGGTACAGAATTTAATGCCGCTCTTACTGTACAGTGTATACTACTACATCCGTGGTACTGTGGATTCTGCTTTGTCGCTCGCTACGTGATGCTTGTCGTCCTTTATATGTAGTTGTGAGTTGATAATATCTCGTCGACCGCTTCCGCCATCGCCATGCTCCTGACTCGCTCCTTGAGACCAAAATTTATTAGAATGTCCTCAACGCTGGTTGGTCGCTCCGGCCGCGTATATGTGCGAGATAAGGTTCTTCAACCACATCCCAAGAATTCAGAGCTTGATGTCTACCTTGCGCAGTAAGTCCTAGTCTTCTCGAAGTTCATCCACAGTTGGGACCGAAGAAAAGGGAAATGCATCTAGTTGTGAGCACCAACCTTTCGTCTTGAAGTCCGTTTCCCAGTCGATTTTTGAGCACTCTCAGGAGGTCAAACATCAGGTTGGAGGCAGCTCTCACCTTCGAACTCACATCGACGAAAATGAAGAGAAACACGCTCTTATTTATGAGTATTTTAACGAGGATCTACTCTCCTTGGTAAAGAACAATCCAGATCTTACAATGGAGACGAGAAAGTTTATTCTGCGAGAGGTTGGATTGGGACTGAAAGATCTTCACTGCAATGGCTGGATACACTTAGGTACGATGTGATGAATCTCGAAAGGCCGCTCTACAGGGGCCTAGGTTAACTAGAGTCTACAGATATAAAGCCTAACAATGTCTTACTCAACTGGAGCCTTGATGAGACCGGGCAGTTTAAGGTCGAGCGAGTCGTGTTGAGCGATCTGGACTGCGCTTTGAAACTAAAGGGCGAAAAGCTCCTCAATCACAGAATAGGAAATGTTATGTGGCGGAGCCCAGAAGGACAGATGGGAAGGGGAATTGGAAAACCCTCGGAAGTATTTTCTTTTGGACTCTTGGTGAGTTAGCTTGCCCCCCAGACTCCCCAAAAAGAAAGTCTTTGCTAAGGGCTGAAACTAGTGTCTCTACACCATCACCGGCGTGGAAACGCTGCATCCAGACTTTCAACAGCTTGAAGAAGAGGGAATTGAGCATGAACACGTGATACTGTACAAACTGCTCTCCATGTTCGGGCCAGTTCCCCCTGAGCTTCTCACACATGTCAATGACGGGTATTGGGGCGAATTACTTACGGCGTTGTCACGGGTGGTGGAGGAGGAAGACCCAAGAGTGCGCTTCCAGCAGTGGCAGGAAACCGAGTTCCCAAACCTCAACCCTGAGACAAAGAGGATAATATTGAGGATGACGGATCTTGATCCAAACAAGAGGGCAACTATAGATCAAATTCTCGAGGATCGTTGGTGGGATTGATGTACCGGATCGCTTACTTCCAATTGCCGTGACATTGACTAAGCATGTAAGACGATATCGGTCGAAACCTATAGGAAGATTTAGTTATTCTCTTCGTCGAGTAGGTACTCTAATATACGAGTATTCACCCTATAAGGAGAGCTATGTGCAGTGGACATCCCGGCCATGGATATTTGGTGTTCTGAGTCGAAAGGGTGAAGGGGAGATCGAGGTCACGTGCAAGGCTGTTCCCCTGCATATATGAGGACAATGATGGTGGATTTTGAGAACCTTAAAGGTCTCCTCGATTACGGGCTGTCACCCAAGAACTCGTCGGGTTTCAGGGCACTTTCAATATCTTTCGTATACTATCTTTCTTTCGAGTTCGCTGCTGTTGTATACGTCTCGAAAACACTCGCTCAAGGATGATTTACGACGTTGCCATCATTGGAGCTGGACCCTGCGGACTAGCAACCGCCGCCAGGCTGCGTGAGTCAACGCCGTCAGCTCTCTTCACCGATGACGAGCACGAGAGGTACTGGCGGAGATTCCGACGTACAGAGACAATTGAGACCGAGAAGAAACGCCGGCGAAAAGCAAGCAGCGCATCTACTTCGGCAGACCCTGAGCTGCCATCAAGGTCGATGATTGTGCTCGATGCACATTCAAATCAGTGGATGTCTGCATGGAAAGAAAGGTTCAGGCACCTGCAGATAGAGCACCTTCGAAGTCCTCTGTTTTTCCACCCAGATCCCCGAGATCGAGATGGACTTTTAGGGTACTCCTATTTCCATGATCGTGCCGATGAGCTGCACGAAATTCATAATGTCGTTGGAAAAGAGCTCAGTAAGCACCGAACAAAGCAGAAGCGCGATAAGTATGAAAATCGCCATTGATAGCATATTCGCTTGACTGATCGTACCAGAAAGGTTGCTCGACACCTCCGTATCGATGATAGAGACCGTGTCGACTACTTCACACCGTCAACCCGGCTATTCGACGACTTTTGCCAGGATATCATTGATCGTTACCAGCTCCACGAGACAATAGTGCAGGCACAGGTTCAACACATTGAATATGGAGACCTTGGAAGTGTGACTGACCCCAGGCTGTTTGCATTGACGACAGACCAGGGTACCATCTTCTCAAAAACGGTTGTTTTGGCTGTCGGACCTGGCGCCAAACCAAAGATTCCACCTGATTGCCGTATTCGACTTGACATGCACCAGGGTAGTGTGTGCCACTGTTTTGAAGCAATCGGATCCTCGTGTATACCCGACCATGTATCGCGCAAGATAAGTCGGAGACAACCTACGTCGGTGGTTGTAGTTGGAGGAGGGCTGACCAGCGCACAAATTACCGATTTACTTCTCTTGAGAGGGGTTACGAAGGTGTTCCTGGTGTTGCGAGGAAAGTACAAGTTGAAGCATTTCGACGTGGACCTCGAGTGGGTATCAAAGGTCCGCAACCAACAAATGTCAGTGTTTTGGTCTGCAGATAGTGATGAAGGTACGTGACGATGCTCGAAACCTTTTTTGGTGTGGCTAACCTGGAGGCTAGAGCGATTCGATATGTTGAAGATGGCTCGAAATGGAGGAAGCATCACGCCTTCTTACGATAAGATTCTGAAGACGCACATTGCAAATGGTCGACTGCGCATTCTTCCATATACGTGTATCGAAGATGGCACCTGGTGTGGCACAAGCCAGGCCTGGACTCTTGGGCTGTCATCGATGTCGGACTCTGAAAACGTACTGTCAGGAATCGACCATGTCATATATGCTACCGGGTCAGCCCCGAACATTAGCAATGTTTCCTGCATGCAACGGATGTTGACAGAATACCCCGTTGAATCCATCCATGGGCTGGCAAGAATTACTGACGACTTAATGTGGCAAGATGACGTTCCATTGTTTCTCACGGGCGGTCTTGCCGGTTTGCGACTTGGGCCAGGAGCTGCAAATTTGGCAGGTGCAAGGCAAGGTGCTGAGAGGATTGCTTGGAAGATTGATGAGATATTGGGAAGACCCGAGGTAGACGCGAATGGTTCGAAGTCTGGGAGTGCTTCAACTGGAGGTGGTATGATTTCACTCGGCCCGAGCAAAGCCTCCAGGAGCAAAGACAGGAGCGAATTCACAGGGTCTTCCAACAACCAATTCGAAGCTCTCAGCATATATGAAAAGTGAGACAAGGATGCTGAAATTTGACAAAATGCGTGACGGAAAACAAACGAGTCCAAATCTGAGTTCCATGAACAGCTGGCTCTGCCTCGTCCTTGACGTTCTACCCTTAAAGCCCTTACTTGACCTTGTCCTAGGATGACTTACCATCGAGATGCCATGTTTCTTTTCTGAAGTGCCTGAAGTGAATCTTCCTAGGTATGCGTCAGCATCAGCTTTCCGAACTAGAACTGAAGCTCCATGCAGAGCGATGCTTCCAATACCGAGGTACCACATGGATTAGACTCGAGGATCTGCGATTCGATTGGATTGCAAGAACAGCGCGTATCACTTTACCCACCGTAGGGGATGGTCGAAGCACAGCCTGCAGCCCCTCGACAACATGCACGGCGTGGAAACCTGTGAAGGACTTAGCCCCAGATGAAGATCATCCGCTTCTCGATACCTAAGAATTGGCGATACTCCGCCAGATAGACGTCATCGGAGCTCGTGGCTCCTTAGTAGGATTAGAGAGGAGAGGAGAGGAGAAGAGAAGGAGAAGAAGAAGGAAGCCATGCAGCGCCGACGGTCTGGTATATCTCGACGGGCGAGTCGCTAACCCCAAGTATAGGGCGGCCTTAGGCTCGTCCCGATCGGGGGTGAGCCGCGAGCAGAAGTTCTTACTTAATAATTAGCTTGGCATTGGACCGATTTCACGTGCAGCGCCGACAGATGGTGATCAAGGCTGCAGTGTATCCATACCATCCATAATCCATAATACGACATTTCATCCCTGCCTCAAACTCGACGCCTCCATAAGACACTATACTGGTCTCACGGCCTTCTCGGTGACTTGTCCTCCAGCTTCCGCTCCCACGCAGTTTCCGAAAGTAACCCTGCGACGCCCTCGAATAGTCACCGGCCGCCCTCCCGTGATCTACCTACGCGACACAACAAGCTGGGCCTGGGGACTAGAGCTCAGAGGATACACAGCCTCTCGAAGCAGGGAATCTGCATAGGTCAGGTTGCAATGATCTCGCGAATATACCTCCATGAACTCGACCCTAGATGAGGGCGAGAACTTTCTTCGCGGTGAAGACGAGGACGATCGGAGCGACGACACTGGACGCAACACTGGCAACCACGCAGACAGAGATGTGCCGGATATCGAACCCTTGACAAAAGATGAAATCGACGGGCGATCTAGCCCTGTCCAGACGGAACAAGTTGTCGAAGAGAAGGATGACAACCGCAATGGACATGAGAGCGGGTCGGACGTGCTGGAAGCCGGTGGCATAGATGGGCTTGTTCCTTCCAGTCGCGAAGACAATGTCCTCGGCATCGGCGAACCTACCTCAGCTTTGGATGACACAGCTTCTGTTCGGGATTCCGCGCTCTCATCTCCGCGAAGTGAGACTCCGTCACTCCGTAGCCCAGGTCGAAGAGGAAGCCCTTCCAACACCCACCGGCCCTTTGATGCGAGGTTCCAGTCTCGTCTGTCGAGCGCCCAGTTCTCCCCTCTGAGATCGAGCTCTCCAGCATTCCTGGGCACACATTCCCGGCATTCTTCTGTTGCAAGCCTGGGTTTACATACGCCGTCCGAACCTGATGACACCTCGAGTCCTTGGGACGTCATAAGGTGGAGTAAATTCAAGAGAATCACCGGGCAAGCTTTCTCAGAGATTGGAAAGCGCAATTTTGGAAGTCCAACCTGTTTGGCAGTGGCCGATCAGCTTGTCATTGGCACGTCCAAGGGCCTTGTCCTCGTGTTTGACCACCATCAGAACCACAAGGCCATTATTGGCAGTGGCACAAAGGCCGTAGAGAGTGGTGCGGTCTCCTCTCTCGCAATATCTGCCGACCATACGACCATTGCAGTGGGCCATGCCACCGGACATATTCTCACCTGGGAGTTGGCCAAACCCGCCAGGCCGTTTCTGCACATCCACCCAATCGATATCTCGCATGCCCAAGCTAGACGCGCAGACGGACACATAGTAGGAAGTGCCGTACTTCATGTCGGATTCCTCGGCTATCGACACACCGCCCTTGTCTCTGCGGATGACCGAGGCCTAGCATTTTCGCATCTAGCCACGAGAGGCATGGGAGCCGTGGCCCGCGTGGTGCGCACGACTCGAATTTTAGGACGATATCCCGAAGTAGTCTCGCGCACTTCCAAACCCCAGAAGAAAAGTTCTGTTCTTGCCTTCTCGCCGTTGCCGCTGGGGAACATAGAGCAAAGGACAGACGGGCTTGGGCTGGTCGCAATGTTGACCCCATACCTGTTGGTCATCGTATCGACGACGCCAGTAGCGCAGACTCAACACAAAGCCGCCCGACCCAAGGAGGTTGCAGAACACAGCGCCATGACCGCGGCATTGGCGTGGTTTCCAGCAATAAAGCTGAAATCTCAGGGCTCTGAAGTTTCCAAAACCAAGCTTGTGTATGCGTGGTCGAATATTCTCACTGTCCTTGAGGTTCATGAAGCAGCAGTCGAAGACGATGCTGACAAGGACAAACCGCCCGAGCTGCAATTCCTCGCCCGCAGCCGCTACGAAGCCGATGAAGCCATAGTGGCTGTTCAGTGGTTGAGTCGGTCTATCATGGCTGTTCTAACCATCACACAACAACTCCTCATCATTGAAGATGTCACCATGCACGTGACCGACGCTTTCGACCTGCTGGGGAAGAGTATCTATCATGCGGACCTCTATTCCCAACAGTTACGGGCCATCATCGAGAACCTGGATGAGGAAGACACATCAATGCATGGGGTGGTGGCCGATGCGTTCCACATGAGTTTTCGAACATACAAAGGCCGGCTCTTTCTTCTAGGCTTCAATGACATCTGGACGGGTGCCCTGACCAACTGGGCCGACCGGCTTTTGGCCATGATCAACGTCGGTGATTTCGTGGGCGCTATTCGGCTTGCCACCAAATATTACCGAGGCGAGGGAGAGAAGGCCACCATCGGACTTCCCGAAGAGGATCGTGTTCGTTCTGGTCTGGTCCGGGAAAAGCTCTACGAGATGATGACTGCTTCGTTGAAGTATGCGTTCGGCAAAAACCAACAAGCGGGTAATGCACTGATTGAGAAACCTCAGATGATCGAACTGGCCGATGCGTGTATAAAAGCGTGCCTCGTGACAGAGGATCCGGATTTCCTGTTCGAAGAAGTTTTCGCCTGGTATGAGGATCATGACCACGGGCCCTTGTTTGTGGATGTTCTTGAACCCTACATTTTAGATCAACAAATCGTCGCTGTCCCACCACCAGCACTCAAGACCTTGATTAACCACTTTGTCGTGACGCACACGCCGTCGACATTGGAAGAGATGATTTGCATGCTCGACACGTCCACGATGGATATTGACCAAGTCACGACTTTATGCAAGAAATACCACCTATACGATGCCTACATTTACGTTTGGACCATGGCTTTACGCGACTTTGTCACACCGTTAACCCTCCTACTTCGTTTCGCCAATGCTGATAGTCTGCTCCCAACGCAGTTGACCAACGATGCCGACAGGCACAACATCGCGGAGAAGATCTTCCCTTATGTTTCTTTCATTCTGACCAGTCGTGTATATCCAACGGGCGCGTCCATGCAGGATGAAGAATCGGTACAGGCAAAGAGTCAAATCTACGATTTCTTCTTTTCCGGAACCGAAGATCCTTCCGCGGCTCCAAAGAGGACAGTTTATTCCGTAGGAGCAAAGAACACGGCGGGCTCCTTTGAGAATCTGTCGCGCATACTGCACTTTGATGCTGCGAACTTTATTGCAGCTCTGAACGAAGCTTTCGAAGACAGTTTCCTCAACACAGGCGATGAGAATGCAGTCAATAACCTTGCAACATATCAACCCGTAACGACGCGGACATACACCCGGCAGTACATCGTTCGTATATTGCTGGAAGTGATGTCGTCTGGTTTCGAGTCAGAGGAGACCATCTATCTTGATATGTTTATTGCGAGAAGTCTCGCTAAATACCCTCAATACCTGGTTCTCTCTGGTGCGATTCTGCAAGAAATCCTCAGCCGGTTGTGTCGGTACCCAGACGATGACATGCGTGATGACGCTCAATTGAGTCTCGAATATCTGTTGTCCACATATCAGCCGCCGAACCTGCTCGACTTCGTTCCTCTGTTACGAGAAGCGAGGTTTTACCGGGTCCTGAAGACTGTGTTCAAGCAGGAGTCCGAATATGCCGAGTTGATCCGTACTTATTTTCTCGACCACGAGGATCAGGATGGTGTATTTTCCTCCATCGTTAGTTGTCTGCGAACAGGGTCGCCGTTGACCGACCATCAACGAGACGAAGTCCGCAAAGCCATTGAGGAGCACGCGCTTGATCTCACCAGGGTTGACGTCCAAACGACAGCAACGACCATTGATGAGGCCGCACCTGACATGCATCAGTTCTTTCTACATGTCTTGGCTGACGATCCCTTTGGCCAGTACGAGTATCTGAGAGAGCTACTGGAGCCTGAAAATCATCACCGTCCGAAGCACGAGCCCCAAAATGAGATTCTGGAGTTATATGTCCGGTTGCTTTGTCAGTTCGATCCTTCACATGTGACGGAATATGTGGAAAATGTCAAGGAGGGCGATATCAGGCTTGAGGAAGTACTGCCGACCATCGAAGACAGCGGAATTATTGATGCCGTGGTCATTCTTCAGACTCGACAAGGGCAGGTCAAAGAAGCTATGGATAGATTGATCCGGCATCTTTCGTTCCTTGGATCGACCCTCAAATCTATCGCCTTGGACTACCCGGATCGATCGGACGACGCGTCAATCAGACACCCTAGCCAGGGCGTGCTGCAGGCGGTGGACAAGTATGCCCGAGTCGGAATCTGGTTGTGTCAAGGACAGATGAAACATGCTCCAAAGGTGACTGCTGTCTCCAAGTCTCCAAGACGGTCCGGTAGTGCCACTCGTGCCTTATGCTTCGAGGAGACTCTCTGGCTGGAACTCATTCTTTCGGTGGTGTCTATTGCTCGGGAGATGTCTGGTGGAGGCGCTCTACCGAGTGGCGAACAAGCGGACGAATCCCGACACGAGCTTAGCGTGTCTCTGCGGAACACCATCCAGCAGGTATTTTCTGCACTATTGTCCAGTACTACGTCGATACGAGAGGCTTCCGGCAGTCAGGACATGATGTTCCTGCGCATCCTGCGGGCATTCCTCACACATGCCGCAGAGGCAAGCCCGTCGTTATCCGAGCTACGAAGCGTTATCGGGTCGATTTTCTCGACATATGCATATGAAGAGTCGCTCCTCGCACTGTCTAATTCGATCTTGGACAAGGATGTGTTTGTGCAACTGCATGGAGCCACAGCTCTTCGGCGGCGGGGTTGGAGACCCAAAGGGCAGGCATGTGAGGTCTGCCGCCGGCGGGTATGGGGACCAGGCATCGGGATACGAGTGTGGGAAGAATGGCAGAACAGGGAAGGCGCCCGACTAGAGCGTCGACGACGTGTGCAGCCAGACGAATACGCCGACGAGGGCGATGCAACCCGAGGCAAGGGCAAAGCCGCTGTCGACGCGAGTGCGCACGAGCCGCTGGACGGTGATGGCTTAAATGGAGACACGCAGTCGGCAGGGAGCTTGGGGCCGATTGTGGTATTCTCTTGCCGGCACCAGTACCACCAGAAGTGTTTGGGGACTGGACATAGCGAAGACGGTGGCCTTAGCCCTCCACTCGTGTGTCCGGCGTGTATATCTGTATAGCGGGCTACATTGTAAGGCGTGAAGAATTGGTATTGTTGTTTTTGTGACTGCAGTGTGTTCTTTACGGGACGGAGACTGTAGAGGTGCGCAAAGAGTGCTCGACCTCAGCCTCAGCCTCGGCTTTTGTGTCTCAGACATTAACGCGTAGGGAGGGCATTATTGTGGGTATGTCCGTAGGTGGACGGAGTATGGAGTACGTACAGAGTTCTCCGTGCCGCGTGCCATGTTTGGCCTTCTGCGCCTGTATCGATTCGAAACGGCTGGGCAGCCCCTAGCCTCGCACGTGACGCGCACATCCCAGGGTGCTGATTGGGCCGCGGGCAACGTCGACGTCGACCGCCCCTTTTTGAAAGTCAAGTCTCAGAACACGCCGGCTGACCCCCAACCCCTTCTTTTTCCACCGCCTCCCACCTCGCATCTCGCACCTCCCACTCCACCAATTCCACCTATCAAGACCATCCATAGACTCGACACGGCGCGCACGCGTTTCACGTCTGCGGAGAGTCCTGCAGAGCCCGACGCCAGGCACGGATGTTTCACGCGATGGCGCATGTTCATTTGCTCATTCCAGCTTGTCGCGTCAAGAGTCACCCGCCTCCCAATATGGGCTTGTGTGTACCTCAAACACCGCCATGCACTTGCAGGCACGGCGAAGGCACCGCACCGTGCAATTTGCATACGTTCTCGGTCCTTAATCAGCGCTCTCTCGCCCATTCAGAGATCGAGGCCGCGTTCTACCGAAGATCGTCGGACCTACTCCTCTCGGCCCAGGCGTAGTGGGAAAAGAAAAACGAAAACGAAAAGAAAAAGAAGGTTCACTCAAGGCTTCCCCCCACCACCCTCATGCACCCGGTATCAGCGGTATCAGCGGTATCAGTGAACAAGCCCTTCTGCGAGACTTGCTCCTGTCTCTGCACGTCAGTCCCCTCTGCCGCTAAGAAGTGTCTAAGTATCAGTGAGTCGAGGTCTTAGCTGTCCGGACATTCCGTCTCGCCAGCCGAGAGGCCCAGCGCGTGAAAAAGGGAGAGTGGCGCTTGCGTGCGGTGTGCATGCAGGCATTTGTGCATACCCATCCTCCGTCCTGCACGGAGTATGTACTATGTATCCGTACAGTATGTGCGTGGGCCCGGCTTCGCCTCGCCTTGCAGACGTCCAGATCTGATCTGGGCCCTCTCCGTCCGCCCCTTTCCACGGCCCGCCCTGTGCGGTGGCGTCTTCGATATACGGACCCCTCCTGCATACATATACCGAGACCATGGTTTTCCCTTCTTCCAGCTTGGTCTGTCCCAACTCCTGGTGCTTGGTCAGTCCGATTCTAGTCAGGCCCGAGGCACAGGAGCATTGATCCTCAGCAGCATACTTGCGTCCACTCCTTTTTGTTTCGTTCCATCGCTTCTTGACCAACTCAAACTATCGCTCCTTGTTCGTCATATCGTTTGTTTCTATATTGCTATCACTTTTGCTTGTCAGATTTAGCACCATGTGTGCAAAGATGCTGGCCTCTTTGTTGTGGGCATTCGCAGGGCTGGTGGCTCTCAGCACAGCTGGTTATGTGCTGGAAGACGACTACGCCACGGACGAGTTCTTCTCCCTGTTCGACTTCTTCACGGTACGTTCACACCAAACGCTACCCTCAGCTGGGTCGAGACTCGAGAGATCGGGATCAGAACCACGTCTCAATGGGCAGCTACTGACGGTACACAGGACCAAGACCCGACCAATGGCTACGTGACTTACGTGGACCAAAGCACGGCACAGAGTGACGGGCTGATCAGCACCACCAACGGCTCAGTGTACATGGGGGTCGACCACAGCAATGTAGCGACGGGGTCGGGGAGAGTCAGCGTCCGACTGACCAGTAAGAAATCCTACACGCACGCGCTGATCATCCTCGACCTCTCGCACATGCCTGGCGGAGTGTGCGGGACGTGGCCGGCGTTCTGGACGGTAGGACCCAACTGGCCGGACGCCGGGGAGATCGACATCATCGAGGGCGTGAACCTGCAGCTGGGCAACAGCATGGCCCTGCACACCAAGGCTGGGTGCAGCATCACCAACAACGGCTTGTTCTCCGGCACGGTGGCGACGCCGAACTGCGACGTCAACGCGCTCGGACAACCCACCAACGCCGGATGCGCGATTGTGACGCCGAACATGGCCAGCTTCGGCAACGGCTTCAACCAGGGCCAAGGCGGCGTCTACGCCACCGAGTGGACCAGCTCCGGCATCAGCATCTGGTTCTTCCCGCGCTCTGCCATTCCCAGCGACATCGCGGCTGGCTCGCCCGACCCGACGAACTGGGGCAGCGCCACCGCCGCGTTCGGCGGGGCATGCGACATCGACGACTTCTTCAGCAGCCACCAGATCGTCTTCGACACCACCTTCTGCGGCGACTGGGCCGGCAGCGTGTGGAGCGTCGATCCCGTTTGCGGCTCCAAGGCCCCGACGTGCCAGAGCTTCGTGCAGAACAATCCCTCCGCTTTCGCAGATGCCTACTGGTCGGTCAACTCGCTGAAGGTCTATCAGAGCACGGACGGGGGGAGCGGCAACGGCACCTTCTCGGTGCCTTCGCAAGGCCCGACCGTCTCGGCGTCCGCGGGCGTGCCGAGTGCTTCTGGCTTTCCCGGTGTCAGTGTCAGTCTCGGGGTCAGCGTCAGCGTGCCGTTCCCAACTCCCGCAGCCAGTGACATCCCCACGACTGGATTCAGCCGTGGTGGCAACGGTCGATTCTCAAAGACCTGGGGTCAGGCTGCGAATTTTGCCGCCGACGTGGCCGAACAGACTCCGACTGCCAGCCCGGCTGTTACGGCTGCTGCTGGTGTCGTTACCGTGTCTTCTGACGGCAGTGTCTTTGAGGCTGACGCCAATAATGTGGATGTGCCCGCTGCCTATACCGACTACGTGACAGTGACTGCGTTGACATATGAAGACTTTTCCAAGAAAGAGAAGAAGAAGCGTGCCGGCGCCGAGGGGTCTTACCTAGAATCTGGAGCTGTGGAAGAGAAGCGAGCGCCTGGGTCTGGGTCTGGGTCTGGGTCTGGGTCTGGATCAGAGTCTGGGTTTGCTGTACTGGACGACATCCAACTCGAACTCGAACTCGAGGCGACCAAGCAGAGCGAGGCTCATCTGCTGAAACACAAACGCTCTCACGGTCACGTACATCGACATCTCTTCAAGAATGGTCTGGCTGCCGCTGCAAGAGCGAGGCTTATCGACGAGTGAATGGACCCAAGTGATTGTGACGATAATCACAATGATTGATGGTTACATCAGGTGATGATTGACGCAACCATTGACCATGATGGTGCATGGTGCATGATATATGCTTACCATCGCGATCCTCGACGAACGAAGCTGGCGATAGCGATTGATCCCATGCATGAATCAAAACAGAAACCATCCACTCGGACAAGTTCGATATCAGTATTGGTCCGGTACCAATACTGTCTGTCGTTCATCCTGACCGATGGGTCACAGTGGCCGGTGTCAGCCGTACAGTCTATGAAGGTCCTGGGGCTAGAGAAGACACGACAAGCTCAGGTCAGCTCAGGTCAGCTCAGGTCAGCTCAGGTCAGGTCAGGTCAGCTCAGCTCAGCTCAGCTCAGCTCAGGCATGTTTCGAGACATCTGACGCTTTGAGAGAGTCCTTCCCTCCGTTGCCAGCCGAATCCAAATCCGGCGGTAGAGGTATGGGTTTGGATCTGGATCTAGAATCAGAAAGATTCGGATTCGGCTGGCACCATACTATGGATCTGGGATCGTAGTTACGGCCAACATAACACAACACAATGCGACACCGCGCTGGCATGGATGTTGATGATGATGACGATGGCGATGACGATGGCGATGACGATGACCGTGACCATGAGAGAGAGAGTGAGTGAGAGAGAGAGAGAGAGAGAGAGAGAGAAAATGCGACACTTGATCGAAAAGACGGCATCAAAGACCGTGGCACCCACCGCGTCAGAGATGGGATGGGACATGGGAGACGACATCTCAAGTGGTCGGGACGAGATATGATATATTATGTTATGATATATTCTATTATGATACTGTATGATTTGGCCTAGGATCAGAACCTGAACCTGAACCTGAACCTGAACCTGAACCTGAACCTGAACCTGAACCAGAACCAGTTTCCAGCTTCGGCATCCAGCTCCGGCTGCGAGTATCAAAGAAGGACATGGACATGGGCGTAGACAGGATGAGGATGAGGATGAGGATGAGGATGAGGATGAGGATGAGGATGAGGATGAGGATGAGGATATGGGCATGGATATGGGCATGGATATGGGCATGGATTCCATATATAAAGGCATAGTCCACACGTAGGTAGGTAGGTAGTTACGTATCTTTCACATTTATACGGAGTATTCGTATTCGTATTTTGTAAGCTATACCTCCTCTTCTCTTCAACTAGATACCTTAGCTATAGAGAATTGAGACCCACGCTACGGGGAGTGACGGTAGAGGTAGTGGTAGTGGTAGTCTAGTTCCATTCCATTCCAGTTCGATTATACTCTATCCCATAACATAACATGGCCTGCTATGCCATGCCAACATCCGGAATGGTACTTGACTTTGCTGTTCTCTGTTCTCTTTACTTAGTGCTCTTCGCCCTTCACTCTTCACTCTTCACTCTTCACTCTTCACTCTACGCTCTACGCTCTTTACACGGTGCTCCTGACTCAGGTACAATATACAATCCGTTCGTACATGGACGTGGGAGAGAAGCCGGTACATGGGCTAGGGTGTGCTTTTCGCTCGAGTCGGTGCTCTCACCCTCACCCTAATTGACTTTGGCTCTTACTCTGGCTCTTCGCTCTTCGCTCCATGATCAGCCTCAGGCTTACCCTCTAGTAACTGACTCTGACTCTTACTCTGGCTCTTACTCTTACTCTCGCTCTACGCTCACCCTCACGCTCACCTGATTGACTCTGACACTCGCTCTTGCAATATGCACTATAGGTATTTCATCAAACTTAGGCATTAACTTAGGCATTCCAGCCTTGCCCTTTGACCAGAAGTCTGGTATAGCTAGGTATAGATAGGCACACCTATATAGTCTGGCCTCCCCCCATATTGCTTTGATAGCGAACATGCTCCCGTAGAGGTATACCATGTGGTTGGTTTTTTGGGTATCATTCAACTCGCGTCTCATAGAACGCCGACATCTCGACTTCGACTCCGACTCCTTTTAGTTTAGCCGGTGCCACCGACAAGTAGCTCAAACAAAAACTCCCTCCAAATGATCGTCATGGGTCATGAGATAACAGACAAAAAAAAATACTGTCAACCGCCACCTCGAGACATGTCCCCTCCTCCACTCTTTACTCCGCGTGGTGGTGGCTCCCCTCCATTCTTTACTCCCCGTGTTGGTGGCAAGCCGCACAGGGCTAACTCGATTCATCTTCAATCAGCGTCGCCGTACGGAGTACATCACCATCGTTCATGCATGGCATTCCCGAACGGAGATCCGCTACCGCTACCACTACCGCCGCCGCCGTTCCTGGAGTGGTTCTGCGAGGCAAAGTAATTCAACGATGCACCAGCGGCACTGCCAGTTCGACTATCGACGTCAGGGCCAAAGTCGAAGCGTTCAAACTCGTTCAAGCTGCTGACGTCCGACTTGGCTTCAATGTCCTCATAATCATCGGCTTCTGACACAATGCTGGCCCGATTGGACGACACCCAATACGGGCCTGGCTGAGAATTCGGCGTCTGTCCTCGACCCTGCTCACTTCCACCAATGCTACCGCCAAAGAAATTGTCCTTGTCCTCTTGGAGACTGTCGCGAGGGATCAATTGTGACCGGGTTGCAGGAGGGGGTAACTTGGGCGATGGGCTGGGCTCGGCAGGAGTGTAGGCCAAACTAGACGAGTTGGCCAGTTTGGCGATTCGAACGTTTTCTTCTGTCAGAACATTGCCCTGGGGACTGGCGGAATTTAGCGGTGGCAGTGGTTTGCCCGTTTTGTTATTTGAAAGGCTTGATGATGTGTTGATGGCTGGTGGCGGTCCTCGTTTCACTCCCGGTCCTCTGGAATTAATAGGGGTTGTTTTGACGATAGGAGAGTATTGAGAGATGGACGAAGCGCCATTGTAAGCTCCCGGCACAGGCGCCGCGAGACGACCAGGCGCTTGGGATCGAGCATTGTGGTTCATGCTAGGAGATGGATCACGGAACCGGAACGCCGCACTAGGGTTTGGATGCGTTGTATTAGGATTCGGGCGCGGGTTCGGGTTCGGATTCGGATTGCCTGGTAACCCCATGGGAGATCTGGCAGGCCCGCTTCTCGGCACTGGGCTAGGAGCCGTTCTTGGTGTTTCGAGAGAATCTGTCCGCAATGGTGGCAGCCCTCCCTGGCCAGGCGTGCTGTTGCTGCGGTTTCGATATGGCGACGACGTTGCATCTCCTCGGTTTGACGGGGGTGGAACAGCTCGTCCTGATGTGGCAGGTCTTGGTCCCGGTCCAGGCCCAGGTCCACTGAAATTTCTGTACTGGCGAGGTTCTCGTGGTTGACTGCTAAAGGGCGGGTTGTATGGCCGACGAGTTGTCGTCTCTTGTGGGGTGAATGGTTGGGCAACCCCAATCTGTGCTGATGGCCACTCAGAATTGGTGCTCGGAGGGGATTGAATGGCGGGCAGTTCCTTCTGTGTGACGAACGGCGAGGGCTTCTCGGCTCCTGACTGAGTGTTTGATGTAGTTGATCTACCACTGTTCGACCGACTGCTCAGTTTTTCTCCTTTCCCAGTCATGACAAATTCCGGTTGGCTCGCTAGCTCTCTCCGGTGTCTCCGACGCATAAAGAACCAGAAAGCACAGAGCGATGCCAGCAGAACGACCACCAGTGGAACGACAATCGCAGGGATGAGGGTACTGAGATTGGTGGCGGATTTGGCGGCGGCTGCGCTCGTGGTCGCCGAAGCTGAAGCTTTGGACGTCGTCGGTCGCACCTTGGTCGAAGTGGAAAGGGCGGCGGCCGAGGTGAGGGAGGCATATTCGGAAGAGTCAGTGATGGTTCGCACTCTTTCGGTGGTGATGGTTGAGACGGTGTTGAGGCTGGTGATGGACTGGACTAGAGTGTCGGTCTCTGTTATGGTGGTGAGTCCGGACGGAGCTGAAGCTGTCACGATCGGAGCGGTAGCTGAAGGGTCAGGAGTGATGTTGGTGAGTGCTATCGACTGTGGTAGTGTTGCGGTGGGATTGCCGATGCTGGACGGCAGGTCGCTAATGCCATTGCCATCGGCCGTCTGAGGCTTCCGTTTGTGTAGACCAGGCCCGTGCCGCAACATTCTGCCTGTCCGCCTGTCCGCCTGGCCGACGAGAGAGGAAGAGAGGGTCAGGGTCAGGTCAAGTTGAGGATGGATGGATGGAATACAGCAGAAGAGTGGTGGTGAGGTTAGGTGTGCTGGCCGCAGTCGAGAACAGAAGCAGTTTGCAGACAGCTACTGCGTACTCTCCGTACAGCTCCCTTTGCGCGCGGCACTTGGGTCACAGTGCAGCAGGAGCATCGGTGGCCTCGGTGGTGCTACTTCTGTGCTAGAGGGAGAGATCATCGGCGGTAGAAGACTAGCGTAAGGCCATCAGGCTGGAGGGAAATTGGATACGCGGTAGCGGGAGGGTATACGGAGTACGGATAGTGGAAGCAGATCTGCAGGAACATGAACCGAGTGCAGACCAAGGCTGATGAAGGAGGGATTGACTGAATTTGTTTCTGCAAGTCGGTGACCAGCACCAAATGTGCGAGAGGGAGAGGGCGGGCGTCTACGGAGTAGCAGTATCCGTACTGCGTGCCTGCGTGCTCAGCTCAGTACGACTGAGAGGAGCGGCGGGAGGAAAAGATTCGCCAGTGAGGCGTGAGGCGTGAGGCGTGAGAGACATGCGGGCGCGTGGAGGGTTGCACAGCAAGGGAGGTGTTTCGGATCGCCCAAAGAGGGAAAACGCGGGAGCTGGTCAAACACCAGGCTGGCGAAAAACCGGGGACCCTAAGGCTTCCGCGCACCGGCTTTGCCTGTTCAAGGGCTGGTCCTGGCTGATCGTGGGTGCCTCCTTAGCCGGCGCCGCGCCAGGAGGGAGCACAAGCTGTGGGTTTAGGCGTCACAGGTGCCTAAGCCCAAGCCTTGACTACAGTAGCCACGATCCAGCTTCGTCAATGAATGTATGGGAGTCTGACATGATGTGATGATTCGCTTCCTGACTCCGGTAGCTGAGCTTAGGTGCTAATATCTTGTACGGATGAAGGACAGGGACAAGGACAAGGAACGCGATCAAGAGGTTGGTGACCCTGCCTGGTGGCTGCAGGTGGTGGCTGGTGGAAGTGGAAATACTCCGTAGTACGTATGGAACGTGCTGCTCTGCAGGTGAGACAAGGGGTCTCGCGAGGCGCAGGCAGGCATTAGTGCCGGTGGCGGTGTCTAGATAAGATACCTAGGTAGGATAAGATACTGCCCGCCACTGTGATAAGATAAGATTCTGCTTCGTCGCGGCCAATCTCGGCCCAAACGTCTGTTCTTACTTCAACTCGGAATTGCAGGTTGGGATCTTCTCCTGTGAACGATTTCTCATCTCTTTGACAGGGCAGGTCAGGTGAGGTTGTCTCTACACAACTGCCAAGCATTGCTGTGTTTTTCCATTGAACATTCTTCTATTGTACTCTGTACTCCGTACATAAACGATGTCGATGTCGATGTCAGGGTGTTGGAGGGACCGATGACCAACAGAATAACAGTCAGGTACCTTTGGCTTCAATTATCCAAGGGCTTAGGCCCCGTTGATGCACCAGTACCAGTGACTCTTGAGTCTCGATCGACGCACATCACCTTTCTCTTCCCCGTTAAGAGTTCTCACTCAAGGGGTCCTTCCTTATTCAAGAAGTCTCCCCCCTGCGCCGAAAAGGACGGCGGTTTCGAGCGCAGGCATTGCGAATGGCGAGCAGTTCAGTTCAGATTCCAATAGAGGGATAAGGATAAGGGTGTATGTATGTATATGTATATGTAACTAGTATGGGTATAGTAGTATAGGAGTATATAGTATAGGTGGTTCAACTAATCAACTACTAACCTAACCCCCCCAACCCCAGGAAAACGGAAAAGCAGATCCGAATCTCAAACTCAAACTCAAACTCAACTTAGTCTGTACTCTCGAGCCCGACCCCGAACTGTCCACCTGATTTGATCTGATCTTCTGTAGTGTAATGTAATACTATGTAATGCCATGTAATGTAGTCCTCCTCCTCCTCCTCTCCTCCTCCTCCTGGGGCTGCCGCTGCTGCTCATCTGGCTGTGGATGTGACGGCGACCAGCGGCACTGGGCGACTTTGGTCTCAGCCCCAGCTTGAAACGTCTGGTCCGTGTAAACAAGTGATGTAACTTAGTGGTGTAACTTAGTGATGTGTAAGAGGAAGCCTGTACCGGCGCTGCACGACCCGGACGATTGAGACTGTCTGTGTTCAGGTTCTCCGAGTCGGGCTTTGAATGGTGTTTTGGCCATCATCGACTCTCGCTCTTGAACTGTGTTTTGGCCATGGCCGTTTCTCTCCAGTACCAGACAATACTCATGGCGGCGCCCGGGCCGACTAGCACAGTGGCAGCCAAGACGGCCAGACAGGCCTTGGGGACGTTGACGGTGGTCCTTCCCACTCGCTTCAAGTCCCAGATGGCGGCACATGTCCAGGCGACAGAAGCAGCCTCAAAGCCCAAGAAGTCGGCGAGAAACAAGAGGCGCAGACCCTCGCCGAGCTCCCTGGGGCCAGGGGTGAAAGTCAGGCCAAAGACGGTGGAGAAGTTGAAGGACGGATCGGACGACAACAACAGCGGGCCGACGATGTAGACGTGCAGAGCGGCGCCCAGGACGGCGATGACGACGTAGATTGTCTTGAGGTAGGCGATGTCCTGGTACTCCTCCGTGGCGGTGTGGTGCTGGTGATCTCTCGCCGACCGCGGGTTGAACAGTCGGTAGACGGCGGCAAACAGCCAGGCGAGGATGGGGACCAACATAGGGCCAGGTTGCCAGATGGCCTCGAAGGTCTGGGCTAGAGTGGCGTCTTGCCAGGGGACGAACATCAAGATGGTGGGAAGGACATAACCCAGCAGGTTGGCGGGCAGGAGGACCTTTGCATACTGGATGGGCACTTCGCGATTGACCGGCCACCAGTATCGATCGGTGTCGGAGTACGGGGTCCAGACGGCGTAGTAGAAGGGCATGTAGATGCCGATGCCGGCCGACTGGAACAGCGTGAACCAGACGAGAAGGGCGGTCGGGGCCAGGGCCGTCAACGCATGGCGCTTGCGGAACCCCTCGACGGTCCAGACTGCGATCGGCTGGATGAGCATGCCCAGGAAATATCGCTGCAGCGTGCCGAAGTTGCGGTCCCAGTTCTCAATGCCCGGCATGAACACCGCCGTCAGGAAGGTCAGGTAGTTGTCGAGCCAGCCGTGGCCGGTGTACGACGTTTTAAGCGGATACTCCGGCCCGATGGGGAAGTGGCCGTTTTGGATGATGGCCTCAAACTTCCCGGCGAGCCCGTACGAGGCCGAGTGCACCCACATACCGTAGAAGGTCAGGATGCCGCACGCCAGGTAGAATGAGACCAGTAGGACCGAAACCGCTGTGCCTCGTGGTCGGGGGTCGGATTCCAGGTCGTCCTTGAACGGAATCAGCTTGGGCTGGCGCGGGCATGGCAGGCCGTCCAGCTTCTCGGCCAACGGGATGTTGCACGAGAAGTTGTACACCACGTCGTCGACGTCCATGAGCGGCAGCAACTTCACCTTGAGCCAGTGCAGAGGGCTGTCCATAGACTCGGTGCGTTGCTGCTCGTGCGAATACTCGCGCAGGTGGTTGACTCGTGTCTGGCGCACCTCTTGCACGTGCCGGAAGATGGCTTCGATCTCTTCCGTCGTCGGCCGTTTGCCTTGACCATCGCTCCGCAACTCGCCGAGTTTTTTTAACAGGCCGTTGGCAAGAGTGGCTGCTGACTCGATGGCTCCGTTGCCGCCATGACCGCCGATCGGATGGATCTAGATAGTTTGGCATTTGGTTTAGTTGGGTGTTGATGTGTAGGGTATGGGAGTATATATATGTGTAGGGAGGAGGGAGAAGATATATATGTGTGTGTGTATGTGTGTGTGTGTGTCCACCTTCCCATATTGACATACCTTATGTGCCGCGTCTCCAATGGTGATGATACGATGGAAATACCACTTCTCGTAAACATGCTCGTGCAAGGCCGTCATGTTTGACGTGATTTTGCGCTTGAACAGCTCGCCGAATACGAGGTTGGGTAGGATCTTGTCGTTTGTTCGCTTGGCCAGGAGCTGAGCCTCGTCCTCTTTCGTGAAGCGAGGAATGTCCGACGTGTACAGCCGCTTGGGCAGCTTAACGAAACAGAACCAGTACACGCGCCCGTAAGGCCCTCCGATAACCAGATACGACACTTTGTGCCGGAACACCGAGTTGACCTGGCCCGGCTCGATGCCTTTACAGGGGTTGGAGATGCCAAAGATGCAGCAATAATCGCAGGGGACACCTGAGCACGCTGGGTGTTAGTTGCTGCTTCTGCTTTTGCTTCTGGTTCGACGCATGTCGCTGCGGTAGTTCAAGGTGGAGGACACTCACGGTCAATTTCGGGAGCTACAGATGCCGGGCTGAGTTCCTTCTGCATTCTCTTCATCTCTCGTCGCACCGTGCTGTGGATGCCGTCGCCTCCCACCACGATGTCGCCCTCGAACGTCGTGCCGTCACCCACCGTCACTTTGACTCCGGTCGAGTTGACCTCGAGGAGCGTGACGCGATGTCCAGTCAGGATCTTGTCTTTGTCTTTGATGTTGTCGTACAAGGCCTGCAGCAACATTTGACGGTCCATAAAGAGAATCGGGTAGCCGTGTCTGAATGGATGGTCTAGTCAGTGGTTGATTTGGGTCTAGACCGCCACAGATGGAGATGTACAAGGACATGGGAATGAAATAGGCGCCATCATACGTACCGCTCTTCGAATGTCTTCCGCATTCCCTCGTGGCTGACTATGATCTCTCCATTTTGGTTGCGGAAGATCAAGCTGGCCACGGGAGGCACGAAATCCAACACCTTCTGGAACAAGCCTAGCTGGTCCAGAATCCTGTTGCCGTGCGGGAGGATGCCGATGCTGGCTCCCACCTGGGGTGCAATGTCGGGATAGGCCTCGAGAAGAACATAGTCGATGTTGTACTCCTGCAGGATGTTGGCCAGCGACAAGCCCGCAACGCTGCCACCCACGATGACCACCTTGAACGGCTGAGCCTTCTTCATATTCGAATCCCTCGCTTGGTGTAGGGTCTACGCGTGCATTCACAGTGTGATCACAGCCGCAGTTACAGCCACAGTCACAATAAGGCACCTTCAGTTAGCCCTGCTCTGCTATGCTCTGTTCTGCTCTGCTCAGGACTAGGATGGGGGAGCCCCCAACCCTGCCTGGCCTTCTCTATACGTAGTATATATACTCGATATAGAATCACCGAATCCGAATCCCCCGCAAAAGCAAAGTCCCACTTTACCGGGGTATTTGGGTCGGTGGTCGCGGGGGGGAGATGGATGGGGACAGGATAGTCCTAGTCAGTCCCACTGCCAGCTGACCTGGCAGCTGAGGTGTCCGCCCTACCCCTACCAGGTACTAGTAGGCTGGTATTGCACTACCTCAATTCCCGCGGCCCGATTCGGCCCGCTGTCGAGAGGTGTTGATCGAGTCAGCGTGGAAGCTGTGGCCATGTGAGTTTGGGCACATGCGCGCACTGTCGAGATACCTGAGTCGGCTACTGGATCCGTCAGACCAGGAGAGATGCTGTACAGCTACTGCATTGCATGCGTTGATTAATAAAACTGAATCATCGGAAGTGGGACAAGAACACAACACTGTACCCCTAAGCCTCTCAGTACTGGCCTGGCCTCTCGCTGGATCGATTCGACGATGAAAACTGAACACATGTATCACAGCTCCCCTTCAAGCTCAAGGCCATCGAATGTTCACGTGTGATTGGAAGTACGGTAAAAGTACAAACAAGTCTCAGTCTTTAGGCACGGGTAAAGGAGAGCGGTTTAGGGTTAGGGGATTGGGATGCATTCCTCTCCTCAGTCCCTTCTCAGCCCCATGGGCAGAGCCTGCTACTAACTAGGATGATGAGATGATTGCGTGTTTAAGATTTCTCGAAACTGGGGAATCCTGCAGCAGCCTCCTTCTCAATCTGGGCAAAATAGTTTCCCACGCCCCCGAAATAGAACTGGACATTTTGCGGCTTGCCAGGTACATTGGCCCCAACATACCAAGAGTGCACCTTGGCCGACGACGAGCCCAACAGCGTGGCCTTGAAACTCTCCTCCACATGCGTCGCCCACTGGAGCGCAGCGGCCTCGGTCGGCTCCATCTTGGTGTGGCCATGTTGGCGTAGGTCCGAGATGGCTCGGCCGATGAAGTTGACCTCGTGGTCGATGCATACGGGGATATTGGCGAATGGCGACTGGGGCCCCGAGGCCATGAACAAGTTGGGGAACCCCGGAACGGTGATGCCCAGAAAGGTTTCCAGCGTCTTGGACCATTTCTCACTCAACGACGTGTGGTCTCGTCCTCTGATGTCCATGTCCGTGAGAGCCCCGGTGGCCACGTCGAATCCAATGGCGAAGATGATCACGTCGAACTCATACTCGTCGCCGCTCTGCGTGCGAATCCCCTTCGGCGTGAGCTCCTTGATCGGATTGTCACTAATGTCCACGAGTTTAACGTTGGGTCGGTTGTAGGCCTCGTAGTAGAAATGGCCGAGCGGTGGCCTCTTGGCCAGGAACGGGTATTTGGGACTAAGCAACTCGGCCGTCTTCTTGTCTTTCACAATGGTGCGGATCTTGTTGCGAACAAATTCCGCCATCGCCTCGTTGGATTTCGGATCCAGGAGCACGTCGTCGAAGCTTTCGAACACAAATCGGAACCCACCCGTCTCCCACCCACGCTCCAGAACCTCCTGGTGTTCGGCCTCATTCACGTCGGCCACCGTGCGGTCAGCAGGGGAATAAGCCAGCCCAAACACGTGGCCCCGAGCTTGGTTCCACACCTGGTCATAGTTGCGTCGAATCTCGCCCAGCAGCTCGGGACTGATGCTGTGATTTCGCCCCGGGATCACATAATTTGGGGTTCGTTGGAAGACCGTCAGGGATTCCGCCTCGTGTGCCACAATCGGAATCACCTGCACCCCGGTGGCACCCGTGCCGATGACGGCCACCCGCTTTCCCACCAGGTCGACTCCCTCCTTGGGCCACGAGGAGGTCTGATACCATTTCCCCTGGAAAGAGTCCAGCCCGTCGAATGGTGGCCTTCGCTGAGATGAGAGCGGGCCGGATGCTGTGATCAGGAACGTCGAAGTATAAGACTGTCCTGTCGAGGTCGTGACGGTCCAGACGTTGCGATCACTGTTGTACTCGGCCGAGGCAATGCGCGTGTTGAATTCAAATTGCTGGCGTAGGTTGAAGCGATCTGCGATGTGGTGTAAATACCGCTGGACTTCCGCCTGGCCAGGGAGACGCTCCGACCATGTCCATTCTGAATTGAGTTCTTTCGAGATGTTCATGATGTAAACCCAGGCTTCGCTGTCAGTCCTGGCCCCGGGGTACCGATTCCAATACCACGTCCCACCCACATCCGAGCCCTTCTCGAAGCCTTTGACCGACAAGCCCCGGCTTCGAAGCTCATAGAGCGTCCTCAACCCTGCAAACCCCGCCCCGATCACAATGGCATCATAGTCGACTTCTGTCGTAGAGCCCATATTGTCAACTGTCAACGATGGTCTCGAAGTGTCACTAACGAATGGCCCCTGCAAATGCAAATGCACTTTCGATAACAAATGCAACCGCCACGGAGATAGTGATACCCTGTACAGCTCTGGGGAGGGAAAGATCGTGATGTCCACGAGACGGTTTAAAACCAAGACTCTGCCTCACTTGGTCGTAGTAGGGATGCCTAACTAGCCTTCTGGGGGCTAAGGCCTCGGGCATGGAGAACATGGGGTAACCGAGGTCTCCAGCCAGACCCCGATGCACTATCCATCACAAACACCAGTTCGTGTATGCAGCTACGTTCGAATCGTGTTAGCAATTGTCGGCCCGGCCACGACGTCCCAGATCCAAACCCCTTGGGATGGTGTTGTATTGTAGTAGTAGTGGTATATGCCATCGCGGAACTGGGCCGACGAAGCTGCGTCGACGAAGCTGACTCGACTCGACCCAACCGTGGATCATGACCCCCACCTACCGACAACGTTGATGACGAAAGCAGCACCCATGGTGTCGAATGTAACGCATCAACCGATAAGCACAGGAGAGCAGGATAGGACTTCTAGGCTGTTTGTTGAAACTTGAGTAATTAGTGATGAATCCTCACCTCACCCACACCAAGGCAGTCCAGAACCCCCAATCGAGTGGAGTGGGTCAGGATCAGGCAATGTGGCCAGAAATCTGTTTTTCAGTTTTCGTTCTCGGAAGACCAGTCCGAGAGCAAAGATCCCGCCTGAGACTTTTCAAGCCGAGCGTACGGAGTACTGATATAGAAACCCCAGATCCCCGGATAGCGTATTCGTTCCCCGTACCGTACTGGAGCGCACCTACAAACTGTCAAACATAGTACCAGGGCAATCCCTGTCTCTTGGCAGCCTTGCCAGTCGAGTGACAGATCAGCCAGTCCCTAGCCTAGGCCCACTGCACCGGCTGAGGTTGGGTGGCTGTTGGCTTGTTGGCATTGTCTAGGTTTCCAAGTTGCGGGTCTCCGAGTGGTGGACTGCATTGATTGAAGCCGCGAACAGACAACCCGTGAATAGTGGTGAGAGGTGAGAACACGGACGCAGAATGACTGGCGGCAGCATCACCACACACAGAACACACCACCTCGGCCCTCGGTCCACCGCCCGTTACCGAACCAGTGTGGTCAATCTCTTGAGGTTACAAGTGGTGCCAGTATAGGCTATTTACCTAGGCCCCTAAGCCCTGCTTGGATCGTCAACAGCAACATGTCAAACTGGACTGCTACCGCTATAATTGATTGTCCAGATAGAGCGAGGTTTGCCATCGCTCGGAAGGTTTGTCGGAGTAACTCAAGTCCAATCCGTGGGCGGGATATTTCACAGTGGAATGATACCATGTCAACAGCGCCCTCCAGGTCAAGAGATGTTGATCCTGGTCGGGACTTGCTTAGGATTGAGGATTTCGGACTCCAGGAGAAGTCCACGCAAGTCTGCTCGCCCGTGGAGGAGGTTGCTAATGCTGGCAGAGGAACCCACCGCCCACACTCCGTACGGCGTACTGATCTCAGCCTTGTCATGACGATGTGCAAGCTAGGTGATCTCCATTGAAGCTCGCTCTTGCCCTGAGATACAGGATACAGGATACAGGGATGTACGAAATCGAAGAGCTTCCTATGTAGGGAACATTCTCCAAATCTTCTTCGTCGTCAGCAAAAGCATTCTCATCGCGGTCGTCAAGTTGCTCTGCAGGTTTCTTCAGCCGCGGGTTTCGTTCTGACTTTATTGACAGGGCAGTCTTCGCAAGGGGTTTGGAACACGTGTGGTACCTGCGCTATGTCATATGTCAGCTTTCACAAGGAACAAGGTAGCAGTACTCCGTAAATTCGGCCAGACTTACTTGGGTTGTTACTGCATATTCAACAACCCAAACCTTGTCATTGTTGGACCCTGGACCCTGCTCTTCTGGCCCCAGGACAGGGAACGTAGTCCTGTTAATCTTGCTGTACGGAGTACGGAGCACCCAATCTCAACTCTGACGAGACCTAAAAGCAGCAATCAAAACTACGGCGGATTCTACGTGCCACCTCTAGGCTTAGGGGCTTATGTAGGTAGGCTTATGTACCAGCATTGGCTGCGCTGTCCGCTCTACACCTTGTCCTCCTCCAAAGGTCATCCAGGGTGAGTTCTTTGTGCGGCTGGCCTGACGCTACCAGGATGGACCGGATTGGTCGAGATGGTGACCATGAGAACAAACCATGCAGCCTGCGTTTAGACTGATGGAAGAACACTCTTCGAAGTCAGCCTGCGCCCTGATGCCCTATGCCTTTCAACTCCTCTCCTAGTATACATCTTATGACCGGATTCCTGCCTCTGTTGATGTCAGAGATATCCTTCACGTCGTTCCTTAGGACCTATCCCCCGCGAACACTGGCCCAAATTGGATCATAGACAAAAGCGAGCTTCTTTAAAGTCTACACATATCCAATTGCCACGAGAGCTGACGTTTCTTAACTATGTCTTTCGATCCGATATGGTATGTCCCTCCCGTACGAAGGGCTAACTTTGGTGGCCGTGCAGAAGAGCTGGCAGAACTCGAGCAGAAATTATTCGAGCCTGACGGCCGTCGGACGGTACCTATCCTGGGACTAGGAGGGGTGGGTAAGAGTCGACTGGCGTTGGAACTCGCCTACCAAGTGAAATCAAACCACCCAGAGCATTCGATCTTCTGGATACAAGCCTCAGACGAGTGGAGTTTCGCAAGAGACTGGCTCAAAATTGGACAGAAGCTCGGGATTCCGGGGTTTGGGGACGATGAAGCCGATGTCAAGCCACTAGTCCAGCAACGACTTAACAACTCTGAAGACAAATGGCTGTTGATTCTCGACAATGCTGACGACGAGTGGCTATGGGGAAGAGGCTTACCACAAGAGCTGTTACTCGCGGGCTCAGGCGTCTGGCCGAGAACGCCAAACAGGCCACTCGTAAGCTTCTTGCCGAGAACGATGAACGGCTCCGTCCTTGTCACGACCCGTTCGCGACAAGTAGCCACTTTCATCGCTGAGGAAGAAGTTGTCGAATTGCGCGCCCCTCCACAAGACGAAGCTATTGACATATTTATTAAGCGGCTCGATCGTCTGGATGCGGCACTCGACCAGAAAACCCTTGTTTCCTTACTTATCAAGCTGGCTTTCCTTCCACTTGCAATTGTCCAGGCTGCTTCTTTTATCAATATGGTCCCTCACATGACGGTGCAGACCTATATGAAGCTACTGGACGCACATGATACAGACGTTGTTGACCTTCTCAGCGAGGACTTTGGAGACTCGTCCCGCTATCCCGATCACATTAATCCAATTGCTACTACCCGGCTGGTCTCCTTTGACCATATCCGAACCCACCACACTTTGGCGGCAGACCTCCTCTCATCTATGGCGTGCGTTCACGAGATGGGCATTCCACTCTCTCTGTTTACAGATGATGGGACGAAGCTCGAGGCTATCAAGGCTGTTGGTGTTTTGATGGGATATTCATTCGTGACGAAGCAAACAGAAACCATTTCAAATAAAGGGGAACTATACGATGTGCATCGACTCGTACTGCTTGCCGCCCGGAACTGGCTGAAGATGGAAGGGACACTTTCTGATCGGATAACGGCCTGCACTATTCGGCTTGCAGATATTTTCCCCCAACGTTGCTATAAGAACAAGGGTATCTGGACGATATACATGCCACACGCACACTGTTTTTACCGTCCCTATGACGGGAAAGAACTTCCGGAGCGGTATAAACTACTTGAGAAAACGGGACAATGTTTTCTAGCTGATGGGAAGTACGACCTAGCTATAAGAACACATATATCGGTGGTGAACTACAGAGAGCAAACGCTAGGACCCTTGAATCAAGAAACATATTCAGCCTACGACAGTCTCGGTGAGGCACTCTACCGGAAGGGACGCTGGAGAGCGGCAGAAGATTTTTCTCAAAAGGCTTTCTATGGCAATAAGGAAGTGCTGGGTGCAGAGCATCCCGACACGATGACCAGCATGACTAGACTAGGCTCGACGTATCGGAGTCAAGGTCGCTTAACCCAGGCGGAAGAGCTGGAGGTGCAAGTGGTAGAGACAAGGAAGAGGGTGCTAGGGCCAGAGCATCCCGATACACTGACCAGTATGGCTAACCTGGCCTCGACGTATCGGAGTCAAGGTCGTTTGACCCAGGCGGAAGAGCTACTTATACAAGTGGTGGATACGTGGAAGAGGGTGCTGAGTATAGAGCATCCCGACACGCTGATCAGCATGGAACACCTAGCCTTGATGTACTACAATCAAGGCCGCTGGACCCAGACGGAAGAGCTGGTAGTGCAAGTGACGGAGACGAGGAAGAGGGTGCTAGGAGCAGAGCATTCCGACACGCTGACCAGCATGGCCAACCTAGCCAGCACATATAAGGCACAGGGTCGTGACGACGAAGCCATGGCTTTGATGACTTTCTGCGTGGAGCTCCGCTCCAAGGTTCTTGGCACTGCACATCCCGATACTCAAGCAGCGGTGAATCTCCTCCAAACGTGGCGGGCTGTTGAGGAAATTGTGAACTAGCAAAGAGAAAAGAGTAGTAGAGTAATGCCAGGAGCTTGAGTCGACTGAATGACAACGAAGTCAGTCACCATGCATCTGCCAGGCCAGATTCGAACCTTGCATTTGGACCAGAATTTGCCGCGGGCGACTTCTTGCACATGTAGTCCATGTCATGACCGACTGACCGACCGAGTGCCTCTGCCGCAGAGTATTGACAACTGCATCAGACTCAACTCCGACACCGAATTCGATCTGCAGATGACCACTATAACCACACAGAGGGCGGGACTGTGGACATCCTGGACCTTCGTATCGTGAGTCTTAGAGAGAGTTGACGAAGACAGTGCATCAATGACGCCCCGTTATGTGTAATATATCCTCGCAGCACGGCCCTCCTCCCCCAGAATGGCCCTGACTCCCAGGGCTCGAGAAACAAGGTTGGAAGTGTGCTCGCTGTTCGTCGTGAGGGAAACGACCCGTCGCCGCATCAATACGAAGCGGAAGCGGCGTGTGCATTCTGCCAGATCAACATACAGCCATTCTCCGAAGATCCTAGGGAAGCAGGCATCGAAACCTGATAGAAAGGACGCGGTGCTACAACAGATGACAACATGCGGCTTGAACGAGGAGTGATGCTAAAAATGGTGGACAGAGGCCTGTTAATGCTTGTAGTGAGACACTGTGTATTCGCACCTATCCATATCTGTATCTGTACGAGTAGTGGAGTAATGGATGATGGATGATAGATGATGAGTGATGGGTGTAGCCATACTGTGGGACTCTAGGTGGGTGGAGGATGGTGGTGTGTCTTGCGCAGATCCCTTAGGACCCCAAGCCTGGCGCACCCTCGGCCGTCACGCCGTCACAGCCGCCCGCAGTCTGCTCAGCCAATCCATGCCGGCCGCGTCCCTTGTCCCTTGTCCCACGATTAGCTTCACGATGCTTGTCGTTTCATCTTGTCTTCATTGGCCTCGCGCTGCCATCTGCCTTCAACCCTCATTCGCCATGTTCGTTCTTGTAAGCGCCTGCTGCAGGTCAGCACAGTCGCCGGCCAGCCCGTCACCTCAAGATGGCCGGCTCACCTGGGCTTTGCTCTGCTCTTATCCTCCTTCTCTCCTCCTTTCCATGCTATGAGAGTTGCAACTCCAGATATCTGCTGGTCTTTAAAGCAGATACTGCTACGACCTGGGCTGCAGATTGAACATGCAACGATACCACTGACTGGGCTGCCATCGACGGACCAAGAATAAACCCCGCCATTTACCCTCGCGGACACAGCCACCATGTTCTTCCTTTCTCGACGCTGGAAGCCGAACAAATGGCCCTTTTACGTCCTGCTCGTCGTTGAGCTACTGTTAACAATTGCTCTTCTGGCCTTGTTTGGCATTGCGGCTCCGAACCTCTATCGGACAAAGCTATGGCAAGACGGCGCCGACAATGGCTTCAATTCAAGCCCAACCACAGGACTCTATGCGGCAGCGAACTACAGACCGTACACGACCCCGAAAGTTTGGTCACAATTGTGAGCACAATGCCACTCGAGGGTAGGGTCGACACTCTGCTAATCTGGAACAGTATAACAGACTACAACGTCGTCATCGCGGTTCTCTCCATGTTTATCATGCTGGTCAAGTCCATCATGTATATGTTGCACGTCTTCCCGCCCATTCTGTCCGCCGTCGTCCATGCCATCCTCATCGCCCTTTACACTGTGTCGGTTGACTATCAAGCCAGCAGCGATACCACCGATCCCAATCATCCTCAGAACGGCCCACCTTGGTACATCACGAAATCTTGCAGTGTGACACATAACAAGAGCTTGGTGGGGTATTGTCAACAAGCCAAAGCAAGTTTCGCTTGTACCTGCGCCATGCTGGGCATCTTTGTTGTATATCTGGGCTTTGCGGTCTGGTCGTGTTTCCCTTCGAAGAGACAACGTGAAGAATATGCGGAGGCGAAACGTATTAAGGCAGAGAAGTGGGCACGGTTTGAGACGATCGAAGATCCAGTAACAGGCGAAACCATCCGGGCACCTGAGCCTGAGACACCCGGCTTCCAAGGAGGATTGACTCCAATGACTCCGCGCACCAGGACATTCAATATCCTCGGAGGAACCAAGGACTTGCCTCTGCAAAAACCCGTGGCCACTCCGAGTGCCAAATCTCCTTCCTTTGCCATCCGAAGTCCCGACCTACCGAGAAGTCCACTGACGCCGGGTTTCGTCGACCGCACGGGCAGTAATGTCCGAGCAGGCAAGGCGCCAGAGGTGGTTGACGGTACAGACCCGGTCTCGCCTCAGTTGTATTTTCCGCCCCCTCCCAAGACATCAAAGAAGTAAAATGGGAGATTGTTACCTAAGACGTCAAAGAAGTAGAATGGGAGATTGTTACGCCCGCCCGCATTGCGCTTGGAACAGTTGGAGGACTATGGCCTGGATCTGGATCGATCACTTTACGGAGTACGCGGGGAACGTTATGTCGTATCTAAGGCTATGAGCCGTTGAACGAATCGAGATCTCAAGCTTGGACCAGTCAGGAATGACTATCATTAATATTGACTATTGCCTAGCTCATGCCTTCACTTTTAATTGGTTAATAATGTCTGATTCGAGCCCGTATGTGACACTGGAGGTCTTCAAGTTGTTTCTATCGACCAAACCAAGTACTAACTAGACAGGTCCGCACCCATAGGACAAGTCGATGTCAAGGAGTCAGCTCGGCGGCCACGATCCATGCAGAGCAGGTTTCTCCAAGTTGACAGGACTGTAGTCATGATCTCTCACAATCTCCTCCCTTCTCGCTCTATCTCTGTGTGCGTGGGGGTGCGGATGCGTGCGGGTGTAGCATGTGTACATGTGCGTGTCTCAGGAGCCAGCTCTCAAAGGCCACACAGCCGCCTCAGGCCCTCGTCGTCGAATGTGCCAATAGCAAACCGGTCCAATGTGGTCCTCGCCTCGTCCATGGCTGCCATCACTGGATTGAGATTCCTTGTGTTGTTCTGCATGCTAAGCAGATGACTTCGTAGTTGTTTGAGGAGCGGGTCTAGGTCGGGATCGCCTTCCGCGGGAGGGTCTCGAGACCGATGGATAAGCTCGGAAGACGACAACGCGGATAGAGAAGTTGATAGCGCGGCGCCATGACGGGCAGCGACCGCGGCAGCAGTAGGTCCACGAGAACCAGAGATTCCAGCGGCCAAGTTCGCCCTCTCGACATGCTCTGCCCAGACCGTGTCTTGATTCTGACCCAGCGCCCTCGCCAGCGGATGCAGTCCCATCTCTTTCTTCCGCCGTAGGGTCTGGCTGCTTTTCAGCGCGGTCTCGAGCCCGTCCAGTTCGGCGTGGTCGCGGCGCAAGGCTCTTTGTTCGCGCTTGATCTGCATCCGGAGCAGATTCGCCGATTGTGTATTCATGGTCAATTGGGCCTGGAGGGCGGTGATGCGGTGCAGCGTGGCGGAGAGGTCGAAGGCCGAGTCATCGGCAGCGATTGAGTTGGAGTTGGAGTTGGATTTGCTGCTTCTGCCACCGTTGGCGGGAGGGAAGGGCATCCGTGGGAGACGGGAGAGAAGCCTGTAGAAGGGAAAAAGAACTCATGTTAGAAAGACACAGGACCAGAAAAGCCAAACCCAACAACACAAATCTAGTCCCTCACCCTTAGCCCTCCCTCCGGCTGAAGACGTTACTCCTCGGTCAAAGACCATACTTGACCGCTACAGTCAAGTAGGGTAACCGGCAGTGGCAGGCAAATACATACATGGGAAGCAAAGGTTCACGGCACAAGGCTGACTCGATGCAACCATGCGGCGCTTCGAATCAATCTGACCACGCCGGAGAAGGCAGGTGAGGGAAACAGAATCAAGCAGAACAGAATAGAACAAGAACATACTTGTCAGCCACTTCCTCCACGGCCTTCTCGTATTCGTCTTCCTTGACCTGGGCCCTCGAGATCGGTCGTTTCTTCCCCCTTGGTTGCATCTTGCTGGTCACGGCAGGGATGCGCGCGGCGCCGCATCGCTTCGTTTTAACATCGAGGAGGATCTGGCCGACTTTCTCCTGCGATGACACCGGTAGCGGTTTCCATTTCTTGCGGATCGTGGCTTGCGAGATGTTCTTGACGCGTGGCGCGAGTGTCGCGAAGGGGGGGTCTGGTTTCGCTCTCGCTCTCGCGTTGGCTGTGGAGGCTGCGGCTTTTGACGCGCCCATTCTGGCACTGTAAAGAGTAGAGGAAGTGATTGATGGAATTGTGCGCGTCGATATGACTGGGAGACGCTTCAGATTTGGTGCTGGCTGCGACGACTCGTGATGGGCATGTGCAGTTTCAGTGTTCCAGGATCGTAGAACCACGTACAACTCCGTCTATCATGTTGATTTCGCCGATTCGGGTCTAGTGCAGCCTTGGCCAAGCCTCGTCACTACTAGTACACATAGCGTAGCTAGTCGCCCGCTCGTCTATGGATTCGTCTCGTCTATGGATTCGATATACCAATCCATACCGAGACATGTACGAGTACCAGCGGGAATCCTCTGTAGTGTGGCCTTACTGTTAACAGCCTCGACAAGCTTGTCGACCGCCGTATGGTAAAGCCACTGAGGAATTCCCGCTGCTCTCGTCTCGTCTGCAAGTATCAAGTATCGACCACGACCACGGCCACGACCATGTCCTCCCCTCCGCCCACATCCTCGACCTCAGGCGAAACGTCACTGTCCAAACTTCTCTCGACACTGACTGTAACGCTGCACCCCCCGACGTACGTGTTTCTGAACATCCCGGTATCGGACTTTGAAGGCACGAATGCCGCGTCTCGGTTTCCGATCCCTTTGGCTGAAATTATCCTGTTTTTCCGCGAACCCGGAGACGGCATTACGGTGATTGTGGAATTGGCCGTTATTGAGAGGTATCAGCGGCAAGATCAAGCTCAGAAAAGGTATGTCGAAGTCTCCTAGCGCTTGGCGGGCAGTCTGCGCCGCTCAGCGACCTGACTGAGTCCGAGATTGGATCTCATCTGGTCCAGAGACTGACTCATCATGCTCCTATTTCTCCTAGTGTCGAGACCCATCATGCTCCGAATCCTTGTAGTGTCGAGAACGACTCTGTCCCCGACACTGTTGGCTCTAGGCTCAAAACGCTGTACCGGTACGACTATCAGTATCCCTGTCGCATGATCACGTGTGACGTGCATTCGAGCCTTGCCGCCGTCGGGTTCATGGCGACGTTGGCCACAAGGCTGGCTCGGCGTGGCATCAGTGTGAATCCCGTCAGTGGCTTCTTCCATGACCATCTGTTCGTACCGGCCGAGAAGGCCGAGGAGGCCGTGAGAGTGTTGGAGGAAGTGAGGGAAGAAGCGAGTCAGAAGAGTGGCTCGAACTAGCACGCGAGTCGGAAGAGTGGCTCGAAGTAGTAGTAGATACTATAGGATAGGATCACTGACGCAAAAGGTGAGCCAAGGCAGTCCGGGTGGTCAAGGCTACGATTGCAGATGGCCTCGGGTGACTCTACAGTACTATCCCCTCTCCCCTGACCCCTGTCCCCTAATCATGCATCATTCAAAGACACACGCGACAAGTTCAAGTTGATAGTCGTTGAGACTTTTTTTTTCTTCAAGAAGAGATAGAATATAGTCCTTGATTAAACAAAAGTCGAGTTTTCTATAAGTGAGCTGCGAGCAGTTTATACTCATCCTGAACTACTAAAGTGGAGGGGTGATAAGGCATCTGAGATGCTGAGAGCCACTAATCTCCTCAGTAGCATGAGAACACATGTCACATGTGCTGTTCCCTTGCATCCTATCCTACCGTTTCTGTTGAACATCTTCGCTGGCCGCCTTGACGGCACCTTGACTGACCTGACTGGCCTGATTGGCCTGATGTCGACGCTTTTCTTCCAAGGCCTTCTCGGATTCAACCAGCAGTGTCTCTGCGGGACCCGGCCCATTCAAGTCCCCTGCCTGCACCGCTTTTGCGTCGAGATCGGCCTTTTCTTGAGAAATCCAGGATGATATGCGCGTAAACCAGCCACCAGGCTTCTCATCTATTCCCTCCTCTTTCTCCTCGTAAATCTCGGGTGGTAAGATTCGCACCGGGGTGTTCTGTGACCCAACTTGCTCTTTGGCCCGTAGGCGGAGCACCTCCCTTTCCAGTTCAATCAGGGCTCTTCGTGTTGCGTCTTCCGTCTCCTCGAGATCGTTCAGTCGCTCGTTCACGTCATCTCGGCGACTGCTCTCCTTCCTGCGCGACCTCCACGACTCGAGCAATATGAGACTGGCCGCAACGCCGAAGAGAAAAGCTTCACTTATAAAGCTGGCGCCGGCATCGATGGCTTTGGCTTCGGTCAGAGGTCTGATCTTGGGTTTGGACCGGGCTTTGGGGGACTCCGTCGACTCTGTCGGCGCCTTTGCAGCCGCCTCTTCCTCCGCCTTTGTCTGGGCTTCCGTTTTGACAGTGGGGATGCTGTGCTTGTGTTTCCTGGCTGCATCTTGTGCGGCTTCTTTTGCCGCTTGTTTCTCTATGGCTGCAGCATCTTGTAGTAGACCAATCCGCCATCGCATGTCAATCCGGTGAAGTCTCTGCGCGAAGGTAATACACGTCCGGCGAAATCCGTCATGTTCGCGTGCTTGTCTCTTGATGAAATTCTTGTCCTGTCAGCATGTCGACCCGGCCCGAAAACATGTCCCGCTACTAGAAACTCACAGCTATGGGTTTGGCGAGAGTTCGGATCGCGAGGGAGGTGAATTTGAGAGCGAGTGACATTTCGTGCAAATGTCCTTCCTGGTGTCTGAGGGTTATAACATATGTCCGGGTTCGACAGTCGCCATTCGCGGACCAATTGGCCCTATGCAGGCACGATTTCACATGAACCGATTCTGCATTGTGTCGTGGAGAAACGGAGGGCAGAAGCGTACATGTACAGATATAGAGTAGGCATCACATCACTTTGAAACTGCTCGGAGACTTCGTGTCGAGTCCGGTAAGGCTTAGGCTGAGGCTCGGGGTTTGGCAGCCCCAAGCACCGAAACTGTGTGCACTGTGCAGGCTTATAGGCTTAGGGGCTTCAAGCTTCCCTGCACCCCTCCTGGCTTCGGCCCCTCGGGCTTAGGGGCTAAGGATGGTCCTCGGGTCCTAGGCTCCTGGACCTATTATTGGGGGCATACCCACGCCAAGCCAAGCCAGCACCACAACCCGTCACTTCCCTTTTCGGTTAATTGTCAACATTGGTTTGGTAGGTTGAGCGGTGACCTTTTGTTTGTGTCGCAAAGACAGTTGCAGTAGTCATTTCCTCTAGACCATCAATCTACTCAATACCTCTGTAGCTACGCCCATGACCCCAATCGTGCCCGCAGTGTTGTCTCATACTGTCTCATTCATCAGCGGCAGCAACATCGTTGCCTGACCAAAGGGCCACAGCTACAAATGGAGGTGCTCTCCCCTCGACCGGTCAACATCCCAATGCAGCCCCCGAAAGTGACAAAGAGGCCCAAACCAGACTCCAGGCCCAAATCCGAGGAGAAGCCTACGAACCCTGACCGAATCGATGACAAATGGCGGCCGCCTCCCACCATCACCGAGCCCGGCTCGTCGCCCGAGACGTACCTGACGGGCAGGAAGCTGGGCAAAGGAGGTTTCGCGGTCTGTTTCGAGGGAAGGACAAAAAGAACAGCGGACGTATTTGCTCTCAAGGTCGTCAAAGCAAAGGTCGAACAGAAGAAGATGATGGAGAAGTTCCGCACCGAACTTCAGATTCATGCCAAAATGCACCATCCGAACATCGTCGAGTTCCTGCGGGCATTCACAATCGGTGACCATACCTATGTTGTGCTCGAATTGTGTCCGAATGGGAGTCTGGCGGAGATGGTGAAAGCCCGCTCATGCCTGAGCCTACCAGAGGTTCGGCGATATATGATCCAGATCTGTGGGGGGGTCAAATACATGCATAAACGATCCGTCATCCACCGAGATCTCAAGATGGGCAATATATTCCTAGATTCCCGCATGAACATCAAGATTGGAGACTTTGGGCTGGCTGCTGTCATGGCCGACGAACAAGACCGGAGGACAACATTGTGCGGGACGCCCAACTATATTGCGCCGGAAATCCTGAGCAAGTCGGGCAACCGAGGACACGACAACAAGGTCGACACTTGGGCCGTAGGAGTGATTTGCTACGCCATGTTGATGGGGGTCCCCCCGTTTCAATCCAAAACGCAGCAGGAAATATACACCAAGTTGAGAACGCTAGAGTACGAATGGAAAATCGACAGCAAGAACTACGTCCCCCAACAAGCCAAAGACTTTGTGGCCTCATGCTTGAACCTGAATTCAGCAGAGAGGCCAGGAATGGACGAGCTCGTGGAGCATGAATTCTTCACCATGGGAGCCATTGCAGAGGAGCTCGACATTTCCACTCTGAAGGCCAGCCCCTTGTGGCTCGAAAATGCCGATCCGCGCGGCGACCGAGTGAGACCCGGCTACGGAGTGAGCCATAGCCGGATGTGTCGAGAATGCGGCGTGGGAATGGGCTCTGACGGACGCCCTCGGGCGGGAGTTGGTGTTGGGGCGAACATCTCGGCGTTGGTTGAAATCGAAGTTGAAAACCGAGAGGGATGTGCCCCCGTGATTCCTCTACCGGCAGGAGTGCTGTACAAACAGTTTGCAGACGCTCATGCCGAATGGATGGCCCGTCAACAACATCCCTTGTTGCCTGCTCGAATCCGAGGTCGAAAGCCCGTGGTCGACCATGGAGAAATATCACCACCTTTGGGCGGGACCAAGGTTGAAGCTGAGCTTCTGCCTCCTGCTGCTTCCAACCCTCCTCCAGCTCCAAGTGTAAGTGCTTCGGCTCCTCGTGCGTTTCAGAGCTTCGCCGCCCAGCAACGACAGCAAGCGCTACCGGTCGGACTGTCTCGACGGGCAGAACGGACTCAGGAAGTGAGCCAGAAGTCCAAAGAGCCCGAAAGTGCAGCCCATCCTGTTCAGGCACTTTTGAGAGAACGGCCTGTGAGAGCGGCGACGATTCGGGTGACTAGGAGTGCCACATTGCGAGAGCCAATTTCTCAGACGGCCCGGACGCTGCCTAGATCAAACACTTTGCCAGATGCTGTTGACGGACTCACACACGAGCCTGAAGGAAGCCTGGAACAAGGGCAAACACGAAGAGCGCGAGATACGGTGGCAACCAGCAAAAGAAGCACGGGCGACATGTTTAACAGGAAACCCGTACGATCAGGTATGGTGACGGAGAATGCAACCACCCGTCCAGCATCTTCGTCATCGACGTCTTCTGCATCGTCGGGAGACGTTCCTGCGCGCGTGCTTCGACCGACGCCTGCCAATGATCGACGTCCCAGGGGAGGAACGGCAGGGAAGCACCAAGAAGGGGAACGGGCCGCATCAGCGTCGTCGTCGAAATCTCAGATACGGCCGGGGAGGCACCAACCCAGGATCATATCCCGGCTAGATGACGCCATGCCGGTGCCCAACTCGACGGGCCGGGAGGTGTTGAATTCGCTTCGGTCACTGCACCGAGCGCTTGATGCCCGCAGCTACGATGAAGTTGCCAGGCGACCACGATCAGGATACGGCACGCGGAAAGTCCGGACGGCGTCGAGCTATCCCAGAGTGGACAAATGGGTTGACTATTCCACCCGTCATGGGATTGCCTACATTCTGTCCGACGCCACGGTGGGTATGATTCTGAAGTCCTCGGAAGACAATTCGATACCCAGCAGTTGTGTGGTGATCCGAGATGCCAGCAACCATACGATCCGCCGAGCGAAAGGGCTGGAATACCAATTTGTGCCACAAGGACCAGATGCCCGCGACGTGGAATTCTATGAGCAGAGCGACTACGAGGCTGAGATGAAGCGTCTTGAGGTCCCGGCGCGAAAGTTTTGGCTGGATCTGGAACGACATGGCAGTCAGATTGCGGCGGCCAATGCGATCCAGGCTGGTCTCGAGGGCAGTGAGGCGGAGCGGATGAGGGAGGTTGCGCTGCTGGACAAGTTTGGCAAGTATATGAACAAACAGGCCGGGAATTGGAGCACGGACGGCAAGGCGACGAGCAAAAGCGGGCACTTTGTCCACTTCTACCAACGAGTGGGAAACGTGGGTGTGTGGAGATTCGCGGATGGCGGGTTGCAGTTCAACTTCCCGGACCATACCAAACTCACGATCCACCAGCAAGATGAAAATGTAGATGGACGGGGACAGTACGTGGTGGATTGCGTGTATCTGGTGCCGAGCGACGCGATCACGGTGGCGCGCCACGGGCTGATCACGACCGAAGCCATGGAACGACGTGACCAAGTCAGCCTGCCATTGGAAGACATGATGACCGAAGTGTTGCGGCGGTCGGAGATGGAGATTATCCGCACCAACGAGATCAAGGAGAAATTGTGCTGGATCCGGGCGGTGGTCGGGTGTTGGATCCAGGAGGGAGGGTTGGGCCGGATGGGAGAAGAGCGGTTGGGATGGAGTGGGATTCAAGAGCGACGAGATGACAAGAGGATCAAGTTACAATGGGTGACGGTGGGGAGATATGGGGGGGATGGGGGGGCATGAGTATGGGATGGGATTAGATGAGGTTGATGGGCATGGGCATGTCATGGGCATGTCATGAGCATGAGCATCTGCATTCACAGGTGATCCCTTGAGACTCTCTGTGGGAGGAGTATGACTGACGAGCGAGGCGTTGGGGTTGGGGTTGGAATAGCATTGATAGCACTCTTGCGGAGAGCGTATTCTTCTACTGCATCTATTTGTCTGTCTAGAGTATACTAGGTACAGTACACGATAAACAGGATTGTTCAGACATTGACCGAGGGAGTACGGGAGTACGAGTATAAGTGTAGGTATTGTACGGATATTCTGTATACTGTACTTCGTACGTACATTAATCAGCCACTAACTAATATTTACTGTGGATGGCCGATGGCGACATCACTCCCCCATCTATCACCATCCCTGCTCAACCTTGAGCTCAACCACGACCACGACCACAGCATCGACTACAGCATCAACATTGACATCGACAGCAATCTCAACCCTAGGACAAGTCATTAAGTACAAAGACAAGGACAAGGACTGTATCTTTTCTTCCCTAGACTTGCACTATACGGATACAGGAGTATCGATACAATCAATACACTGCTGCCCTGATCCTGATTCTGATCCTCAATCACCATCACCATCATTCACTATCATCACCACTATTTATCATCACCATGGGCGGCGGACCAGATCGAGAAAATGTCCTCATCACCCTCTTCGACCCGGAACCCAAAGACACCATCGCCGAGCTGAAGCGTCGATTCCCTTATTTCGACATCACGTACGTCCATGTCTCGGTGCCGACTAAGGGCGCGAAGAGCAACCCGACTGTGATCTCTGATGGTGAGTTTGTACTTTCTAGTTTCTAGGTCCTTTTCAGGGTTGAGGTCTCTATCTCTATTTTTGGAGAATGAGACCTACCCCTCGCTTTTTCAGAGCCTTTCTGTGTTTATGTCTGTGTTTGTGTTTGCAGTTCACTGCTGTCGCGGTCGTGTCGCCGTCGCGGTCGCCGTCTAGGCACGCACTGCGATGGGTGAGGGTGCCAGAACAAGAATGAACAAGAACAAGAACAAGACCAGAGAACGTGGTCAAAGTCAGCTTTGCTGTTGCTACTGCTATGCTATGCTATTGCCTTTCCTACTCCCATTCCTACTCCCATTCCTACTCCCATTCCTACTCCCATTCCTACTCCCATTCCTACTCCCATTCCTACTCCCATTCCTATTCCCATCGCTATTGCTACTCCTGTTCCTATTCTTATTCTTACTCCTACTGCTATTGCTACTGCTACTGCTACTGCTATTGCTATTGCTATTGCTACTGCTACTGCTACTGCTACTGCTACTGCTACTGCTACTGCTACTGCTACTGCTACTGCTACTGCTACTGCTACTGCTACTGCTACTGCT